CGCTCTGGAAGGTCAAGATGAGGGCACTTCTGGTTCAACAAGGATGTGCGGCTGCGTTAGAAGGAGAAGACAAGTTTCCCAAAGACACGAAGGAGGAGGTAAATAAAGAGACTTTGGCAAGGGCTCATTCCGCGATCTTGCTGTCAGTTACTGATGAGGTGTTACGGGAGGTTGTGATCAGACAACGGCTTTTGGGTTATGGAATAAACTGTGTGAGAAGTATCAAAACAACTCTCTCACGAACAGGCTATATCAGAAGCAACGTCTTTACACCCTCCGGATGTCCGAAAGTACTCAGGTAAAGGATCATCTTGATACCTTTAACCGTATCATTCTTGATCTTCAAGGAGTTGAGGTTAAAGTAGATGATGAAGATCAAGCCCTAATTTTATTGTGTTCACTACCTGGTTCATATGAGAATTTTGTAGATACTATGTTATATGGTAGAACTACAATTTTTGTTAATGATGTGAAAGATGCCCTTATGTCCAAAGAATTGAAAAGAAAGGTTTCTCTGGAAGAGGGTTCTGGTTCAGGTCTGTTTGCAGGTAGGGGAAGACCACATGAGAGGGGTAACGGGAATGGGAGGTCGCATTCAAAATCAAAATCCTCTAGCAAAGTTAAGTGTTATCTTTGCAAGGAGAAATGGCACGTTAAAAGGGATTGTCCACAGAAGAAGGGAAATACAAAAGTTGATTCTAGTAACAGTGGCAGCAGTGCTGCTGTGGTACAAGACAGTTCTGATGATGGGGACTTTGGTGAAGTTCTGACTGCGTGTAGTGCTAGTAGTGTTGATTCCTGGATTATGGATACCGGTGCTTCTCACCATATGACGTTCTCTCGTGATCTACTCACTTCTTTTAAGGAGTGGAATGGAACGGTGAAGTTAGGTGATGATGGGGTTCTAGCCATAAAAGGGAGCGGGGTAGTGCAGATAAAATTACATAACGGTACTGTCAGGATATTTGACTGTTCGTATGTTCCTGAACTCAGAAAGAATTTGATTTCTCTTGGCACCTTAGCCAAAAATGGTTTAAAATATCATGGTGAAGGTGAGTGGGTGAAAGTCCTGAAAAGTGCTCTGGTAATGATGAAGGGAAAACTGCATCATGGAATTTATTTTCTACAGGGCAGTTCAGTGATGGGAACGGCGGCGGTATCCCAGTCCTTGGATAAACATGATGACAGGACAAATTTGTGGCACCGTCGATTAGGTCACATGAATGAGCTAGGGTTGTCTGTGTTGAGCAAGCAGGCTTTATTTGGTGGGGATGTGATAGGTAAAATTCAATTATGTGAGGCTTGTGTAAAAGGGAAGCAACGCAGGGTGAGGTTTAGTACCGGTCATCACACTTCAAAAGAAATTCTGGAGTATGTTCATTCAGATCTATGGGGTCCCTCTGCGGTGAAATCGCAGGGCGGGTGTTCTTACTTTGTCACTTTCATAGATGATTATTCGAGAAAAGTCTGGTTGTACTTTCTGAAAACTAAAGATGGGGTGTTTGGGAAGTTCAAGGAGTGGAAGACCATGGTTGAAAAACGGACGGGTAAACAGGTCAAAACTCTAAGAACTGATAATGGGTTGGAGTTCTGCAACGCTCCATTTGATGATTTCTGCAAGAAAGAAGGTATAGTGAGGCACCGCACACAGCAAAATTGAGTTGCAGAGCGAATGAATCAAACCTTCATGGCGCGTGCTAGGTGTATGCGCATATTTGCTGGCTTATCTAAGCAATTCTGGGCTGAAGCAGTTAACACTGCTAGTTATCTGGTTAATAGATCTCCATCAACTGCAATTGACTTAAAAACTCCTCAAGAGGTATGGTCCGGTAAACCTTCTGATTACTCTAATCTAAGAATATTTGGATGCCCTGCATACGCTCATGTGAATGATGGTAAGCTGGAGCCGAGCGCAGTAAAATGCATATTTCTAGGGTATGCAACAGAAGTAAAAGATTATCGACTGTGGTGTACAGAAGGTAAAAATCCTGGTAAATTTCTTATTAGCAGAGATGTAACCTTTGATGAATCTGCTATGCTTGATCAGAGTAGAGGTTGTGAAAGTATTGCAGGTACAAAAGATTGTGGTGCTAACCAGAAGGTGGAGTTTGAGACTCCTGACAGAGTTGTGTTAGAGGAAGAGCAGCAGGATAATACTATTGATCAATCCGATCAACCAGATCAGTCAAAACCTCAAGGAAAACCGGTTGAGGGGGAAGCTGATGACGCTGGTACTGGGGTTGAAGATTCCATAGCAGCAAGAAAGGGAAAGAGAAATATTCAGAAACCAGCTAGGTTTGCAGGATATGTGAATACATGTGACATGAATTCTGTGGCTTATGCACTAGCGGTTGGTGATGATCTTGGCTCTGATGAATCAAAGACATATAAAGAAGCTGTGGCGAGTAAAGATGCAGAAAACTGGATTATGGCAATGAATGAAGAGATGCAGTCTCTTGAAAAGAACAAGACTTGGGATCTTGTTGCACTACCAAAAGGGGTGAAGCCAGTGGGATGCAAGTGGGTCTTTAAGAAATGAGGGAATTCCTGGTGTTGAACCTGCTAGGTTCAAGGCGAGATTGGTGGCAAAAGAGTTTTCACAGAAGGAAGGAATCGATTACCATGAAGTCTTTTCTCCTGTGGTGAAACACAAAACCATTCGGGTTCTTTTGGCAATGGTGGGTGCTTTTGATCTGGAGCTGGAGCAGCTTGATGTAAAAACAGCATTCCTTCATGGTAATCTAGAAGAACAGATTTACATGTCTCAACCGGAGGGGTTCTACAGTTCTAAAGGGGACCAGGTATGCTTGTTAAAGAAATCTTTGTATGGCTTGAAGCAGTCTCCGAGGCAATGGTACAAGAGATTGGACCCATTCATGGTGTCTAATGGTTATACTCGTAATCAGTTTGATAACTGTGTTTACTCGAAGAAAGTTTCTACTGATTCCTTTGTGTATCTGTTGTTGTATGTGGATGATATGTTAATTGCAGCTAAGAACATGACTGTAATTAATGACTTGAAGGCTCTACTAAAGGGTGAGTTTGAGATGAAGAATTTGGGTGCGGCAAAGAAAATACTTGGTATGGAGATCTGGCGTGATAGAGAAGCAAGACGGTTATGGGTTTCTCAAGAAAAGTATATTGAGAAAGTTTTGTAGGCATTCTCTGTTGATCAGTCCAAACCGGTAAGAACCCCTTTGGCGGCACACTTTAAACTTTATCGAAGCACTATACCGGCTACAGATGAAGAGGTTAGTTACATAAAGACGGTTCCATATTCAAGTGCAGTTGGAAGTCTTATGTATGCGATGGTATGTACGAGACCGGATCTCGCTTATGCGGTTAGTGTGGTGAGCAGGTTTATGGCTAATCCGGGTAAAGCTCACTGGGGAGCTGTAAAGTGGATCTTGCGATATTTGAAAGGAGCGTCTGATATTTGTCTGGTATATGATGATAAAGGCCATGGTGATGGTCTTGTTGGCTATGCAGACTCTGATTACGGGGGTGACTTGGTGAAACGAAGATCACTAACTTGTTTTATTTCACTCTTTTTGAATGTGCAGTCAATTGGAAGTCTACTTTATAACCTACGGTTGCACTATCAATGACTGAAGGTATTAAGGAGGGTATCTGGTTACATGGTCTGGTGCAGAGTTTGGGTCTGAAGGTGGAGAAACCGGTGTTATTTTGTGATAGTCAAAGTGCTTTGAGTTTGACTAAAAATCCAGTGTATCATGAGAGAACCAAACATATTGATGTAAGGTTGAATTTTATCCGTGATGTTTTGGAGGAAGACAAGTTTTCTATTCAGAAAATAGTTACAGAACACAATCTAGCTGATATGTTGACAAAGGCGCTACCGACGGAGAAGTTTGAGCGCTGCTTGAACTTGGTGAATATTCGTAGGAGGTAAAGCCCTCTCGGGGCATCTGGCAGGAAGGAGACGACTGAGAGATACTAACGAACCTTTGGCGGTTGGAGAAACTCCAAGTCAAGGTGGAGATTGTTGAAACGTGACTTGGATTTAGTGGTCTATCCGACCCTAAACCAAAGCGAAATGGTTGTTTCAATTGGCAGAGTTTCTTTTGGGCTTATCCTAATTAATAACAAATAGGCTTAGGGTTTAGGGTGTTTTGGGGTACTTATAAATAGACAACTATGGTTTTTAGTCGGATGACATATTGTAAATCTTTGAATCAGTATAATAAAATCTCTCCGGTTCTTGCCCGTGGACGTAGGTTGACACACCGTCACCGAACCACGTAAAACCTTTGTGTTCTTTATAACAACGTGCTTTAACATATTTTTTATATATTGTCATTTGGGACACACATATATATGCCTATATATATACATGCACTCTCTAAATATTTGAGAAGTGGTGGACAATTGATTAGTCTATGATATTGATTCTGAAACAAGACACTGTGTCAATCATGATCCAAATCTATTTGCTATTGATATCAATTTGAGCCTTCAATCTTATTTTTGGTTTTGTTATATATATATCGATGACGTGAGAACTCGCAACGCTACTTTTTGAGTGTCTTTGGAGTAAATCTTGGCCGAAACTAATACCATGTTAACTAAATCCGACAAGATAAGTTACACTCAACGAACTATATGTAAAACTGATAGCATTGGAGGTTTGAATACATAGTAGGATCTACAATTAAACCTAGACCAAACCCGACCCTAAAAAATTCATTAAAGACCCGACCTAAACCCGACTCAATATCCAAATAATTGGACCCGACCCTAAATAAATCGGTAAGGTCCGATCTACTCGTACCCATTGCAATCCCTAGCTTGTCTTTTATATCATTATAATCACTAATATACTATATATATTTATATATATATATATATAAATGTTTCTCAAAAAATATTTAAAAATATATATATATTTTTTAATAACAATTTTATTAGTTTCAATTATTAAAAATAAAACGACAAAAAACTATTAAATTCTTGTATGAACTTCAAGGAAGTTTCTTGATGAATTCGCTGTACACAAGACTTTCGTCTTCATCGTCTAATCACTGAAATCCATACACTTCTACAACATATGCATACATCGATGCTTTAATTCATCTGAATTAATTTATCAGATCATAGCAATTCCTTTTACAGCATATATAGATCACAATCTGCTGGTGTATCTTCAGAACTGAATTCCTCACAAAACGGTCAACTCTAATCAAGATCTGCACCTGCCCAAACATTCATGTCTATTGCAAGTTCATCGAATGTTCCATCAGCTGCCCTGAGAATCGACGTGGTCGGATTGAAGGAAGAACTCGATGAAATCATTCACAGGGCCACCGGAGGGTCAGCTTCCCGTCAGGTCATCCCAATCGTCGGGATGGGCGGAATCGGTAAGACCACATTGGCTCGATCTCTTTACGAACTTACTTATATTAAGGAACACTTTGATCAACGAATTTGGATTACAATATCGCAAGATCGAACTTTTCGAGAGCTACTTCTGCAATTTCCTATTTGTCAGCAAGAACAGGATAACAGTGAAATCATATTAAGTGATGATCAATTGGGAGTAGCGTTACATAAAAGTTTATTCGGGAGACGATACTTGATTGTGTTAGATGATATGTGGAATTTAAAAGATTGGGATAATCTGCAGCTTTACTTTCCGAATGCACATGAGACTACCGGTCGAATAATTGTAACTACTAGGCTCGCGAATGTGGCAAAATATTTCAGCTCTTGTAGCCTCGAGATGAAGTTTCTTGATAAAGATGAGAGTTGGGAGTTGTTTCGTAAAACTACTTTCGGGCAAGAGACTTGTCCTAATGAACTTATCGATGTCGGGAAGGGAATTGCACAAAAATGTAAAGGGCTTCCTCTCTCGATTGTTGTTGTTGGGGGACTTCTAAAAAAATCTTGTCGAGAAAAAGCGTATTGGGAGAGCGTGGCGAAAGACATAAACTCATTTATGCATTCGGAAGGCGACGTGCATTGCCAAAACGTATTGTCATTGAGCTATAATCGCTTGTTCGTACATTTAAAACCGTGCTTTCTTTACATGGCAATTTTTCCCGAGGACCACGAAATCAATGTTTCGCAGCTCATCAAGCTTTGGGTAGCCGAGGGATTTTTCGAACCAGATGACGATGAAGGGAGTTGGGAAGGTGTTCTAGAGGGCTATTTAAAGGACCTTGTCGATCGAAATCTCATTCTAGTTCGGAGGTGGGGGCTGAAGAGAAAGATTAAGACATGCTATATGCACGATGTTTTACGAGATTTATGTATCAGGATGGCTAAGAAAGAGGAGTTTATTTGCGTCGTGAATAGTCCGGCGATTCCACAAGGCTTACATAACCAGCGTCGTGTTGTTCTTCACGGAAAGCGTCAATCTCAAGTCTTGAAAGCTATCCAACAGCCGTTGCGTTCTCGTACTTTGATTTGTGGCGGCGAAGGTCTTCCTCGTTTGGTGGACAGATCGTTGCGCGTTTTGGATGCAGTCGAAATAGGTTCTTTCGAAGATGTATTTAAGCATGTTCACTTGAGGTACATTGGTTGCAAGTCGAGCTCTCTACGCAGTATTCCTTCGACAATATCTCAACTCTTGAATGTGCAGACAATCATCTGCCACAATACATTTCTAGCTTCTGCGCCGACTGCAATTTGGATAATGAAACACCTCAGGCACGTCGTATTCAACGAGATTCATCTTCCCGACCCCCCTCAAATCACAGATTTGCCTGCTCTGGAACACCTGCAGACTTTTATGAAAGTCGTGAACTTCAAGTGCAGCGGCGAAGTTCTTCGAAGGATGAGGCAAATCAAGAAGCTACAAATCAAGTACGAGGAATTCGCCGGGGAAAGTAGGACCGCAGCATACTTCTATGCTGAAAACCTCTGTCACTTTCCAATGCTCGAATCGCTCAAAGTTTCTTTTTACGTCAAGCGAAGTTTGAGGCTCGACTTCCAGCAGCTTCTAACATATCCATCCTCACTTAAGAAGCTGACATTAGACAACGTCGAGCTCTGCTGGAATGACTTGGAAAAGTTCGGCAGGTTGCCTAAACTCGAAGATCTCAAACTTAAGGGCGCCATTGCAGGAGATTCATGGGATCCTATCGAAGGAGGATTCGATTCTCTGAAGTCTCTGAGGATTGTGGCATTCATTGATCTGATAATCTGGAATGCGGACAAGTCCCATTTCCCAGTTTTGGAAGTTCTTGATCTTGGCGGCGTGCCAAAGTTGGAGAAAATTCCTTTGGAAATCGGAGATATAGCTACTCTAAAGGTTATTAAGTTCTGTAGCAGCCGAGCCGACACAGCCATTTCGGTAATGAGAATATTAGCTGAGCAGGAGAGTTTTGGGAACGAGGGCCTTCAGGCTCGAGTCACGTTCATGAACAAGATCGAAGAAAGGCGTTTCTGGGAAATGGCAGAAACAGAGGAGTTGGGAAGCAGTAATTTTGTAGTTGAAACTGGTAATGTCTCCATAACATCTCATTTTTGGTAAATCTTATTATTTTGTTTGTATGGTTTGTTTTGAAATGAATGAACTGATGGAATCAGTTCTTTTTTCAGGAAAATAAGATGGAATGGGCAAATCAAGCAACTGTGTAATATACATACATATATATATATATGTATTATAAATATGTGTCAGTTTTTTTTTTTTTTTTTTTTTTATATGACGTGGAACCCGCAGCAGCTACCCGAAAGTGCGCACTGGGTAAACCTACGATCGAACTTAATACCCTGCAAACTAGGCCCGACAGGCCAGTCATACTAGGCGAACATGTGTGGCAGGTGACCTGAGACGAGGCGTCGGGGATTTAAACCAATGACCTTATGGTCACACAGCCAATCGCTACACATGTGTTTATAGAAAACAAGATTAGGATATCTGATTGATTTTCATATGAAGATATTCTTGCATATATGTGCTTGAATAATTTTCTAACCCTTGATATCCCACATGATAGGTAGGGTTGGCAAACGAACTAGGTTTGGTTGGATTTAGGTTCGAGTTAGCTATAAAAGTGTTAAAAAACTTTTGATTTGAACATGACTCGTTTAATTAAATAGGTTATATTTGCAACTTTAATCTGACCTTCGGGTCAACCTAAATCTAACTTTTTTTTAGTATAAAATTTTTAAATTTTAATTTAAAATTACAATTTTTACTAACATAATTTTTAAATGCATAATATATATACATATTAAAACAAAAACTATTTATTCATATCATTAAAACTCATATTCAAGAGTCAAATTAACAAACTATATAACACAATAATCCTTTGTTTATCCTAATTTTGTAGAATTTTAACTTATATTTTATTTAATTGGATTTTTATTTTTATACAATTGGCCATGAATATTTGAATTAAATTGATAAAATTTAAAAAATATATTTAAATTTAAAATAATATTAATTAAACATGTTAGCCAGGTTAATTTCTGATTAAAAATTTGGACATAAACTTGACTCGTTTAATTAAATGGGTTAAACGAGTTTGACCAAATTATTAATTGGGTCAAAAATCTCAACCCAAACCCAATTATTTCGGGTCAAGTTCATATCGAATTATCAAGTCAGATTAATTTTTGCCGGCCCTAACGACAATGAAATGATCCTAGTATTCTTGAATGTATTTCATTATATTATATCTTATAAATACGAGTTTGTACGGATTTGCCACTTGAAAAGTCTATCTTGCCCCTCATTTCAAAAATGATAATTTAGCCCTTAACCTACCCTTGTACTGGCTTGAAAAGACGTTTTGGAACCGTCGTCAGCAACCGCCGTCAACCGCCCAAGACGAAACGTTTTGGAACGTCGTCTGGTCGGTTACATCAACCGCCTCGCCAAACGCCTCCACTAGTTCCAGAACTCAAATAGCCCAACCGACCAATCCAGAGACCAATCGGTAGACCAAAAGACTCCTTGGCCGCACCCACCAAGCGACCTGTCTATCCGCCTGCGGACCAGCTGACTAGCCTATCCGACTGCAGACCACCATCGGACCTGTCTGTCCGACCGCTAACCATCCTACCGAGGACCAGCCGACCATACCAACCGACCGAGGACCTTCCGACCTGCCTATCCGACCGCTAACCAACCGACCTGATCATCCGACCGAGGACCTTCCGACCTGAGCGCAAATTTTTCTCCCTTTCCACCCGACTTCGTGTCTAACTTCCTTTAAGATCCTGCTATCCTTATTTTTATTTTTATTATTATTATTTTTTGTGCGGACAATTATCAAAGTTGAAATATCCTTGCTATTTTTGACATTTCAAAACTCATAAAAGAGATGCAGGGTCACCCTTCTTATCTCAGTCTATCTGCCTACGGACCAGCTGACTTGCCTATCCGATCGCAGACCAGCCGACCTACTTTATCCGACCGCAGACCATGAGACCTATCTGTCCGACCGCTAACCATCCGACCGATGACCAACTGACCAAGGACCTTCCGACCTGCCTATCCCACCGCTAAACAACCGACCTGATCATCTGACCGAGGACCTTCCGACCTGCCTATCCGACCGCTAACCAACCGACCTGACCATCCGACCAACCGACCAGACCAACCGACTTAAGCACAAATTTTTCTCCTTTTTCATTCGATTTCATGTCTAACTTCCTTTAAGATCCTGCTTTCCTTATTTTTATTATTATTATTATTATTTTTTGTGCGTAACAATTATCAGAGTTAAAATATCCTTGCTATTTTTGACATTTCAAAACTCATAAAGAGATGCAGGGTCACCCTTCTTATCTCAATCTATCCTTCAACGGAACAGCTGACTTGCCTATCCGACCGCAGACCAGCCGACCTACTTTATCCGACCGCAAATCATCAGACCTGTCTGTCCGACCGCTAACCATCCGACCGAGGACCAACCGACCGAGGACCTTCCGACCTGCCTATCCCACCGCTAACCAACCGACCAGACCAACTGACCGAGGACCTTCCGACCTGCCTATCCGACCGCTAACCAACCCACCTGACCATCCGACCAACCAACCTGACCAACCGACCTGAGCGCAAATTTTTCTCCATTTCCACCCGACTTTGTATCTAACTTCCTTTAAGATCCTGCTATCCTTATTTTTTTTATTATTATTATTATTATTATTTTTTGTGCGTAACAATTATCAAAGTTGAAATATCCTTGCTACTCATAAAGATGCAGGGTCACCCTTCTTATCTCAATCTATCTGCCTGCGGACCAGATAACTTGCCTATCCGACCGCAGACCAGCCGACCTACTTTATCCGACCGCAGACCATCAGACCTGTCTGTCCGACCTGCTGACCATCAGACCTGTCTGTCCGACCGCTAACCATCCGACCAGACTAACCGACCGAGGACCTTCCGACCTGTCTATCCCACCGCTAACCAACCGACCGAGGACCAACCGACCGAGGACCTTCTGACCTGCCTATCCGACAGCTAACCAACCCACCTGACCAACCGACCAGACCAACCGACCGAGGACCAACCGACCTGAGCGCAAATAATTCAATTGTATTTTTGTTTTACAGTTTATATTTCAAATAAATAATGTTTCACTACATTACAATATAGAATAGTCGCGCGGTATACCGCGCAAGAGCGTGTTCTAGTATATATATATATATAAGGCCCTGTTTGGTTGTATCGTTTGATGAAAATTGTGAGAGTTTCAGAGGCCATCTTGCATAAAGGGCAGCATTTTACGTCAACTCAAAGAAATGTACACTCTACGATATAAGAGAAATAGAAAATCTAAAAAAATGATCAAGATTCAAGAGCACATCAATATTCAATTCTACCAAATATTACAAAATAAAAAATACTATAAGAAAATAGCATTTTTGTAATGAAGTTTTTTTATCTCTAAATTCACTTCTTCTTCTACTAATAATATTAGAGACAAAAATAAAGATTAAATTATGTTAGTTACATAAACTTTAAGGACGAAATTCTATTACAAATATATTATTATTTTTTTATTGCTGGGCGGCTCCGCGACCTGAAGCTCCCTTGTTGTTAAGCGACTCAATAGATTGGGGCTCCCTGGCTACTAGGTGGCTCCGCAGCCTGAAGCTTCCTTGTTGTTGGCAGCTCGATAGACTGGAGCTTCCTGGCTACTAGGCGGCTCCGCGGCCTGAAGCTCCTTTTCTGTTGGACGGCTCCATAGACTTAGGCTCCTTGGCTACTAGGCGGCTCTGTGGTTTGAAGCTCCCTTGCTGTTGGACGACTCCACTGGTTGGGGCTCCCTTGCTGCTAGGCGGTTCCACGGCCTGACGCTCCTTTGCTGTTGGGCGGTTCTGCAGCCTGGGAGCTCCCTTGCTGCTGGACGGTTCCGTTGCCTGGGGGTTTCGGTTCCACTTTTGTCTTCAAACTTTCTTCACATTCAAGTGTTTTGAACATATGTCCAGCAATAATCTAAATAAATATTTATTTCGTCTCATTTTATTTATTTTTTTATTTTAAGATAGGGACTTCTAAAACAAGAATAAAAGGATAACGAGCCAATGCTTGGAATTTGGAGTTGCCAACCTCTGGAGGAAATAAGTAGGGGCAGACACGGTTCGGATATTTGCAAATATGAAGGTATTTGATATATGAATCAAACAGAACAAATATCCGATATCACCAACCGTATTTGAACCAAAAATTTCGGTTAACTGAAAATATTTGCAAAATTGCAAATGATTCGAATCGAATCGAAATTAAAAAATATATATATTAAAAAATAATTAAAATTCTAATTTAATAAAAATATTTGCAAATATTTCAAATATTCGAAATAGAACCAAACCAAATATAGTTATTAATATAAATTTTAAAATAAAATAATATAAATATATTCGGAAATATCAAAAACAGAACCGAATCTAACAAATATCAAATATGCAGTATTTGTATTCAAATCGAATTTGCTCGGTTAACCGAAAATTCGGTTCGGTTCAGTTCAGTTCAACTGTTCGACGGTTCGTTTCGATTTTTTTGCCCACCTCTAGAAATAAGGATCACCTTCTTACTGTGATTGCGTACTTCTTATTGTTGAGAGGAAAATCGTTATGGTCCATAGGTTGGGATTATCCAACCTCTGGAGTTTGCAAACTTTAATTTGCTGCAACACTTGTCTGGTTTCATCTCTCATCGAAGTTTGGAATATGAAATACCTCAGACATGTGGGTATTCAATGAGATTCATCTTCCCAAAACTTGCCTGATCTGGAACTGGAACACCTCAAGACTTCTATCAAAGTAGTCAACTTCACTGGCAAAGTGCTTCCAAGGTTTCATCACATCAAAGTTTTTATTTTTTAGTTTTTATAATGTTGATTGCTGTTACTTTTCTGGACATATTCCCAGAGTTGATGAGAGCTAAGCATAGTTTTCATTCTTACGTACTAGTGGTCATAATATTCCCTGAAAAATATCTAACTATCACTGGCATGATTAGTCATGCAGTAGATCCGATGCCACTTGTTGAATTTCTTGAAAACAAAATTAAAGAATATTTGAGGAAGAGAAATATATGTCCACTACAAAAAGAAAATAATAATAATAATAATAAAATAAATTGTAAATTGCCACGGGGAAGTCGAAAACTTAAACAACACACATAATTAGATAATAGACCATGCAAGAAACTGGATGAAATTTAAATTCAATTTATATTTCATGAAAAGAATACCAGGATATTCTTATTTTTATTAATTAAAATTTAATAATTAATAATAATAACTAGTTCATCCATACAAGATTCCCAAACAGAAACATTACCAACTATACTTAAATTTACTAAATTATTTCATTTTGCAAAGATATTTAGTTATATTTAAATAGTAATTTAATAATTTTTTGAAGTAAAGTACTCCCACGTTCCTATGAAATTGGTCTTTTTCTTTTCTAACATTAAGTTTAAGAAATATTGTATTAGATGATTAATTAGTTTGATTAATTTATATAATATTTATAATGCATTGTTATTTTAATTATTTTTATTTAGTAATATATGAAAATAAAAATAAAATTTTTTTATTTTTTTATTTTTTATGCTGAATATTTTATATTTTGAAATTAATTTTTTTAAAAATTATTGTATCATCAATAAAACAATAATAATGTAAAAAAAATTAATTTTATTAATTTAAATATAATTAAACAATAAAATATAACGTAACTATAAAATTATTCCAAAAGTTAATACTTCATCCATCCCTTTATTTCCATTTTTTTCTTTTAAATAATTGTATTATCTACTTAGCATTACAAATATTATAAATACAGAGTATTTTATTTTACATTTAGCTGAAAGAATAAAGAAATAAATATCAGAAACATAGTACAACTTTAACAATGGCATGTCAAAGCTCACAGTTGTCGTTACCATTACAATGGTCATTCTATATTTTATTTAAATAATTGTTCAACCCCAGCTTGCAACTGGAAACTACAGAGAAGCACAGGCACAAAGACCAGATCAATGCCTGTTTTGTTGGGAACCTTTCGTTCCTAACCCCCCAAAAGTTGACTTCCAAGACTGTCTTGTTAGTGCTGAAAAGAGTAAATTGCTCCGTTGTTCAATCATTTGATTCCAATTCCAATTCTTTATTCTTATTTTCTTTTACACGCATCACAACCTGCTTGTGTATATTCATTCAATTCATTCGTTTAATCTCTCTACTTTCAGGCTAATTAAATCCATCCGAAACTATTACGATGGCTGCTTATGCAGCTGTTCTTTCTCTCATCCACGCCGTGAGGCGGATCCAGATTGTTACTAACCACGCAAAGTTTTACAGGAGCCCAATCGACCATATAGGGGAAATGGGTTTTTTGCTGCATCATTTTCTGAAATCCTATTCTGATCATGGAGAAGATAGTCAACATCACTTGGAGTTGGAGAGAAACATTGCAGATATTGCTCACAAAGCAGAAGATATCATTGACAATTTGGTAGCCGAGGAAAATGTTTTTCCGGGCAGCAGCGATCGCGAGTCATACTTTGAGTCGTTTCTTAGAGTCCAGGTAGATATGAAGTTTTTTATTGAAAAGGATCTGGAGATTCAAGTCCCGAGCAGATCAGTTCAACGTCGGCGGCTGTCTCCATATCAGAAACTACACGAATACTCTCTGCCAGATGCTTCGAAGAGACCAATTGTGGGACTTGAGATCCAACAAAATCATATTTTTGAAAGGCTTACGACAGGACAATCTTCACTTGAGGTCATTCCAATCATTGGGATGACTGGAATCGGTAAGACCACATTGGCTCAATCTATTTATGGAAGTAAGTGTGTTTCGAATCACTTTGAGATCAGAATTTGGATCACAATGTTCCAAGAATGCACTGTCCGAGATGTTCTTCTGCAGATTTTTATTTGTAAAGACACGCAGTACCATAGCAGCAGTTTACTAAGTGCGAGCCATTTGGGAGAAATCCTTTACAAATATTTATTCATTTGGAGATATCTAATTGTATTAGATGACATATGGAGTTGGGAAATTTGGAATGGCATAAGGATTTTCTTTCCAGATTCGGGAACTATGAGTCGAATCATTGTAACAAGTAGGCTGTCCAATGTGGAAACTTATTTCGGCTTTGCAGGCATTCAGATGAGCTTCCTCGACAGAGTTAAAAGTTGGGAATTGCTTTGTGAAACTATATTTGGAACAGAGGGTTGTCCTAATGAACTTGAGAATGTAGGAAAGGTGATTGCATGTAATTGTAAAGGGCTTCCTCTCTCGATCCTTCTCATTGGGAAACTTCTAAAAAAATCGCGTTCGAATAAAGAGTGTTGGGAGGATGTGGCAAGAGACATGGCCTCATTTTCGAATTTGGAGGCGGAAGAAGGTTATCGCAAAATCTTATTGTTGTGCTACAAATCCTTGCCAGAACATTTAAGACGATGCTTACTTTTAATGCTCCATTTTCCTGAAAGAGATGGAATTTATGTCTTTCGACTCATAGGTCATTGGGTTGCTCAGGATTTTGTAGAATCATATGACAATAACAAAAGTTTGAAAGAGGTTGGTCGCGAATATTTAGAGGATCTTGTTGAGAGGAATCTCATTATGATGGTCTATGAGTCGGGATTAACCAGAAAAATGACAAAATGCTATCTCCGTGATTCTACACGAGACATGCTTAAGGTATGCTCTAGAAGAGAGAAGCTCTTTGAGGAATCACTACATTCCGCAAGACTTCCCTAACGAGAGCATCCCTTTGTTTCTCATGAAAGGCATCTTCGTCTCAATTAGAATTTGATGATGTCTTACATCCATTATGGCGTCCCACCCACAGTTTGAGCATACATTGCTGCGCGTAGCGGATGCTGTTGTAATAAGTTCTTTAGAAGATATGTTTATACATGTCAATCTTCGGTACTTGATGATGTTGTTGGACCTCAGTGTGCAGATTTCCTTCCATGTTATCCAACTCTGGAGTTTACAGACTTTAATTTGCCGCAACACTTGTCTGGTTTCATCTCTGATCGAAGTTTCGAATATGAAATACCTAAGACATGTGGGCATTCAATGAGATTCATCTTCCAAAACTTGCATGATCTGGAACACCTGAAGAATTCTATGAAAGTAGTCAATTTTATTTTTTTTTCTTTTTTTATGTATATGTACAATGTTGATTGCTGCTACTTTCTATGGCGTGTTTCTTTTTATTCTCCGAGGTTTGAAATGTTTGATATGATGTTTTCATAATGTGCAAGTCATATTAATTCTCTTTATTCTAAGTCATTATCTTTTATCAAAAATAAAAACACTACTGAATCCATACGACAAATATCATCTTGTGTCTGTGCATATATATTTCTGATGTCTTCCCTTTGAACTGAATCGTAAACCATCTCTCCATTCTTGAAATCAAAGAAATCATTTCTCTGTTTCTTCTGAATGAGATGAGTGTAAACAGAGTGGAGTTGCCCAAAGCGATCAAACTCAAAATTCGTACCGTCGACATTTACGGCAGCAATGATCCCCGGGAGCTCTTCGTCGGAGTTCCAGAAGATCAAGAAATATACGTACTAGCAAAACTCCATTCTTGCCCCCAAAGCGACTACAGGAACTGGAAAGAGTTTCATAGGATTATCATCATCCACGACGATAGAGATCAAGAAATCGGATCAAGAAGATGCATGTGCTTCGAAAGGGCAGAGATTGGATGTTCTCAAATTAGTTTTAAGAATATATTCTTGATGAGAGACTACAGAATTGCAGACATGTTCCTCCCCTTCTGTGTCAAAGAAGATTACAAAAATCATGTGCTTTGTGTATTCTATAAAAACAATGGCTCATACAAGATTACCGATCCTCTGACTAGGAGCCGTGTCAATGTTCAGAGCTACTTCGATCTAATTATGCAAGAAAATACACAAATGATATCGAATGTGGGAATCATTCTGTGTCTTTTGAATAAGGTGAGTAGACGTCGAGTGCAGTTGCCGAACAAGATCAATCCCATCATTCCTACAATTGATGTTTTCGGTGCCCGAGAGCCTTGGGAGATCTTCCACCACTACAAAGATGATCAACAAATTTATTTCCGCAAATGTGGTAATGGTGGGAACTGGCAAAGTTGCGAAGGAATTGAGACTATCAGAAAAATGCCGGAAAGGGTAATAATAGGGAGTGTTCGGAAATTCAGATATGCAAACAAACGTGCGGAAACTTTCGACGGAAAAAGATATGTCATGAGAGAATATTCCTTAGCCGGAATATTTGATGTTTGTGTCCGACAAGATTGCAAAGATTATGTGTTCTGTACGGTGGTTAAAGCCACAACTTCAGCCCGATTCAGCTTTCATGTACCTCCGGAAAGTCGAATGGATCTTGATGGCTATTTCGACAAGTTTCTGATACCAGATACTAATGATGCAGAAGATGCCGATTCGGAAATAGGACATTATTTCAATGATGATCCAGATCTGTATAAATGATTGAGGTGCAAAATCTGTAGAAAGGAATACCAAGTTTGAATACCAATGTTTTTTGTGTGCTTGATCATCATTTGGAAGTTGCTTTCTGTGAAAATCTAATAGAAATGTTCATTCTCTAAAAGATCTATCAAAATTGTGACGTCTAAGTTCTACTCGATCATCTTAAACAAGTACGAAGAAGAAAAAGAAATAGAAGAAAAATAGGCTATCGACGACAAATGACTCAAATTAAAGTTGATAAGAAATATGGCTCGATGATTGTTCGACACATCTTAGCACCTTACTCATTTATTCACCTCTCACTATCTACAACAGGAGCAAAAAAACAAAACAACATTTTCTTCTATATATCTCTATATATGTATGTACAGCTTCTTCTAGAGTTCGATCGAAAGGAAACAATTTGCTAAACAATATGGTGAAGGGGAAAGGTAGGTACGGCGAATACATACATATATATATACATTCGGGTGTTGTAGGCGTTTTCAAGTTGAGTCGTGGTTGCAGAGGTTGTAGCCGGATATAAGTGAGCTCGATGCGAAGGCTATGAATGCAAGGAATGACATGGCGATTGACGCGCTGGCCATCAATGTGAACTCGTCTCCGCCCCAGTTAGAGACCCAGTCGTCCACCCTCGTTGCAGCCGACGACGATGCGGACATCAGAAGATATGCCAGTATCTGGGACAGAACCAAGTCACAGTTTTTAGCATAACTTGTGGGAATACAAGAAACACAAATCCAGAATTTAAAGAATGTTGTATCGAATCGAAATTAATGTCATGAAAACTAAAGCAGATGTCGTGAAAAATACTACTTGCCTGATCCATTGCAAAATCGAAATGGAAGCGCAGAGGATGGGCAAAGATATGCCGCCCTGTGCGCAAGTGTTTTGCGAGATCAAAGGCTTGGAAAGCAGCGTACACAAATCCAATTACGTTTATTGACAGGCAATATCTGTGGAACATCACAAAATACGCGCACGATTGTCAACAAAATATACTTCGGAAGTCGTCGATGCAAGATACATTGAACAGGGTAAAACCCAAATCCTCAAAACTCATAACTACGCAGCCCAACAATCGCAAAAGTTTATATCTCCATAATCTAATTGATAAATTCTTGGAATAGAATAACTACGATTTCGACGTTCTTGTACCATAATGCAGAATCTAAACTAACAATCAACAATTTGCTACAAAAACACATTGAAGATCAAAAAACAGACATTATCAAGGAAAATTCAATTCGATTATCATTGATGCTCATAATTCGAAGAAGAATCAGTTACCGATACTCCTTGTATCGATCGAAAGAGTCGCCACTCCAACCCTGAGTCTTGTCAGCAGCCATAACTGAGAATGAAATCAAACAAGCAACAACTTCAAACAATCTAAGCGCCATGGCTGCCTTCTTCACAACCATATTCATCTCCGACCTCTTCAGAATCGACGCCACCGCCGCCCTCGACTGAGTATCTCCACCCACCTCATCCTCATACCCTCTTCTACCTCTACCTCTACCTCTACCTCTACGTCCTTCCTCCAATCCGCCGCCGTCGTCGCCTAATGGTCCGATCTTCTTCATCCCTGCAGGTGGTTCCTCCCTCACCATCTTGTTAACCCCTAAAACAACCGGAGACGGAGCCTTGGGCGGCGTATCAACATTCTCCGGCACCCGCTTCTCCGCCGGAGAGTACTGATCCGTCCGACCGCCATTCCCGACTTCCAACGGAGGATCTTCCCGCAAATCTATATGCTCCGATGCGTGCTTCTCCGAGTGAGGCCACGGCCGCATCCCTTTCCGTCCAATTGCCTCAGAACTCGCCGGAACCGGAGAGTTGTACTTATCGACAAGAACAAGAGACTTCCCGCTGTTAACACCAGAGTCGTCTTTCTCCGGACGAAAAGAGGGATCGTCGGAGCGAAGCGGCGACTCCGATCGGAGCGGCGAGTGCCACGAATCGACCTGACTGGTCGTCGATTCGGTGTCCGACAACGATATGTGGCTGTTGCTGCTCCTCCCCAGACTCTTCTTGCTATGATCACTAGGGTCCGCGTTCTCCATCCCCAATTTCCAAAAACCCTAAAAATCAACCCCAAATTCAAATCCCTAACTCTACAAATCCCCAATTCGCACCTAAAACCCAATCAATTACCAAATATGAACCAACCCGGTAGCAAAATCCAATCAGAGCGTAAAGATAGGAGAAGAAAGCGATTAAAATAGGAGAAGGAAACGCCACACCAAGGCATTGAAGGCTGTCCCCGCAAGTTCTTTATTCCACAAGGTCAAGACCATTACAAGCTACCGTGGACATCCTCCGGATCATCGCCACGTGTCCAACGGGGGGAGAATTGTACGGCTGTGATTTTCGGCGGGGGGACGAATAAAAGAATGGACACGACGACAGAGACGACAGTATGCTTCCCCTGGATTCTCTGCAAATGCTCCGGCGACAGTCCGACAGTATGAATTCCTTACGTGTGAGTGATGACTGACACCCAAAACGACGCCGTATTAACTTCGAGCTAGTATTATTAACTTTAGGTTGAATCGGATAAAATTCACTCGTAATTTTATGAAATTTTTAAAATTGCGTCAACAGAGTTTACCCCTCGACATATATTTGATCGTGATTAAATTTTAAAATTTTAATTTCTAAATTTTTAAAATTATAAATATATTTATTTTTTATATTTAGCCGGAAAAAAATAATAAAAATAACCTAAATCCGAGAAAAATAATTATTTTTTTAGTATATTTACTATATTTTAGCCTAAATATAAAAAAAATTGAGTATATTTGTAATTGTAAGGATTTAAAAATTGATATTCTAAAATTTATTCCCAATTTGAATGCATTTAGTTAAATACAGTTAAATAAGGATTGCCGTTTAGAGGCATTTAGTCAAATACCGTAAAATAAAGACTGTCAATGGAGTTAGACGCAGAGTTTATAAAATTACGATGAAATTTAAAGCAGTTTTAGAAATATAAAAAATTTGATGGCAATTTCATAAAATCACTTGTAAATTTAATGCAGTTTAATTTTAATTTTATACTACGAGTTTCAGTGATACATACAGGAATCAGATCCGATCCAGGTGTCGGAGAAACAAAGCATTAAATTCCTTCCTACTTGGAGAGAGAAGAGATAATTGAATTATGCTCCGGAGTCACTTTCAGACAACTCAAGGTATAATTAGATTTTAGCACAGCCATGAATTAGTAAAAAAGAATTCGTCCAATGGTGGGGGCCCTTTTGGACAGTGGATCGGCTGAAGAAGAACGAATAGTGAAAGTGGAAGAATCAGATTTTGTGTCTTATGTATGTGTGATTACTTTATTACATGTTTTCTCTGGATTCCTCATCAGTTCTTTCTTGGGTATTTTAATTAAAATTCATGATCTGTTTATATAAATATTTTTTTGAATTATTAAAATTATTTATTATCATTAGTAATATTTTTAAAAATATTTTCAACAAAATGTAATAATAGTTCAAATATAATATTTGAAGCATCAAATAGAATTTGAATTTAACATTTTAATAATAATATTTCATCAATCTGCTGATAAAGTAAATATATTTTTCATGCGGTTTAGTTGAATCAAAATGTCTATTTGCTTATTTGTCGGACTTATTTTGCAAAATATTAAGTTCGATCGGAAGTTTAACCGATTCGCACTTTATACCTTTTTCCTATCAAAATTATGTTATTATTATTTTGGTAGACATAATCTATTTATAATAAATCATTTTATTTATTTATAATTTTATTATTTTTATTTTAATAAAATAATAATCAAGTTATCATTATATCTTCTACTTTTTATCATTCATTCAATCAAATTTTAATCTTTGTTGCCAATCAAACTTGCAGAGTATATTTCAAAAAGAATAACGTCGGATTTGTACGTTCGTATCCAACAGAACAGCATCGTTAGTTCTCGTACAGATGAACAATACGTTCTTGTGAACAACATTAGACTGGTCGTATTTCTTACAAAACAGGAACCCGAAAACTTAGCAACGTTTTACCATACAAGATCAAAACTATTTTCTTGGATCAAAGGTAAGGTTGTCACGGATGTTGAGACGGTGCAGGCTCTTCGACCACAACTTGAACAGGCTCGGCATCGTCGTCGGGGCTTCGATTCACAGCCGTCAAAACTTGACCCGAAGATGTATCAGCGCCGGTGGTTTCGCCGCCAGACCCGCCGCTCCACGTGTGGACCGGTCGGAGCAGTCCCTGTAATCTCAATAAATAGCTCTGACTGGGAGACTGGTGTCTCACGTATCCCGTCGACATGACGAGCCTCTCGGAATCGACGGGGATATTCGATAAGGCGCTCAGGTCGAGATTCGGGAAGACAGAGCTCCGGCATCGAGGGCATTTCACATTTAGTCGAAGCCACTCGTCGATGCACTCCACGTGAAAATTGTGGGCGCAAGGCAGACCACGGACCTGCACAATGTATCGATTGAAAATTATTTTTGTTGTGACGGATTATGATTAATGATCGAATAACAAACAGAAACGTAAAAAAGATACAGACTTACGTGGTTCATATTTCTAAGTCTATTCAAATAAACTAAAAGAACATATCAGACGACTCAGCTCAAACCAACTCCACAGCCCAATTCTGCATACCGTCGGGCCGGGGGCCAGTCCGCAACCATGGGCCCCCTTTTGACCCCCCAACTCACTGACCGGGCAGCGAAACCCCGTAAAAAACTCAGCTAAATGACAAACTAGATTCAAGGCATATCAACAATTTCTCAACTATTTTTTTAAACTAAAAAAAAAAACATGCGCAGCTTTACCTCGTTTCCGATGTAAAACTCTTCCAAACATATGGGACACTCGCTGCAGTCGGTAGGAACAGCCTTCATCGTGAATTTCGGAAGTTCCTGAATAAGCGCCTCCACGGCCTCCCTCTGAATTAAATCACGCAATAGAACAACATTTTACATTGATTTCATTGCAAAATAAAGTCCGGAAATTGAATAAAACGAGGGCTCAAACTAAAGCTCGGAGTTGCAAGATCGCGCAGACAGTTGCTTGTTACCTGAGCCGTCGTCAAGTAAAGTCCCGGTTGGTATGCAGCAGCTGCATCAGTGGCCATCCCTCTCAATTCTTGCCGAGCCGCTTCAAAGGTCCAATCTGGCACTCTAATCATGTCAACCAAGACCTAAACAAGTAATATTTCGACTTCCATAAGTATATTCTCATTGTCTACAAAAAAATGTGCTCGTTTTACCATTTTAATTTATCAACCAAAAGTGTGCATATTTAAGTAAAAAAGTTCAATCCTTCTTTAACTACATACTATTTCCATTTTTATTTCCATCGTTGCCACTGAACCCGCATAGCATTTCTTACACCTGACTACTTTAATCCAAAAATTATATTACTAATCGTCTAAATACAATTTTACCCCTTCAAAAAAAGTACAAGACACTATTTTTCTTAACTTTTTTGCCCAAAAAGTTTGATCACACTTCTAAGAGACCGGAAGAATATGAAGTTTGTGAATCAAAAGAAAACCACAACAAAGAAATGCAGACATTGGTTATTTATAATGACCGTTGTGAACAATTCATTTTAAGATAAACCGAATCAAAGGGACGAAGACTACAACAAGATTTTGGAAAATCCCGAGTAAAAGGTCACCTAATTTTTCTATGGCTCCAGAGTAGATTCATATAGATCATCAAAAGAAAATATTGGATAAAAATCGAAATCTTTTGACAAATACACTGCCTAGAGCTTACTCCGAATTCCGATAGAGGGATTCCTTGTTGGGCGCGGTATTGATGCGCCTGTCTTCTCGCTAACCACTGAAACAAAGATGTAAAAAGTGTTAAGATCCGGAAGCCTCATTACAAAGCATAATGTCTGTCAAACAAACATACAAATCGAAGAGATAGCTAACCCTTCCAATACAGATACCGGCGATACATGTAAGCCCACAATAGCTAAAAAGCAGCCAAATAAGAAAACCCCACTTCTGGCCGTCCTCAGGCAGCTGAAAAATGAGTCGAGACATGACATCCATTCCTTTCATCAGTATCTGATGATGTAGTTTCTTGCGGTCAAAGAAGAAAAGAAAAAGGAAAGAAACTAACACAATCTCTTGCAGCTGTGAACCACAGGCTACCGATTATAGTCCAAGCCCAAAGAAACGGATAAAGTAAAAAAACAATGATCGATAGCACAACAGTCCTCCCACAAAAACGAGCATATCTTTGCTCCGAACCAAGATCCCTGAGGCAATACAAAATTACGAGAACACAATAACACCATTGAATAAAGTAAAGCGAATCGAAAACTTGCACAATCAGCAGAAACTAACTTTGCAAGTGGAAAAAACATAAATATGCATACAAAAGAAAGGGAGTTTCTTACAATCCCATTCCGGAAGCTAATCCATTATCCACAAACATCAACAGCCGGAAAATAAACACCGTAGAGTAGTCGACCTATTGTAATTAAAAAAAACAAACAATGGAGCTAATTAAGCATCTCAAGATCACATCCAGATTACATAAAGTACTAAATTTTACTTTTGCCATTCTTTTTTTCCAAAGGGGCAAAGGTTTCTTACCACAATCCATATGTGTAAGGGATGAGCACATAAATGATATTTTTTCCAATTGACTGCCACAATAATTCTAACCAAAAGTAGTTAAAGAAACAATCGAAAGTTCATCCCAGCAACAAAAAAATTAGATACCCACTGAAGATCGAAATAACAGGGAAATGAAAATATGCAATAAAAGGTTGAATCTTCACTTGTTAAGAATCTGCCATTGAAAGGATACATACTTGTCGCAAGCATAGACAAGAAGAACCCATCGTACCTGTAAGAACCCGAATCTCCAAAATCATTCCCAAACAATCAAAACTATGTGATCGAACAAAATTAGGGTTCATTTATTTTCTTAACCCCCAAACGAACTTCAAATCAAGAAAAAATTAAGACACTGACCACTTGAAATCAACCCCTTTGATCGCCATTCAAATCTTCAGCTGTAAAAGCAAGCTGCTTCGATTCTCATCCATAAAAATCCACAAATTGGGGGCACCCCAAGTAGGAAAGCATTAATAAAATAGGGAAGTGCACACAGAAAGAACAGTGTTGAAAACAGAGATTCGCCCAGATCGAAGTAAAGAGGAACAGAGGTAAGGATGGTGGTGCGTTTCGATTGAAGGGATGGAGTGAGTTAATAAGAAAAAGGAAAGAGTTGGGGGCGTGATAATGAAGCTGGGGGGAGGGGGAGGGGGAGGGGAGGGGCAGATGCGCTTGCCTACTTTTGGTAGAACATCTGGTTTGAATTCTCAACTGTTGGAATTAATAAAATTAAATCTACTTCAATGGTATCGATCAAAATTGGTTGAGAAATATATCTACTATCCTCGTTTGGTTTGAAGGCCTAGGGTACCGAACAACTATAGGGAAAATCAGCACCCACTTAACTCATTACAACACATTTGCATTGAATTAATACTTTTTTTCTGCCTAGTTTACATATATGATTCTGGTATTTTGATTGATGTTTGCCGGTAGTCCCACATTATCAAGCTGATTGAGTTTGTGAATGCGGGATCAAAGTCAAAGAAAGGTTCAAATGTGAATTACTCTTTATTATTTCTCAAAGCTTATATTTGGCATGATTGATTCCTCCACATGTAGAATGAAATTAGTTGTAACAAAAAAAAATGTAGGTACATGTCAAAAAACAAAATTCTTGGGTAGGAAATCTTAGTTTGTTAAATCATCTTCTTGATGGATTTTTTGGGTGATTATTAAGAGTGAAAAACAGCTAGGTACATGTGAGAGGATGTGTTCAATAAATAAAGAGAGAACCTAGGTGTGATTAGATTAGCATCTCTTGAGAGATGATTGATACAACTTACTTGTAAGTTTAGATTGTTTTTGAATAAGTGAAATCATGTCTAAATTGAAATTCTCCAGATGTAGGTATCGTGCGATCGAATTGGATTATCAATTTCGTGTGTTTTATTTTTAAGTTTGCAGAATGTACGTGCGTTGTTTGATCGTTGCATGAACTATTTCTGATTGAATTTGTCTGTGCAAATTTGTTTGTTCTTGCGTTCAAGCTAGTTGATCATCGCTGTTGTTATTTGTTTGTTGTTTGATTTGTTTTTTGAGCAAATTTGGAGCCAACATCTTTTAACAAATTTATAAGAATGTGTGTAACAAAATTTTAATACTATTCAATGTTAAAATAAATTTAATATTCGATACAAACTATGCAAGAATCAAACAAAGCATATCGAACAATAACTATGAACACATAACTTTCTAGAAAATTGGGCATTTTATTACAACATTGAAAAAAAAAAAAAAAAACTCTACCAAACTCTTTATTATGATCAATAATTACACTACAATTTTCATGAATCAAGAAACAAAAAAATGATAATCATTCAAATAGAAGATCTTATACCAAAACATGGACTTCATTTTACAAAAAATATTTCAAATTTCAAATTTAGGAGGTAAAACTCGAAGATTGTTCTTCGTGTTCTTTAATAGAGCTTATCATTGTAGCTACTTCTCTCATTTTCAATGATCCATTGACACATGTTAGCCCAACTTGCAACAAATTCAACATTCTCTCCTCACTCGCACCTCCCGGCACGAGCACCTTGTCGAACACTTCCACGGTCCACTCCTCCATTATCGCCGACTTCACCGACCTGGCTAGCTCTATCCCGTTGCTCTCAACTACTTTGCCCGTTAAGAGCTCGAGTACAAGGATTCCAAAGTTTAAGACATCCTTCCTAAAGGGATTATTGTCTAAAATTGATTGGTCATGACATTCGGCCTCAGCTAGACCATACTCGCTTATTAGAGGCTCCATCGTGCTACTAAATAGAATGTTCGAGGATTTTAGGTTCCCATGTGCAATCCCGGCATCTTTCAAGCCATCGTGCATGAAGGCTAAAGCCGTGGAGATCTTGGCCGCAATGTTTAGCCGGCTTCCCCAATCGAAGGATTCGCCGTTATGAGATCCTATGGATCGAAAGAAATAAGTGTGAAGTAATACAATAATTTCCTTTTTTTAAAAAAAAAAATGTTGCGGTCGTTTTTAAAATAAAACTAACCTTGAAGGAGCTTCGCGAGGCTACTGTTCTCTTGGAACTCGTAGATCACGAGTTTCTCGTGCCGTGAGCAGTAAAATGCGATGACGGGCAACACATTCGGATGCCTAACTCGATCGATCTTCTCAATCCTTGTCTTGAAATCATCTTTCGAGATGTCCCAATCCCGTCTTCTCTTCACGACTAGAGGCACCCGGTCGTTGAGCATGACCTTGTAGAGCGTCCCATGTCGATTACGCCCCAACAACTCGGCTGGCGACTGCAGCAGCTCCTCGAACTTCAGCCCGTTGCCAAACACCGGAGTTGAAAGCACTATGAGCGAATTCGAACCTCTTACACTTTCCTCGGTCGATGTAATAGAAAACTCCGATCTATTGCCCTTCGACCCACTCGATGTGGTACTCATCTTGTCCCGAGATCGATCCGTGTGAACTCCATCCTTCGCCCCGACTTTGTTCCCGCTAGCCTTACGATTCTTAATCAATTTGACGATGATCAAAACGACTATGATCAAGCCAATCAACGCGTACCCGGAGTATATAAAATAGTCCTTCGACCGAGATTTCCCTTTAGGCGGAGGCGGCGAAGGAGGACAAATGTTCGACAATGGGACGCCACACAATCCTAAATTCCCCGAAAAGCTCGATTCGTTAAACGACCCTACATCGTCGGGGATTCTCCCGATCAGATTGTTGTTCGAAACATTGAACTCTTCCATGTTAGAGAAGTCGACGCTTGGGACACCTCCGGTGAGGCGATTATTCTCGGCTAAGAAAGACAACAACCCGGAGATCCTAGCGATGTTCGGGATGTCCCCCGAGAAGTCATTGTCCGAAACGACGATCCTCTTCAGATTGCCCATCCTCGAAAGGGATCCAGGCAGGCTGCCCGACAGCCGGTTCCGGTGAAGATAAATATGCGTCAGCCGGCTGCAATTCGACATCTCTTCGGGCAGCCCACCCGCGATGTCGTTCTCATTGACGCTAAAAACCACGAGACCTTTCGCGACGCACAACGAGGCGGCGTCGATCTTCCCTGTCAGGTTTAGCCCCTCGAGGACGATCTTTTTTACCGTTTTCGAGTCGCTATAGCACGTGACCCCTGTCCATGCATTGAAACAGGGGTCCGAGCTGGAATTCCACCCCCAATTTACGCCTCTAATTCGATTATCTCCCGGCGACAGCTTCGCCATGAACTGCACAAGCGCATCCCTTACTTCCGGCGACTCTCCGGTGGCGGCGACGGATGCCGCTAGGAGCAGCACGGCTGTCAGGATCATCGACGCCGGCATGATTTTCGTCGATCGAAGCAATGGTTTTTTTCTGAAATGGTGGATTATAAGAGGGTTCAGGAAGAAGGTAAGGGAAGGAGATGGATGCCGAATGGCGAAGTGTTAGGAAGAGAGGATACAGCAAGAATGGGACAAGAGGTATAGGCGTCAGAGAAAAGGACAAGAATGAATGTTGTAGCAAAGTCGCCGGTGATTATATATGTATAAGTGCCGGCCGGCGGCGGTGGGGGAAGGGTCGCTGTCAGAGAAAGGGAGCATGGATCGATCTCAGTTGGCTTCAGCTGAGAATTTTATTTTGATTTTTATTTTTTATGTTTGATTGCATTCCAACCATATGAATCGGACCAAGTCAGTTTCTCTTACGAGCCAAAAACAATTTTAAAATACAAACAATCACACCCTTAAAGAGTTATAACAATGGAACATCGTTAAAACAAAAAAAACAAAAAAAAAAAAAAAAAAAAAAAAAAAAAAAAAGAGTTCTTTTTTCGTTCTTACATAAAGCGATTATATTTTCTTTGTCAATTCTACATAGTTTATCCTTTTTTATAATATTATTTTATATTTATCATTTTTTTAATCTCAATAATTTATAATTATTTTTTATATAATAATTATTTTTACTAATAAATTTACTAATTATACTTTAACTAAAATCTCTGTCTACCTTACATTTTATTTGGGATGGAGAGAATATATAATTTGAATTTATTTAAAGATATATATATATAATGAAATAAAATTTAATTTAGATTTTAGAAATAACCTTTTAAAAATAAGATGTGTTTTGTGGGAAAAATATTTCCCTATATATATAACTCGAAATGGAGATAAAATAATACAATCAAACATTGGCCTTAATTAATTATTAATTTTTGTGTGACAAAATCTAACATCAAGAAATTCAATATATTACAAAATCCTAGAAGAGTGGCTGAGGTTGACGCAATTAATGTTCCAAGTAAAAATTGTTAACTCTTATTTCCCAAACAAAATTATTTGTTAATTTTCCCCAATCAAAACTAGGGTTCTTACGTTTAATGACATTCCTCTCGATAAATCTCCCAACACACACAAGAAATTTCTCAACATTGATCAGCCAAATTATAAACTCTAATCTGCTTTTCACAATGAAGCTGACAACAATTTTTCGTCTTTTATTGTCTGTCTCAATCATTGTGATGTCTGAAAGCAGATCAAATTTGCCATTTTCGAACCCAAAATTTGATCCATGCAACAAAACCCTAAATTCAGGAACTTTTCACGACAATGGCCAATTAAGTTGGGAGCCTTCATGGCTGTCTGATAAGGACAAGGTTCTGTTGCAGAATTCGAAGCAGAAGTTAAAACCCGATGTTGTCGTAGCATCGGATGGCTCGGGCCGCTACAAAACCATTGGTGAAGCTGTCCGAGTTGCGCCTAGTCGGAGTAATAAGAGGTTTGTTATATACGTGAAAAAAGGAATCTATCGCGAAAATGTGAACGTCGAGGATGACAAATGGAATGTAATGATTTATGGCGATGGAATTGGAAAAACAATTGTTTCTAACAATCTTTCCATTGGTGACCGGCTAAGTACGGCTAAGACATCTACATTCGGTAAATGAATCGATCTTCTTATGACTATGTTTTATTATCGTGCTCTTGCGCGTGCATATATCCGTCGTTCTAAATATTTTTTTGAATAAATTAAAACACTCTTAGTATACTCTCTTAGTGAACTAATTAAGTAGAAGTTTTAACGTAATTTGGAGCATTAAATAATTTTAAAAATGGTAAAAAATTAAGTATTTAAAATAAATATTTTATAAAAAAAAATATATATTCGATGCAAATATATTGTTAATAAATATTGCGGAAAATATATTGTTAATAGTATTACTTTGTTTTGAAATTTGATTTTGCGGTTTGGTTCTAGTTTGAATAGTTGTTTAAATATACTATTCTAGTCATAATTCAAAGTATTTTTTTACTATTTTTAGTTGTCATATTCAAAAGTATCATAACATAATATATATACAATAATTTATAAAAAAATCGAATGACAAAAATATCAAAATGTCTTGCACTATCTCATTCACCAATAAAATATTATTAATTTTCGATTTGCTATAAAATCTCAAATGGCCCCTTTCAAAATGAACGGAGAGAGTAATATTTTTTGCAAAAATTATAATATACTTTTATGAAGAATGACAGGAATTGAATAGTATTTTTTTTTTTCGGAGAATAATAACAAAAATATTAAACTACTCTTATTTCATTTCAGATGGAAAACTTACTAATAAGAAATAAATTTCGATTGAGTAAAATACTTACCTTATGAATTAAATTAAAAAATTCTTTAGCAATAATGTCATACATATATATATATATATATATATATGATCATACATGCAGCTGCCTTCGGCAAAGGATTTATTGCAATGGACATGGAGTTCCAGAACACGGCGGGGCCGACCAAGGGTCAGGCGGTGGCGCTGCAGTCCTCTTCCGACCAATCCGTGTTCTTCCGCTGCCGGATAGCCGGATACCAAGATACTCTCTACACAAGGTACGGCCGTCAATTCTACCGCGAATGTCAAATCCTTGGAACAATAGATTTCATCTTCGGGACAGCAGCCGCCATCATTCAAAATAGCGCGATACTAGTCCGGCGGCCAAACCCTCAAAAAGTTACTATAATCACCGCTCAGGGCAAAGAAACGCCGCAAACCAATAGTGGTTTATCCATACAAAATTGCACCATTGACGCCGCTGAAAATCTTAAAGGGATTAAAACATATTTGGGCCGGCCGTGGAAGGACCACTCGACCACGGTGATCATGGGGAGCCGATTGGGGAGTCTTATAGATCCCGAGGGATGGCTGCCGTGGAATGGGCAGCCACCCCCCGATACGGTATTATATATTGAGTATAATAATAGAGGCCCCGGGGCTAATATTGCGAGGAGGGTTAAATGGAAAGGAGTGAAGGTTGTGAATACAAAGGATGCCGCGGATAAATTCACGGTTAAAAACTTTATTGACGGCGGCCGGTGGCTTCCTTTAACCACTGTGCCGTTTTATGGAGGTCTGTAAGTTTCTTATAATTTCGAAATCGCTTAATGAAAAAATATATAAACTCTTTTAACTTATGGTTTTGTTTTGTTTTTGGATTATTTATCAATTTTTTTTTTCACCTAAAAAATATTACATTCGAATTGCAGTTTCTCGTTATTAGAGTTACGAAATTCAGAGCAAAAAGGGTGTTTTCCTAATTAGGTTTTGGTTTTAACATTGTTTTGAACTATGTTTGTATGAATATGATATTTTGCCCATGGGATCACATGTCCCAAAAATAAACCCTATCCTCCTATCTCTACATACATAGTGTGTATATATACACACGTGTGTATGTATAAAGTAATATTTTATACATACACACGTATGTATGTATAAAGTTATATTTTATGCATACACACGTATGTATATATATATACAATGTTTATATAGGACAGCAGGACAGGATTTTGTCTGGACAGACGATCCCGTCCCGATATTTTGTGAAATATGCATGATAATTTTTAAATGAAATGATGATATTGCATGATATAAAATTGAAATAAAAATATTCCATCTAAATGAATAGGGTGATAAAAATTTTCAAAATATGTTTCTTGTCAAGATATATATATATATATATATACTCACGAGACGAGCTAACTTGATTTAATCTCATATTTAAAAAGTAAAAATAAAAATGAATATATATGTATTTAAACATGATTTAAGGATATATTTTCTAATAATTTTTTTCCGAAATGAAACAAAATCCTAAAATAATTGTTGGAGATTGAGGTATTATTCATGTTCCAAGGTAAAATCAAATTAATGCTATTTCCCAACAAAAATTTTATGTCTTCTTATCCCAATCAATAATTAGGGTTTTCTCATTTAATGAATTTCCACATCTCAATAAATTTCCCTAAACCTTAACAAGAAATTAATCAATGTTGTGCCCAACAATCTCGATCCCATTAGGTTTAATTTTACAATGATGAGGACGACATTATTTCATCTTATGCTATATGTCTTCATCATTGTAATGACTGAAAGCAGACAAAAATTGCCATTTTCGAACCCACAATTCAAGGAATGTAATAAAACCCTAAATTCAGGAACTTGTCACAACAATGGCCAATCAGGTCAGGAGCCTTCATGGCTGTCTGCTGAGAACAAGTTTTTGTTGCAGACGAGTTCGAAGCAGAAGTTAAAAGCCGATGCTGTCGTTGCATCTGATGGCTCGGGTCTCTATAAGACCATTGGTGAAGCTGTCCGAGCTGCGCCTAGTCGGAGTGATAAGAGGTTTGTTATATACGTAAAGGAAGGAGTCTATCTTGAAAATGTGAAAGTCGACGACGACAAATGGAATGTAATGATGTATGGCGATGGAATTGGAAAAACAATTGTTTCTAGCGATCTTTCCGTAGGTGTTCAAACAACTACCGGTGACACAGCAACATTCGGTATGTTGGAGATAGTTTTTTGAATAAAAAAATAAGTATTCGATACGATAATTTAAAATATACTCCCTCCGTCCCAGATATTTTGGACTTATTACTGTAGATACGGGAATTTAGCTAGTAGGTAATTAAGAAGTGTATTAGTAAAAATAATTAATTATTTAGTAAAAATAATAATAAATTAAGATTAAGATTACTAAATAGTTTAATTAAAATTAAAAAATTATAAAATTTAAAATATTATTAAAGTGCATAATTATATTTCTAAAAATAGAAATAACAAGTTACGTAGTTAGGACAAAAATAGAAAATAGGGACAGATTATATGGACGGAAAGGAATAAAAATGAATTGAATAATTAAAACATAAAAATAAAAATAAATACAAGTAACAAATTTTATTGAGACTGCGCATGCGCGTGAGATTTTGATTTTGATTTTATTATTTTAAAAATATATATATAATTAAATACTTAATTTCCATTTATTATATTACGTTAATATTTAAATTTACATTCAAAATATCACATTAATACATATTATTATTTATATCACGTTAAAAAATTATTTTCATCCAAAATATTATATTTAAACCAAAATTCAAAACCAACCTCACAATCAAACCTTTCACTTAAAACTAATAAAACTCCAAAATTTTTACTCATACATAATATTTTATGTGAATAAATAATTTTTAAAATCAAATTCTAAGTAAATAGAGCAACAATGAAAACTACTAATTTACCCTATTACATTTTGAAGCTGAATATCTCAATTACTAATAAATCTAAAACTTGAATAAATAGATGATTTTTCTTATAAATTGAAGATCTAATTAAGAATAATGTAACATATATATATATATGAATGTATGAACAAACATGCAGCTGTGTTCGGAAAAGGATTTATCGCAATTGACATGGAGTTCGAGAACACGGCGGGTCCCACCAGGGGGCAGGCGGTGGCCCTACTCTCCTCGTCCGACCAATCGGTGTTCTACCGTTGCCGGATCGCCGGATACCAAGATACTCTCTCCACAATGTCCGGCCGGCAATTCTACCGCGAATGCGAAATCCTCGGGACAATTGATTTTATCTTCGGAAGAGCTGCCACCGTCATTCAAAATAGCGACATACTTGTTCGCCGCCCATCAACCACTCAAAAAATTACTACAATCACCGCTCAGGGCAAGGATGTGTCGCAAACCAATAGCGGTTTGTCCATACAAAATTGCAACATTGACGCCGCAGAAAATCTTGACGGCGTCAAAATATATTTGGGCCGGCCGTGGAAGGCCTACTCGACCACCGTGATCATGGAGAGCCAATTGGGGAGTCTTATAGACCCGGCGGGATGGCTGCCGTGGGACGGGCAGCCGCCGCCGGATACATTATTATATGTTGAGTATAGTAATAGAGGGCCGGGTGCGGATACCGCAAGAAGAGTTAAATGGAAAGGAGTGAAGGTTGGGAATACCAGAGAAGATGCGGATAAATTTACTGTTACAAACTTTATCGATGGAGACCAATGGCTTCCAAATACTGGCGTGCCATTTCAAGCCAGTTTATGAATCTGGAATAAATTCGAAATAACTCAATAAGAAGAATATGTTTATTTAATAATAATAATTTTGTAAATTTTATATAAAATTTAAATTCTTGAGTTAAATTATGTTTGTTTAATATTTTTTTGTGATACACAAAAAAATACAATATGGGTGTGTTTGTTTTGGGGATTGGATTTTAAATACGCTGTTCGTCTCATTTTTTTCTCTAAAAAAATATCAAATCAAACATCTATATTTTTTTTTTTTTTTCATTGTACTAAAAATTAATTTTACATTCAAAACATCGCATCAACACTTATTTATATCACATCATACCACTATTTCAATTCAAAATTTATATTATTCAAATCTCAACTCAAAATCTAAAACCCGAGACAAACACACAATGTATCCTTGAAAAAAGTATGATCTCTATCTTCCCTCTAATTCTATCGGCCCACGATAAGTGTTGGGCTTGGATTATTTGTTCTATTTTATAGGTTTCGGCCCATTGCTTACTCAAAGGACTTGTTTGAATAATGAGAAAACATTGTATTATTAATTTATATGTTCTTCTTATATTTTTTTAGTACTAGAATTTGTATTATCGTAAAAAATAATAATTATAATAATTATTCTGATTTATTATAAAATTAATGTGATTGAATAATCCTTGAATAATAATCCGAACAAAAAGAAAACCACATTATTGTTTGTATAGACTCTTTTTGTACTCTTTCGTATCATAATCTAAACTCTCGTCACATAAAATTAATTACGTTGGTTTATTATAAAATTATTGTGATTGTATAATTAGAATATGATATATATTCACAAAAATTATTATACTCTTTTATCAAATATCTCCAAATTCTATTATTCATAAAAAAATTTTATCTTACTAAAAGTATTAAATCAAAAACTTATTTTTTATTTTTTATATTATATTAAAAATTAATTTTACATTTAAAATATCACATCAACACCACTATAAGAAAAAATCATTTTTGTAACAAAATTTTATTGTCTCTAGATCTATTTTTTTAGTTACTAATGACATTAGAGACGGAAATAGGAATGGAATTACGTTAGCTACGTGAACTTTAGGGACGGAATTCCGTTACAAATATATTATTTTTTTTAGTGATACCTACTTATATCATATGCAAACACACCTCTATATGCCATAATATTTATTGTATTTTTATCACGCAATTAATTGTGACTTCTTTTGGGAAACAATCAAACCTCTCTCTCATAATGTTTTTTTTTTATTATTATTATTTAATAAATATAATATTACTTCTATTATTTATTTATTTTTTCCTCATTCATTCGTTACATAATTTAGTCATATAAATTTTAGTTATTCATAATTTTAATCTTAATTGTTAATGCGAATATCAAATTATTAGTCATATTTGAAAGTAGCCATTTGCTATCTTCAAAATGTTTTGATCGTCCCCCCTCTTTTCATATTAAAAATATATATGTAATAATAATAATAATAATAATCAAATTAATTATGAACATTTTCAATGATGTTGCTTAACCTTTACTTGATCCATATGTCAATCCAAGTAAAAATCTTTAATCATGGAGCTTGTCTTTCTTTACATTATTTATTAATCAAGCTTTGTTTGAGAGTTGTAAAGGAAGACTTGAAAAGATTTAAAGCAAAGATTCTTAGGCTTTGTTTGTCCGTGGAGTTTGAATTTTGGATTTGAATTTTAAATTGAATTGAAATAATTATTTGATTTAATATAAATAAGCAATGATATGATAATGTGAATATAAAATCTATTTCTAATGCACTATACATAAAAATATATGGTTTATGTAATTTGATGTTCTTGCAAAAACAAAAAATCTTTTATGAATAATACTATGTAATTGACTGTTAGGTAGGTATGATTTTCTTTTCTTTTTTTAATATTTAAATTTTTTAATTAAGTTATAATATTGATATAAATATTTTACATAAAAAAATGGCCATGAATGTGATGATTTTGAAGGAAAATAAAAAAGTAGAAAAATAGAAAATAAAAATAAAATTAAAAAATAGAAAAATAGAAAATACAAATACAAATACAAATTCAAAATATGTTTTTGCATATGTTTTATTAATATAGATGTTGTTGTTTTTATAAATAATAGATAGCTATTAATTGTAATATTAATATTTTGAATAATAATATATTTTAGATATTTCTTAAACAATTTCGTTAAGATATTTTTCCTAAAACATTCAAAATATAAATAATAGAAGTACACCTTCTTATGAAGACTATACCTTGTGAAAACACCATACATAAAATATATATATATATATATATTTCATTAAAAAAAGTTTAAATTCAAAATGTTGAAACATCAATAATACAAATTAGCACAAGTTGTTGCCATTCTTCTATTTGTGGTCCACATGAAGATAGCAAAAGGCCAAAAAATGAATGTTGGCATCACAAACATTATGGGATATGAACATTCCTTTGGGATAAATCATAAATCTATTCCATGTGGGTATCGACAAGAAAATATAATGTGCAACAAACAAACAAACACCATTATTTATTTATCTTTACGATGATTATTATTATTATTACAACATAGGAATCATGAAATCTATTTCATAACAAAATGGGACAGCAACTTAAGCCATTTACAATCTATAAGAAAGCTACAAAATTCCCTAATTGACAAATATTTTCAACATTAGCCGAAATGCACAGTTTTTTTCAATTAAATATATCAACAGATATTCGTATATATTTAGGGAATTCATTATAAAGTACAGGATCAAAGATTTTCTCCAAAGATAAATATAAGAATTTTGTGCCACATTTTGTTTGGCAAGAAAAAAACAACAATGAAAAAAGAGTTTTACATAATTTTTTTAATAAGATACGAGCTTGTACTAATTAAATGATAATTGAATTAAATAGATCTTATTTTTTAGTACACAAGACTCTAAATATTTTACATACGTGTTATTTTGGAAAATAAATTAATGGGAAAATAGTGATAAAAAAAAATGGCTAGTTTATTCTAAATGCTTAGATAAAATTATATTATTTTTATTGTTAAATATTCAACAAAAATAACAGTAAGTGTTTGTTGGCAAATAATAGATTTAAATGTTAAAATCATCTAGATAAAAGACTTAAAACATATAAACTGATCAATACGCCAATAATAACAAATATTAAGAGATAAAAACTAAATTTACTTTAAAGACAGAAAGTTTGAAAATCAAACATGACATTGGAATGTACCAAAACAATGATCTGATTCTTTATTATTACCAAAACATTAGAATGTACCAAAAATCTAAAATCTTATTTTGATTCTTTATTACTACCTAATGAGAATCGCTCCAAGTACTTATTTTTTAAAAAAAAAATAAAAATATAACAGAGGTAATAATTCACACTATATCAATACCAAACAAAAATCATATCAATACCGTACAAAAATTCTATAATCCAGTAGAGTAGAACAAGGAGGTGAAGGAATATCATCGTCATCTTCTTACTGAATCAATCATCTCTATAAAGCCAAGTAAATTCATTTTCATTCACAAACTTTTTCCAATACCTATCAACGTCAATACAATGATCAACAATAATACCAAGAGCTCTAACTCTCTTTTTCTCACGACAAAATGTAGCACGATGTCTTTGTGCTTTTTTTTGCAGTAATTTTTTATATTATCTCTCATATAAAAATTCTCGAAATTTATATATATCTACGTTGAGAAATTCAACGGAGAATGTATCTTCCATCTTGAAATTTATATTGTACCACATGGAGCTGTTGGTGATTGTAACGTTGTCAATTTAGATTTATTTTGTTAATTAAGTTTTTGGAGTTTCACAATATTCTATTTTTATTTTTTTTATTTTTTTTTTTTTTTGCGATTTCTCTATTTTGTTCGATATTTTGAGAGAAACTCATTTGGGTATTTGTAGATTCGAGACATAGCTTAAACATAAAAGGAGTATTATATATACTTAATTTATTTATGTAGAAAAACATACATTTTGTAAAACTTTTGAGAATTTTTACCCAAATTTTACTATTTACTAAATATTTTTCAAGAAGTGAAAATAATAATAAAAATAATAATAATAACAATTAATAAATTTACATAAAGGATCTTTAGATTTTTCAAATAAGAATATAAATAATTCTACGAGTTTGAACGAATGAAATGATTAATGTATTTTCACATTCTAAATGTACTAAAATTTTAAATAGTAAAAATATTGTTAATAGTAATATTATCAATTTAAATAATAATAATAATACGCCAAATGAAATAAGATTAGAGATTGATAATAGTGTTAATTCTTACTTGGATATTTATGATGTTAGAACTTAGAATAATTTTGATAATATAAAAAAATATTTTAATTGAAAATGAACTTAGAAAAGAAGTAAGTTTTACTTTTTTATTATACAAGACTTTTAGACATTTTTCATATGACTTTAATTATGCGTTGTATAGATATGTCAAGTTGCAAAATTAAAATTGAAGAATATTTTTTACATTGTTTGCAAGTAAAAGATACATATAGTACTCTCGTAGTTGGGCCGGTGCTAGGCTAACTCCCGTTGATGAGTCGGTGTGATCAGGTCATCCAACATTGAATAGTAATTAAAATCTTTTAGGATATGCGTAAGTGAGGACAGAAACGCACCGAAAGGATTCGTATTGATTTGTGGGATCAATCTACAATTCCGACACGCTTGCGGGCCGAGGTGTCACAATACAAGTGATTTTGAACTTTTTAATGAATTAAAAAATGCACTTGAATATCTTAATTTTAGTATCGATAATATAAGAGGTCAAAGTTATGATAATGAATGGAATATGAAAGGTAAAACATAAAAAAGTTTAAAAAAGATTATTTGATGTTAGTCTTAATCTTACATTTTGTAATATTACACATTCTTCTACAAAAGCAGAATAATTTCTTTTAGATTTATGCAACATATATATACATTATTTTCAAACTTAACAAAAATATGGAAATTTTTGCTCGATAATATTTACAATTTTACTTTAAAATCTTTGTCAAACAAAACTTGTTGAGAAAGTAAAATTAAAAGTGTTAAAACTATTAGATTTCAAACTTCTTAAATTATATTAGTTTTGTTAGATTTAATTAATTCATGTGACAATGCTAAATGAAAAAACAAAATTGAAAGTTTTATTGATTCACTTGAATCCTATGATATTTTACTTGATATGATATTTTATTTGTTATTAATAGTAAGTAAAAAATTACAATTTGATTTTTTTAGTATTGATAAAACAAATAAAAGATATTTTATTATTTTTTAAAAAAAAATATAAAAATGAGTTATAAACATTAAACACAAACCAAACACGTGTAAAAACTTGCCATTTTAAAATAATCTAGATCCAATGTTGAACCATAATATTTATATTTATCATATCACCTAGGAAGTTCAACAAATCTCTATTTCTTGTAATCCAAAATATAATTTTTTGTCAATAGTGGTTTTTAGAGTTTGAAAAAATAAAATAAAATACAAAATTAATTAGTAAAGAAATGAAATATTTAATGTGATATTTAAAGATAATAATACTATTCATAAATAGTGTAATTACTTCCAAATTTTTCATGTAAACAAAGTCTAAGTATATTACACTATGATGCAATACTTTGTATTAGTTAAAAATATATTTTGTTTGTCTGTGGGATTTATTTTTACCATTTTTTAATTATCTTCTAAATTTATCTCCTACTAATTTTTCCGAAGTTAGTAATATTTAACTATTATTTTTTTATTCACTTATATTTACAACAATTATTTTTTCTCGGAATTATTTATAACAAATATTATTATCTTTATTATATTATTTATTTATTTTTTAAAAAGATTTATAGCTAAATTTTTAACAATACCTTGAACTTTTTTTTATTTTTATCATTTTAAATAAAAAATAAATATTTTTTAATTTATGTGTCGGATCCAAATATGCTAATTTTATGAGACGGAGAGTAATAATCTATAGTTCACCAAATTTACACAATTGGTCAACAAGTACACAATAATATATATAGTTCAATAACTTTATATATGTAATTATTAAAAATAATTAATCATATAAATCAACCTAACAAATTTGAAACAAATTCCTCACCCGACCATTTCCTTACCGAAAATTACAAATACTCATGTTTCTTTTCATTAACGGATTTAAGAGTGAGAAAATATGCAAGAATAAGATCATGCCACCTCTTTCTCTCTCTCTCTATGTATATATATATATATATATATATCAATTCTGAACCAACCCGACTGTATAAAATTGAAGAAATAGGTAATGGTGGTCAAAAGAATCAACGAGTAGTTGAGTACATTTATTGCATGATGATTGACCCACCCCACCCCACCCCACCCCCACCTGGCCCTACTTCTCACCTATTCTCTTAATAAATTAATAAATAATTTTAACAAATTACATATCGAATCTTATTCTAACGAATTCTTGTAATAAGATTTCTATTATGATAGTGAAATACAAACCCCACCTCCCCCCCCCCCCCCCCCCACCCCTATTAAAAATTAATAATTATATAATTCTTTGTTTTAGTAAAAATATTTTATATTTTATTTATTGTGTGAAATCATTTTTAATTAAAATTTGTACAAAATATTTTTTGTATAAAAATAAATAATTTATTTTTATAGTTTTTGTAAAAATCAAATAATAGTTTGTCTCAAAAAAAATTATAAAATAAACTATTAATCAATTATTTATTATTTATTTATTGAAAAAAACTATTTAAGATATTTTACATCTTTTACTTGTATAGACTTGTATAATTATATTTGTATTTACATTCAAGTTTTTTACAAAGATAGTGTTTTGTATAAATTTTAATTTAATACAATGAGATTTTATAATGAATAAAATACAAAATATTTTGTACCATTTTTACTAAACACAATGAAATATTATATAATTTATCCAAAAGTTTTATAACACAATAATAATGAAATTTTCATAATCCCATTCCTCTTTATATATTACATATATATATATACAGTAATCCCAACTCTTGGTTTTGTAAATATAATCAATTTATAAGAATCATACTCCCTTAATCTCACTTTTTATGTCCATCTTTCTCGTCCGTCCTACTTATTTTGTCACTTTATTTTTAGGAAAAGAATTATACGCTTTAATCTTATTTAATAAAATTTAATTTATAATTTTTTAAATTTTAATTATACTAATAAATTATCTTAATCTTAATTTATAATTATTTTTATTATACGATAAATATTTTCACTAATAAATTTTTAATTATTTACTAATTATATCTCTCTTGAACTCTCGTGTCTACAGTAAAGCGGACAAAATATCCGGGACAAAGGAAGTATTGTTTAATGAAATTACTATTATCAAAACACAATAAAGAAAAAAGACGGCAATTTGGCACATCTGGGTATTATGCAATTACATTTTTATTTTTATTTTTTTCTGTAAATTGAAGAGAAAACATAACAAGTATCCATAGACATAAATATAAAACCCTAACCCCACACACAAGATCAAAAAAGTATATATATATACTCTCTTCTCGTTCACTCAGAAAATATACAGTTATTTTTACGTTATTGTACTTAGTATTAAAAAAATATATTTAAATTTTATAATTTATTCCACAAATATCATTGTATTTGTATTATATAAGAGACTAATAGAAATATTTATATTATTTCTCTTATTTGTACTACGTTTTGATATATTAAAAATCAACATAAAAAAAATAACTGTATACTTTCTAATTAGAAGGACGTAGTATTTGATAAAATATTTTTGAAAAGTAAAAATGAATAGTAACAAAATTGAAAATTGTTTTACGTAAACAAAGCCATATTATCATAAAAATAAAAATAAAAACAAAATGGTCATGGTAAACTTGTGTGTGTATTTGTGTGAGTACAAAGGCAGATAATTTGTATGTAATACTACCACTTTTCGGTTGTGCATTCAATGAAGGTGCTGTCCAAATCCAATTACGTAGCCGAAGAGCAAAATGAAGTTAATATATATATATATATATATATATTGGACAATAAAAGAAAAAGGGTAAGACTTTATAATGATTACACCAAGTTGGGGTTGGATCGGAAACAACGTAACTGCCCACTGCCATAACTCATAAGAAGAGTGTTGTTTGGTTTAGTATTATCATGTGACTTTCTCACTCTACCCCTCTCTCTTTCTCTCTCTCTCCTCCCAAAAAGATTAGCCTGTCTGGCTTTTGCACCAATCGAACCACCACCAGCTTTACCCATTTTTCATTAATTCATTCCCCCACAGATAGATCACTACAATAACCCTTCTTCTCTTACTTCTGCATTTCCATTTCCATTTCCATTTTCATTTTCTTGGAGAGGGTTTCTTAATTTATAATTTCTTGCCCTTTGCTGCTCCAATGGCGGCAAACGTTTCCAGATTCATCAAGTGTGTCACTGTCGGGGATGGAGCTGTTGGGAAGACAAGTATGTTGATTTGCTACACCAGTAATAAATTCCCAACTGTGAGTATATATAGATATGTATATATATATATATGTGTGTGTATGTATGGATAATTGGATGGTTGGATTGTTGGTTTGGTTGAATTTTGATGATTCTTGTGGTTGAAGGAAAGATTCTTTTCAAATTAGGGTTTCTCAGAAGCTAATTGTAGGTTGGGAATTTCTTGGAATTGGGTATTAAATTAAATTCTTTTGTTCGAAATTCTTGTAAGGCTTTGGGATTGCAGCAGATGCAGTGTTTTCTTGCTCCCTTTTCCGATGGGATAATTGGGAGCTCCATGGATTCCAGAGATCAGATAGATCCACACTGTGAACATAGTGTAGACCCTACACAATGAACGGTGTGGATCCATCTGGCGCTGCAGTCCCGGACCTTCCAAGAATTCCCTCCATTAAAAGGATATCTTCCCTTTAATCTTGTTCTGAATTTCATCACTTTTGTGTGACTATGTCCCAAATCTAATTCAGACATTTTGTTGTACAACCTTGTTTGATCGAATTAGGATTACATACCAACAGTGTTCGATAACTTCAGTGCAAATGTGGTTGTCGAAGGAACCACAGTCAATTTAGGCCTTTGGGACACTGCAGGTAAGTTTATCTTAACCCCTTTTAAAAAAAAAAAAACACACTCAAGAAATTAAAACAGCATATATTTTACTAATTTTCGACCCGTTGGATCGACCAAATCGATCATGCCACATCAGGTCAAGAAGATTACAACCGACTACGCCCCTTGAGCTATCGCGGCGCCGATGTCTTTGTCTTGGCATTTTCGCTCGTCAGTCGAGCTAGCTACGAGAACATACTCAAAAAGGTAACTAAAAGATCGATCGAAATAACCATTCTCGATTCATTTTGTAAGTACATTGTGTTGTAAGTAATGTTAAAAGCTTAAATTTTTACTTAAAATGGTCATTTAACATAGTATCAGAGTCGGAACGTTCATATTCGAAATCCCACCTCCACTCATTTGTCATATGTATCCTTTAAACTTAAATTTTTAAGTGAGATCGTCATTTAGAAAAATAATACGAAACTAATTAATTTTTATCCGATTCGACAGTGGATCCCCGAGCTCCAGCATTTCGCTCCCGGAATCCCTGTGGTGCTAGTCGGGACCAAACTAGGTGCGCCATGTGTCGCAAATTTTTACAAACGATATTTTTTCCGTAAATTATTACATTTCCGACATAGTATGTTTTTATGATGAACAGATCTTCGCGAAGATAAGCACTACTTGGCTGATCATCCCGGCGTAATTCCAGTAACCGCAGCCCAGGTAATTCTTCGATGTTTACTATAAATTATCAATCATATTTCCCTTCTAACATATGCGCGCAATAAACATCGCTGACAGCGTATGTGTTTTCTTAGGGGGAGGAGCTCCGGAAGCAAATCGGGGCAGCTTATTACATCGAATGCAGCGCTAAGACTCAACTAGTAAGCTCTCTTACATATTTAAAAAATTGCACTGAGGAAGAATGTGTCTGAAAAAATTCTCGCGCAGAATGTAAAAGCAGTGTTCGATGCCGCCATTAAGGTAGTGATCAAGCCGCCGCAGAAGCAGAGGGAGAAGAAGAAACCGCGCAGCCGAGGATGTTTTGTGTTAGTACAAACATACATACATACATAAATGCATACTCTGTTTTTCTTTTTTTTTTCTTTTGTCTTTTTGTTAAATTTACAATCTTTGGCGCAAAATTTGTTACTTCGTCTGTCGCTTAAGTTCGTCGCGACTTGCAGGAATCTCTTCTGCGGAAGAACAGTGCGAGTTCCGGAATGAAATGGTTGGACAGTTGCAGATTAAGGATGTTCCTAATTTATGTAGCTCTGTTTTAACATCCAATTCGCGTAAATTCGACTAAATTTGAAGTTTCGTTTTCTTTGAACAGAATGTAGATTGCTAATATATATACATATATGTGTATATGAGGGGTTCTGTGTGAAGTCGGGTTGTTTGTTCTTTGCGAGACTATAGTTGTTCTATAGCGCCTATTGTTTCGAGTTTGTCGATCCTAGTATTTTCTTAGCCGTAGTTTTACTGAAATTGTAGCTCCTGGTTTTATTTCCTACATAGCATTGTTAAAAAATTTGTTGTTACAATGGTGATGAAACGACTTTTGTTGCATGTTAATCGAGCAAATAGTGTCTTTAGATCCAAGTTTATATCAACACAAAATGAGCAGCAAGGGGCGCACATTAGGTGTTGATCCAATCAAATCATCAAGTAGCCCGAATCAGTATTGATTTAATCGGGTCATCATATCACATAAAAGTAATTTAACATATTTTTATTTTTCTTTTGCATAACATAATATATGATATATTATAAGATATCATATGTGAGATATAATATATATAGGATATATTGTATCATAAATATGCTATGATAAAATATATGCATGGTACTTATATTAAAAATATCTTTATATTTGTATTTTATTTCTTCTGCTAAACTATATTATTGTATATTTGTTTATTTATGTTTGCATACCATTAAATTTAATATTTTAAAATTTTAATTTATTGAGTTTTTTTCAATTATTATATTTTATAATACTAAAATGTAAACTAAATTAGAAGGGGCCGCGCGCACGCAGGCCCCCACTGCCAGAAATAACGATGTAGGTTCGACCGCTGGAGCCGACCTTGGGCCAACACCTAGCCCAAGTGCAATGGTAGGTGCGAGCCCAGGCTATGGGCCTAGTTGATCACCCATTAACCCCATCCAGGTAAGTATGGACCATAATTTCATTTCGTCCCAATTTATATCAAAACCTTCATACAAAATTTCCCTTATTTTCCCATGTGGGATACTCACTTGCATTACTTTTTATCTTTATTTTTGGGAGTTACATTTAATATTTTGACTTAAAATATTTTAATTAGAAGTTTATTTTTCTTAAATATATTGTATTTATATTTTATTTTTTTATTCAATTTTTTTTAAAAAAAATATTGATAAAGCTTGAAAACTGTAACAAGAAAACCTTATTTATATGTTTGGTTTATTAATTTTTAAAAAATGTATTTATCTTTTTATATAATTTTATTAATAGAATCGTATTTATTATTGTCCCATGAATTTATTTATTTATTTATTTAATTTATACAAATCTAGCTAAAACAAATAGATTGAAATAAATAAATAAATATAGATTGATGCCAATAATTAGTGCTATACGTGGCCTCTATCTCATGTCTAAAATATTTAACATATTATTGGAGTGTTACTGTGTTAGCCGTGTCATCATATCCAGTGTGTTAAAATAAGGTTAAGTGCAGACTTCTTGGTTACATTTTATTTTATTTTATTGTTAGATTTTGAATATGGTATTTGAATAGTAAAAAATTTGATTTTTTTTTTTGAAATCGTAAAAATTTTGAATTTTGAATAATTGTATGATGTAATATAAATAGATATTTGTGTGATAGTTTGAATATAAAATTAATATTTAAGTATGATATAGAAAATATAAAAAAAATTTAATTTAATATTTTTTTTTAAGAAAAAAAAATTGATGAATTATAGAAATTTAGTAAAATTTGATATAAAAGAAAACACCCAAAGATACTAAAATTAATAGCCAAAATATTAATATTTAGAAAGAAAATAAATTTTTAATAGGATCAGTATTTAATTATGTAGAAAATATTGGTTTTTATATAATAAAAACTATTATTAGTGTAAAATATATTCAAAATAAAAGATATTGACTAAATATTATGCATAAATCAATCAAGCATAAATCAAATTAAGATAATTTTGGAAAGATATTATTTATTTGTTATGATTTGAAACTAATTTGAAATAAAATATTGATTTGAATTTTCTTATAATTTAAAATTAATTTGAAATGAAATATTGAATTAAATGTTAGTTTTAAATAATATTTTATAAGATATTTTGAAAGAAAAAAATAATACTCCATTTTTATATAAAAAAATCATTTAGAATAGTAATTAAAATCGAATACTAATTTTTGTCAGCATCATAGGTGCTGTGTTTGCAATTAATTGTCAACGTGATTAAACTACCTACTCCTAATCGATCTTGCAATTCAGACAATGACTGCGACATATAATATATATTTTGAAAATATTTTATGAGTACTCTATTATTAAAACATAATTAAAAATGTAATATGTTCTACATATAATGTGCTGTCCTGATTCTTGATCTATTGTTTATGCAAATTATCCATTGCATAGCTTCATCTTCTGCAATTCACGAATGTTCCTAGATATGGCTGCTTATGCTTCTTTGGCTCCTTTAGGCACGTCGCTGCATCATCTTCTAAATTCTTCTCAAATTCAACTTCAACCTTCGATCGAAAACCTCCTACAATCCGCGTACGATGAAATTGTCTCCTTACAAAAAGTTGTCGAGGATTTTGATCCATTGAAAGTAAGCGCCAACGGCAGCGAGAGAGCGAAGGCATTGGATAGATGTATAAAAGAGACGGTCGACAAGTTTGAAGATGCACTTGAACCCCAATTATCGACTCAATATCTTAAGCAAATCAAAGAGTTGGATCAAAATCGCACGCAAGAATTCATACTTGACCTCGGGGAGGTGGAGCAAGAGATTGTGTCTTTTATCGAAATTTTGATGAAGTTAAAGGAGGAGTATTTTGAAAACATGAATTTGAATGTTAATGAAATGTCTTATCCAAGAAAATCCGGTGAAAGCGTGGAGGATTCCGAAGAGGCCATTGATTACTTACGAAAAAAGTATCGTGAAGAAAACAACTCAGGGAAGGAGGTCGAGGAAGTGGAAGATGTTGAGTATGACGAAGAATTTTGGCGATCAACGAGTAACTACCAAATGGTTGGATTAGTCGATAAATTTGTTGAACTAAGGTCTTTGGTTGTAAGAAGCTCGTATGCGATTATAAGCGTAGTTGGCATGGCTGGTATTGGTAAGACTACTCTGGTTAAACAACTTTTTAACGATCCATTGATTTTGAATCATTTCAAGTATCGCGCTTTTGTCTCGATAGGACAAAAGTATGAGTCGAAGCAAGTGATAATAGATGTATTGTCTCAAATAGAGAATCATGACATTGAAATGTTGCGAAGTTTATCGGAGAAAAAATTGTACGAGTATATGCAAAGAACTCTAGAAGACAAGAGGTATTTACTCGTACTAGACGATGTGTGGGACACTCAATTATGTGTCGAATTAAGCCTATACGGAGGGGAAAAATGTCGAGTCCTCTTAACATCAAGGGTGGAAAGTGTTTACGGTTCAATCACAACAAACTTTTATACGCGTTTCCTTAATGAAGAAGAGAGTTGGTTCTTACTTCGCGAGAAAGTTTTTGGTAAAGATTCTTCGTGCCCTTCGAAGCTCGTGGAAGTTGGTAAGAAGATAGCCAAGAATTGCGAAGGGCTCCCTTTAGCTATTATTGGCGTCGCCAAACTCTTACCCGAAGGCGAGAAGACGGTAGAGTATTGGAACAAGGTATCCGAAGACGAGAATCCTCTTTCGATTGGTATGGATGAGCAAAAACCTATGTTCGATACATTGTATTCGAGTTATCATCCGTTGTCCCAATGCTTAAAATCTCTCTTTTTGTACATGGGAGTTTTTCCGCGAAAGCATGAGATCGTCGCCTCGAAGTTAATCTTGCTATGGGAGGCGGAGGGCTTTGTCCAAACACGATTAATCGACAATGGTTGGGAACAAATCTTCTTCACGACGTGTTTGGAAGAGCTCGTGTCGCAAAATGTTGTTTTGATTGTCGAGACGACCTTGGAAGGTAAGATCAAAACTTGCAAGCTCCATTCTGTGTTTTGGCATCTTTGCATCGGCGAAGCGAGGAAGGAAAATCTTTTCCGGATTGTTCGAGGATATTCAAGCGATTCATTCGCCGAATGGATAAAAGGCCAACGACGATTGTGCGTTCAAAACAACACCTTGTTCGGGATTAGAGATTCGTACGAGTCGATATCATCTCTTTCGAACGCGCGCTCGCTTCTTTGCACCGGCGCGCGCCATGATTATCCGGTGCCTATGTGTTTCGACATGATGTTGCTCCGAGTGCTCGATGCTCTTACAATCCGTTTCTACGTGTTCCCCTACGACGTCGTGAAACTAGTCCTATTAAGGTATCTTGCATTCACTTACACCGGAATTCTCCATTCATCGATATCCAAGCTTTGGAATCTTCGATTCTTGATCATCCGGCGACATCTATGCATCATATCGCCTAAACATCCGTTACATTTGCCGATAGAGATTTGGAACATGAAAGAACTTAGGCATCTTCACATCACCGGAGCTATTCTACCCGAGCCTTACGTAGGCGCCATCCTACCGAAACTAACAACAATTTTGGACATCAATGCTCGGAGTCTTACACCAAAAGTTGTCGATGCCATTCCAAATGTCGAAAATTTAGGAATTGAGATCGACTCATCGACAGATGATCCATTTGCTTTCTTCAACCATGTTTCTCGACTCGATAAATTGACAACCCTCGAATGCTCCATTCTCAATCCGAAGCCCAAGTCGCAAACTATCGCTCCCCCTTCTCCGGCAGGGATATTTCCTCTGATGCTTAGAAAGCTAACCTTAAGTGGATTTGGATATCCATGGAAGTACATGAAGGAGATTGGCAAGTTAAAGTTTTTGGAAGTTCTCAAGCTACGAAACTACGCCTTCCAAGGCGTCGAGTGGGAAGCGAATCGTTGGGATAATCCGAATCTAAAGTTTCTAAGTCTCGAAGATCTCGACTTGGTGCATTGGAGACTCGGTCCCTTGTCGTTTTGTCGGCTCGTGAATGTTATGATCAGCCATTGCTACAAACTAGAGGAGATCCCGAAGGAGCTCGGATTTAGTTCTTCGCGAGTCGAAGCGATCAAGCTAGTCGAGGTTAAACCTTCTGTTGTAATGTCCGCTAAGGAAGTTCTCCGGCGACGAAACAGAGGAAATGTCGAAAGAATGCAGCTTGAAGTCGATTGTTCGTGGGAAGAAGATCTGCCTACCTAAGACAAGATTATATGTATATAATAGTAATAAGGGTAAATGTGCGCACTTTCGCATATCGGCTGCGAGTTCTCATATAATCGAAAATAATAATAATAATAATAAGGATAAACAGTGATATGTAATGTATGTGTATGATTTTTTTAATCGATATGTATCTAGAGGCAGTTAGGTACCATTTTTTGAACGAGCTAATATCCTATAAATTATACTAGCGTGAAAAAGATTATATTAGAAGTCTCATGTAACATGCTCAACTAAAAAGAGTATGGACAAATTTTGAAGGAACTATTTATTTAAATTTTTGATTTATTTGTTCAAATATTTGTATTATACTATTGTTATCTTTTAAAAATTATTATATTTAACGCTATTTTTATATGAAATGATTATTTCATATTAAAAAAAAAAAACAACACCACATATAAACCAATGTGGACAAATTTTGAAGCAACTGTTTATTTGAATTTTTTTATTTATTTGTTCAAATATTTGTATTTTACAATTGTTATTGTTTAAAAATTGTTGTATTCAATGCTATTTTTATATTAAATAATTATTTTATTTGAAAAAAAAAAAGAAGAAGAACCAACACAAATAAACCTAGGTTGTGTTTAATTTGTTTGTTGGGTTTTGAAAATCTTTTTTTATTCATATCATTTTTTTTAAAAATAAATATCAAATTAAATTAATTTTTTATATTATATTAAAAATTAATTTTATATTTAAAATATGATATCAGTATTTATTTATACAACATTGAAGATGTATTTGTTTTCAATTTTAATACAAGTATTTTTACAATTCAATTATTTTTTTAATAAAATATTTTTATAATTTTCAAGTCAACCCAAAATAGGCTAAAATTGTAACGTGGAGAGAGAATAAACAATAATAAATATATTAATAATATTTTCAGTTATCAATGGACGATTTTTTTTTTTTGGTTTGGATCGATTCGGTCCAAAATTATATTTATAAATTTAGGTTTCGATTCAATTATAATTTTTTTTTTTTATTTCGGCCAATAAACAAAAATTTAAATAAAAAATAAATATAAATTATATATCACCCTTCTTATTTTTTCAATTTTTTTTTTTTTATCTAAAAAAGTAAAAAATTTTATTTTTATCTATTTTATAAATATTCTATTTATTCAGTTTTAAACTAAATCAAACCGAACTAATTTGGTTCGATTTATTCGGTTCATTTTTATTTCTATTTTTATAAATATAAAACCAATTAAAATATAAAGTTGGATTTAATTCCAATATATCCCAGTTCAAATTTTCTATACATTTACGTATGTTTTCATTTAACATTATTTTCAATATATTATTGTAAAAAAGATATTACTACATTTTCTTACAAAAAATATATAAATATATCTAATAGGAAGTAACAAAAATAAATAAATTTTAATTATACTTTTTACCTTATCAATAAGCGACAACAAAAACACAACCCTAAAGTAACATAACTATATATCATCTGCAACATTCATCACTCTCCAAGCTTGCTTACAGAGAAAATCATGGCTGCCGGGGGAGCTCATCTTCCCACTCACAATCCACATAAAGTTGCAGTCCTTCGACATTTTTCTTCTTCCGTTGCAGAATCACATTTTTAGCAGAAGCTACAACCGAAGGCTTGACTTCCACAAGCTCCATCACTTCCATCTCCGAAGGATCAATCCCAAGCTCCTCTGGAATTTTCTGCAGTTTGTAGCAATGCCTGATCACCAATTTCCTCACTCGCCGGAACGAGGATCGATTACATCGCCATCGAACCAAATCAAGATCTTCAAGGCACAAGAATCTCAGATTCGGAAACTCCGAATTATTAGACTTCCATTCGACGCCATGGAAGGCATAGTTCTTCAGCTTCAGCACTTCCAGACACTCCAATTCACCAATCTCCCTCATGTACTTCCATGGATATCCAAATCCACTCAAGCTCAGCTTCCGAAGCTTTGGCGGAAATATCCCAGCCGGAGCAGGGGGCGCGACGGCCTGCGACTTCGGCTTCGGATTTATAACACTGCATTTAAGGGACGTTAAATTTTCGAGTCGAGAAATGTTGTCGAAGAAGGAAAAAGGATCATCTGCCGATGAGTCGATCTCGATTCCTAGCTTGTCGACATTTGGAATGGCGTCGACAACTTTAGCTCGAAAACTCTGTGCACTAATGTCCAAAATTGTCGCTAGCTTTGGTAGGATCGCGCCGGCGTAAGGCTCCGGTAGGACACCTCCGGTGACTTCAAGATGACGGAGTTCTTTCATTTGCCAAATCTCCACCGGCAAAAGTAACGGCGCTTTAGGCGATATAATACATAAATGTCGCCGGATGATTAAGAATCGAAGATTCCAAAGCTGGGATATCGACGAATGTAGCAATCCGGTGTAAGTGAAAGCAAGGTACCTGTTGTAACGAATTAGGATTAATGATCGAATAACAAACAAAAACGTAAAAAATACACAAATTTAAGTGGTTCACCACGAGAGAACAAGTTTACTGAGGTTAGTAGATACCGATTTCTGATACAAATTAACCTAGATTGCATATCTCTAAGTCTATTCAAATAAATTAATAAAATACTTCAGACAGACTCAGCCCCGTAAAATCTACAAAATGATAAACTAGATTCAAGGCATATCAACAGTACCGTAACAACATTAGTTTCACGACGTCGTAGGGGAACACGTAGAATCGGATAGTAAGAGCATCGAGCACTCGGAGCAACATCATCTCGAAACACATACGCACCGGATAGTTATGGTGCACGCCGGTGCAAAGAAGCGAGCGCGCGCTCGAAACAGAGGATATCAAATTGTAGGAATCTTTAATCCCGAACAAGGTGTTGTTTTGAACGCACAATCTTCGCTGCCCTTTTATCCATTCGGCGAATAAATCGCTCGAATATCCTCGAACAATTCGAAAAAAATCCTCCTTCCTCGCCTCGCCGACGCAGAGATGCCAAAAAACCGAATGCAGCTTGCAAGTTTTGATCTTACCTTCTAAAGAAACTTCAATGATCAAAACAACATTGCTGATCCTCAGCTCATTCAAGTACATCATACAAATCTCTTCCCAATCGCCTTCGTCGACCATTCTCGTCTTGATGAAGCCTTCGCCTAACCATAGCTTGAACAGCTTCGACGCGACCATCTCAAATCTTCGCGGAAAAACTCCCATGTACAAAAAGAACGCTTTTAGGCTTTGTATCAACGGTTCGTAACTCGAGTACAAAGTGTTCATCATCGGATCTTGATCATCGTTTCCAATCGAAAGAGGATTATCATCTTCGGACACAATGTTCCAATACTCTAAGGTTAAGGTTTCCTCGCCTTTCGATCTTAAAAGTTTCGCAATCGCAACAATTGCTAAAGGGAGCCCCTCGCAATTCTTCGCTATCTTTTTTCCAACTTCGACGAGCTCGGAAGGGCATAAAGAATCCTTTCCAAAAACTTTCTCGCGAAGTAGGAACCAACTCTCGTCTTCGCTAAGGAAGCGCATTTGGACATCGTTTGAGTAGGCGAAAACGCTTTCGATCCTCGACGTTACGAGGGTTCGACCTTTTCCTTGTACTAGTTTTAAAGAAGAGCTTAAATGAAGGCTCCATACATCATCCAATACAAGTAGGTATCTCTTTGTTTTCGAGATTCTTTCCCAATACTTCAACAACTCCCTTTCCTTTATACATTGCAACATTTCAATGTCATGATCCTCCATTTGAGACAATATATCTATTACAACTTGTTTCAACTCGTACTTTTGTCCTATCGAGACAAAAGCGCGGTACTTGAAGTGACTCGAGATCAAGGGATCGTTAAAAAGTTGTCTAGCCAGAGTAGTCTTACCAATACCAGCCATCCCCGAGATTATTGTAATCTCGTGGGAGCCCTTTACGAGCGAAGTTTTGAGTTCAACAAATTGATCGACTAATCCGACCATTTGATAGTTACTTGTTGGTCGCCAGCATTCTTCCTCGTACTCGACTTCTTCCACTTTATCTACGGAGTAGTTTTGAAGGCTCTTCATTTGTAAGTAATCAAGTTGCGCGCCTTCGGAATATTTGATCGTGCTTTCGCCTACATTTTTGCTTCTAGAAGAAGACATTTCTTTCTCGCCCGACTTCATGTTCTCGACATACTCCATCGTGATCGCCATCACAAATCGCGTAAAAGATGAAATGTCTTCTTTCACCTCCTTGAGGTCTACCACGAAAACTCGCGGATGATTTGGATTATTCGAGTTTGCGATTTGCGATAGATATTGAGTCGATAAATGTGGTTCGAGAATGTCTTCGAACCTCCTCACCGCCTCTTTGATTAGTCGATCCAAGAACTTCGCCTTCTTGCAACTATTTTCGCTTACATCCAATGTTTCGAAATCTTCGACAGCCTTTTGTAAGGACACAACTTTGTTGTAGGAAAATTGTAGGAGTTTTTTATCCGATCGAAGAAGATGAACTTGAGATGAATTCAGAAGATGATGCAGCAAAGTATCCACAGGAGCCAGAAAGGCATATGCAGCCATGCTCGATTCAATTTAGGAACTTCCTAAGTTGCAAAAATGGTTAATGATCGTAATATTGTACAAAAACATCACATTAAAGGTAAGAAAAAGTAATTCAAAGCTTTCACAAAAGAGAAGTAAAGGAAGATGAAAGAGGAGGATTCCTTAATTTATTATTATTATTTTTTTAAATATCATATCAAAGATCATTTTTAATATTTATTTCTTCCGTCCATAAATTTAGGGATATTTTCTTTGTAATTTAAAAAAAAAAATGTCCTTAAATTTGAGGAACCGAATGAGTATTTATTTAGAACGTTAAGTTCAATAAATATTTTATCGGAAAAAAAATATACAAATACTGTAAATTTAAATTCTCTGTACTTCTAACATATAACAACAACATCAACAAAAATCGAAGAAAAAAAAAATCTTTGAATGTCTAAAAGAAGAGATAGAACTTACAATTTTAATGGCAGTTTGTAGGAGACACGTTAGCTACGAATTCACGAAAGAACAGACGAAGAAGAAGAGCATTGGTGAAGAATATTAATATTCATATGATATTATTGCTCAATTAAAAATTTAAAATACATGTCTCTTTTTTATCTAAATATTTTTATAATATATCCTAAATAATAATATATATTATCTACACTTCCACTTTACCATATTTAATTAATTTGATGAAAAAGCCTAATTCGCATGATTGACGGGTTGGTGTGTCATTCATTGGGTTTATTTTTTATTTTTTATTTTATTTTTTTATGACATGAAAACCGCGACCGCTATCTAAAAGTGCGTACTGATTAAATTTTCGATCGAACCTAATATTCTACAAATTAGGTTTGATAAGACAAGTTACACAAGGTGAACTATTTGTGGCAGCTGAACTTTGAGACGTGAAGATTGTGTTTATTTATTCTTGTGTTTGTGCAAGTGTTTTGGTTGTTTGTTTGTTTGACTGCAAGAACTGTTTAGCATAATTTTAATATAAAAATAAGTAGTAAATTAATGTGTAAATATATTTAGTAAAAGATTTCGTAATTACATAATCAAAATATTTGAACAAATAAATAAAAAATTCAATTGAGTATTAGCCCTGTTTGCACCTTAAATGATATCCATTCCAATTAATTTGTACCTTGATTTCAAAATTCTTGATGCTGACAAATTAATACTTACAAGGTTGAAAGAAAAGCACTTCACACCTAAGATATTGATGGTGTTGTTGTCCATGGCTTTTAATTTTTGGGTTTAGATTTTTAATAGTAAAATATTTAATTTTAAATAGTTGTTTAACGTGATATAAATAGAGATTAATGTGATATTTTGAATGTAAAACAAATTTGTAGTATAATATATATAAAAAAAAGTTAATTTTTTAATTTGATATTTTTGGGAGAAAAAAAAAATTTAAATTGTAAAAATTTGTGGTAAAATTCACAAAAGAAAGCAACCTGAATCTGATTGAATTTGATTTCATTTCTTTTTATTATGAAACTTAATTTTTATATATATAATATCATATTTAAACTATTATTGAAATAAAAAAATCAAACTCAAAAGTAAATAAATTCATATTCACTATATCTTATTTCATACATGTTGCTTGGGTGTGTTTGGTTAGAATTTCAAATCCAAATCATCATTATTTAGCTTGTACTTGTTGATTTTTGTTCATCCGATCCTTATTCAGACCAAAGCTTATACATATATATATATATATATTTATGACGTGAGAATCCCCGGTCGCTATCTAAAAATATGTACTTGATAAACTCTCAGCGGAACCTAATACCTGCAAACTAGGCACAACAAGCTCTGGATCACATTTGTATTACTGTGTTGTGTGCAACAAGCTCCTGATCCGGTTTGATGGTTTAACCCGTGTAGACAGCCCGTGCCTTGCCTTCCTCAATTTAGCAGATTTTGTTACCGGTGGGTGCTGTCGGCCGTCGCTAGTTGCATGTTACTCTGTTTGATTTTTCTTTTTCTATAAGAATTTATCTTTAAACTCTGAATCACAAAATTGCATGTGTTTGTTAGATCTCGTTTGTGTTTCAATTTTTATGATCTTACTCGTGTATATATATATATATATTTTGTTTATAGTAAAATATTCAAAAATATTCACCAACATCGCTATAAAAGCAAACAATAATTAATCTTGATTAATTAGCCCTCTATATATGTATGAAAGTTTTATCTAAAATATTACATATACAATTGATTAGTCAAAAGAGACTGACATTGAAATTTAAATTCAACTCCTAAATCAAAAGTACCTAAACATATTTGTTTATAGTGATTAATGAAGTTTTTACATGTTAAATATATCAATGTTCAGTGACTTTATAATATAATTTATCAGATTTTTTATATTGTTTATTGTATTATAATTTTTCCATCGATAGATATGTCAAAATATAATTCAATGTACTTTGATATGATTAAACAATTTGTTTATGTCATTCTACTAAACCCATAATATAATTCATTGTACCTCGTTCTTAACTTCTAATGATTTTTAAAATTCAGGATGCATGCCAACTAAGGTTCCGTTTATATAAAAATTTAGAGTTTTAAAAAATTTTGAAAATAATAAAAATTGAGTATCTGATTGAATATTTTATAAAATAAATTAAATATTAATTTGATACGATAGATTTTTTTAAAAAAAAAAATACAGTTAACGAATAATATCAAAGGAAATATCTATATAAATAAATGTGTTTTTTAGGGTTTTTTTTTAATGAACAATAATCAATATTTTTTGAAAAAATAATATAATGTGAATCACTATAATTTTATGATAAATGCATGTATATACCTTGACTTAGAATTTTGGATCTAATTTTGTTCTTGTGATTTTAAATTTGATAGTAGTTTGATACAAAGTTTTATGAATATATATATATATATATATATACATATACTTTTTATTGAAAAATATGTTGATAAATATTAAAGAAAGTTTCAGGGAAAAAAAAAAGCAAAAAGAATAAAATCTTTTAAATAGTTTAATTTGTATGTTTTTTTTTTTTTATTTAAGTTTGATTTTTAATTTTAATTTTAATTTAAATAGTACTCATTCCGTCCCACGTACCGTGTCTGCTACACTGTAGACACGGTATTTTAGGAGGGGTGTAATTAATAGATAATTAAGAATGTATTAGTAAAAATAATTATTCTATAATATCAATAATTATAAATTAATATTAAGATAACTAATTAGTTTAATTAAAATTAAAAAATAAATAAATTAAAAAGTTTAAAATAAGATTAAAGTGTGTAAATTTTCAAAAAAAAAAAATGACATGTGAGACAGACAGAAACAGCAACATGGATATGGTATGTGGGGTGAACGGAGTATTATAATATAATGTTTAATTTAAAAAAAAAAAAACTTATATTTTATTGAAAAATTGTGTGAATTGACAGTATAATTATTTTGATATATGGCCAAAACCAAATATACAAAAGTTATCAAAATTTGAATTATTTTACAATCAAGACATTATTTTTAGATTATGATGAGTCATAATTGATTAACTTATATAGTTAATAAAATTTTACAACAAAATTTTCCAATAATTCGTGATGTATTTATTTGTATTTTGGGTATTTTGAATTATTAGCTATTTTAAATTTTTTATAAAAATAACTATTAAATAAAATATTTAAAATAATGCATTCTTTATCTTAATTTTTTAAATCTTTTGTTATTATTTGTAATATAAGATGCCTCGAAACTTTGGCAATAATTTTTATTTACACAATTTTGAAACATTCAAATAAAAGTAAGAGTGAAATAAAATTTGGGGAACTTTTAAATTTTTGCATTTTTTTATGTGAAATAGTTGTGACGTTTTGTATAAATTAAACTAGAATTCTTGTAATTTTTTTTTAGTGAAATTAAATATCTACATAGTAACATTTTTAATATTTTATAAAATCAAAAACTGCTTTTGAATTGAAATTGATATTATAATTTTGATTTAATTTTAAATGATTTTTTTTTTTAAAAAAAATAATATATTCTTATTGATAATAAATAATAGTAACTTAAATTTCAAATAGAAACTAAACACATCATTTTTTTTATTTTTTTATTTTGCAATTTTGATGTTTTTATATAAATAAAATAATTGTTGGGTTGATTGTTTTTCTTGTATTTTGATTTTTTATTAAATAAAATAGTTATAAAATATAATTTTTTTTGTTTCTAGAAAAACAATAACAGTGAAAATGTATATTCAAGACTAATAAATTACACCTCCGTCCATGTAATACGGGTCTATTACATAAAGTATAATTAAGTAACTAATTAAGAAGTGTATTAGTAAAAATAATTATTATTTAATAAAAATAATTATAAATTAAGATTAATATAAGTAAATAAACCGCACGTTGCTTTCTACCACATCGTTTCAAATGTTTAATTAAAATTAAAAAAATTATAAAATTTAAAATTTAAAATACGATTAAAATGTATAATTATATTTTCAAAAATAAAAAGAACAAGTTATGTGGGACGGACGAAAATAGAAAATAGGGCAAATACAAAATAGAAATGAGATTTTAATATGAACATCCATTTTGATACGCAATATATGTGGCAATGAAATGTGTGCCATAAAGTGATGATATTATTAATTTTAATTATTATTATTGACCATGTGAGAGGTTGGGGCCCACTTTAGCAAAAAGTACATGGATCCAAATCAACACCCCATGTTATAGATGGCGGTTTGTTATTAGGGCTAATCAATATTATCCTTATTAATTCATCTTAATTAGTTTTAATTAATAAATAAAAGTTAGGTAAATATATATATATATATATATACACATATTTTTAACTAAATAGTATGTATCCGTCTGTTGAAAAATAAAATTAAATTTGAAGAAATGATTAAAATGTAATTTTATATACAATAGTAATTACAGTAACATAAATTTATTATATCAATCTTAATTAATATGATTTACATAGAATAACAATATTTTGGAAAGAAATTAAAAAAATATATCCACAAATTTTTATACCATTTGTTTTACATTTATCCGTATGTTATTTTAAAATTTTTTCATAGACTCTTCAATCGGTTGATTTTTTGCCATGCATTTTAGGAGACGCTCATCCAAGCCCTGCTATAGCATACAACAATATTTTAGGAGACGCACATCCAAGCCCTGCTATCGTATACAACAATAATGCATCGACTTCGTCACCAAACACAAGTAAGCTTGTATACGCATTTTGCCAGCTCGTTGATCGGAATCTACTCAACAACATATTTTATTATTTTTAATAGCATATTATTCTATATTTGACATCGTATAAGTATGATACGAAAAGCATCTTAGACTTAAAATAGCATACGATTAGTGTTGCGCTGAATGCATGATTAATTAAGTAATGTTCACGTTTTTGTAGATTTATTTGACTGGAGAGATCTTGAATTTAGTACACCCAATGAGGCGTACAAGTTCTATTGTGAATACGCATATAAAAAAGGGTTCGCCGTCAGATTAAGATGCGACGGCACGACAGTATAAAGTGCGACAACGGCGGAAGAGCGATAGGGAGGATCGATTATGTCATCAGCAGAGAGAATGATAGGCGCAGTGAAATATTTCAGAAACACAGTAAATTAGAGATTTGTGAAAAAATAAATATCATAAATATTTTTAATAGAATTTATTATTATAAATAATATATACACCATACACCATATATGAAAAAAAACATACTATTTTTTTTACAAATACCCCTACTCTACATCACTTCGTTACTTTTACACCAAAAAGCAAGGGCAAAAATGTCATCACACTACTTTTAACTACTCATTATAATTAAAATACTATTATTTTTTAAATACCGCGCCAAAAGTAATTGTATACTTTATGCTTGGACGGAGGAAATATTATATAATTACGGATAAAATATATATTGACGTTGGCATGACATAATTAAATTTAGATAAGATTTGAAGTAATTTATTTAAATAAAATTATTGTAAAAAATATTTTAATTTCAAAAATATTTGTCATATATAATAGATATAAAATTTAATATAAGATATCATATCATCTAGTTGTTGACAACATATGTGTATATAGTATAATATCCTATAAGACATCATATCATTAAGTTGTTGATAGCATATGTGTACAGACGATAGCATAACATCCTATGGGTTAAGAACTAAATAAGATTTGATATTATCGTAATTATAGTAACGTAATGGAACGTTATAATTGATTAACTTAAATTATATATATTAAAGAAAATCATTCTTAAATATCTTGTTATACAAATTTACAAATTTGACTTGGTTATTGATGTTCATTGGATCGATAATTAAAATCAATCAACAGCTCTAGTGAAATAAGCACGATATTGATGATTTTACAATATCAGCACCATAAGAGCCGCCTTTGAAAATATTTATTGATAGTTATATTTTTGTTTAAATATATCTCATAAAGATCAATGATAGTATATTTTATTTGGATTATTATCACATGTTATTGTAATATTATAAATAATGTGCTATTAACTTATTATATTATTAAATCTAACAAATATATATTGATTCGGTTAAAGGATATTTTAAGTTTTTTGAATGAAATGGAACCATCCGACACCCAAGTCACACTAAGCGAATTATGTGTGACAAGTGACCTAGAGGCGCAGGGGATCGTAAGTCTACTCTACTCCTTTTCTTGGCATAATATTTTAGTCTACCTTATGTATATCTAACATATGATTTTTAAATACTATTATCTCCGTGTCGGTGCAATATTGTCATTTGATTTTTTTATGACTGTATTTGACATTTAAATTTTTATTTTTATTTTTTGAAGAAAACAACAATGACAACCTTTGTAATAAAATTGTATAATAATTATTACAGCGTTAGAGAGAAGGAGAAAGCTTGGGATGAGCCTCGCATGAGGCTGTTATCCCTTTTTTTTACTATTGAGGGTAAGGGTATGTTTGTTGGAAGGATTTGCCAAAACTTAACTATTTATTCAAAATTTTCTTTTTCAAAATATTAAATCATATATTTATTTTTTTTTATTTTTTATATTATTCTAAAAATTAATTTTATATTCAAAATATCACATCAATACTTATTTATATCACATCGTACAATTATTCAAATTTAAAAATTTTACTAATTAAATCAAACTCAAAATCCAAATCTCCAAACAAATACACCATAATACCATTTTTTTTTCTTTTTTTTCTTTTTTTATTTATTTATAGAAAAACATCATCAAAGAATTAATGGGCATCCAGAATTATACTCCCTCTATCCCTTAACAATTTATGAAAAAACAGTATTCATATTTTTTTATTTTTAATAATTGTACTGTCTATCTAACGTTACAAATACTTTTTCAATTTACAATATATTACATAAATGTCATTATTTTTATATTATATTTTTAGTTAATTTAGTACTTTTATCTGTATTTCTATTTTATTTTAATATAATACTAATATTTTTAAAACTTTATGCAAAACGATTATGAAAATGAAGGACTATCAAACTAGTGAATGGGGATATGTTTGTCCATGTCACGAGAGTCCATTGAAGTGTTTGTGGAAGTATTAAAATGGATGAGATTTTTTTCTAATGGATCAATTTTCTTTGGTTTATTTTATATAAATTAAATTTCATAAAATTAGTATTCAATTGGACTAATATAGATTTTTATTTTTTAAATTTTTGTTCTTTGTTTACGTTAATTTCATGTACAACTTGGGTCTCATTTACCTGTATTTACTCCCAACTCTTAACTGCAGTGATTTTAGCATTAATCAAACATTAAACCATCCACTCTTACCCAAAGACCAATCCAACACAAAAATATGTGTATTGTCTTCCTAAAATTTCCAGAAATTCTTTCGTGAGCCAAAAACAAAAACCGAAGACCCACTAAAAATTGAGAGTACAAATTTGGACAGACTGTCTTTTGCGCTTTTTATCTCTACACTACTTCTGCCCGTCGTTGCTTTTCGCCCTAGTCTTTTCTAGACTCTTTCCTCAGCTCAGCTCAGCTCAGCTCAGTCCATTTTGAGCGGATAGCGTCACCATTACTCTGCTACAAACGCCCATTAAAGCTCATTCTCTGCGCTCTACTTTTTCAGCTTTTCGAGCATTTTTTTGAGGTGGGTGGGTTTTTATTTATTTATTTATTGATTAATTGCACTGGTTTCACCTCGACGTCCATCATTTACTTGATTAAGCTTCTCCATTTTCGAATTTCGTACTTCTTTCTTTTTCGGGAGTTTTCTTAGCTCTTTTATGCGCTTCGTAGCTTAATCTTCTGTTTTTCTTTGTTTACCCTTTGATTTTGTGCTCTTAATTGGATTTTTTTACCCTTTCCTTTTCTGTACTTGTTGAGCTGCGGGTTGGTTGTGCTGTTGCAGTTTGAATTAATTTGGTTTAGTAATTTCTCTTGGTTCCCTTTTCTTTGGCGATGTCTGTGTTAGGTTCGACATTTTGAGAGAGATTTCTTATTTGGGTATCTGTAGATTCGAAACATTGCTTACTTTACAAGACTCAGAGCTACAAATGTAGTTAAACCTTTTTGTTTTCCAATGATTTGACAACCTTCTCCCCTTTTTAATTATTAATTTTGGTTTTGCAGAATTAACAAATGGCAGGAGGTGGAGCTCCAGCCAAGGCGGATGAACCCGCTCCCCACCCACCCAAAGATCAGCTCCCCAATGTTTCTTACTGTATCACCAGCCCTCCTCCATGGCGTCAGTATCTACTGATTTTATCCCATTTTTTTAATGTTTTAGTATCTTCTTTATGTTTCTTGTTAGTTTAATGCAAGTGGCCATGGAATCCTTTGTCCCTGAATTGGAATTTAATTTAGTCCTTTTCTTTATACTTTATGTATGTGAATATTCTTTTGAGTTCTATGCTTTGGTAGAAAGTGTCTCTGGAGCCACTTGATTCCGATCTAATACGCCTGGAAGTTTTTATATTTATTTGCTTATGTGATCGATAATGCTATTAATATGCTCTGATTCTTGTGATGATGCAGATTTTCTTTCCTTATAGGAATTGTTTAGTTTTGCCTTTTTGGTTTTTGAAGAATTGCTTATGTTAAGTGCTTGAACTTGATTCCTCATTCTTTAAAGGGGTTCTACTTTGGAGCATCCTTTTCTGCATTCAAAAGCTTTTTGTTGATTTTTTAATACTCACGTCAACAATTTTGGATTGAGAATATTAATTTATCCGGGTGACTTACACTTGTCATGATCTTGTAAAGATTCTTAATGGTTGGGCTTTCTGGTTGCCATATCCATTTTCCTTTATTAAGTAAAGCATGCATTAGATAACGGGTGATCGATTTAATGCAGCTTTCTAAGCACTCGTTAGATCATTTAGCTATTTAATACAAAATCATGTATTGATTTGTTATAGAATCCTGTGGATGTTCTCCCATGATCACCAAAAAGCATCCTCACCTTTGATTATGGATTAGTACTGTGACAAATAGATTTATTTTCTTGCAGCTGAGGCCATCCTTCTTGGATTTCAACATTACCTGGTTATGCTTGGCACGACAGTCATTATACCCACTGCTTTGGTTCCGCAAATGGGAGGTGGAAATGTGAGGCTTTATAATACTAATCTGCATTTGAAGTTCAGTTCCTTTGATTTTCTCGCCGTCATTTACTGTATCTTTCTACAGGAGGAGAAAGCCAAAGTTATTCAGACTCTGCTTTTCGTTGCTGGGCTGAACACTCTCTTACAAACCTGGTTTGGAACCAGATTACCGGTAGTCATGGGAGGTTCTTACACATTTGTTCCGACCACGATTTCCATCATCTTGTCTGGTAGATGGAGTGACCCAGAGCCTGTCTCGGTACGCGATCACTATTCATTGAATTCTTTTTACCTTTGAGTATGTGCATTTCATGTCCTTGTACTGTATTTTGAGGATCGTACAAGCATATTTTGGTTGATCATAACTACTGCAAACAGAGAATTACATCAATAATTCTTACAAACTGTTGGCTGCAATTTCTTTTGGACAGCATATTTTGTTTTGTTGGTATGTTTTTACTATAAATGATCGTGCAGAGGTTCAAGAAGGTAATGAGGGCTACCCAGGGAGCGCTTATTGTTGCCTCAACCATTCAAATAGTCCTGGGGTTCAGTGGTCTTTGGCGTAATGTTGCAAGGTTATATCTATTTTTTGTGCCACTATTTGCGTGCATGTTCAAAATATAATGTTTGATTTTAATTGTCAGCTTCTCGTTGCTGAATCGAGTGTTTCACATCCTTGTTACTTAAAGCTCGTAACAAAGTTTCAAAATATTAACACTGGCTATTAATGATTCTATTATTTTGGTGTATCTTAGCCACACCTTATTCACTCGCACAAATATATGTTACTACAACTCTTGAGATATTAAATCATGTTCTGTTATGTTCAATGGGATTGCAGGTTTCTGACCCCACTTTCAGCCGTTCCTTTGGTTGCTCTTGCTGGTTTTGGGCTATACGAGTTTGGTTTTCCTGGGGTATGACCAATAACTTCGTCCACCTAAACAATTCATTGACTGCCTTATAAAAGCTAATTGAGTTCTCTTGTTCATCAGGTTGCTAAATGTGTTGAAATTGGGCTGCCAATGCTTATCATTCTGGTCCTCTTTTCTCAGGTAACGGTTAAAATGACGGGTATCGCGCGACACATGAGGACTTAAAAAATCTCCATGAATTCTTGTGTTTAAGGGATTAATAATCTTTATTGCCTTTTTATAGAATTCGCATTCAAAGCTAATTTCATGGTTGCTTGCAGTATTTGGTCCACGTCATTCGTCCAGGAAAGAATATCTTTGACCGCTTTGCTGTTATATTCTCTGTCGCAATTGTGTGGATATATGCCCTTCTACTTACTGTGGGTGGGGCTTACGACGGAAAGCCCCACAAGACTCAAGCAACCTGCAGAACCGATAGTTCTGGACTAATTGGTGCTGCTCCATGGTACGCTGAAGTCTTTGTGCCCATGAAAACATTCATTTCTTTTTCCCATAAGATTGAGTAATTACTAAAAGTTGGATATTATTTAAATCCCGGACACGGACAAACATGTAGCGGATGGTTTCTTTCATTCTACTTTTCTTCATTTTAGATTTTTGTTTAATGACTTTTGTTGGTGAGGATGATTGATCCCAATCCACAATTTGCATTGCTCTGCACAAACTAATTAGGCGATATTTAATTGTAACTTATAATCTGCCGTCATTTAGTGCAGGGATGTAGCTCTTCCAGCCTTTGTTAATATATTTTCATTGCATCATTCATGCATTGGCATTCTCATCCAAAGGAAAACCACTTTAAAATAGCTTCTTTGATGTTAATAATGTACTATAGTCTGTCGATCATAGGAAAGCAATCCCTGTTTTTAATTTGTTTTTTACCCAACTCCTTGAAAGCTAATGTTTTTTCTGGCTAATGCTTGTAGGATAAGAGTTCCATACCCATTTCAGTGGGGAGCTCCTTCGTTTGATGCTGGTGAAGCCTTCGCCATGATGATGGCTGCATTTGTTGCTCTTGTTGAGGTATAGTTTTACTTCACTTATTATTTTTATTATTCTTTTCATGCATTTATTGTACTCAAGCATACTTGTATAGGATATAGAGTGAGTTTCTTCAATGGTTCATTGTTATAATATCAACTCTTCAAATGTTGTTAAAAGTTTAGCAACACTGTTCGATATATTTAATATTCTTCTCTCCACCTGCTTTCTGGTACTTGATTAGCCTTTCTCTTAGTTCTCTGTTTGTCATTCGATGAAGTCAATGATATAACCTCGCATTACATTCAACTTTAAGTACCTAAAGATGCAAACTATCATCACTATGGTTGAGTTCAAGCCATGACTAGAGCACAACCCTGATTGAGTTGTTGAGGTTGTATTTGACCAGAAATTCTCAAACTCAAGATTAACTGGTTGATTAAAGAATGAGACTCGACCAAACTGCAATCCATTTAGTAATCAATGCATTTGTTTCCACCTGCTTTGTCGTCTCACATCAGCAGCATGTATACCATTTTTTTTTAGAATCATAATAATGAACTACTAAAGATAGGGATCAACACTTTAAGAAAAGTTTTACCATCTTAGTTTTAGTTATATTTATCCACCTTGTGCACATACACACATGGATTGCATGCTGAGCACATGTAAATACAATACACACATATATATATGCATGAAGACAGGGTTAATGGAAACGTGCTGGCCTTGTGCTCATTATTTACGCCACCGTTGGCTGGTTCCTTGTTTCCTTTTACTTTCTTCGTCCCTGCCATCTTGATGTTTATGCATTCCATATATGTGGCTATAACTTGTTGATTGTGGGAATTAGACGTCCCTTTATCGCACTATATTTTAAATCCCTTAGCCTCTAGTAATTTAACTTGGATCATATTTCCGTGTAAAATCTAATCAGCTAATGTTGTGTACCGCCGGCTTGTTTACTTTGAGATACTATTTGATACTTCTTAGGTTGTAAATTACCATATTAATATTAAGTAGTGCCTTCAAGTAAATAAACTCTTTGTGCAATTTCTTGACCTTGTTTAGTACTGTGATTACCTGCTTTTATATATGAGTGGATATATTGCGGCCTTCTGACAAAACTTTTTAATTAACTGGCATTCCCTCCATTGCCATTTTTCTCAGGCTTACGTTGTACTTATATTATTTATATGCTTTCCAATGTAAAATGCAGTCGACTGGTGGCTTTATTGCTGTGTCGAGGTATGCCAGCGCAACTCCGTTGCCTCCGTCTATTCTCAGTCGTGGTGTGGGATGGCAGGTATGATGAAATCTTCAACTGTCTCTTATCTGCCAAATTACATGATGAAGAACTTGTGTGATGCATGTCTTTTTTTGTGTAATTATAATATATAAACTAATGGAAAAGCATGCTACGATCTTGGCCTAATGTATTTTGTTGTGTAAGATTCGCGAAAACTCATTAGTTTGATAATTCCTAATGAAACACCAAAATACAATTTTGTTATTAAAAATGGTGTTTTGGTAGTCTGGCAGAACACCATGTTGGTTTTAGAACTACACTAATGTAGCAAAAAATTGTGTTAGGTGTGTTGGACTTGATATAAAATTTGGTGTAAGCATATTTCGAAAACATGTATGATTTTTTTAATTGGTTTTGGCCTTTCAAAATTGACCCTCTAAGCTATTTTATTAGCACATTGTTCACATGAACTCTTGTAAAGTGAACATATTCTAGAAAATAAGTGCACTTTTGGTATGATTTGTGTGCACTTACAACAGGGTGTTGCGATTCTACTGTCTGGGCTGTTTGGGACTGGCAACGGGTCATCTGTATCGATGTAAGAACTAAGAACCTAAACTAAACAGTTGGTTTTCAAAGAATCACCTTTTACAAGGGACTCATTTCAGCACCTGCTATGCAGTGAGAATGCAGGTTTATTAGCACTAACCCGTGTCGGCAGTCGAAGAGTAGTACAGATATCTGCTGGATTCATGATATTTTTCTCAGTTCTCGGTAAATTTTTGTTTGCTCGATGATAAGTTTCTTTCTGTCTCATTTGGACTATGTATGTATGTGCGTGGTTGACAATTGATTTCGCAGGCAAATTCGGAGCAATCTTCGCTTCGATTCCACCGCCAATTGTGGGTGCTCTGTACTGCCTCTTTTTTGCCTACGTCGGTATGTACATCCATCCCACAGAAACCCCGATCTTTCGAGCTTCACTTGCTGATTCATACGCCGTTTTGCATTTGCTCAGGTTCAGCTGGCCTCAGCTTTCTGCAGTTCTGCAACCTCAACAGTTTCCGGAATAAATTCATATTAGGCTTCTCCATATTCCTGGGGCTGTCGATCCCGCAGTACTTCAACGAATACACTGCAATTAAGGGATTCGGTCCCGTGCACACGACGGGGAGATGGGTACACTATCTTTATTCACCACCTTTAACTCGTTTACTCGTTGTCATCTTTTTCATAGCTCTCAGTTTGTGTACTTGGCCAGTTCAACGACTTCATCAACGTGCCATTCTCGTCCGAAGCATTCGTGGCAGGCATACTGGCGTACTTTTTGGACAACACGATGCACAAGAAGGATTTACGAAAGGATCGGGGCAAGCACTGGTGGGACAAGTTCCGATCCTTCAAGACGGACACCCGGAGTGAGGAATTCTATTCCCTTCCTTTCAATCTTAACAAGTACTTCCCGTCCGTGTAAGAATCCATTTTCTTGAAATCCCTTTGCTTGTTAAGTTTGTAGCGAACAATTAAAGCGCGCGGGCCATGCGCGCAATTGGTACTTAAACCGGTTTGGATTTTGGGTTGAGAATTTTTTTTTTTTTCGATGCATTGTAGCATGAAAAAGCGTGTATGCGAATGGTTTTGAGTGATTTTAGATTTTGTAATGATCGATCAATTAATTGTGTTTGGAAAAGGAGTGATCGAATTAATACTAATATCCATCTGCTGGTTGCTTTATGAAATGAAATCATCGTCATGAAAAAAGAGAACCTTTCATTGTCCACACTAATCTACTGGTATTATTATACTTAGAGTTGGTGCTACTTTGGTGTGTATATATATATATATATATGTATTTTTTATATAATGAGGTTAAGGTTGGGTATGGCAAATGACATTAATACCGAATATGTACAACACAAATCCTCACATAGTAAATGCAATTAGGAACACAGACCCTTCAAGCTTAGGCATATATGTATATCTCATCAACAATGTTAGTCCATAATGGGCTGATTCAAAAACAATCAAAATATTCAACATGGGAACTGAGGGAAGGGAAAGTTACATAAAATAATATAAAAGAGGAATATATAGAAAATATATTTTTTAGAGTGAAAAATAAATTGTATTTTTACCGTAGCTACGGGTTGAAGATGGTCTTATAAAAGCTAATCGAGTTCTCTTGCTCATCGGGTTGCTAAATGTGTTGAAATTGGGTTCATGATCGTTCTTGTCCTCTTTTTTCATTGGGTAAACACACCAACAAAATTTCAATTTTATAAAATACGATGAAATCTCACATTTAATCCAATCAAATACATTATGAAAATCCGTTTAAATTAATAAATAAAATCCACATAAATCCATATTGTTTTTAAAAATCTAAATAAAATCCAATATGAATCCACACCCTTTAATCTGGTAACAAATTACTGGATATAATCTTGGAACAAGATAATAGATTTATTTTCCATAATTAGTCTATAAATAATACATTAACCTAACATCATCATCATCGATCATTCAAAACAACTTGAAGAAAAAAAAGCAGCTTGACATCAATGGCGTCAAGTCCTTCTTCTCCATCTCCGAGTTGTCAATTATCTGCCGTCCTCATCGATGGGCTTCCCAACGAAATTGCAGAGCTAATATTCGAGAAGTTGTGGACAATCGATCGCGCTAAACTGAGAAGCGTGTCCAAGGCATGGAATGCCGCTCTAACTGATAAAACTCTCCCTCCGGCAGCTTCGGAACCTCCATGGCGGACCATTGGAACAGATGTTACAATGGAAAATAGATTAGTATTAAATCTTGACAACATATTCAAGATGATCCAGTAGAACTTAGACGTCACAGTGTTGACAGATCTTCTAGAGAATGAACATTTCTATTAGATTTTCACAGAAAGCAACTTCCAAATGATGATCAAGCACACAAAAAACATTGGTATTCCTTTCTACAGATTTTGCACCTCAATCATTCATACAGATCTGGATCATCATTGAAATAATGTCCTATTTCCGAATCGGCATCTTCTGCATCATTAGTATCTGGTATCAGAAACTTGTCGAAATAGCCATCAAGATCCATTCGACTTTCCGGAGGTACATGAAAGCTGAATCGGGCTGAAGTTGTGGCTTTAACCACCGTACAAAACACATAATCTTTGCAATCTCGTCGGACACAAACATCAAATATTCCGGCTAAGGAATATTCTCTCATGACATATCTTTTCCCGTCGAAAGTCTCCGCACGTTTGTTTGCATATCTGAATTTCCGAACACTCCCTATTATTACTCTTTCCGGCATTTTTCTGATGGTCTGAATTCCTTCGCAACTTTGCCAGTTCCCACCATTACCACATTTGCGGCCAGTCTTGTGTCGATTTTCTTTCTTGAGTTTGGTCAAGAAATAAATTTGTTGATCATCTTTGTAGTGGTGGAAGATCTCCCAAGGCTCTCGGGCACCGAAAACATCAATTGTAGGAATGATGGGATTGACCTTGTTCGGCAACTGCACTCGACGTTTACTCACCTTATTCAAAAGACAGAGAATGATTCCCACATTCGATATTCTTTGTGTATTTTCTTGCAGAATCAGATCGAAGTACCCCTGGACATCGACACGGCTTCTAGTCAGAGGATCGGTAATCTTGTATGAGCCATTGTTTTTATAGAATACACAAAGCACATGATTTTTGTAATCTTCTTTGACACAGAAGGGGTGGAACATGTCGGCAATTCTGTATTCTCTCATCAAGAATATATTCTTAAAACTAATTTGAGAACATCCAATCTCTGCCCTTTCGAAGCACATGCATCTTCTTGATCCGATTTCTTGACCTCTATCGTCGTGGATGATGATGATCCTATGAAAATCTTTCCAGTTCCTGGAGTCGCTTTGGGGGCAAGAATGGAGTTTTGCTAGGACGTATATTTCTTGATCTTCTGGAATTCCGACGAAGAGGTCCCGGGGATCATTGCTGCCGTAAATGTCGACGGTACGAATTTTGAGTTTGATCGCTTTGGGCAACTCCACTCTGTTTACGCTCATCTCATTAAGAAGAAACAGAATGATTTCTTTTTCAGATAATCTGCGTTTAGCCATTGCTGAGAAAGGTATTCTCGATGAAATTAGATCAGTAGAGCCACAGAATGATGGAAGAAGAACAGAGAAATGATTTCTTTGAGTTCAAGAATGGGGAGATGGTTTACGATTCAGTTCAAAGGGATTCAGTAGTGTTTTTATTTTTGATAAAAAAACATAATGACTTAGAATAAAGAGAATTAATGTGACTTGCACATTACGAAAACATCGTATCAAACATTTCAAACCTCGGAGAATAAAAAGAAACACACCATAGAAAGTAGCAGCAATCAACATTGTACATATACATAAAAAAAAGAAAAAAGTTGACTACTTTCATAGAATTCTTCAGGTGTTCCAGATCATACAAGTTTTGGAAGATGAATCTCATTGAATGCCCACATGTCTTAGGTATTTCATTTCATATTCGAAACTTCGATCAGAGATGAAACCAGACAAGTGTTGCTGCAAATTAAAGTCTGTAAACTCCAGAGGTTGGATAACATGGAAGGAAATCTGCACACTGAGGTCCAACAACATCATCAAGTACCGAAGATTGACATTATAAACATATCTTCTATAGAACTTATTACAACAGCATCCGCTACGCGCAGCAATGTATCCTCAAACTGTGGGTGCGACGCCATAATGGATGTAAGACATCATCAAATTCTAATTGAGACGAAGATGCCTTTCATGAGAAACAAAGGGATGCTCTCATTAGGGGAGTCTTGTGGAATGTAGTGATTCCTCAAAGAGCTTCTCTCTTCTAGAGCATACCTTAAGCAAGTCTCGTGTAGAATCATGGAGATAGCATTTTGTCAATTTTCTGGTTAATCCCGACTCATAGACCATAATGAGATTCCTCTCAACAAGATCCTCAAAATAATCCGACCAACCTTGTTCAAACTTTTGTTATTATCATATGATTCTACAAAATGCTGAGCAACCCAACGATCTATGAGTCGAAAGACATAAATTCCATCTCTTTCAGGAAAATCGAGCATTGAAAGTAAGCACCGTCTTAAATGTTCTGGCAAGGATTTGTAGCACAACAATAAGATTTTGCGACAACCTTCTTCCGCCTCCAAATTCGAAAATGAGGCCATGTCTCTTGCCACACCCTCCCAACACTCTTTATTCAAATGCGAATTTTTTAAAAGTCCCCCAATGAGAAGGATCGAGAGAGGAAGCCCTTTACAATTACATGCAATCACCTTTCCTACATTCTCTCAAGTTCATTAGGACAACCCTCTGTTCCAAATATAGTTTCACGAAGCAATTCCCAACTTTTAACTCTGTCGAGGAAGCTCATCTGAATGCCGGGAAAGCCAAAATAAGTTCCCACATTTGACAGCCTACTCGTTACAATGATTCGACTCATAGTTCCAAAATCTGGAAAGAAATTCCTTATGCCATTCCAAATTTCCCAAGTCCGTATGTCATCTAATACAATTAGATATCTCCAAACCAATAAATATTCATAAAGGATTTCTCCCAAATGGCTCGCACTTAGGAAACTGCTGCTATGGTCCTGCGTGTCTTTACAAACAGAAATCTGCAGAAGAACATCTCGGACAGTGCATTCTCGGAACATTGTGATCCAAATTCTGATCTCAAAGTGATTCCAAACACTCTTCACTTTCATAAATAGATCGAGCCAATGATTGGAATGACCTCAAGTGCAGATTGTCCTGTCGTAAGCCTTTCAAGAATATGATTTTGTTCCATCTCTTTCTACTCTTTTTTTTTTTTTTTGTTTTCACTTGAAAGGAAGTGTACAAGATTTGGATGGTCAAATGACCTTGTAAATAACAATTTGGATCCCTTGGATTTAGCTCACCATCTATGCTTTTGCTTTTGATCTATCTCCAAAAATTTTTGCCTTCAATTGACGGCTTCTCAATACTTTCAAATCCAATAATTATTTCCAAAATCCTTTTCCATTTTTCCCCTTCCGTTAAACCATATCCAAATTTGATTGGATTTTATTTAAGCTAGATTAGAGGATATTTTAATTCCACTTTAATGAGATTATTATGTATGGAGTAAGGCTACAAGAAAAGTATATGGTTGGTTTATTTGGGCGATCCAATCCATTGGTCTATTTCGCACCTAAAATAAATCCCTCCCAACCCAGTTTTTCATGTAATAATCTCCTATATATGGTTTTTTCCGTCCTAAATTTTCACCTAAATTATACTATTAATTCTTTACCATATTTTCGACAAGCCATAATCACAGAAGTAAAAATACAGAACAAAAAACACAAGATATATATATATATATATATACACTAGTGGGAAACACGGCTTTTTTATATTTTACTTTTTTATTCATCAAATATTTTTATATATATATTTTTTATATACCTCCGTTAAATTTTTATTAAAAGAACATATTTATAATTTTTTTCATAAAAGTAAAAATTAGAATTTATGTAATAATTAATTATGTAATTAATATATATCTTTAATATAAAATTTATTTTAAAATTTTAAATTTAAATTAATTATTTAATTTTAAAATGAATAATAAGTATTCTATATATATAGATTATAGTATCATATTCTTAGTTATTTTATCAACTTTTATATATATAAATTATTTATTAATTTTGTTAATTATAGTTTTGTTAACTATGTTAATTATGGTATATTAATATAAGTTTATTGTAATAAAAATATCAAAAATAAAGAAAAAAAATAAAATAGTATAGATTTATTGAAAACTTAATATATACACAAATATTTTTGAATAAAATTATAACAATTTCATTAAATCTGTCAATATTTATATTTTTATTTAAAATAAATCAAAATTTTTAATTTAAATATAAAAATATGAATAATATAATACATATATTATAAATAAAAATAAATCAATTTTATTTTAATGTTATTATTAAATAGAAATTAATATAGAAATTATTTGAAAAATATTTGTAATATACCATAAAAAAGTTATATTAAAGTATTTATACAAAGTACAAAATAATAACAAAATAAAATATTATAAGTAAAATGAGGGGAAAAAATTGTATTGGATGACTAAGGAAAAAAGAAATATTGTCAAAAGATTAACCAAAATTCACAGGAAAAATATTATTGAAAAAAAAAGAAAAATAGAGAAGAAATGAGATTTAGGTGTGTTTGAAAAAAATATGAGGAAATGATCTTGCACGTTGTGACATCCAATACTAAGGCAAAATAATTGATAACTGACCATTATTAAATATAATTGATATTATAAATAAAAATAAATCAATTTTTAATTTTCATTTTATTATATGAATTATCTAAAGATAAATAATACAAAAATATCAATAAACGCAAAAATATATAAAATTATTTATATACAGTACAAAATAAAATAATATAAGTAAATTATATATTAAAACGACGCATCATCTTCGGATTAGGTGACATCCCAATATGTTAGAATTACGATGATTAAAATATCAAGAAAAAAAATAATATTGGGTGGCTAAAGAAAAGAAACGCTACAGAAATATTAATCGGAAAATTGCCGAAAAAATATTGTCGAAAAAATGAGAAAGATTAGGAGGATGAGAGATTGATGTGCGATTAAAATGAGGTGAAGAGATGATCTTTTATAGGCATTCAAACGGAGGTTATTATCAAATTCGTCATTAATATCGACATTAATTAACCATTAAATTATATTTTAAAATTATTAAACTTTTATTACCATTAATTATAATTTTATTTTATAATATATAGTTAATACTTAATATTATTTACTACATATTTATTTTATTAAAAATAAAATAAAATTGGTGAAGTGGACCTTACACCGAAGTCTTTTATATATATATTTATCATTAATTATAACTTTATTATATAATATATAGTTAATAGTATTTACTACATATTTATATACTTAATAGTATTTACTACATATTTATTTTTTTTAAAAAAAATTAGAAATTAAAAAAGAAGAAAAATTGGTGGAGTGGACCCTACACCAACCTCTTATATATATATATATTATATAATATATAGTTAATAGTATTTTCTACATATTTATATACTTAATAGTATTTACTACATATTTATTTTATTAAAAAAAAAGTTATATATATATTATATAATATATAATTAATAGTATTTTCTACATACTTATATACTTAATATAATTTATTACATATTTATTTTATTAAAAAAAAAAAAAAAGATTTGGTGAAGTGGAGTCCACGCCTACCTCTTGTATATATACACATATAGATTTTTAAGATAGGTATTGATATATTAAATTATATTACAAAATTATTAAACTTTTATTACCATTAATTATAATTTTATTATATAATATATAATTAATAGTATTTACTACATATTTATATACTTAATTGTATTTACTATATTATTTTATTAAAAAATCAAAAAAAAAAAAAAAAAAGATTTGGTGGATGAACCCTACACCGACCTCTTTTATATATATTTATCATTAATAAAACAAAAACCAACATTAGAATTACGATATTCTTTATTATTGCAAAAAGATTAGAATATATAGAATGTACCAAAACTTCAAAATCATATTTCTAGTCATTTTACTATTAATTCACATTAGCAAACATGTTTCGCATCAAAAAGATTTTTCAATAAAGTATGAACATCTATAGCATTATTCTTTTTCACCGGATTGTACGGAAACTCAGGATGTATCAGCCTCACCAAGTATAGCACAACATCATTGTCTTGTTTTTAAGTTAACTTTGATCTCGTCTCGTGTCATGAACTCTCGTAACTTGTAGCTTTTTCCATCGGCAAACTCCACAGTGAAAATATCATATTGGTTAAAAAGTGGAGTGCCGAATTGGTCGACAACCGGACGTGGCAGCTGATTCATTCACTGAGAAGTAAGCTCCCAATCGCCACTTAATGATTGATTTAATTCTTCATCGACTGAAAACGGCTTAAACCACTGAATCGCTTGCTTACGAAGTAGAGTTCTTTGTCGGAATCGAGATCCGGAAAAAGATCCCAAAATTAGTTTTCTGCATTGTATATGTTGATCTGTGGAAGCCCCCGCATATCTAAAAACTTCCCGGGCAAATAGAGCTGAATGTTATAATCTTCGTTTAGGTAGAGAAGAATTGTTTCGAACTTTGTTTCGAACAAATCATTACCATTTGTATAAAATAAATTTCTAACCTAAAAGCCTAGTTACAAAAATCAACAAGCGACAATCACATATATAGATAATATACAGAACAAAACACAAATATATAAAACAAATTTCAAAATTAGATTTACCAAGCATTAGAATGTATATAATGTATTAAAATTATAAAATCATATTTACAGTCATTTTATTCTTACCTAATGAGAAATGCTCTCCAGGTACTTAATTCAAAAAAAATAAGAATACAACCAGTAATTCACATTAGCGAAAAAAATTCCAGTAAAACAATAGTTTATAATAGAGGGGTGAAGAAATATCATAGTCATCAATCAATGGTCTCTATGAATTCAAGGAGTTTTGTTCGCGTCAATAAGAATTTTCGATAAAGTATGAACGTCAATAGTATGACTGTTTCTCACCGGATTGTACGGACTCACCTTTCCGCCTCACCAAATTTAGGACAGCGTCCTTTCAATCTTTTTTTAAATTATCTTTGATCTCTCTCTAGTTCTAAACTCTCTGAACTTGTAGCACTCTCCAATGGCAAACTTCAGCAAGAAAATATCATATACGTCAAACAGTGGAGTGCCAAATTGGTCAACAAAGGTACGTGGTAGCTTTGTTATCGACTGAAAACGGCTCAAATCACCAAAGCGTTTACTTACGGAAAACAATTCTTTATTGAAATCGAGATCCGAGAAGAGATCACAAAATTGTTGTTCTGCATAGTAAATGTTGAGCTTTGGCAGCGCATGCCTAAATTCTTCCCCGGACAAATAGAGCTTGATTTTAGAAATTTCATTTAGATAATAAAGAATAGCTTCGAATTTTGTGAAGTAAGAAATGGCGTGTAAAATTGGGAAGTTGAACTATCGAATAAAGAAGGAAATGTATAGACACAACACATCAAATGATATTCAACTCAATTGTGCTACGAATGATATTGTGTCACGCGTCGTAGGTAGATCCTACTCTCATTTGGCGATTTTACAACTAGTTAAAATGCATATATATGAATACATTAAGCTTAGAACCAAACATACAACGTATACATAAAAGAAAAACCCTTGTATGATTACTAGATAGAAATATAAACTGATCAATATTCCAATGATAACAAAAACTAATAGATAAAAACTAAACTTATTGCAAAGAAAAAGTATGCAAATCAAACTACACAGAACAACATATACCAACAAACAGAACATTAGAATGTACAGAACAATGATCCGATTCTTTATTATTAACAGAATATTATAATGTACTAAAAATTCAAAATCATATTTCGATTTTTATTATTACTTAATGTGAATCGCTCCAAGAACTTTTTTTCCTTTTTAAAAATGATATAGTATGGGTAGTAATTCCGATAAGATAAGTACTGAACAAAAATTCTTTCAATATTGAACAAAAATCCTACAATCATGTAGAGTAGAGCGAGGAGGTGAAGGAATACCATCATCATCTTCGTACTGAATCAATCGTCTCTGTAAACTCAAACAACTTTGTTTGTATTCACAAGCATTGTCAAATACCTATCAACGTCAATGCAATGATCACTACTTTCACAATAATCGTGCCATGAGGTCTAACTATCTTTTCTGACGATAGAATGTAACACACTATTACTATTTTCAGTGATTTTATTATTATTTCATTTTCTTTAATTACTAAGTAAATTTTCAAAAATACCTTCAACTATCTTTTTATTTTTTTTTATTTTTCAATAAAATATTTATTTTTTTTAATTTGCCACGAGCCCAAATAGGCTAATTTTCCTAGACGGAGGGACTATAATACAAATAATTATAAATTAATATTAAAATAAATAAATATATTAATTAAAATTAAAAAAAAAATTAAATTTTAAAATGCGAATAAAATGTATAATTTCTTTTTAAAAAAAAATAAACAAATTATGTGAGTCGAATAAAAATTAAAAAAAAATAATAATAATTTATGTAGGACTGCAGGAGTACATTTTAGTACTCACTACTGCAAAAATAAAACTCACTACCGCTTAATCACGTAACTTTTATAAAGTGTATGTGTATATAAACACAGCCCTGAGTTATGTTCTAATGTAGATAGAGTTTATTGGATAAAATATCGTTAAAAGTATAATAAATTATAAAATAAAATAATGCTAATCATATGTTGGTAATTTTAAATAGTTCTTAAATTTTAAAAATATATACTTTGTTCATTCCCTATAATTATGTCAAGTTTTTCTTTAGTTGTCTCGTTAAATTTATGTATAATTAATTTATATTAAATAATTTGTTTTTACTATATTTTTTGGACATATTTTTTAAAAATAATTAATACACTATATATATATTTATTATTTTTATATTTTCTACATAATTTTTTATATCTCTAGTAAAACAATTCTTTTTCGACTATCTCACAAAACAAACACACCTTTATTTATTCATAACTTTATTATCCATATTTAAACAAGTAATAATTAATTTTCTATTATTTTTTCTTTATCACATTACAATTTTTTTCTTGTTTTTATAATACTTTAATTTTATTTTAACAAATCCCTAAAATATCATTATTTTTTAGTTTTTTTTATCAAAATAAAATGATATAATTAGTCTGAATGAACATAATAAACAGTACACCCTCCGTCCCATAGTCTTGTTTATCATTTTTATCCGTCCCAAAATAATAGTTTCATTTTCATAAATAACCATATCACCGTAAAACAATTCCTTATTTTTCATTATTATTATACAATTGCCATTACTTTTTACACTAATATACTCTCAAGGGCAAAAAGTCATTTATACGCACTTTTTACCAACCACCAATATAATATCAATATTTTTTAAATTCCGCGTCCAATACAGTAAAATTATACTTTTGAGACGGAGAGAGTGTTTAAAAACAAGGCCTAAAATATTAAATTAGGAGTATTAATCAAATCAGAACTTTATTCATAATATTATTATTATAGATAGAGATACATATAGGACCATTATGAATTGTCACAAAGTGTCCGAAGTGAAGACAGGCAAAATTAGGGTAAGGAAAAGAATACATATTATTATCCATGCAGACTGAATATTTGGCACCAAAATGGGGAAACCAAACCAGCTCATTATCTCTTCTCCTTTGTTTTTTTCTAACATCCAAACCCAACCACCAATAATTCATTTTTCATTTCCGTCCTCTCTCGCACCTCTCGCTACTCTGCAATTAACTTTTCGATTCTTATCCTATCTATCGATCTCTGCCCATTCTCAATCGTAGGCCCGGCCCCGCAACGATCTTCGGGCCGGGCTGCAATTCCGAGTCCCCATCAAATTTGAACTGTCTTGCGACCCTACGTCGCGGCTCCATTTTCATTTCCACACGCTTCCTTGACCAATTTGCATTTGTCCGGTCGAGTACGTGACATAGAATTTGCATGTACTTATCGGACATAATCATGCGTGTTTTTTTATTAGGAATCGGGTAATAAATCCATGTGATATATTTGTGATATGTTAATTCGTAATTTACTAAAATCAATCATTATAATTATGTATTAATTAGAGCTACTCACTACGATACTCTAATCAAAATCCTAATAGGTACCATAATATATTTTAGATAAATTATATAATACTTCCTTGTATTTTAGTAAAAATACACAAAATATCATATATTTTATTTATTGCTTGAAACCTCGTTACGTTAATAGAAAATTTGCACGAAATATCCTCTTGTTCAAAGCGGGCATTTGGTTTTAAATAAAAAAACTAAATTATGCAAATTTTATACCAATAAAAAATATAAAATATTTTAAATAATTTTTTTTAACAAAATTTTGTTAAAAAAAATTATTTAAAATATTTTATTTCTTTTTTATTTGTATAAAATTTGCATTATTTGGTTTATATTTATTTTGTTAAAAAAATTATTTAAACTATTTTATTTCTTTTTTATTGGTATAAAATTTGCATTATTTAGTTTATATTTACAAGCAAATATCAATTTTGGATAAAAATAATGGTTCGTGCAAACTTTATATTAATAAAAAAAAGTTCCACGCCTAAATAGATCACGAGATTTTTAACGCATTTTTTTTAAAACACAAATTAGTGTTATATAATAAACCATATTTTTTTATTAGGTCTTCAAGCTATATATATATATTTATCGAAATTCAAAAAATACAAAATAAAACGCTCAAATTAATCAAAAGGATAGATGGGAAATTCAAGAATTGCCATTCAACATCCTCACCGACCATAATAATTAATTGAATTGGATTACTTATGATTATTATTATTATTATTATTATTATTATTATTATTATTATTTATTTATTTATTTATTTATTTATTTGTACTAAGCCATTCATTGCATATTCCTTTTGTTGACTCATAAGCTAGAATACTAAAATATTTTTGCCACATTATTATTATTATTATTATTAATATTAGTTAGCACATAATTAATTAATTAATTAATTAACAATTATTGCTTCGACACTCGACAATGATCCCATAATGAATGATTGTCCAATTCTACTATGGAATAACTTCTTTTATTATAATTAAATCATGCAAATTTCACCAAAATTCATTTTTATCAATTTAATTTATATATTTATAAAAATTGTAAATAAAAATAAATAAATAAATTGGTGTGTTCCAAATATGGGAAACAAAAATAAGATAAATGGGGAAATTGTTACTTCTAATTTTGGAAACGCTGTGCTGTGCTGTTCTGTTCTGTGCTGTCTGTCTTCGGACAAAGCAATGTGCTGCCCTAAAGTCTGCAAACCCTTCCCCCCACCTTTTTTTTTTTTTTTCTAATTTTATTTTATTTTCACATGGTACATATATTTTTTAAAAATTTTATATAGTATTTAATATAGATTATATTTAAAATTATGTATCATTCAAAAAACCGTGAGATTACATCAGAAAATTGCTTCGTTGGATCACATAAAAAATATATATATATATATACTATTTAGGTAAATTATTTTTTTGGTCCCGTAATTGGACCCTTTATCATTTTAGTCCTGTAAGTGAAGCATGTCGCAAATTAGTTCTATAAGTGAAAAATTTTCGTTGTTTTAATCCTCCGGCGCCGGAAATGCCCACGTGGCTCCACTTATTAAACTGCAATGTTTTAACAATACTAAATATTATGTATTTTTTCAAATCCATCAAAAGAAACATATGCTTAGATTTCTAGTTTTAATTATATACTATTATACAATATAAATTTGTAACAAAATAAAATGTTATACCATTAGGATTTAGTTTAGACAATAGACTTAATTTTGAAAGTTTTAAAATTTAAAATAAAATTAAATAATGTCAAACATTCGAAAATAACAAAGCTTAGGAAATCGGATGTCACACACGATTATGCGGTAGATTACTCTCCCATTCACGTAGACTTATTTGGGCAAAATTAAAAAAGAATAATATATTAATATTAAAATAAAATTAAATATTGAAATATAAATATAAACAAAAAAAAATATCGATAAATTAATTATTATTTATTAAAATAAAAATAATAAATTAAATATTTTAACAGAATTATTAGGTTTGTTCTTTTTATTTTTTTTTTCATGCTATTTTATTTTTTAAAAAATACACTATAAATATTTATTATTTTAATATTTTTTATACAATTCTTTATATTTTATATAATTAATTTTTTTATTATTTTAGAAAGCAAACCCACTAAAATAATATTTTATGCCAATATTATTATTATTTATTTATTTATGTGTGTTTTATTTTATTTAATTTTATCTTTGGTGAAAGAGCGGGGTGGACCGGCTGTGATTATTACGACGACGTATTGACGCTACTGAGAATCGTGCCTAAGAATAAAGGCCGGTAGACACTCAGCGAGCGTGCCCATAAATAAATAAATAAATAAATTAGTTAATTAAAACTCTCTCTCTCTCTAACTCTCTCTCTCTCTGCGTCACACCAAACACGCGCTCTGCCCTCCCCTTCCGTCTTCTTCAATTCGCCTTTTGCAGTTTCAACCGCCATACGCATCGCCCACGCCTTCCTTCGTCGCCGGCCGGAGACTATGGGGAACTGCCAGGCCGTCGACAATGCCACTCTCGTCATCCAACATCCCACTGGAAGAGCGGAAAAGCTTTATTCCCCAGTCACCGCCAGCCATATCATGAAGGCCAATCCCGGCCACTACGTCGCGCTTCTCCTCACCACCACTGTATACTCCAACAAAACCGCCACCGCGCCGGAGAATAAAAATGCTCCGCTCCGCGTTACGCGGATCAAGCTTCTCAGGCCGACCGATACTCTGATTCTAGGTCATGTGTACCGCCTCGTCACCTCTCAGGGTTTGTTGCTTTCGATTTTTCGTCCTTGCGATTTATTTATTTCGAAGTTCGTGTAATTTGTTTTGTTTTTGTTAGGTTTTGAATTTTGTTAGTTTTTGAATTTTTTGCAGAGGTGATGAAGGGGCTGTTGGCGAAAAAGCAAGCGAAGATGCAGCAATTGCAGAAGAATGGAACGATGGATGAAAAACAGAGTTCAGAATTAGCATCGGCGGTTAGAAAACCTGCTGTGAAGAACAACAATCAGGTAAAACCGCTCGTCAATTAATTAACATTGTTTGTTTGCAGTGAATCTCTTCGTACATACCTCCAACTTGCGTTTATTGAATTTCATGATTGAATTTCTCCGCTGTTGGTTGAGATCCACTTGTTTCCTAATCTCGATTTAAAAAAAAAAAAAAAAAATTGTTTGGGAATAAACTTAGAATATATGCATGTTTCCTACATGTTCATTGCTCCTTAGCTTTGTGATTTGATTGATTTCTCGTCAAATAATTTCCTCATGAGCTGGATTTAGAATGTTCTGATCTACGAAATCCATTTGGTACATTTTGAAATTATATCATACATATATATGATTGGTTCCAGTCCTCAGATGGATAAACAAATCAGTTTCTTCTTCACTGTTCATGTATGGTGAAGAACATACACATACATATATATATATATAAATATAAACTAGCGTTCTTCATACCATATTCTTAAATCTTTTTTAATTTGTTATTTCAGGCAAAACCAGAAAGGCATAGGTCAAGAAATTCCACCCCATCAAAATCAAGAACATGGCAACCAGCATTAAAGAGCATTTCTGAGTCTGCAAGCTGATTCTGATCATTCTGCCCTTCCTTCTGTTTCTTGGTTCTCACTTCACTTCATCTCTCCCTGTTGAATTTTGTAAATTACTTAGTTTTAAGTCAGACCAAAAAAAAAAAGGAAAAAAAAGAAAAAGAAGGCGCTGGTGATGATACATTCTAGAGTGAGAAACACTACCCCGTGTTGTAATAGAAATCTTTGCTGCCCTTTTTTACTTTTTTCTTTATTTTTTTTAATTATTGTTTTAATTTGTTTATTTCCAATCCCAATTGCTTGAAGTTGGAATCTGAATTCTGAAGGCTCCATAATTTTTGCTGCAGAAGGATTACGTGTCAGCAATGTTAGACAGTGATGGAGTGAGTGAGTGAATGACAATATATACATACATATATAAGAATATATTACTACTATTGATTATTGGCAGGTCCAAGGAGTTCAGCACCCGTTGGATCAGATCTGATCCGATATGGCATGGACGGTGTGGATTAATTCTAGCAAGAAACACCAATAAGGCAATGAAAGAAAAACAATACGTTGCATACATATTGATATAGATATAGGTGTGCCTGCCAACCTCACTGACTGATGACATATATAATCTATTCATAGCTGATTCATGGTGCCCCATCAAAATTTAATACCCACTTTTTTAGTAATTATGTTATATTTAACTTTACAAATATCTTTATAATTTATAATATATTACATATTATTATTTTTATATCACATAATACTAATAAGATTAGTTTAGTAATAGATTAAAAAAGAAATACTCCCTCCGTCCCATGTTCATGTTCATGTTGTCGTTTCTGTCCATCCCACGTTTCACATTATTTTCTTTTTTTGGAAAATGATTATACATTTTAATCTCATTTTAAACTTAATCTTAATTTATAATTATTTATATTATAGGATAATTATTTTTACTAATGCATTCTTAATTATCTACTAATTACACCCCTCCTAAAATACCGTGTCTACAGTGTAGCAGACACGGTAGGATGGAGTAATATTCTATCCGTCCCGATGTAAGGTTGTCGTTTACTTTTTGTACGTATATTTTTAAATATCATAATTATAATGAATTGTAGTGAAAAAAAAGAAAATACTTATAAAGATATTTATTATGTGAGGTGGATAGTACAATTACTAAATTAAGATATGATAATTTTGTTTTAGGACGGACGAAAATGGAAAATGACAACCTTTCAATGAGACGGAGGGAATATTTTATTAATTAGTGAGAGTGTTTAAGTAATTGTATGCTGCTAGTTAATGGTATTTTAATATTAGTGTATAATTACTTTTACTAAAATAAAAATTGATACTTATAGCTGTCATGTTATATTACGAGACATTATTCTTATTAGCATTATTTAATTTTTTAATCACATCAAAATTCATAATCGAACTTACTAACATGTAAATTAAACAAACAAGACATATCACACTAGTCAAATTATGTACGACAAATATTATTATTATTATTAATGGGGATGTATTTGGTTTGGTTTTAAATCGTTAAATTTTGAATTTGAATAATTATTTGATTGAATATAAAGTATATGATATTATAATATTTTAAATATAAAATATTTTTTTAATATTTTTTTGTTCTAATTCAAAATATTTTTTTATTATTTTTATATATTTTATTCAAAAGTATTTTTATCATTAAAAATAATTATACATTAACATTAAAATATTACTCCACCTGTCAATTTTTTTATTTTTATATGTCCAATTTATTCTGTTATTTTCTTTTTTAAAAGAATTATATATATTAGTCACATATTAAATTTTTTAATTTATAATATATATTTTTTTATTTTAATCTTAATTTTAATGCAAAATTATTTTTATTATATAATAATTACTAATATATTTTTAATTATTTACTAATTATATTTTTTTTTTAAATTTTTATGTCTATCGTAGAAGGGATACGATAATCAAAGTATATTTTATATAATATGATAATAATTTTGAAAAAACATTGTAAAATAATATCAAAAGTTTGCACGTAAACATAGCCAACTACAAGTAGTAGCGTAGGTTAAATAAAATAAAGAAGGTGGGATTCCATTACAACTTACAAGCCCAAAATATTTTATCCAAAAGGAAAAGACAAAAGAAAACTAAAAGGGACACAAAAATCCACAATTACTTTTTGCAGAATGCCTCAGAAAATAAAAATAAAAATAATAAAAGCATTATTATTATTATTATTATTAGTTTGTGAGATGGCAACGTTAGAAAAAAAGGCACGAGCAAGCTGCTGCTAATGATTAAAGGATGTAATATCTCATAATCAATGAAAAAGCAACAAAGAAAAGCTTCGATATATATATATATATATCCATATATATACTATTCCTCCTCCGTCCCATAACTATAGTTTGGATTATGATTGACACATAATTTAAAAAATATTGATATTATATGTACAATGGATAAAAAGTACGAGTAAAATTTTTTTTTGTCCTTGTGAGTGTGTGTATTAGTGTAAAAAGTAGTGACAATTGCGTAATAATAATGAAAAAGTAAAAGTAGTTTTATAGTGATATGATTATTTATGAAAATAAGACTATTATTTTAGGACGGACAAAAATAGTAAATAAAACTATTGTATTGGAACGGAGGGAGTATATTTTTTTTCATTATATGTAGTACAATATTTTTTTAGTCTAATTTTGTTTTAATTAAAGTAGTTAGATATATTCCTCATTCCACTCGAAAGAAACTTTTAAGATTTTATAATAAATTAAGAGATAATATTATTTTATTAGTTAATAAAATTGTGTAAAATATTTTGATATTTTTATCGTTTGACTTTATAAATGAATGGTATATAATTATATATTTATAATTTAAGTAAAAGTTAATGATATTTTGGTATAATGTATGATTATTTTATTAAAATATAAAATGAATATTTTTGAGTGAAACAGAAAAAAATAGTACCATCCTACTAAATTTGTCAACTATTTCTATTTTAGTCTGTCAACATAATTTGTCATTTCATTTTTAAAAATACAATTATACACTTTAATCGCATTTTAAAATGAATAATTTATAATAATTTTTTATTTTAAGTAAATTATTTAGTCATTTTAATCTTAATTTACAATTATTTTTATTAAATTAATCACATTTTCTAAAATTAATAATTTATAATTTTTTATTTTAAATAAACTATTTAGTTATTTTAAACTTAATCTAAAATTATTTTTATTAAATTATAATAATTATTATTAATACAATTTTTTTAATTACTAACTAAGTACACAGTACTTAAAACTTTGTGCATAATTTAAATGGAACAAATTAGTTGGATGGATGAAATATTTACTATCTCATTGAAAAGTATCCATTTTAAAAAAGAAAATAGATTAACGAAAGTATCCATTTTTTTTACTAATATATAAAATACATAAAATATATTATCTAAAAAATATAATATATAATAATAAGTCAACAAAAATATAAAATAAAATTTTAAATATTTTTATGATTTTTTATATTTCACAATAAAAGTAATTATATTGATATTAAAATATTTTTAATTTTTAAATAAATTACAAATATACGATTATATACTATATATATTAAGTACAGTAAAAATATTAAAATTATTTTAAATATTTTCTTTAATCAATAAACCTTCGTCCGACACATTTATTTTTCGTATTTTAATTTTTTAATATTAATTATTATATTATTAAAAGGTGGAACAAATAAAGAAAAATGATAAAAAAAAAACTTCTATCAATACTTTATAATAGAAGAATATTTTGTATAAAAAAAAATTATACAAATATAAATATATTTTTAATATCAAACATAATGACGCAAAAAGATAAGTGTAATCTTAGAAGCGGACCGGAAAAATATTATGTTTTGATTTATTTAAAAAAAAAAAAGTAGTTCAAAGTGTGCCGATTGTATTTACTACTACTACTAAATAATAGTCCCTCCGTCTCATGTATTATGGGTCTATTACTGTAGATACGGGAATTTAGGTAAAGTGTGATTAGTAAGTAATTAAGAAGTGTATTAGTAAAAATAATTATGCGTATAATAAAAATAATTGTGGATTAAAATTAAAATAACTAAATATTTAATTAAGATTAAAAAATTATAAAATTTAAAATTTAAAATGCGATTAAAGTGTATAATTATATTTTTAAAAATAAAAAAAACAAATTATGTGGAACAGATGAAAATAGAAAATATGGACAAATTATGTGGGACGAGACAGTAATAATAATAATAAGAAAAAGAAAGAATGATACAAGTAACACTTCATCTTGGTGTTGATGCACTAATGATTTGTTATTGACTTTGAGCAATCATATCTTCAACCATCTTTTTATAATTATTAATTATTATTATTATTATTATTATTACTAGTGATAGACTGATAGAGATATAAAAAGAAAATTAAAATAAAATAAAATAAAAATGAAAATCATATCAAATATTCTTCCACCCCACGAGGCCATTCAGATTTTTATTTCATGGCCCTACACTTTTTATTTGTATATAAATAATTTCTTTAATTTGATTTCATAATTCCTTTTCCAATCAATTAAAAAGAAAAAGAAAAAGAAATGCATATTAAATTATTATTATTATATATTGAATCATACTTATGTTTTTTTGAAGTATATATAAAATATATGAATTGTATTACTATTAAATTAGGCAATTTTGTTGCATTATTTTATACCGTAATATTTGTAAAATAGTTTATAATTTTAATAATTTAAAAGAGGAATTGTGAATTTTTTATTTATTATTATTAATATTAAAATGTTGCGAATTAAAGTAAGAGTGCAGAAGCAGAAATATGGAAAAGGAGAAGAAAATATCTTCTTTATTGTTTTTGTGAACGGCTTTACTTTGTGCGGAAAAGGTGAGAGGGAAAAACAGTACATAGAATTTTAGAGAATCTTCGGTGCAATTGGGTGTGTTTGTTGTTAGGATTTAAAGTTTGAGTTAAAATTTGAATTTAAATAGTTTAGTGATGTCATATGTTGGCGTATTGTTTTAAATGTTACTCTATCCGTCTCGTAAGTATAGTTTCAATTGAGTTGGATATAGAATTTAAGGAATATTAATAAAAGATTTTGCCCTGTATGTATTAGTGTAAAAAGTCGTGTAATAAAAATAAAAAAGTATGAATAATTTTATGGGGATATAGTTATTATTTATGAAAATAAAGCTATTGTTTTATAACGGACAAAAATAATAAACAAAATTATTGTATCGGTAAGGAGGAAAGTATTATATTAAGAAAAAATAAATAATAAATTTTTGAAAAAATCTCATAAATGAACACACTCTAAATACATATATTCCATCGGAAATAATAATTTAAAATACAATGCTATTACATCGATAAATAAATTTATACTCTTAATTCGATTGAAAGAATATCATTTAGTTTCATATAATTAATCCCACTAAAATAGTTCTAACTTTTCTATTTCTCTTAAATCTAAAGAATATCCCTGATTATCTGATTCAAATCATTTCAAACACATCAAAAACACCCTTAACACACATCACACATCTCAAATTTAAGGCTACTCCAAAACCCAGCAATTCCCAAAGAAATGAAATTTACAATTGTTACATAGAAAACAGAAATCCAGAATCATGTTTAGATACCGAATGAGAATTGCTCCAAATCTTTCAAAACAGAACAAGAAACATGGATATCCGAACATAGGATAGGATAGGATAGCAAAGGTAATTCACATTTGGGCAGATGACATCAATACCGAATATATAGAACAAAAATCCTCACATAGTAAATGTAATAAGATACACAGACCCTTCAAGCTTAGGCATATATGTATGTCTATTTGAGTCTAATTCAAATATCCCATCAACAATGTTAGCCCAGGATGCACTGATTCAAGAACAAAATAAAAACATTGAACATGGGAAACGAGGGGGAGGGGGGTAGTACTGAAATAGGATAAAATGTGCAAATTAGCTAAAATTGGGGAGATTCAACTTCAAGGGAACATCCAGCAATCCAGTAAGTGCAGTGAAGTGATGTAGCTAACATCACTGACAACCATAAACTGTCGAGCAAGCTGCACAAACCAGAAACAGTACTCAAATTAGTAGAGAAACAATCAGCACCAGATTGAGAGAGGATAATTGATACAAAATTTTCTCCATATATACAAAAAAATTGGATTCGGAAAACTTTCCCATTCCCTTCTACTCCCATGTGAGATTAGCAATATAAATTAGTTATGATTGTTTGATTATGACAAATATGTAAGAGTTAAGTTTTCTAGGCATTCAATTTTATGGCTCTATACGTACATACATGCACATATATATATGTGATCTAATCATTTAAAGGATATGTTTTGCCCATTGACGGTATGATCAAACAAAATGAATGGATAAAAACAATATACCGTTTGTCCAACAGCCTCCAGGAGGCTAATGTGTTTCCGAGATAGGTATAAGTCTCAAACCCTAGCTACTCTTGATTAATTACTACTACTAAACCTTAATTACAAAAATTATAATAAGCCCATCCAATAAATAAGAAACACACCCAACCCAAAATATAACCCAAGACATAACAAAAGGTAAATCCACCTAAGAGATGACAAACTCAAGTAATAAAGCAGACTAATGACAATTTAGACCTGCAAACAGCAGGCCTAAACCCATCCCCATCGTCGGTATATCAGCAACGGCCCAGACTCCTATTCCTCTTTAATGTTAACCTCATGCTCTCCTCGATCCGGGTGTCTATCGCTATATCTATTCCCACTTTCCATCTTAACTCATTCGTTAACCATAGTATCAAGTTTAATTTGTATGCCCCTCATTCTCAGTGTTGATACTTGATATCTATCTAAATCCAATTAATGATTATATAATACACAAATATAAAACAGGTGAAAGGGGGAATTTAACAAAAACATGTGTGAAATGTCTAAGGATTCCAGCCTCATAATGGTACATATGGCATGGGCCACATGCTTAGGCAAGTGGCAAATAAGTGTTCAATGGCCTTGGCAAAGGGCATTGGTGCACACCATGGCCCAATGCACCATATGAGCTATGGCATACCATTGCGTAATAGAAACTAAATATCCAGAACTTCATGGTTTTTAAAAAGTAGTTTGTATTTAATAATTTAACATTTATCCTATCACATCAATCAAACTAGCACTTAAAAACCGTCTTAGAAAACTCCCGGACGAAAATTGTCGTTTTCATGCAGATAAATACTACATCCCAAATGAATACCAAATACTATAGCAACACAAGCTGTGCAACAGAGGCATATTTCACTACTACAAACCACAAAAGATTCCATCAGAAAACCCGAGTACACAGATACACTGTGATACTACAAACTGGAATAGGTCGAACTGAAAATTTTATTTGTTCCTCAGTAATTTTTGCAGGATTCAATCCACATAAAATTCATAAAATCCCAGATGAATGTGATTACATCTTTCAAAGTAACTTCAATATTTCATTAAAAGAACATTAAGTCAAAAATATTGTCTATTTCTCAAGTATTGCATAGAAATAACTAAACATGCAGTAGAGCACAAGATACATTCCAGGAGCCAATTAAGTCACATCTGAGCACAAACAAATCAGTTTCACCAGGTCACTCCGCTAGTATAATATTTCTCCCTTAACTTACGCATCTTTCACAACATAGTTGAGTTACAAAAGAAACATATCTACATCACTTATGGATCAGGAATGAAAGAAGTCTATCTATTGCAATACAAAGTTCAATCAGCAAGTTTACGACTCATCCTTCTCCAACTCCAAGAAGAAATAATAATCATAACAATAAACCAACCAAATACACCGTTTTACTTATAAACTTAGAGATCCTCATCCAAGGACACTAATAGTAATTCAATTACAAAATAATATATCCGAGGCATAGGTTCTACTCCCATTTGGCGCTTTTACAACTAGTTGAAATGATATGAATAAAGTAAGCTTAGATCCAAACATACATCATATATAAAAGAAAAACCCTTCAATGGTTACCCGATAGAAATATAAACTCAATATTCCAGAGCTAACAAAAATCAAAGGACAAAAACATACTGCAAAGCTTGAAAGTGTGAAAATCAAACCATCACAAAGCCACATATACCAACAAACAAAACATTATAATGTATCAGAAGCAAATTACCCTAACATTTTAACTATTTGATCATAGCAAGAATTAATTTGCAACACTCAAGGAGAAACAACTAACCCATTCCATTATGTCTACTGTTGAGGATTTGGTGGAGGCGGCATTCCTGGCCTTGGCGGACCAAACTGTCCACTTGGAGGCGGAGGCATGCCAGGTCTTGGTGGTTGCTGGCCAGGCATTCCAGGCATCGGCGGCGCATTGGACGGCGGCGGTCCTCTCATCATCTGCGGCGGAGGTCCCATCGGCGGCCTCTGGGGGTACTGAGGTGGAACAAACCCTCCAGGAGGCGGCACCCCTGGCCTGAACTGAGGCGGCGGCGGCATCGGCATTCCAGGACGCGGAGGAAACCCTCCCGGCGGCGGGGCGACGTTGGGCGGCCTAACAACCGGCGGCTGCGGCGGGTAGGAAACAGGCGGGACGGAGATCTGCGGCGGTCGGGAAATTTGGGGCTGCATCATACCCGGAGCGGGGCCCCCAATTCCGCGGACCGGGCCGGCGAGGCCGGGCTGGGCCATAGTCGGCGGTCCAGTAACGACGCCTCGGCCGGCGGCGCGGCCAATTCCTGGACCGGGGATGGCGGTGGCGGAGGCGGTTTTGAGGCGGGATTCGTCGGGCGGGGGAGGGCCTTCGACAGTGAGGGAAATTACCTCTTCGCCCCTGAGAAGGACGAGGCCGAGAGTGCGGCGGTCTTCTCGTTCTTCCTTGGATCCTTTCGTCGGCGGGAGCTTGCGGAACTCCTCGCAGTCGCCGAGGACGAGGTTCATGTGGCGGTCGAAGGCCATAAACTTGCCGATGAGCTGACGGCCGTCTTGGATGGTGACGCGCATCCGGTAATTGATGTATTGGAGCATCTTGGAACTCTTGGACATCGACATTTTGGCGGAAGGAGAGCACCAAAACCTACCGCCTCCTTTTCTTCTGTTGTTCTTTCTCTGCAAATTTCGCTTTCTTCGAGCGGGCAGGGCAACCCAAGGAAGTCGAAGAGGGTTTTTCAAAACCACATCGTGGAATAGGAAACGCGACTTTGCTTTGGTGGCGCGCCTCCAAACCACGCTTTTGCTAGAAGGTAGCGATATTGGGCTTTAGATCAAGATTTTTTGAACCTATGATCTTCGGCCCAATAGTAGACATTAACAAAAATGTCTACTTATGTTAATTTATTTGAGGATAAGTGTTTTGAATTTGGATATTCAACTGCAAAATTTTGAATTCTTATACTTATTTAATAGGTTAATGCAATTTTTTTTTTTAATATCATATAAAAATAAAAACAAGTATTTTATTTAATTTTTTAAGGAAAATATTCAATAAACCGTAAAAATAAATAAATTCATGAGTATTTGTAAGAGGATTTGAATTTTAAGTTTGTATTTTAAATAACAAAAAAATTTGAGTTTAAACATCGTAAGTAAAAAATATATAATTAAATTTAGATAATATAAAAAATATATATATAAATATTTAATTTAATATCTTTAAAGTGAAAATTACAACTTGAGTTTGTTTGATTTTAGTCTAAGTTTTAATTTTTTATTTAAAAAATTTGTTTTAAATATTATTTTGATATAATATTTTATCAAAAAATAATAGTGTATGTTAGAATATTAAATATAACCAATTCTAATCATATAAACGGCAAATTGACCAATATAAATCACATAACATGACTTTTTCATTTTAGATTTCAAAGAGCTCTCCCAATATTCATCAAACTTGAGAATCAGATATAAAAAATATTACATTAAAAATCTTAAATTTGTTTAAAACTTCTCATCAAACATTATGATATAATAAACCCTATTAAATTCAAAATTTATGGTTCCCAATTTTCAAACAAACAAAAACCTTTCTCATAGTGGACAGCCAAAACCAAGTTCATCTTCTTCACCTAAATCCAGTTTCCATGCATAACATTCAATTACTCAAACTGTAAATATGGATGCTAAAAGAGAAATCAGTGACTTTAGAAACACATGATCACAAAAGCTCATGAAATTCACACACCATAGCAACCTTGGAGATCAATAAAAACCGAACGAGCACAACCGGAAGCCACTGGTGGTAAAGTAAATAAACCACTTTATTTCGATGCTATTGAGTAAGTTGAAACCCCACAAGACTGCCCTATAAATTCCAAAAAGCCGATTCCCTTACCACAGGACAATTTCTCTTTGACAAGAGAGGCTTAGATACGCATTATTGCAACATATGGAAACACTACTGGCTCCCTTTCGCCTGCTTACGGGCTTCCTCACGCATGACTGCTTTAACATAGATTTCGTAGCAGCATCCTGAGCACGAGAAAAAGTAAAATATCATTTGAGATTGTTTTAAATGTGGCAGAATTTAGGCATCGTATTCTCAGATAGTTTGTGAATTCATGGAAAAAAGTTCACCATATCATAGAAAATCTGGGGTTATTTGGAATAAAACAGTGAAATAGTAGCATGTCAAATAACAAGAATTATTAATCATGCTTGCATAATCATGATAGCCGCTTGAATTGTTGTTTAATGACTAGGATTATGAAAAATGTTTGTGTTTGATTAATGATTCCTAGGCATGAGACATGGATGACAAATCGATGATCACTTGACCTCCAATTAATCTGGCGGCCATGAAATGACTACCAAAACTATTGTTGTGCTGACAGCCAGTAATATCCGCCATGGAAGTTAAAAGGTTGACACATTTCACTAGATGATCAGCATTCACTATCAATCTATGCAAATAATGCAACTTGGGTTTTGATTTACATTTTTTAATCCATTTATACGTACTATGGAGCTTAAAGGAAAAGCACTCAAGTTCTCTGTTGCATTAACTCAGGTCATGGAGCAATACAATGACAACTTAATGAGGCATATTAACAAAGCTAATCAGATACTAGTTCAACAATATCTCACAACAATAGCAATGAAGCCTGAGAAATCGGCAGATAAACTTCTAGCTGAAAGATAAATAAGCATACCAGCAACAATAACTATGGTAAGAACATCTCCTACAGCTTTAAGACGCCGAAGGCCTTTTTTATGTGACTTGAAGCGTCGTAGTGCTGGATCCTCAGCCAGGAGCTGAAACACAATTTGATTATTCTAAACAGTGCATAACAGAACTAGGAAGAAAAAACATAAAAGTGGGAAAAAGAAGGCACACAGCTCCCAAATGTCAGGAATTAATTTCCACAATAACTATGACATATGTTTAGACCCATCAGAAGTTCATAGAATTCATAAGCTAGTTGAAATTGACATACCACCGAGTAAAAGTAACATTACAAGGATGGAACCATAGGATGCACTGCAAAGATAACAATTATGCAACACAAATTTTCTAAGCATCATAAACCATTTTTGGTTTGGTATGCAACAATTAGAAGCAATTATAGAACAAATGAAAATTATGATTAGAAACATCATATGATATTAAATCTTCAAACCAGATTTATCCATTGATGTGTGTTTTCTTCCGGTAGGTCTACAGCATGAGACAACACCACTAGTACAAAATGAAAGAGGCAGGAAAGGCTGGGAAAAATAGTTCTTTCAAAACCTAGCTGCTTTTGACCCCAATGTTTCCAACAATTTGAAAGCCGAACAATATATTGTACAAAGTTGATTCAATAATAGAAAAAACTGCTTCTACAATGTATTTCTAGCTGTTCTTTTTCTTAAGGTATCTCAAATAACCATTTTCACGCACATTCAGCATTTCTTCATGTGTACAACATATACGATCCCTAATTATTCTAGAAATCCCAATTTCTTCTGATTCAACATTCAATAAATGATCTGATGCACTCAGATCCAATACCTCCGATCCAGAAGCGTAGAATCAAAACAAAATGATTCATCCAATCTATTAAATAAATTAATTAAAAGAAAAAGACTTACAGCCTTCTCGCGAGGGCCAGGTTCCACATGAAAACTACGCGTTGAGAGCGTCAACAAATCATCACCTTTCTGCGCCAAAATTTAACAAAATCCATCAGTATTCACATCTTCCTACCACATTTTATCATACTCAATTTAAATTGCAACAATTAATAATTTCACCTGAATTAAGATTCCAGAAACATTTATCGACATACATACCTGAGAATTGAGTCGCAGAGCAGAGCGAGCAGTTCTGTTGAGTAAAAAGGCCATTTCCTTCGTCCACAATCAGTGGCGACGCGCGATGAAAACCTCCGAATGGAATCGAAAGTCCGCGGCTACCTACGTTCGACCCCTAGATATAAAATGATTAGAAAAACATTTTAATTTCAATATAGCCACATAATTTTCGGTATCTTCCCTCCTGCCCCAAAAGTTGATGCAAAAACTGTGCACCTGTTTTTCTGTGAAATTTTAATTTTAGGTTTTAATTTTGAATTGTCATATATTATGATGTGATATAAATATATATGAATGTGATATTTTAAATATAAAATTAAATTTTAGTAAAATATTATAAATAGAAAATAAACATTTCATTTAATATTTAAAAAAAAAATTATTAAAATAATAAAATCATAATCAAAAGTTTTACAAGTAAACACAGTCTGTGTGTAACTATGGATACATGGCCAACCGGTTCTTGATGCAGACCGGAATGCGCTGGACCGCTTCCGGTTTGCGACCAAACCGTTGGACCGTTCTCATAAACAATTGAACATATTCTCGCCACGTAAAGCAAAGCCATTCGAAACAGCGGCAGAAACTCACACCACAAACGGCTAGCTACAAAAGGAATTCCGCTTCAACCTTCAATCGATGGAAGAATTGAAGCACTCTGATGGCTTTGAGGAGCGCAATTTCTTTGGGGAGACAAGCGAGAGCCCCCTCCCCGTTTTCACGTCTTCTTTGCATCCGATCGGCACGTTATGTGTCTGGTTCAAGCCATTTTCATCAATCACCCTCTCTTCGTCGATTCCTGCCTGGTACACGTAAATTACAGTCTTTCCGATGCATAAATTGTTGAAATTTTTGTCGAATTTCATTTTATTCTTTGAAATAATAATAATAATGATCGTCGATATATATACTCTGGTTGGGACTTGGGATTAAGGTTTTGATAATTGGAGTGCTGAAAGAGTTTGATTCTCCTTTTCCAGTTTGATGAGATTATTATTTGGATTTTAGGGGCGAAAATTTCAGTTAGGGCGATAAATGAAGCAGCTACGGAGCCAAAGAAAGAAATTCAGGCGCCACCGCCGGAAAGTTGGGAGATTAAGATGTTATATGATGGAGACTGTCCATTATGTATGCGTGAGGTAGATTAAAAATTCCAAGAAACAACAGGATTACTTAATGTTGAATGGAGAGATTATTCTTGATTTTTCCATAAAAGATGAACATGATTTCTGTCATGTGCATACAGATGAGTTTGGAATGAAAATCATCTCTGGTTTGAATGATTCTTTCAAATTTTTGATAGGTTAATATGCTGAGGGAGAGGAACCAAAGATATGGAACTATCAAATTTGTAGACATCAGTTCGGATTCATATAGTCCTGATGATAATCAAGGCCTTGATTACGAAACCGTATGTTTTATCAAGTTCTTGCAATCAATTATTGGTGTGCAAATGTTCATTCATTAAATGCTATCCTGTGGAATAGACTTTTGGTTTCGATAGGTGTACAATTGTGTAGTTATACTTTTGATGGCCTTTCTTTTGGTTAGTTATGCAATCTGTGTTAAGTTATTGTTTGAATCTCAGGTAATGGGTCGAATTCATGCAGTTCTATCAGACGGGACTGTTGTTACAGATGTTGAGGTTTGTGCACTTTGTTTAACATCGACTTTGAAAATCTGTCGCTTTTGATTTTTCAGTAGTCTTTGCATTTCGTTGATGATTGCTTTTCTTAGGTCAGTAAACTAGACTCGGAATGATTTAGAAACCTTGTGTAGTGCTAAAATGCAACTAATTTCCTTCATGTTCTTATGCTCGGAGGTTTTTTCAACTAGATAACACTAATATTTGCAGGCATTTAGAAAACTTTATGAAGCAGTTGGCTTGGGATGGGTGTATGCTGTAACCAAATATGAGCCTGTAAGTCTAATTTGAATACCGAGTATCGATTCTGCGCTTGTCTCGTGCTCATGTGGAAGCTTCTTTAATTTTTAATACTTTTGAACTAGTAACAATGGAGAGCACATTTTTTGCAGATTGCGAGTATTGCTGATTCCATTTATGGTGTATGGGCTAAATACCGTCTTCAAGTTACGGGTGAGTTTTTTTGAGGATTGCTTCATTTGATTCATATGTTCATATTATGTTACGAAGATGTTTCATTTACCAGGACGACCACCTCTGGAACAAGTTTTGGAGATGCGCAAGCAAAAGGTCAGCATTTATACTTGCACTTGTAGTCGATGGGTACCCATTCAAACAGCTACTAGGCCTGTTTGTTTAGCTCGTTCTTCTCCATATTGGTTATAATAATTGCTCGTATTTCTTCACCACCAACTCTTTTTGACCACCTCTTACATGGCGAGTTAAACGAAATGCGCGCTAACTTGCCCGTTGGTGCCTGTTTTGCAGAAAGAGATGTGCAAAGAAAGCAGTGATTGTAAAGTATAGAAACATTTGAAAAGAACAAGAATTGTTGAGCATAAATAGCTTCAACAATGTAAGTACCATAATGCTCTCTGTAGTTTAGTTATTATTCTGAGTTTTGCTGCATCAAAGTCTTCCTTTTTATACTTATTATTGTTCATGAAAGTTGTGCTCATTGCCATGGCAAAATTTTAGATCAATCATGTCAAAAGTGTAATAAGAAAGAATTCGAGCTTTCAACCTAAAACTAAAATCAGTGGAGAGACCTTTCCGCAGTTTCCATATTTTTACCTCTATGGAACATGTTCAGGATTGGTCCTGATTTTCGAAAAGCCGAGCCAAAACAAAAACAGGGGCCTAAATATATATAAATAATATTTTTTCTAATATTTTTAGATGTAAAAATAATACTAAAAAAATTCCAAAATTTTGTAATGCTATGAATTAAAATCCATGACATCACTGTTATAAAATAAACTCAGATCATCAAATTAAAATAAACTTAGATCATCAAATTATATTTCATTTTAATTTTAAGTAGTAAATCAAATAAGTTCTATATATAATAACTATAGATATATAATTTGATGAGTCTTTCATTTATATTAAGCCCCGCAATATGACAGTCCATTCACTCTTAAGATAATAATCTTAAAAATTCAACTATAATCAAATAATGTTAAAAAAGAGATTCGAATTTTTCATTTAAAATCAATTGATATCAAATGAAGTCTTCACAACAAAGTATCTGTTTCTTTGTCAGTAACATTCAATAGCACACAACGCAGACAATCCTGCTTATTCCACACAAGAAATACTGCAACCTACAAGGCTCCGCTGGCATTGTCGTCGACACCGGCGCCGGAGACATTTCAAACATCTCAAAAAAAACACACACATTCAATCCACAAAAATCTCACGGCGTCGGCATCGCTCCGACACGGCTAGATTTCTTCGCAATGATCCTTTTAATAGAGCATCGCCATCTCCACACCCAAACCAACACCCCCCAATCCTTTCGAGCTTTATGGACCGAAAAAGGGACCGACGACGACGCATCCGGAGGGTTGCACAGATCAGCCGAAAACTCCAAAGCGGTGCGCAGCATATAATCTTCCTCATAACACTTGATCGGATCACTTGCAGACAACAACGCATCGAAGAATGGGGTATTGCCCGCAGCTTGACCGGCGAAGCTCATGTCGTTTAAGCAATACTCATAGCTAGCCGAGGCCGAGGCCGAGCCTCCGGCAGAGAACATCGGGAGCTGCATCACATCCGAAGGTGCGTCGACCTGCGGATAGTTGCTTGTAGTTATCTCATGAGAACTCGAACCACGAGGATCACTTCCCTCCAAAAATGTCGGGCCGCAGGAGAAGGATGACGATGCCGGCATGATCAACATCGACTCATCTAAAGTGATCATTTTGTCACGATTTGCGTACGCGCATATAACCAACTCCCGAGCATTCGCCTGAAATAGATGGATACAAGTGACGAGTCAGTGCTGCCTTGAAGGGTCAAATTTACCTTTTGTGTCATTGTAATTATCATTAAAAATATCATTATATTTATATAATTCTTTTGTACTAATATCTTTCTATTAGTATTATAAGATATTAATGGAAGTATATTTGCAATTTTTTCTTAATTTGTAATACGTTTTGATATAATAATTAATATTTAAAAATCAACACGCGGTAAAAAGTAAATGAGACCTTAGAGTGGAGATAGTAATTAATACAAGGAGCCTACCTTTTCGACTTCAGACAGCTCAGCCGTCGCGACATACTGGTTATTCAAGAACATCCCCATCACTTGTCCGATAGCGTTGAAAACAACGCTGTTGTTTTGCGGAGACGTCGGCGAGCTTCCGTAAAGGTGCAACGTTTTGTCGAGAACGCATGTCTGAGCATGCTCCACGGTGATTTCCCACTTTTTCGACGACATTCCCGACCCAAGAATCTGCACGATTTCAGAATGCCGTTAGTATGTAAGCCTCCATCGTTAAAATAAGCTCGATTTTAGTGTGTTTACATCTCGAAGCCTCCGGGCGTTCAAGGAAAGTAAAATTAAGAAGTCCTGCACCGTGTTGACGCCTTCCTTTCGCAGACGCTTGTGCAAAGCGCCGTCTTTTCCGATTTTTTCCAGCCGCCAAACTTCGTCTTGCAGATGCGGAGGGTGATGCTTCTTGTACACTTCAAAAGTACAAATGTCGCAAGAATTAGTCGAACCAATGGAAAAATTAAAATAAACACGTCGAATACAAAGAGAACTCACACTCTCCGCGATGATCTCTCACAACAAATGCTTTCGATATCGCCTCTCTTATCCTGACTCCTTCAACGTCATCAATCATCCGAGCCCCGAGCCTAAATTTGCGGCTCCTCGTCCAGCTAGAATTGTCCGTAAACGAAAGATCGCCTAACAATCCTATCCCATCTTTAAGTGTCAAGATCAAATCCCCTGTTAGAAGAGGCTTCTTCCCTTCTCGTTCCCTCACGATATTACTCGCAAATTCGTCGAGTGTCCAATTCTCTTCATCGTCGCCATTAAAGTCTCCTTCAAGAGCAACGATTTCGATCCTTGCAGAGGATAAGGGACTGCAAGAAATAACTTCCCTTGAAAGATCATCAACTAAAGCAACTTCTATAGGACTAGAACCTTCTCCTTCGATACGAGTGCCAGTAAACACCGGAAGAGATAAAGCATTCACAAACTGAAGCTGCAATGTCTTCGACTCGGAAGGTGAGGCATCTTTCTCGCAATTTCTGGAAATTCGAATCGAGAAGTGACAGAACAAATTAGGAAACAATGGCTGCAGTCTTCCATTGAAGAATCGATGATCCATACCTTTTCATGTTAATGATATACTTCGTTAACGCAGAGTCGACTTCCTCCTTAACCTGTTAGATCACATTGAAGTAAAATAGATAACATTGGATACGATTGAACACTTCTCTAGCTGAAATCTATGCTACGAAGAACAAACACAAAATCAAGCAATCTAACTAAAAAATGATAGCTTAATTTCATGAATCAATAACTCATTTGACCCTTTTGAAGCACCAAAACTGTAATCCTATCAAGAATTCATGGATTAAATGCTTGGGAGTTGGGATTAACTTACGACTCGTCGAACGAGAGGCTCGAGGACAGGATACATGAGATTCTGCAGTCTCTGGATGTTCATCACATCCCTAACCACTCTACAAAAATAAGAGGCAAATCGATTAGGATAATCAATCGGTAATTTGGCTGGAGAATTGAAATACTTGGTGGAATTCACCAAATTCAGCTTCGAATAATCAGAATTACTTTAATTTTGCCACCTCTAACAGAAGAATAGAGAATTCTAGAACCACAGAGATGCATGGTGAAAAAGCATCAAAGTAAAACTAAAAGCTACTTTTTTATGTTTTTTGTTGGGTGAGGTTTGGTATGGTACCTTCTGAAAGAGTGGGATTTCCTGGAATCCTTGTCGTCGGCGGCGGAGCCATCCTCCCGTTGCGGCCGCTTCTGCGACATCTCCGACGAGGTTCCTTAATTCTCCGATATGACGCCAGACAGGATTTGGACAAACATGCGAGAGAGAGAAAGAAGGGTGTGTTGCGTATGCAATGTTGGAGTATATGAGAATTTGAGTAGGACCTGACCTGGAGTGGAAGCGGGTCGTGTCGGGTAGGGTCGGGTAGGGTGGATGGTAAAGTAAGGGCCAGGGAAGACGATGAAGTTGGCACTCCTTGGGTAAACCAAGAGACGAATGTTGGTTGGCCCTACGTACGGTACGACGCCCAAAATCAATTTATGGCATTAATTAATTGAAAATTGAAGGAAGGAATAAGCTGTAATTTGGTTTGTTTTGAGAGTGGAGACTGATTGACGATGGATGAGTTTGGATTGGAGTTGTCGTAGAGGGATTGAGGGATTATTAGGGATTTGGAATTGTTTCAGGAAATTGGGATGAAAGGGGTGGATGGTATGAGCCAAGAACTGAAATTGTAATGTGGGGTGGGGGGCGAAGGTTCGTGGAAGCTTCGTTTCAGTTGAAGTTGAAGTTGAAGCGGATGAGGATTTTGCTGACAAGCGACTGTTTGTCCGTACGTACGTCCGGCAGCCATTAGAGCTGATCTTCTTCGTCTTCTTCTGATGATGATGATGATGATGATTTAACACACTTCTTTCGTACTACGCCTCCACGCTCTAAGCCACAATCAGTACTAACATAATGAGCAGTTTACTTCTTTGCATGTGGTGGTTATTCAGTAAAATTATAACACTTGCCTCAAAACACATATTAAAAAACATAAACATATATATATCTTTTCTCTATAATTGTCTCATTTATATTTTGAATGTTAATCTTTAATATTAAAATTATATGAAAAATTAAGAGAAAAGAATAAAAATATTTTTATTAGTATTTAATAATACTATTATAATAATATTTGTAAAAAAGTTATACAAATATAAAAAAAAATTTAATGATACACAAGGTAAATGAAAATGGGAGTCGGGAACATTTTACAAATGAAGAGAATATTTATTTTTTAATATATTCTTTCAATCTAAAAATAATATTATCTCATTTCCAATAATCTATTCATTTTTCTATTTTGTTATATCTATAACAAAGTATTTTTTTTAGTAATTGTATTTTTTACGATTAAATCATAAAAAGTACTATTACAATTACAATATATTATACAAATATCATTACTTTTATATTACACTGTACTAATAAAGTTATTTTAATCTTTTTTACCTTATTCATACCGCACCCTACTATAATACTAATATTCTTAAAACTCTATGCAAAAAAAAAACAAAATAATATATAGATAAGAGACGCCGGAGTATATAGTATTTTTTTTATCCATAAATAATCAATCACCATAAAATTATCACTAATTTTTATTATTAATTTACACAATTATTATTATTTTTTAAACAAATACAGTTATAATGATATTAAATATATATTACGTCGTCAAATTAAAAGGTAATAATTTACTTTTATTAATAACTATGACCCAAACTTTTTTACAAATGCTTATATTTCATCATTATATTTTTACTTTTTATATAAAAAAAAAATTGAAATTGTCTATACATTATTTTTAATTATCTAATATAATTAAAAAATTATTATTTTTTAAATTATGCACAAAAAATAAATATATACTTTTTAACTTTAAATAAAATATATCTAAATTATTAAAAAAATAGATTGACTTAATAAAAATAAATTAAAAAAAAGACCGTGGACAAAAAAAATATCACAATATATATTATTTTTTATGGGTGTGTTCTTCTACAAGATTTTGAAATTTTTTTACTATTTATCAATTTTTTCCTTAAAACTATTAAATTAAACACCTATTTATATATATATTATACAAAAAAATTAATTTTACATTCAAAACAACACATCAACACATATTTATATCATATCGTACAGCTATTCAAATTCAAATTTGTTACTATTTAAATCTCAGCCCAAAATCCAATTATCCAAACAAACACACCCAATATGTTATTATTAGTATGATTTATGTGTGAGTTTCGTTAGTCATAAGAAAATATAGAAGATTTATTCAATCTACTTCTACCTTTGTTAATTTTTATTTGTTTTTTAGTCAATACAAACCTTAAAAGAAACTTTGATATGATTACACTTTCTTAAGAGTTAAGGTTATTTACATTGAATTCGATTAAATATCATAGTCGATAATAAATATGACTAGTTAGTTATACATGATTTTCAATATTCATATCACATAAAAATATAAAAACAAATGAGTATTGACAATATATAAATTTATATTAACATAATATAATACAACAATGATACTCTCTCCGAGTCTCCGTCCCATAACTATGTATTCATTTGCTTTTTGCACGGAGTTTTAGAAATATTAGTATTATGTTGGGATGTAGTAGGAATAAACAGAAATGACTAAAATAATCTTATTAGTATTGTGTGATATAAATGTAATGACATTTGTGTAATATATTGTAAGTTGTAAGGGTATTTGTAATGTTAAGTAGATAGTACAATTATTAAAAAATGAAATGAATACTTTGTTATGGAACGGACTAAAATGAAAAATGAATAATTTGTTACGAGACAGGTGAAAGTATATAAATAGACAGCACATATATAAACTATGTTAATATAATAAAAATGTACAGATTAACTGATAATTTTATCTCCCATGACTTCATTTCATACACAATTCATTTTTATTGTTTCTTCTCTCAAATCTATAGATTTTTTATTTTAATTAAAAAAAAATCATTCTTGAGATTAATTATTATTTATGCAATTATATTAAATTCTATATTCGTTTCATTTGAAAGTATATATTTATTTTCGGCTTAAAATTTAAAAAATAAATAATATTTTAATTATAATGTATAAAGATAATTTTTCACATATTTTTTAAGTATAAAAGGTAATAATGTGATGATAAAATAAATGTATTTTTAGAAAAAAAAAAATATTTTTGAAATAGTTACTTAATAATTGAACAATTCATAATATAATACATGTATATTTTACGAGTAGGCGGAGAAAATATATATTTTTTTCTATTTTCTTCTTTAATTATATTAAATACACCATTGGTGTCTTCTTTTTTTTTTTTTTTTTGTTATGTCTGTGTTTTGTGATTTATTTATTATTTTTATTTTTTTTAATTAAGTAAGACCGTCTCTATTATGAGTTGTCCAATTATATGATTTTTTGTTGATTTGATTTGAAAATAATATTTGAATTTGAATTTTTAATTTAAACGGTATTTTGATATAATATTATATGAAAAAATATTATATTTTTATTAATAATTGTACAAATATAATCATATTGAAATGTATTTGAAATAAAAAATAATAACAAATTGTCCCAAGTTCATCGATAGTGATTTTTTAAGTTTTGAATTTCTTTTTAAAAAAAATAATAATTTTTTTTTAAATAATAAAAACAGTTAAAAATTAACACAATATTCCATTAAAAAAAAGGAAAATATATACTTCTTAGATATGATTTTTTTCTCTAAAAAAAAATTATAATATCTAACACTATTTCTTAGTACAAAAGTGTATATGTATGTATACTGTATACATAATATAGTCCTTAATTTTCAAACAAAATATCACACTTAATAAATTTCTTATTTAAAAATACCAAAACAAATTAAGTATATAAACTAAAAATAAATACACAAAAGCACACACCCCAACTAGTTGAATTACTCTTATTAAACAATATTGATTGACTTTTGTATATAAATAAATAAACAAATGATATACTCTCTCTTCCATATTTATATATCAATTTATTTTTTTACAGGATTTTATAAATATTAGTATTATATATAAAGTAGAAATAAAGATAAAAAAATTAAATTACCTTTATTAATATTGTATGATATAAATGTAACGACATTTGTATAATATATTGTAAATTAGAATGGTATTTGTAATGTTACGTACAATTACTAAAAAAAAAAGAAATTGATACTTTGTCATGGGACGGACCAAAATAAAAAAAAAATAGATAGATTGTTAAGGGACAGAGGAAGTATATTTTAAGTGAGACTGTCATTTACATAATCTAACAAATTAAATAAATATAAATTGAGTTTGAACTAGTCATAAAAAATCTCACTTCAATTCAGTGTCTTAACAATTTCAAGCAAAAGGAACTATTTACTTAAATTTATTTATTATATTTTATATGGTGGTCTACATCATAACCAACCGACTACAATGAAATAACTTTAATATTGACCTAACTTGAGAGGGACAATTTTTGTTTACTTATATATATATATTTTTATTTTTATATTGTTCCATAATACTCTTTCCGTCTCATATTTATATATTTATTTATTTTTTGCACGAATTTTTAAAAATATTAATATTATATTGGAATAAAGTAGAAATAAATATAAAAAGACTAAATTAACCATATTAGTATTGTATGATATAAAAGTAACAAGATTTGTGTAATATATTGTAAATTAGAAGGGTATTTGTAATGTTAGGTAGATAGTACAATTACTAAAAAAAAGAAATAGATACTTTATTATGGGACGAACCAAAATAAAAAAAATTTGATAGATTATTAAGGGACGGAGGAAATATTTTTTTAAATAGACTATTTTCTCGGGTAAAATACCACATAGACTTCTTTATATTATGCTTCATTTTTTATTTATTTATTGTGTTTTGTTTTTATATTTTATATTTAAATGATAATTGAATATGATATTTTATGATCATAATATATTTTTTATACGAAAATAATTACTTTCTCATTTTCACGTTTGTTATCTAGTTTTCATTTAAATTGTCCTACATATTTCCATTTGTAGTATATGTGTGTTCATTTATTTTTATCTTTATTTACCCAATTACAAGTCCATTATTTGTTTTTAACCTTATTAAATTCAAGGGTATTTTAAAAAAACTTACTTTTTTTAAAAATTCATTCACTAATATAATACTACTATCTTAATTACCAATCGAATAATCGGTATCTAACATTTGGGCAAAAGCCCGTCGAAGCAATTTCGCGTGTGAACATAGAATCCTCATAGGTCGTGAACTTCTTTTCCCGATTAAGACATGGACGCAAAGATCTTATCAATTTGAATTCCTCAATGTAATTAAAAATTTGTGTTCGATTCATTTTTATTATTATTTTTTTTAATGGAAGAAAGTGATATTTAATCTAGCATGGATTGATAAGTAAACAATTAATTAATATGATGAGATCATATACTTTGATTTTTATATATGAAATTGTACTTAATTCCTAAATTGTAAGGTAGATTCTAAACAAATTATATAAATGAATATCATTCATACACCCTAAGAGACCTTGTTCATCAATTATATGCATTTTTTATTTATAGGAAAAAAATTTAAATATTTTTTTTTTATTTATACATTTTAATATTATTATAGTATTTATTTACAAAACATATCATAACTATTTATAAACTTGATTTAATAAAATTTCTTTCACCTCATTAATTCATGAATATATTTTTGAACTTTATATAACAACAAATCAATATAAATAATATATTCATTAAAATATATTCAACTCAAATGAACATATAATTGCCTTGAAATTTTCAAAACAAAAAAGAAAAGGTCTCGAAAATCATGAGACAATTTGGAATATAAGCTCATGTGTGATGCTTAAATTTGAATCTATTTAAAATTGTTTCGAAAAGTTCAAAATAACCTTAAAATTTTCGAGACCACTGGAAGGGCGATGACTTTTACTTTTTAGGTGCGTTTTCGATACAAATTCTAAAAGTACCCTTAAAATCATCTCGGAAGTAGTTCTATTTCCGAAACAAGTTTTCGATAGCCAAATAAAAATTTATGACAGGAAACTATTATTTAAATAAAAAAAGAAAAAGAAAGCAAACCCTAAAAATAAAATCACTATATAATAAGGGTGTATTCATTTTCAATTCTTACATATTTTTTTACTATTTAAACTCTATAATTTTAAAAAATATATTTCTTCTCTCTCATAAAATTGATTTAAATAAATCTAAAAACCTTTGAGATGCAAACTAAAAGAACCAAACCCTAATATTTGTGAATTATCACCTGTAATAAACTCTTTGATTAATGTCCCACAAGATGTATTTTAGAATATCTTCATAATATCTTTGAATTTCATATTTATCATTGGAACTTGCAAATACTTTTTGTTCTTGTTCAAATTCTCTAATTAAAATAATGAAATTAGAAAAAAAAATAATAAAAAAAAATAAACCAGACTATTTTTTCCCATGCTGAACCATGCCAGATCCACGAGATAAACCCTAATAAGTTAAACTTTAATATTTTCTTTATGCTTTAATATTTTGATTGAATTTTGATTCAAATAATATATATGTCATATTTTATGAGAAAAATATTACTAGCTCCGTCCACCGCGAATCTATCAATTTACTTTTTGCATATTAATATTTGAATATTAATTATTATATCAAAATATAGTACAAATCTAAAAAAACGACAAAAATAATTCTATTAGTGTCTTATAACACTAATGTAACGATATTTTTACAAAAAATTATACAAATATAAAGATATTTTTAATGTTAAAAACAATAACGCCAAATGCAAATAGATAGATTGGCGGTGGGCGGAGGTAGTATATATTTTGCTTGAAAACTGATAATATCGAAATATGTTGAAAATCATAACCAAAACACGATATTTTGTGTGTTGTCGACTTTTAATGTTATATGTTAGTATATTTTGTATTGAATTGTTGAATTTTTATAAGTGTGTAAAATATATATATTATATCAGTGTGTATATTGTAATTTTTATTTATTTATTTATTTATTTTTTAATTTTTGAAGGCAAGGGTTCCCTTGGTTTGTGTTTAAGTTTGTGTGTGTATGTGTTTAAATATTTGAATTTTGATTTAGCTGATATATCATCACAAATTTTATTATTTATTTATGTATATATATATATATATATATTTTTAAATGTGATGATTAATTTGACTCATTCAAACTCAATGTAAACTTGTTAAATAATTAAGTTAGAAGATTAACATAAATGAATTAGTCACTAAAAATAATGATATTAATAAGGAATATAATTAAATTAAATTAAATTAAATATATAGGCACATATATTTTCTACTGTATTTATTTTTTATTCACACTTGTTTGTTTGTTGGTATGACTAAGAAGAAAGAGAGAAGAGCTCCACAATTATTTATGATTGAATAAATGGATACAGATTGAAATGCTAATCAATTGAATTTAATAATTTGATTCAATAATTGCTTGGTATGATTGATTTCACTTATTAAAGCACAATAATGAAAATATAAACATTTTAAAAAAAAACTATAATAAGAAAAATATAAAATTTTGAATCTATCTCTTAACTATATAATTTAAATACTGAAATAAATAAATAGATTCAAAAATTGAAAGAATGAATAAAAACATTCAAATTGCACAACAAGAAGTCCTAATAACAAAATTTTAGTACAAAAAGCTTTCATTTACTTTTGCCTTGTCATAAAATTTAGTACTAATTATGTTAGGTATTTGTTGTTAAGAAAAGATCACTTTACGACGATATTACTAATAGTTTTGGCAGAAAATATGTTCAAATAAAGAAATCGAGAAAATTCGCCAACGAGCCACTCGCCATTGCTCTCTAGACTTCGTCGGTCGATCGACCCCTTGTCGTTACTAGTAGTCCTAATCACCAAGCATCTAAAGATAAATGGTATACAAATGCTAAGGTAAATGGAACCCCTTGAATTGTGAAGGGTTGTTTGTATCGAATTTAATACTCTATCTGTCTTTCGATAGTCCATAGTCCATTTCTTCGTCGAATTCAAAATTCTTTCTTTTTTTTTTTTTTTTTTGTTTCTTTCGGTGGTTTATTTCTTTATCCTAGCTTGGTTAATTTGCAATTCATTCGTATTTAATTGATGTGAAATACTTGCTCTCAATTATGTGAACAACATTTGTTTCTTTGCAGCATACTTCCTCGATCTTCTTTGCGGGTTGTTGATTTTCGACTAATGGAATACATTGCACGCAATCAAAATGATTTTATAGAAATAATAATTTGGATACATTGCACATCATTGTGACCATAGATTGAAATAATTGATTAAATGACTACTTATTTGGGACAATAGCGAAGGTTAAATTGTTTGAATGAAATAAATATTTGATTTTAATGTTGAAATTTTCAAATATTCTCACAAATCCATGTAAGTTAGCAACTTTAATCGAATTGAGAGTTGTTTAAATTAAGTAAATTGTGCCAAAAATCAAATAAGATGATGATCGTGTTTAGGGAATACATCACAATTTTCAAGTGGCAATGCACGCAAACAAAATGGTGATTTGAACATGATTTCCTAACACCATAGTAATTATAGATAAAAAAAAAAAAATTATAGATTTTTTGAAAATTTAAAATGTAATAAGAAGATCAGGAACATTTAATGTAATGTAAATTTTCAAAATTTCTATTTAAATGGAATCTAATATCGTTTGGAACTTTAGATTTTGCAAAATTAGAATACCTCTTTAAATTTAAGTGTGAGAACTTTTCATAAAAGTGTGTTTGTACGGGGGTTGGATTTTGAGTTGAGATTTAAATAGTAAAAATTTTGAATTTAAATAGTTGTATGATGTGATATAAATAGGTGTTGACGTGATGTTTTGAATGTAAAATTGATTTTTAGTATAATATAAAAAAATAAAAAATAGGTATTTAATTTGATGTTTTTTGGAGAAAAAATGAGATGAATAGTATATTTAAAATCCAATAACCCAAACAAACGGATAGAATAGTAAATTTAATATCTACGTTAAACATTGCACTTAGAAAATATTAAAATTCAACTTTACACTCGTATTACATTGAAAAATATAACATATTTCATGTTTTTATGTGTGAATAATGATGGAATTTGAAAATAGTAAATCTTGTGCTGGGTCAAAAGTTTGAATTTTAAATAGTAACAAGATATTAATTTTCGTATTCCCATCAATGCAAGTAACATATGTTACTTCAATTTGTAACAACTATAGGTGACAATAGGAAATAGTTACAGTGTTGATTTTGGAAAATCGGCATAAATAAAATATACATATAATACATATTTTAAATTGGCGCAACAAGTTACGTGAAATAAAAGAAATTGCATGCCGGATAAACCTTCAGGTTAGGCGAATCATGTGTGGCAGGTGACCTGAGTCATCTTTTACTGGACAAAAAGAATGTGCTATTTGTTCATACTTAAAATATGTGTTATTTAGGAATATATCGTGTGCTAAAATAACTAAGTATGTGGTGTGTGATATGTGAGACTACGTCATTCTGTATTGAATCGAACACAAAAATTTTATGCATTAGCGTGAGGAAGTCGAAAGAATTCATCGAAAACTTACAACATCGATCCATCCATTCGATAGATTGTACATTACAACATGAATCCTAATCCTCTTCCAATCTCGATATGGAACTAACTCTATATTTACACTTAATCAAGAAATCCGGAGTTGGCCCGATGAATATTACCAAAAAAATACGAATGCTATACAATAGAACACGCGATCACTAGATAGATCAATAGTACCCTTTCGAAGCCCGCGACTGGTACAGCTCCAATCTCTTCTTCCCCTCGTAAGCCAAAGCTTCGAGGTCCTTATCCTGCATCAAGTTCGACTGCTTCGTCGCCCACTCGATCACGATCAAAACATCCTCCTTCGCCAAAACCTCGCTATCCGGGACATTCATCGCCAGGTAACACAAGAGTATGAACGACGGGATTTGCACCATTTGCTCGCCGAAATAAACCAACGGGACGAGGAACTTGATTCCGCCATCGTTGATTATCGATTTGCTGTGCACGATGTTGAGGAAGTTTCCGGGGCCGGAGAATTTGCCCAGGGCGACTGCTGCCTCGCATGTGATTTCTGGCTCTCGATCGTCGAGGAGGCCAACCAATGGGCCTATGAACCTCGTGTCGCTTGCGCGAAAAGTTCTTGCCAAGTTTCCGATGGATTGGATGCTCGGGATTAGGAGGTCGGGATCTTCTTTTTGGATGACGATTAGGAACTGATCGACGACGGCTTTGGCAGCGAGCGCGGTGGGCTTGAAAGCCGAGCGCCGTAGAATTTCTTCCTTTTCGGCGACGGCAGTGATCTCCATTAATGCCATGGCGGAATGGTACCTTACGTCTTCGGCGCCTTTCTCGAGGAGAACGGAGAAGCAGAGGAGGGCGCGGGATTCGGTTATGCTCCGGCAGACGGCGACGTTTCCGGCGCAGAGGTAGCGGAGGGCTCGGGCTGCCATGATTTTCATCTCTGCTTTTGTCGCGGGGTCTTCGAGCTCCCGGCCTTTGATGCTGTCGCCGCTGAGGGCGTGGTGCCGGTGGTGGTGCTGCTGGTGGTGCTGGCGGTGTTTTTTCTTTGAATTTTGCTTGCCGCTGGATTTCCGATGGCCGGAGGACGGCGGCGATGGGGCGGAGGTGGTGGTGGAGGTGGTTGTGGTGGTGGCGCCGCCTATTTGAGTTATGGTGTCTTTCATTGCCATGGCGTTTGTGGCGATGTTGTGCATTTGGGTTGGGGCGGCGAAGCCGCCCATTGGATGAGAGATTTGTGTTTTCAGGCTGTCGTCGGCGGCGGCGGGAGTGACGTCGGCGGCGGCGGATTCGGAGTTTGCGGCGAGGACGTGGTGGATGGAGGTGTGCTTTCTTTTGGCAATGGCGTACTTGTGGTGCTCCGGGATGGTTTCGAAGGCGAGATGGCTGACGAGGAGCTGGATGGTGTTGTTCTGGAGGAAGTGATCCTGACATTTCCGGTGGTTGGCCGCCATCTCCGACACCGCCCAAGCTACGACGACCTGGACCTTCATGTGGCCTTCTTTGAGAATTTTCGCGAAAACTTGGCAGACGCCGGCGTTGACAATTTGTTCGACGCTTTCGGGGTCTTTTCCGAGGAGGCCGATGGCTCTTGCGACGTTTTCCTGACCTTCAGCTTTACCTTCTTTCGCTAATTTCAGCAACGGCCCCAACCCGCCTTCCTCGATGATCAATTTGCCGTAGCGATCGTTGTCTCGGGCGAGGGAGACGAGGGAGGCGGCAGCATCGGTGCGCTCCTCGACGGCGCCGGAGCAGAGGACGGCAATTTGCTCCCAAATGAGGCAGAGGATGGGTTCGTTCGCGGCGATCGGGGGGAGGCCAAGGTAGTCGTCGTCGCGGGCGTCGGCGGGGGTGGAGACGCGGAGGAGCCAGGAGACGTCGCCGATGGAGTTTTCGAGCTGTTGGGAGATTTTGCGGAAGGCGGCGGCGGGGATGATGGTGAAGATGCGGCGGATGCCGCTGGCGCGGCATTTGAGGACGAGGGTGAGGGCTTTGTCGAGGACTTGTTCGGTGTCGTCAATGATCCGCCGCGTCGGCCGCTCGTAGAGGTCGCCGCTGGCGCGGGCGGCCTGCCGGAGGAGGCCGACGAGCTTCTCTGTTTTAGCCTTGACCTCGAGGCAATCCTGCCGGAAGGAGATGGCGCCGTCGGCTAATTTTACGACCTCGTCGGCGTATTGGATCGGCTTGACGAGGATTTCCTTGACCAAATCTCCCATGGAGGAATCGATCAATCGATCGATCGATCAAATCGATCGGATCTTCCGTTCGAATGCTCGTCTCGATCGAAACTGGGGATGAATAATAATAATAGCAACAATGATGACAACGATGATCTCCGGTGGTCTCCGATGGTTGCAGCAATGGGAGGAGGTGGTGGAGCTAGCATGGCGGACGGCGGCGACGGCCGCTGCGAGGCGGCGGAGGGATTGGGGAAGGGAGATTGGGTTGTGTTATTGGGGAAGGAAGGGGATTCAACGTTGCAGCCTTATTCATAGGGATGGGATTATGGGATTAGTCATTGTATTGCATTGGGTGCAGGGCATTTTTGTAATTTCGCATTTCCATGCATGCAGCAATCTAATTAATAACATCCTGTTCGATATCTATTGCCTCTTCTCTTCCTTGTTATATATACCTTTTATATTCAAATTAATTTTTTTTGAAAGACCCTCAGATAAATTAAATTTTGAATATTTTAGAACGTATTTTACAATTAGCTGATATTTTTTTAACCGTAAATAATAATTTAATAATAGTTATTTATATATAAAATAATAATCGAAGATATTTATATTTTATTTTTTTAAATATTCGACTGTATTTTTTGAGTTTGAAATTTTTTATTATCGGTTATTGAAAATTACGAGTCTCATAAAATATATATATTTTTTTTAAATTTAAGAAATTAATAATTTTTTATTAAAAACTATAAGTAATTTTTCTTTTTCTTTTTTATTGTAGTATCAAATTTGTTGAATGAATAGCTAAGTACCTTGAATAATTAAGATAAATAATTATTTTAATCAATTTAATTATATATTTATTATAGTTACTTAAATCTAAAATTGATTAAAGTCTACAATAATAATAATACAGTAATTAAGAATAAATAATCTTAGGTAAATAGATGAGATTAATTTATTTCTAAGTATTATATTTATACTAAAATTTATGTTTTTATATATTGAATCAAACAAACAACATATCATATTAATTAATGTCATAATTATATATAATATTGAAATAGGCTATTGTTACTACGCTGAAAAATACGTCGTGAACTATATGGATGGTATTATTACAAACAACTTCTTATATGTTAATATAATTATGAAAAAAAAAACAAAAAAAAACATGCCTCCGTTATACACGGTAGTATGTAGGGGCGGATGCATTTGGGGCAAGACCCTCCCCCACTCCCTTTTAATTTTTAATTTTTTGTTTTTATTTTATAATATATAATATAAAAAATAATAAACAAATTAAAAAATTAATAGAGTATTTATGTGAAAAAAAATTTAAATTTTGAATAATAAAAAAATTTATATCATAATAATTGTTTGATACTATAAAAATACATATGAACAAAAAAATAATAAATAATAATTAAAAAAAATATCTTCAAAAAATTTTCAACTAAATACACAGGAGATGATATTTTTTAGAACTATTTTTTTTTAATAAATACTTTTACTATTTATCAATTTCATATAACACAAAAATTCATCTGGTAATATGCAATTGTCACTGTAGATTGATATTTTGCAAAATTTTCGAAATATGATAACTCTATTGATAAAATTATTAGATAACAAATAGATGATGATTGTTTTGAAATTTAGATAATTAGCCCCCTCCTTCTCATTTCGGTCTAGTTCCGCCTCTGCACTATGATCAATTTTTCAAATCATCACGGGGCAATCACAATCCAATTAAAACTAAATTTAGTCACCATTATTTTCCCAACAACAATCGACATTAAGTCGAATAATCCCTCCATCAGATTGCTTGCCATGTTGGATAATCTTGTTTGCAGAATCTACAACACAAGGCTTAACCTCAACCAACTCAATCCATTCCAAGCATTCAAGATCCATCAATGGTATCTCTTCCAGCTTGTAGCAATGTCTGATCACCACCCCCTTCAGAGCAACCCCCCATGGCTGCACCATCCTCCAATGCACCAGGTCCAGATCCTCCATAACCACAACCTTCAGGTTACAAAAATCTGCGACAGACTCTACCTCCCACTCGGCACCTCGAAACGCATAGTTCCGTAGCTTCAGCACTTCGAGATTCCGCAGCTCACAAATCTCCTTCATGTACTCCCATGGATATCCGAATCCGCTTAAGCTAAGCTTCTCGAGGTTTTGTGGGAAGATTTCGCGAGGACGAGGCGGAGCAACCGCTCGATGGTTAGGATTGATGACGGTGCATGTCAACGACTTGAGTTTCGAATGGCGAGAGATGTGGCTAGTGAAAGCGAAGGGATTATGTAATGTCACGTCGATTTGGATGCTAAGTTTTCGTAGTTTCGGAAGACTTTTGGCGACGTCGAATGTAAGACTATGCGCATTTATGTCGAGGATTGTCGAGAGGTTCGGTAATACAGCTGAAGGGTAAGGGGGCGGTAGCAGCGCTCCTGTGACTTGCAGATGCATGAGCGCCGGCATTTTCCAAATCTCCGGCGGCAAATAAGGTGGAGCTTGTGGCGAAATGATGCGCCGGCGTGGCAAGACGATCAAGAACTCGAGATTCCAGAGTTGCGATATTGAAGCGCAAAGAATTCCGTCGTAAGTGAATGCTAGATACCTGAGCTGCACTAACTTCGCGACTTCGACGGGGAATTTGTAGAAGCGAACGGTGAGAGCATCGAGTACTCGAAGCAATCGCATCTCGAAACACATTGGCACCGGATAGTCGTGGCGAGGACCTGTGCAGAGGAGAGAGCGCATATGTGAAACGGAAGAGATCGATTTGTGCGCTTCTTTTAGGCCAAACAGAGTGTTGTTGTGGATGCAGAGGCGGCGATGGCCTTTTATCGCTTCTGTGAAGGTGCTGCCGGAGTACTTCTCGACTACTCGGAAAAGATTATCCTTTCGCGCTTCGCTGACGCAGAGATGCCAGAAAACGGAATGGAGCTTGAAGGTTTTGATCCGACCTCTTGACGTCAATTTAGTGACCAAAATGACACTTTGCGACGAGAGATCCTCTAAGCATTTCTTACCGGCGAGGACTAACGCTTCGTGGTCGATAGATTCTTCAGACATGTCGATGAACCCCTCGGAAATCCACAGGCTGATGAAGTTTGAAGCGACAATCTCGCGTCGCCGGGGGAAAACTCCGGTGTATAGAAAACGAGTCTTCAAGAACTGCGAAAGTTGATCGTAGCTCGAGTACAATACTCCTAGCGAAGGCTCTTGATCATCGGTACCAATTCCAAGAGGATTTGGATCTTCAGCTATCTTCTCCCAGCTATCGAAACTCATTTCGCGTCTGGCGAGGATGTTCGCGACTGCGATAATCGCCAGAGGAAGCCCTTCGCAATTCTCGGCGATCTTTTTCCCGACTTTGACGAGCTCGTGAGGACAATACGAGTGTTTTCCGAACACCTTCTCGCAGAGTAGTCTCCAGCTCTGCTCTTTATTAAGGAATGGCATGTTGAAGTTATCGTAAGGTATCTCCGAAGCCGACTGCAAGCTCGATATCCTCGTCGTCACAAGTATTCGACTTTTCCTCCGATAGAACAAGAAAAACCAGATGTGGGAGAAGAGATCTTCGCTCCATACGTCGTCCAACACTAACAAGAATCGCTTGCTTGCGAAACTCGACTGCAAATACTTGGCTAGCTTGTAAACCGATGCGCGCTGCAGATCAGCAATGCGACGACGGCGATTGTCTACTTGCGACAAAACATCGATCATTAGTCGCTTCAGCTGAAACTTCTGTCCTACCGAGACAAATGCGCGGCGATGAAAATGCGTCGCGATGAGCGGATCGTTGTAAAGTTGCTTTGCAAGAGCTGTCTTGCCAATGCCGGCCATTCCAACGATGCTTATGATCTTCGTCGACCAACTTCCCCTTAAAAGCAGACCTTTTTTTAGTTCGAAAAATTCGTCGAGCAATCCAACCATGTTGTAGTTTCTTGTCGAAAAAAAGTCCTCGTCATTGTATGCTATTGCATCCTCATCCTCATCCTCGTCGTCTTCTTCGTCACTCTCTTCCGACTCTGTGTCTTCTTCTTCGTCCTCGTTGTCTTCCGCATCCTCCTTAGATCGGAGCCTTATCTTTTCATCATCATCATCCTCTCTACTGTCCCATAGTTCTACATTTTCGAAATCTAGTACTAAATTTTCCCAATCTATCTCTTCCTTATCCTCGTCTATGGCGTTCTCGATCATGAACTCTTGCTTGATCTTCTCCAGAGCTGCCATGAAAGATCTGGTATTTTCTTCCATTGTCGTGACGTCGATAACGAATTCCCTCGGAGATTCCGATGATGAAAGGCTTTCTTCAGTTTCCGAAAGATATTGAAGCCATAAATATAGATGGAAATCGTCGTCGTTGTCGTCTTCCTGTAGCATCGACTCTCTGATTCGCAGATCCATGGCCTTCATCGCCTCTGTATTGTTTCTAAAAAACTTCAAGTTCTTACCATACTCAAGTTTCGCGATCCTTACAGCTGCTAAGAACAAATAAATATCCTTCTTCGATTTCTCCACACCAATCATGTCCTCCAAGAGGTTCTCTGATCTAAAATCTTCACTCTCTGAGCAATATTTAGTCGACCAAAAAAGCTCGAAGCATTCTTCGACTCTATGAAGCTCATTTCTGATTACCCGATCGAAAGCCTTAATTTCGTCGTTTTTTTTGCTAGACTCGTCGATGATCTTCGCATACTCGCGCTTGATCTTGGCGACAGACGCCATGAATGAAGCAATTTCAATGCTGCAATCATTTTTGTCGAGATCAATGGTGAATTGGAAGGGAGAATTTAGATATTGAGTCGAGAAATAATGGTCGAGAGCGTCTTCGAGTCGATGGACGGCGTCTCTGATGCGGTGATCTAAGGCCTTTGCCTGATCGCAGAAGCTGTCATCGATGATCGATTTTGAAGCCTGGTCGAACTTTCGAACAAGTCCGTGTAAGGAGATGGTTTTGATGAAAGTGTGTATTAGGATTTGTTTGGTTGTAGGAAGAAGAGAGAGTCGAGGAGAGTGGAGAAGGCGTAGCAGATGATATCCGAGAGGAGCCAGTGAGGCGACGGCAGCCATTTTGTTCTGAAATTTTTGAAAGAAAGAAAGAAAGGAAGAAGGAGGATCGGTTGGAATATTACTCCCACATACATTGGAGGTCAAATTACCATTTTTATCATTTTTGTCTCACTCCAAATTAATCATATGCATCGATACCAAAATACTCTTAAATTGTATTATTTAGTGAATTTCAGATTTTTTTCTCCCATAAAAAATAACACATCAAATAGTTACTTTCCTTTTTTATATTATACTATAAAATTATTATATATTTAAAATGTCATATAAACCTATGTTTATATTACATCAAACAATTGTTCAAATTCTAATTTTTTACTATTCAAAAATTCAAATTCAAAACCTAAAACTCACAGACAAATACACCTTTAATTTTTATCTAAATTATAAATATATCATTATACATATAATTACTTTTTTCACTCCCTTCAATATCCCACTTGAAGTCTGGCACTGGCACTCGGAAGATCGTTTTAATAAAAAAAATTATTTATAAAAATATTTTCAAACAGAATTTATTTAAAATTTTAAAAAATAAAAAAATTATATACAAACTAAAAATAATAAAAAATTAGATAAAAACTAATAAAATAGTTTATCCTTTATTTATATAATATGAAGAACAACAGCTGTGATGTGATTTGCAATACAATAATCTCAACTTGCTTTTATTTATTAAACTATATGCAAATGGTTAATGGAATCGAAGACCATGACAGAGAAAATTTAATTAATAAATTAATTAATTAATTAATTAATGCCATTGTCGAAGACCATGACAGAGCAAACTAAATTAATTAATTAATGCCATTGTTTCGTGCACCTGTAAACGAAACATCTTATACAAAAGGATATAGTAGTTGTCCTTGCTTCCCATATAAAAATATACTTGAATATTAATATTTGAATATTAATATTATATTCGTATGTAATAAAAATAAATAAAAGATAAAAAATTACTTTTGGTCTTAATATAATTAAAATTTATCAATTTTAGTCGTAATATAAATTTTTTATCAATTTTAGTTTCAATATAACCAAAATTTATCATTTTTTTGGTTATATTGGGACAAAAAAAAATGATGAGTTTCAGTTATATTGAGACAAAAAAAATAATGAGTTTTAGTTATATTGGGACTAAAATTGATAAAAAAAAATTATATTGAGACAAAAAATAATGAATTTTGATTATATTTGGACAAAAAATGATAGAGTTTTAGTTATATTGGGACTAAAATTGATAAAAAAAATTTATATTTAGAAAAAAAATGATGAATTTTGATTATATTGGGACAAAAAAATGATGAGTTTGAGTTATATTGGGACTAAAATTGATAAAAAAATTTATATTGAGACAAAAAATGATGAATTTTGATTATATTTGGACAAAAAATATGAGCTTTGGTTATATTCAGACCAAAATTGATAAGATTTCTATTTTTGAACCAAAATTGATGAATTTTGCTTATATTGAGACTAAAAATAATTTTTTCCCTAAATAAAAATATCATATTAGTATAAGTATTGTGTAATATAAAAATAATGATGTTTGTATAATATATTATAAATTGAAAAAATATTTATTATATGATACAATTATTAATACAAAATTTAACTCTTTAATATTATTTAATCATACTTAATAAAATATGTAAATTATTTTTCTTTAGACACATAGAAATATTTTATATGAATATAATAACAAATTATTAATGTATTTATTTATTTTTTATTAATAATATAAAGTGACAAGAATGATATAAATTATAATTAGAACTTAATTTAGAATTTTGGGATAAAATTAAATATATTTAATAAATAAAAAAAAATATATCAAATTATATATACATATTATATCAAGAAAATATAGCAATTAAATTTTAATATATTGATATATAGTATTATATTGCGATAATTAGAAAGAAAAAAAATGTATAAAATAACCTATATTACTATAATCTATTAAAATTATTAATGGTATTTTCTGTAAGAAAAATTAATCTATTAGTCTATTAATGATATAATTTATTAAAATAATTTAAAAATTATAATTCAATCATTAAAGATTTGTTTCTTGTTTAAAAAAATTTCAATTACATTTTTTTTTTCAAAATTAAAACACAAAACAAACACAGTAAACGACCCTCTAAATATAAAATTGATATAAAATTAATTTTTAATGAAATTATAATAAAAAATATGGTTAATTAATTAAAAAGAAAAGATAAAATTCTTGTCAAAGAAAATAATGTTGAAGAAGAAGACAACTGAAATTTATTTATTTCATGGGATTTGTTTGGTTCTAACTCCAAAAATATTATGACTCATTCCAAATACTATTATTAAAATATTATTTAAATTAAAAGTAAAATTTAATTTCAAACAAACAAAAGGCAAACCCTAGTAATATTATAAAATTATTATATATTTCTTTCATCCACTATTTTATTTATCTTAAAAAATTCACTATTTATAAATGCGTCTTTTAAGGAAGATAAACAGAACGTTTGAATAAATACTATTCTCATTGATTTTTATGATATTAATCATTTGATATTAATTATTATATAAAAATTTATTAAAAAAATAATCAAAAATATTTTTATTAATATATTATTATTATAATAATGATATTTTTACAAAATTATTATGTAAATATAAATATATTTTTAATATTAAATAGAATAACATAAAAATAAAGTGTAGTATAATAAATAAAGTCATTCAATATTTGGTTAACAAAATACCTTTTAATTGATTTGATGCTTACTGAAACGGAATTTTCTATACTAACGAATTTAAGAGTATATATATTAAGTAATATACTCCGTCTCATAATGAAAAAATATCATCTTATATATTATTTTTTAAAGTACTAACAATACAAATATTTTATAATTTACCATATATTATACAAAATACAAAAATCAGGTTATATTAAATTTCGTCCGTGGGGCAACCAAACATGGCCTTACCGTTGGACTGACATTCACCCGCCAGGCAGCTGAGCTCCGCCGGCGGTTGATCGTCAGACCTCGCCGAATGCGTAAATTCTCTCTCCGGCCGGCAGGTTTGTCTTTACATGTTCAATCGATGCTTGTTTTCTTATTTATAGCACGTCATTTGTTAATTAATGTACTAATCCCCTTTGACTCAACGCTAACCGTTTCTGCTTCCTCTTCTACTTCAGCGAAGTCTGCAATTTCCATCTTCGATTCTGATGATGGCGTTGAGCATCTTCCTTGTGTTGATAGTATTTTTTGGTATTAATAACATGTCAATGGTTGATTCGTCTACACTGGGGGTGGAGTATGTTTCCCGGCTTCTGGAGATTCAGGACCGCGAGCGAGCTCCGTCGTCTCTGCAGCTATCGGCGGCGTATGCCGCCCTCGGTCGTAATTTTCCTTCTCATACGACAAGCTTCCAGTTCAGAATCATCTCTAAGGTAACAGGATTTGATAGCAAGTACCTTTGATGGATTCCACTTGTTAAATGTCGCTATTTTCTCTTTCCTCTGTTGATATTTTTCTTACTGCTACTAATGCTGCTAAGCTTCTAGAGTTAATTGTCATTTTTATTTTTAATTTTTGCTTTTGTCCTTCATTTCCAGGATCATTGTGGTGGGGAATCTTGCTTTAAATTAAGCAATCATCCTGCCATGCATCTTGCTGGTTCTCCTAAAATTTTGTATGTATAAGTCTTTCAACTCTGCATATACTGGAAAATTAGTATATATGAGGAAAAGCACTCTGGTTGAAGCATTTTAAAAGCATATGCAGAAAAACGGAGTGATTTTAATTATCAACATCAGAACAATTTACTTTTATCTGAAATTGTGGAACATGATACTGCATAGAACTATATCTTTTGATGGTTTCATATCCTTGTGAGAATAATTATTTCAGAGCTTTTGAAAGCTCTTTCATCTTCTCCTACTCATGCTGTCGACAGAATAAGCGGAACTACTGGAGTGGAGCTGCTGTCAGGTCTACACTGGTATCTAAAGTATTGGTGTGGAGCACATATTTCTTGGAATAAAACAGGTGGTATGCAGCTTTCTTCTGTCCCAAATCCTGGATCTTTACCTCGCATCAATAGTGTCGGGGTTACAATGACGAGGCCTACTCCTTGGAGCTACTATCAGAATGCTGTTACATCTAGCTGTGAGCTGAAGTTTCTGTGTCCTATGTTGTTGCATTCATGTGATTTCATCACTGATAGTACTCATATATGATCATATTCTGTTAAAGATGCATTTGCATGGTGGAACTGGGAAAGATGGGAGCAGGAAATTGACTGGATGGCGCTCCAAGGAATCAATCTGCCTTTGGCATTTACTGGTCAAGAGGCAATCTGGCAAAAAGTCTACCAGGTTGTATTTTTATTATTCTTTAAATAATTTACAATTAAGCTACATAAAGTGCCCATTTATTATGTGTCTATGCAGCTTTGACGTTTTATTTATCTACTTTGGCTACTTCTTGTCATCCATTATGATAGACCATCAAAATGAGAGAGATAAGGCAGATAGTTATACATTAAAGAATTAGATCACTTCCCTTGTTTCCGCAGTTTCTTGGTTATTTTAGTCAGATGTTAACTTTTACAAACTACCTTTGAGCAGAAATTCAATATAAGTGCTCTTGATTTGGAAGATTTCTTTGGAGGTCCTGCATTTCTTGCATGGTCACGCATGGGAAACCTGCATGGGTAAGAAGATTATAGGCTGTGAATCATAGTCTGAATCTTGATAATTGAATGTTTCATACAGTTGCTTTTTCAATACATAAAATTTTAGAGTTCACCATGTATAATTGGAGATTATGACTCCAAAGATGCTATTTTATGTTTTATGTTCACATCCCCCATGTAAATGAAGTTATCTTTATAGTATACAAGTTAGAATAACAGAAAACTCAACCTGTACCTTCAGTACGTGCATTATTAGAATAGGATTGCTTTTGTCTGTCACTTCAACACACGATCTGTAGATTTGGAAAGATAATTGCAACTTGTTGCTATTTAAATTCTGCGTTGCTTTGCACAATTATTAATCGGGACGTGCTTGAATTACCTACAAAATTAATTTCAATAGCATACAGGAACTGCAAGCTTAATGCATGGGGTGCATTTTCAGTTCTCTTGTACTACTAATTACCTGATAGAATAAAGTACAGTCAGATCTCAGGAATATTCCCCTTTCACAACTTCGTTTTATTAGTCTCATTTGACTTCAATGGCAGGTGGGGAGGTCCATTGCAACAAAGTTGGATGAACCAACAATTGTCACTGCAGAAGAAAATTCTTGCCAGAATGTATGAATTAGGAATGAATCCAGGTACCATAATTTTGAAATATGCTCTGTTATTTTTGCTACAACAATGTTGATTGAGTCTTGCCACTTGCCAGAATGTATGCTGCTTACTTTTTAAAAAATCTTTGACTGCAATTTACTCTATACACCTTCAATAGCTATAAATATAAGCTTTTGATATAGTGTTTTTAACTTGTATTACAGTTCTTCCAGCCTTCTCTGGTAATGTTCCGGCAGCACTTAAAAGTATATACCCGACAGCAAAAATAACACACCTTGGGAACTGGTACATATCAAAGTACAAGCGTTTTGTAGTATTTCATTCAAATAATTGAACTCATCTAATATATTTATGAAAAATATGCATGTTCTTTTCCTGATAATATATGTCATTTCTGGAATTTAGCATGCACAAATCAGTTTCCGGAAATCTAGATCAGAAGTTTAAACTAATTTACATAAGCAATGCTCTAAATACATCACAATTCAATAAGATTTTGTATGTCCCAGCACTATAAGAAGCAACACTCAAGTCCTCATAAGGAATAAATTCTTACATTCTTTGCGATAAATGAGAAGATTGTGGTTGTCACTTTGAGCATCTAACCACCCATTTAAAGCAGTTGTCTTTTTGCTGGTTTTTCCTTAGGTTCACTGTTGGGAGTGACCCTAGATGGTGTTGCACCTACCTTCTTGATGCTACAGATCCCTTATTCATTGAAATTGGAAGGGCTTTTATTCTGCAGCAATTGAAAGGTGGACAAATTAACTTTTATACATTCAAGAATATAGACCTAAGCATTCAATTGTGGAAGGAGCCTACACAAGCTAAAGTTATCTTGTTTGTGTTTCACTGCCTATTCCCTACTGAAAGTTTCTTATTTTTCCTATTTGTTCTCAGAATATGGAAGGACTAGCCACATTTACAACTGGTAAGCTCTGTTTCATCTGCCACTTTCCTAAGTTCTAACAAGAGTTCCGATTTTCTTTTCATAACTATCAGCAATGCACATCCTTGACTCCATTTCAACCATTTTTTCTTGAGCATTAGTGGCACATGAGTAATCCATTTTATCACGTTTTAACATGTCAGTGATACATTTGATGAGAACACGCCTCCAACTGACGACCCAGAATATATCTCTTCATTAGCTGCTGCAATCTTTAGGGGCATGGAAAGTAGTGACAGCAATGCTGTTTGGCTGATGCAGGTTTGTATAGAAAACTCAGTATTTTAACTTTCTTTCAACTTGAAACCAGTCATAGGATCCATTCATATTTAACAGGGACAGATATGCTAATGAAGTCAATGTCTCTGCCTCGATCTTAATGTAGTTATTCAGTTAAGATGACATATGTGATTCACTCGTTGACATTTTTTCTCCAATTCAGTTGCTCCATGTAGTATTCCCCATTTCCTGGTGTCTCCATGCATGTGTTTGGTTATTTGGGCCTACATTTTTTATCCAAATTCTGATTATGCTCTTTTGTTTTGCACAGGGATGGCTTTTTACTGATGATCCATTTTGGAAACCCTCACAGATGAAGGTGCAATCTAATTCTGCTGAATAAGAATTTTACTCATACAATATACTTGCTTCCACATATGTCCTTTTCAGTGACTAAAGACAGCATTTCTCAGCATATCTAAAATTTTAACTATATTCAGGCACTATTGCATTCAGTACCTGTTGGAAAGATGGTTGTTCTCGATCTATATGCAGAAGTGAGTCCAGTTTGGGAAACCTCAGAACAGTTCTATGGTGTACCTTACATCTGGTACGTCCAATCTTCTTGATTTCTGTTCGTAATGCCGCCTTTCAATTAACTAAATTGCCTTCAATTTAAGATAACAATCAGGATGTGCCATGATTTTCTAATCACTGGTCCTTAAAACCAAGCATTCTATCATGATATTTCCTGAAAATGGGGTGCACTTATTCACTTGAATGCATCTTTTTGCGCGGACATAAGGTAACAAATCAATCCCAAAATATATATATCTGTAACCAAAAAACACACATAACATTTTATCTATTGATGGATCTGTTCTTTGTTGATGTATAAATGTAATTCCCAAAGGCTTGCAAATTTGTGCAGAGCATATAGTTGTGAGCTAACATGAAAAATAGATAAGTTTACTTTTCACTTTCCTGTCTGCCTCCTCTGAAGTTATCATTTCTTTCAGGTGTATGCTTCACAACTTCGCGGGTAACATTGAAATGTACGGTATCATTGATTCAGTAGGATCTGGACCCATCGATGCTCGTCTAAGCCCAAACTCAACCATGGCAAGCACATTAAATCAAATTACTTGTTTAGTCACCATTCTAAATGTATCCAACTTCTATAATACAGTAGCTTTGGGACCCTCTCTTATCTTATGCAACTTCATGCCTGCACAGGTTGGTGTTGGGATGTCCATGGAAGCTATTGAGCAGAATCCCATTGTTTATGATCTCATGTCTGAAATGGCATTTCGACAGGACAAAGTGGATGTTAAGGTAATCAGAAAGCTTCCCTCATCACATTGATTCAAAATGAAGCAATCTTGCATTTTCTTTTCTTAACATGACCAGGATATTGAGTTCTCTTCTTTCATCCAGAATTGGATTGATGTGTACGCCTACAGACGATATGGAAAACCGGTTCCATCAATGCGCCGTGCCTGGAACATATTGTATCATACATTATACAACTGCACAGATGGATTATATGTAAGTAATCTCCAAATAGAGTATCATCCAAATCCCATCCTATTAGAGAAAATGAATGTTTGTGTTCCTTGCACAGGACAAAAACAGAGATGCAATCGTGTACTTTCCCGATGTCCATCCTAATTCAATTCTTACTTCATCTCTGCTGTCACTACCCATAAAGCATCATCAAACAGCTATATATCAACAACAGACCAGTGACTCCTATTCCCAGCCTCATTTATGGTATTCGACTGAAGAAGTTAACCACGCCTTGGAACTTTTCATTACGAGTGGAGACGAACTCTCCGAAAGCAACACTTACAGGTTCAGATGTCACTCCCCCTTACAATGTTTTTCTTCCTAGATAACATCTTTCCTGAAATAGCATCTACATTTACATTTAGGTTCTGTTTAAATAGAAATTTTTTGGAGTTTTAAAAGATTTTAAAAATAGTAAAAAGTTAATTTAACATGATGTTTAGTGTCGATAAATAGTGCTAGAACTTTGAAAGCTGTCTATATAAACAGAGTTTTTACATTTGCAGGTATGACCTAGTGGATCTAACAAGACAAGCCTTGGCCAAGTATGCGAATCGACTTTTCTTGGACATCATAGAGGCCTATCAGCAAGATGACCTGCAAGCAGTCAGGCAACTGAGCAAGAAATTCCAATCTCTGGTTGAAGATCTCGATGCACTCCTGGCATGCCACGACGGGTTTCTACTCGGACCTTGGCTAGAGAGCGCAAAGCAACTCGCCCAAAACGAACAAGAAAAGAAACAGGTCAGAACTCAGCAGCTGCTGCTGATCATCTTGTCAACAGTTTCCAATCCCAGGGCAATGATTATATGATCTCATGAACAAACTGTGCAGTTTGAGTGGAATGCAAGAACCCAAATCACCATGTGGTTCGACAACACAGAGGATGAAGCTAGTCTCCTTCGCGACTACGGTATACATACACACATATATATATATATATGCAATGCATGTGCAAACAGAAACCTCGCTTGAATTCCACACCACATTACATTGCTTCATTGTGGCTGTGGTGCAGGAAACAAATACTGGAGTGGTCTAGTCGGGGACTATTACGGTCCGCGAGCTGCTATATACTTGAAACATCTGATACATAGCCTGGAGACAGGCAACAGTTTCCAGTTAATGGAATGGAGGAAAGAATGGATCAAACTAACAACCAAATGGCAAAGCAGCAACAATATTTTCCCAACCAAAAGCACCGGGGATCCGCTAGAAGTTTCGAAGCAGCTCTACAACAAGTACTTGAGAAATGATCCAGAGTTAGAGGCAGAATCTGAATATGAATAATCAGGTAACAGGTCTCAATAATTTGAATCCAAAAATCCTACTATATGCTAAGTTTTAGTAGTCAGTAGTTACATACATGGTGCAGTGTATATGCAATTTGTGAAGGCTGGACGACTTGATCCTCAATATAATAATCTCATGGGGTATTTGGTATTTTTATGTAGTAGTTTCTTTTGACAATATTTATGGATTTCAAAATTTTGTAGTTAATTATAAATTTTAAATTCATCACTTTTAATAAAATTAATTTATATTGTTTGTTAAATATATTTGAATGAATATAGGCTCCTTTGGTTTTTAGATGAAATTATTTTTATTTTTTATGTGTAGTGCCAAAAATTGTGTCAAAATATAAAATATATAATAGTATTTTAAGTTGAAAATTAAGTGTCGAGGTTTTGTTCTCTTGTAAACTATTATAAATTTATTTTATATTTAATATATCACCGTCCACAACTCTTCAAAATTCAAACACACAAACAAGCACCCCATAAATTTTTATTTTTTATTTTTTGACTTTTTTATAAAATATTTCATGTTTTATATTATTATTTTTGAAAAATCACTATTTAAAAATGATATTTAGATATATTAAAGTATTAAAAATAAATTGAATATCATACGGAAACAAACGCCTGTCCGACGTCGGCGAAAGCAGCGGAACAAAAGGCTGTACCACTCCACATCGGACATTCGGAAACTACCAGGGCAGTGGGAGTTCAATAAAACTGGGAAGATGGATAACTGGCCTTAAATTTATGAAGTGAAAAAAGAGAAAAAATTTAAGAAGGATTCTTTTAAGGGGAATAGGCTGACTAGGAGTTAGCATAGCTCAAATAATTATATATATATATATATATATATTAATTAATTAATCAATTTCTAATTTAAAGAAACGGTTGGGGCAGTGCAGCGTTGCTATGAGAATAAATCAAGTGGAGCAGGGGACCAGGGGTAACGAAAGCTCCGTAAGTCCATTGTTAAATTGCTCGAAAGAACCGCGTGAGAAATGGTGGTAGTCAGTCTGGTATGGTATGGTAGGGTACGGTGAAAAGACCGAACGAACGAGGCCCATGCTGATCTGATGCTCACTTGCTCAGCTATAATTATTTACCTAATTGATTAGATGGATATAAATAAATAAATAATATTCCAGTATCATTCCTCTTCCCCTCCCCTTTCCAGTTCTCGCTCTAGCTGGCTATGGCTGTTGCCGATGTGTTGTGTTGTGTTGTGTGTAATCAGTGAGTGAGTCAGTCAATCCTGCTCTGCTCAAAGGAGATAACTATAACTTTGTTTGGGATAAAATAAAGCAGCTAAGCTGAATCGACAGACCTAGTTATTGACAGAGACAAAAGAGAGATACGGATCCATCCATGGCGATCGCGATCCCCAGGCGGCAACTCTTCATCGGCGGCGAATGGCGAGAACCGCTCCACGGAAAACGCCTTCCGGTTATCAATCCCGCCACCGAACACATCATAGGTTTCAATTCTTCTTTTTTCTTTTACTTTTTCATTTTCATTTTTCCCACCCTCTCTTCTACTCCACTTTAAGTTTAACTTTCCTGCACTGCACCAGCTGTTCCTGTTACTTGTTTCAATTTAATATATATATATATATATATATTTATATATTTTGTGGTGTGATCTTACTCTTCTTATCCTCCGAGACCACATCACTATTGATCTAATTAATTTACTAATTAATGTTTGACTGAGGGGGTGGGTGAGCAATAATTTACTAATCATTTCATATAATGATTTTTAATTGAGCCTGAGAACTCGTGTTGAGTTGTAAACTAAACTAATGTGATGGATAATCTACATACATACATACAAACATTCTTTCTGAATGATCTGATCTGATCTGAGATGATGCCCTCTGGTGGATTGCAGGAGACATTCCAGCAGCTACTGCTGAAGATGTACATTTTGCAGCTGAAGCTGCTCGAAAAGCATTTTTCAGCAACACATGGTCCTCAACAACTGGTGCCTATCGTGCAAAGTATCTAAGGGCCATTGCTGCAAAGGTTTGTTGATTTCTTGTTTATTCAATTTTTCTTTCATTATTATTATTATTATTATTATTCAACTATTAAACGAACAAACTATATATTTGTGGGTTGGGTTCACAATTAGAGTGTGTTTTGTCTGTGGGTTTGGGTTTTTGAGTTTTTGGATTTTTTAACAGTAAAAGATTGAATTTGGAAATTGTTGTGTGATGTGATTTAAATAGACGTTTTTTGAATGTAAAATAAATTTATAGTATAATATAAAAAATAGTAATTATTTGATTTGACATTTTTTTAAGAGGAAAAGGGATTTGAATAGTAAAAATTATGTGACGACAACAGAAGACAATTAGTTTTAAGCATTTTGTTGAATATTGTCTATTTGTCTGTTCCTTGTTATGTTTTGATGCCATTAAACATTGGGTGTTGATGTTATATTTGGCCATTTAGATTATGGAGAGGAAAACACAACTTGCAAAACTTGAAGCAATTGATTGTGGGAAGCCATTGGAGGAGGCAGCTTGGGATATGGTGCTTCTACACTATCTACCTTAATCTACTTCATCTTTGTCACAATTTTAATCTATGTATGTTTAGAGAGTGAATGTTGTTACTGTACTGTCCAGGACGACGTTGCTGGATGTTTCGAATATTATGCGGATCTTGCTGAGAAGTTGGATTCTGAGCAAAAGGCTCATGTTTCCTTACCAATGGAAACATTCAAATGTCATGTTTTAAAGGAACCCATCGGCGTAGTTGCTTTGATAACACCATGGTGAGTGAATAGTGGATCTATTGACTGTTCGTTGTACTGTTGATGCATAGTGTCAGAAGTTTCAAAAATATCTCCGAAAACAAAATAGCATTAGCATTACTAGTATTGCTGATTTTGTTTATGTAATTTGGATGGGGATAGGAATTACCCTATGCTAATGGCAACTTGGAAAGTAGCTCCTGCGCTCGCAGCCGGATGTACAGCTATACTTAAGCCATCCGAATTAGCATCTCTGTAACTATCTCTCTTTCTCAATTCTCAATAACAATGCCTCATATTCTATGCACATTCTTTTTCAGGAATTTATTTTAAAGAGCTCTAGAATTAAGTGTGTGTACTCTAGGAATTTGTGTTGACTTGTGGGGTGACAGTCTACGATCCTGAGGGATATGTCGAGGTTGCTTGGCTAACAGGCCGGGATGTTAGAAACTCACTCCTATTTTTGGTGCAGAACGTGTTTGGAGTTGGCTGACGTGTGTCGGGAGGTTGGCCTTCCACCTGGCGTCCTCAACATTTTGACTGGATTGGGACACGAAGCCGGGGCTCCTTTGGCTTCTCATCCTTTTGTTGACAAGGTAGGTCACCTCAGCTTCATCAACATCTCATTCTGTGTTCTTTTTCTTACCATGATTTGATCCGTAATCAACAGATAGCATTCACTGGGAGCAATGCTACCGGGCGCAAAATCATGACTTCTGCAGCCCAACATGTGAAAGTATGTTTAGTGTCATTGCTTAACTCACCATGACTATTATATCCAACATATGTTGCTTAACTCACCATGACTATTATTGCAGCCAGTCACACTAGAGCTTGGTGGAAAAAGCCCTATCGTTGTGTTTGAAGATGTCGATCTTGATAAAGGTTAGAACTCGCCAAGCTAGATAATCAGGTTTTACGAAATTAGTGTTAAATAAACAAGTTGAGGAGCATCTTACGTGTCTTTGGACTGCCCGGAGTTGTTGAAGACTTGCTAAATATTAACTCACTGTCTTCCAATGATATTATTGAATCTCAGCTGTTGAATGGACACTCTTTGGCTGCTTTTGGACAAATGGTCAGATATGCACCGCCACTTCTCGGCTCATACTGCACGTAAGAATTTCAAAGCTTTATTAAAACTATGCAGATCATGTATAAGTTGCTGATCTAGAGAATGACTGTGCTTTTAAATCCTGAATAATCGAAGGCAAGAGCTTTGTTACCTTTTAAGAAGGATATAAGTAACCAATTGGCATACCATTCTTTTTAGTTGAGAAGCTTCGTAACTTCTCTGTTGCTTTCAGGAAAGCATCGCTGCGGCATTCCTGAAGAAACTCGTCAAATGGTGTGAGAACATCAAAATATCTGACCCCTTTGAGGAAGGGTGCCGGCTTGGTCCTGTTATCAGTAAGGAGCAGGTAAACATTTCATGATAATCACCATTAATGGCATCTTCTTGAGCTTGCATTAGTAGAAAACACAAAAATGAAACAAATATTAGAAGCAACGGGGTCTTAATCTTTGTACTGTAAATTTTTCAGCATGAAAAAGTGATGACGTTCATCTCAACAGCTAAGTCTGAAGGCGCCACAATTCTGCACGGTGGTGCAAAGCCTCAGGTCCCAATCCTTGTCTTTTGTTGATCCAGATTATAGTTGTATTCGCCTAACAATTCAGTTGACGTGCAGCATTTAAAGAAAGGCTACTTTGTCCAACCAACTATAATCACAGACGTGAAAACATCAATGCAAATCTGGAGAGAAGAAGTGTTTGGACCTGTTCTTTGTGTCAAAACATTTTCATCCGAAGACGAAGCCATCCGACTAGCGAATGATACGCAGTGAGCTGTCTTACATCTACACAATATGGCTTTCCAGCATTTATAGTTATTCATGACCTAAAATTTTTCACTTGTCGATTACCTTGTTCAGATATGGTCTAGCTGCTGCTGTGTTGTCACAAAATCTGGAGAGGTGCAACCGGTTGACCAAGGTGAGTATATTCGTTGCGCAACACAGCTTACAGTGCCAATGTTAATAACCTATCTTCTCTTTCGATTCTTGCAGGCATTACAGACGGGCATTGTTTGGGTAAACTGTTCGCAGCCCTGCTTCTGCCAAGCTCCTTGGGGAGGGAAAAAGCGTAGCGGTTTTGGGCGTGACCTTGGGCCATGGTAACCTTGATCATTTCCCGATTCTCATTTCTGTTGTCATTTTCTCCACATTTACCTCTTACCTCGCGCCTCTGCTTTCCTTTTCTTTTAGGGGACTTGAAAACTACTTGAACATAAAGCAGGTGACACAGTACTTCTCCAACGAGCCGTGGGGTTGGTACAAGCCTCCTTCCAAGCTGTGAGCATCTTAGTTGCCTGCATCAGATCACAGGTTTGTTAGAATGTTACGAACTATTCGACACTTGGGATAATGTGTAGTAGTTATAGGCTTACAGCTATGCCTGCTGTTGAGATCTGTTGCAGAAACATATGTAGAAGAGAGTGAATATTCAACAAAACAGCTTCAATAATCATGAAAGACTTCTTTCTTAAGGTCCCTTTGGGGCAGTGGAATATTACATCTTAAATTTGTTTGGCTTAATTATAAAACTTGCTTGAAAGATATAACTGTTAATTTGCTACATATTTGAAAGTAAAACTAGTTTCCATTGTTGCCCCCCATGGAAGCATCCTTAGACCCCTACCCCAATAATACAAAATGAATAGGGAAAAGAAGTCTGCTAGGAGGACCACTATTCACTAATGACCACATTACTATCTTACAAAAACACATGACCTTGTCCCGTAAGGAATGGTCTGGTGGTTTGGAGAATGAACTTGTGACCGTGACGTTATGGGTTCATCTGTCACACATGGTTCGCCTAGTATGACTTATCTTGTCAGACCTAATTTGCAGAGTATTGGTTCGACCGGGAGTTTATCCAATGTATATTTTCGGATAGCAACAAAAAAAAGACATGACCTTAAATGAGAATAGTGGAAAGTCTTGGCATGGAAATCATGGTCTAGAAACTGTACAAAACAGGTATCATTATCATATCTTTTCCTAGTCATTGAATATGTTAGAAATTGCCAGCCCTTAGGCCAAAATCAAAACAATGCCGGGCAAGAAAAACAAGAACAGCCAACACTAACTCTTAAAAGACTTTCAGTTTGGCAAGTTTCCACTAGCAGCTATAAAAGACATTTATGCTTCATCGAGGACTGACAATGCATCACTTTATTCTATCTACATTTTCATATTCCAAACCCGATAGCCTATAAGTTATATAGGGCCCGGCATGTCCTTTGCACAAAACAAATGCTACGCAAACAAAACTACTACCTTAAATTGTCAAAATATCCTACAACTTTATACATGAAGAACATAGCAAGATATTAAAACCATAATAAGTGAATAGTACAAAGTATAGTGGTGGTAATGCAGTTTAGAGGACATTTTCACAAATCCATCACTGTTGCCAAGCAATAACTTGGTTTACATACACTTTTGGAACATATACACTATTAATCACCACCAAGTTTTTTCCAAAAAAAAAAAAAACATTGCATCAAATATCAACTTTTTACTATTTCTGAAATTTTTCAAAACGTCAAAACTTCTATCTAAATGGATGTTTTTATCCGACAGTCTATAAACTAAAGGACATACAGATATAGATGATGCACATTTGGCTATGCAGGCATTCAATTATTCTCTACATTCTATGTCCAATATAGGAGCAAACATACATACGGCCATATGCCTCCGGAAAGAAGCAGTTTCTATGCTTGCTAAAATGTTAAAAAGTTGCACTAAACAAAAAATGTTAGAGATCTTACACAAATTAAGAGGACGTGGAAAGGTTTACTTTACCTGTCCTGCTTACCTGTCCTGCAAAGATCATATCTCTTAGACATGCATGCTAAATAGCATCACTACGCCTTTACCTTCTTCTAACGCCCCCAACTCGAAAGTCTTGATAAAACAGGAAACATATGGAACTCACTGATAGAAAACAATTAGAATGAAAAATTGATTCACTGGTAAGCAAAGGGACATTTATTCAAATGAAACACCGCTGCTGTGCTCACACATAAGACAGATATCGGCTATTCTGTATTTCTGTATCCTCCCAACTACAGAAAGAGCTTGGAGAATATGGATTCAGGTATATACAGTTTTTTAACAAGTCAAAAAGCAATAAAAAGATGTCAGCTCATTTAGCAACCATCTGCACACAACGAAAGATAGAGAAGGTAAATTCAAGACAATATTATAGAATTTATATATGCAGAAGAAACTTAAGCAACACTGAAGCAATACGAAGGCATATAAAGCTGTTTAATCACTTTTCCCCTCAAGCTAAAGAAAGTAAAACACTCAGGACTACATATAAGATGTTTCAAGAAATTCCAAACAGATTGGAATACAAAACAGTCAATTAACTTAAATTAGACTAACAAGACACCATTCAGCATGCCTCATTACAATCTTCAACTGATGATTCAAGAAAAGACAATTAAGAATGAAAAGTGCAAATCCCCAAAACAGAAGATAAAACCAAGTTACGGAAATCTCAAGCCTTTTTTGATTGAGAAAAGTCGCCCTAAGCTTCTCGTCTTCCTTTTCACAGTATGTATGGCTATAACTGAACAGTTTTTCACTCAGCTGTCAAACAAATAACCATCTGTTTCCCTCCCAGAATTTCAGTTCCTATCTATGTTTGGTAGTCACACTAAAGGCACAGGTTCAAAGAAGATGAGAGCTTCTGTTTACCCCTCCTCCCATATCCTAGTTCCATTTATGCTTGCTAGTCATTCTAAAACTACCAGCTCACATTAGGAGACGAGCCAGTAGAAGATGCCCAAATCCACTGAAAATCATGAAGAAAACCCCATATCCATTGCCACTAAACAATATGTATAACACTAGCTAAATACCCCCAAAATCATTCTCACTTCAAATATAAACAGATGCTTGATTTTGGCTCTTTCTGTTTTACCAAGATATGCATAGACTTCAATGTCCTACAGAAAATGCACCCAAAGTAGTAAACTAGAGATGAGATATGCCATTACAATCAACCAGCTGCAGCAACAATGATAAAGAAAATCGACATGAAAATACCAACAAAACTGGCTGGTCAACCATAATAATCAGCAATATTTGTATCTATATTCAGAATTCATAACACTCAGATTCCTAAGATACAGCAAGTCAGCAACATAATTGTATGACACTAACGCGCTTAACAACATTGTGCAAAAAGTCAACATAAGAAAGAATCTGTCATCACGCTGATTCATAAAGACATTTATTTGTTCTCTCTCAGAAGAATCAGATACACAATAGCAAACAGGCCAACAAACATAAATCAACTGAAAGCTTACACAATCATATTTCTGTGAAGCTTTTGTAACTTTATAATCAGTGCACAAATATACACTTTCAACAATAAGAACAGTGTCAAGTTTAACTCACAAGAATGAGGAGACATAGCAGAGAAGGAAACATATATTTTACACAGTTTATCATTAACTTCACTGTCAAGACAAGACATTCATGAAATATATCCAAAATGGATTGCGACAAGCGTGCTCACGTAAGCTTTCATAGGTAATGGCTACATAATAACAACATACCATAATCAGAAAGTTATATATATATATATGTATATATTGATATATAGATATGTTCCATTTCTTATCCCCTTATCTATTCACATGACAAGTCTCCAGCATTAGCAAAGCACATTACAGATTATATGGACCAAAATCATAGAAAAACTGAATAAATTCCCCTGTGCTCCAATCACATTTATATGACAATATCTAAGGCCGCAAAAAAAGGTCTAGCAGCAAGCAACAACACACACGTCACACTGAGAAACAAGAGGGGACCCAACATACAAGATTATGGGGCAGAGACTCTTCTAAGACCTCGTTATCATGCTACAAGAACGAGCCAATCGAACAGTCAAGCTACCCCCATCAAGTGTTGGCTCTCCTTCAATAGGCTCACTCTCATACTGCTTCCGGCAGCCAGGACAGCGCCCATCTTCCTCGAGGATCCTTTTGTGACAGAAAAGACAAAGCCTGAAACCACAAGGACAAGGGAGAAAGCTCGAGTCTGTGCCATCAAAATCCTCAAAGCATATTGGACAAGATGTCGGGATTGACCCAAGATTCTTTTGACCCCAAACAGACCCTCGGACTATGTGCCGCTCTGAATTCAACGGAAAACTATATTGCTTTGACAAATTGGGTAAGCACTGAGGACGGTAAGCATCATCCGGCTTCCAAGCACAACAATTTACTGGAGCCCTCAGCCCATCAGTTCCTCTACTCCCCCCATTCATCTCTGAAGCATCCACCCTTCCAAATGGCTTGATGGTTGCGTCAACTTGAGAACTAGATTCCACAGCCTTTTCATTCTTCATTGAAGAAGATGAACCATATTCTTCATTTGGTTGCTTGTTCTCGGTAGCTGCCAAGGCATCAGCCACAGCCTCCCAGTCATCCAAGCAACCATCATCACCAACATCCACTTCATCTTCCTCACTCATGTTCCCTGAATAGAAACCATTACTGCTACTGCTACTGCTTCGACCACTGCTGCTGCTGTTGCTTCTGCTGCTTGTACTAAAATTGACCCCAGAATCATTGCTGCCCAACATGCTACTGGAGTGGCTGGTTGGGCTGTTGGATGGCAGCGACTCGGAGTCGCTGTACTGATGCACCAACAATCCATCTCCATAAATTTCTTCCTCCATTCCCGGCTTAATATCCAGCTTCTCTATCTGCCGGCCCCTCTCACTCCCGAAATGCACCATCGATCCTCTGTCGCTTACTTCCTCCTTATGACCACCCTTACTTTTCACTGGAAGAATAAATATCGCCCATCACCAAATATTAATCACCATCAGATAAACGTGATAAACAAAATATTCATTTAAGTAGTTATCCAAGTATGTATAAAGTTAACAAAAATACAGAAGAAACTACGCGCATAAAAAAGCAAATCCAGATCTTCCACAAACCTTGAGAAAGCCACTGCTCGCGACGAGCATCAAGTTTGCACTGCTTCAATTTCGCCGAGCGGTTGGCCTGAATTTTAACAGCGGAAAAGGATAGAAGGTTCAATAGAAAAGGAGAAAAGGCTAAAATAAGTTCAAGCAATCAATCAAACCAAAAGGCAATTGAAACTTCAAGAAATCAACACAACCACCACCAACACTTCCCAAACACATCCATCCCACGGTTAAAGATCAGAACAATTTCTTCATTTCTCTTGTAAAATTAAAAATCCCCAATCAAAGTACCAGAATAATTTCCCTAGAAAAACAACAAACAACACTGAAACTTCATACACAAACACAAATAGAACCAAAATAAATCCACAATTACAATGCACGCTAACCAAGACAATCCAGCAACCAAACCAAACCAAACCTTACCCTCTTTTTCTTAGCGAAATCCTTTGAGTTGGATGAAGCCATAGCGATGGAGGCGTTGGGGATCGAATCAGAAATCATGGCTGCGTCAATCTGCTCGCGAATCCGAAAAACCCTAAATTGCTCGGAGATAAGCGTAGAGAGAGAGAGAGAACAATAGATATAGAGAGAGAGCTATAGAGAAATTGTGGATAACGGAAACCGCTCTAACCCTTAATTTTCCTTTGTACTACTATACACACAAAATAACACGTTACTTCTACCGATATATATAGAACCCTCACTCACATTTCTACCCTCCTACTTTTACTTAATTACAATCTGCCACTGCCTTAACCACGCAAATATTTCTTCAAACTTTGGGGGCATTTTCGTAACTGGCCACTTATATTTTATTTCACAAAATATCTTGCCAGCTTTTTATTGTTATTTATATAATTTTTTTTTTTGTTACAGACAGAAATGTTTCTTAAAAGTGTAGAAAAAATAAATATTTTTTGCCAATAATATATAATTGATATAATAATAGTAGTTAAATTATTATATATTCTATATAATATGACTTTTAAAAATTACATTATTACATGTATAACTATTATATATATTATACTACTTATTTATACATAAAACAAATAAAATCATGGATACTATTTATATATATATATATATATTGGAAATTATTATCTGAATTACATGTTCTATTTAATTAAAAAAATAAAAATCTAATCTGATTTCAGTCATTTATTCCCCAAATAAAGAATTGATTCGGTTACACGTTGATTAATTACTTATTTGTATCTCCACAATAATATGCTTTGATTTGATGTTTATAATTTAATAAAATCTTCATATTTCATAATGAGATACATCACAATATTTGCATTATAAGAAAAGATACTATTGGAGTAATATTTTTTATATTATATTTATCAAAATAATTATTATATTTTATATATTGTACTCCTCCGTTGTGTAAACGTGTGCTCATTTGATCGGGTACGAATTTTAATAAGAGTAAATAATAATAATTATTTTTTTTTATAATAAAAAAATACAAAAATATAATAATTTTTTATTTAAAAAAAAACGAAAATATTTTTAAGTGAGCATAGATTTGAACGACAGAGAGAGTAATAAATATAAGTTTGTTTGGTTTTAAGTATAAATTTATTATTTGAATTTTGATGTGAATAATATATAAATTTAGGGTGTGTTTGTTTGGGAAATTGGATTTTAAATCTACTATTCATCCCAATTTTTTCTCCCAAAAAACATCAAATCAAACACATATTTTTCATTTTTTATATTATAGTAAAAATCAATTTTACTTTCAAAACATCACATCAACACCTATTTATATCACATCATACAACTATTCAAATTCAAAATTTTTACTATTTAAATTCCAACTCAAAATCCAAACACTCAGACAAACACACCCTTAGCGTATTTTTAATAAAAAAAACATAATAATTATTATAACCAGGGGTCCAAACCATACACATCCTAAATATAACATCAAATTATTATTTAAATACAAAATATAAAAATAAACACAAGTGCTTGTTTAATGTTTCTTATTTGAAGTATTTGTGTTGTAAAATAAGAAACAGTTGCGAAAATATTTTGAAAATAATATTTTTTGTATTTTTGCTAACTTTTACATGTTTTTATTATTTTATATTATTATAGATATATATTATATATTTTTGTAAAATTATATATAATACTAAAGTAAACACATTCAAAGACCACATATTTCTTTTTATTTGATTATGATTTGAAATTGCTCTAAAATTGAATATTAATTTAAGTTTTTATTTAAATAGTATTTTGATATGATATTTTATTAAAAAAAATAATACGTACACAAAATATTCTATTTTTCTATTTGGGACATAAAAAAAACTATTGTCTTATTTTTTCTTTTAAATACAAATTTTACTTTTTTTTACCGTTCATTCATTTACCACTTTTAATTTTTTATTTTACTATAAATGATAAGATTGTCAATTCATAACAAAAATAATTACTTAAAAATAGTATAAATATATTTTAAAACGATAAAAATTGGATATTTATTGAAAACTATATGAAGTTAATAGTGTATTTTAATTTGAAATACTAAAATAATAAACTCTAATATGTAGAAAAAAAAAAAAAAAGAAAAATCAAGTTTAGGAAGAGAATATTGAGCTGAGAAAAAACAATAATAAATTATAATTGGGCTTTATGTTGGATAAAGCCCATTTTGTTTATAGATATTAATTAAATATACTATTTTTTAATTGACTAATTAATCTCATATTAAAAATCGAAAATAAACTTTTAATTTGTAAGTAGAATATGGCTACGTTGACATATGTGTTTTTTAATATTATAATATTTTCAACAATAATTTTTTAAAAATATATATCACATTAAATACTTTTTTTCTCGTAAATTAATATATCAAATACTCAATAGTTAGTAAAAAAATACATAAAATATCTTTAATATTTTACCTTTTTATTATATAAAAAATAATGTGAATAAAGATATATTTGTAATTATGTAAAAATTAAAGAAATTTTGATATTAATATAAATTAAATTTTTTTTACAAAAAGTATACAATTGTATAGATGAATGAAAATGATAAAAATGATATATATAACTTAGAAAAGTGGGGTATAAATTAATAAAACTATCTATTTATGCATCTTACTTGAAAAATAAAATGAACTTTATTGAAAATAGTATGCATGTTTGCCCGGGGCATTAAACACTTATATAAAATGAACTTTGTTGAAAATCTCTAATGTGTTTTTAAGGTTTGCATTTAGATTTTAAGTTGTTGATCTTTGTCACTATTTTTTTTTTTTTTTTTATGACGTGGAAATCCGCAGTCGCTACTTGAAAGTATGCCCTGGGTAAATCTTAGTCGAATCTAATACCCTGCAAACTAGGTCTGACAGACGAGTCACACTCAGCGAATTATGCATAGCAAGAGACATGATGTATCGATGGTTTGAACCTATGACTTTACGATCACAAGTCCAACTTCCATAACACCAGGTCATCCTTTACGGGACATCTTTGTCACTATTTTTTGTCAGATGGCTATGGGTTAGAGTAATACAAAAGCAATAAGAATTTGAGTTTGTTAGTATTCATGATGTATTCATGTTATTCTTTCATTTAATTTTTGTTTGTTTCTTTATAATCGGATTTCAAAGTTTGTTTAATGACTATATTTAATTTATGTTCGATGCTTCTTTTACCAGGATCACTTAAATTTTTGGACAATTGTGTTGAACATGCATTGGGCCGCTGTGTGTCTATGTTCTACTAGGTGAAATTTTTTGATCTTAAAAACATGATTGTGGCTCTTATGCACTATTTGCTTCATTGTACTTTCATGTGCTTTTAAATAGAGAAATAGAAGAAAACAAATGCATGTTTATTGGAATTACATAAGTTGACATGATGAAAAATATGATTTTTATTGGGTTTTAATAAAATTGTCCTATAATTTACAAGATTTTAGAGACATACAACTTATTGTTTTGTCACATCTCGTATAATCCTACACCTTTCTATGTTTTTCATATTTCCAGTGAAGTTTTAACCAATTTATGAAAGTGATTTAATCACACTCTTAACTAGTTCATTCTTTTGTTCTCACTCAATGACGATTCAAATTACATGAGACTGATTCTCACACCTTGAACCAACCTAACATATGTTCGATATAATTATTTTTTAATAATGAATTACAAACCTTAGATCTAAAGAAGAACAAAATGCAAACCAAAATCAGATTCGATGTACTCCTTAAGCGTGGTCACGCCTAAGCAGGGTGTTCAAACTGTTTCACCAAAACTTTTCCCTTCAATCAATTCTCCTTTGTGCCAAAATACGATGAATGATAACCACCAATAAACAACGGAAATAATAAGAGGAGACACCAAAACTTTTAAAGTGGAAAACTCCTTTAAAGTGAAGGATAAAAATACGAGGCCTATCACCCGACCCAAGGCAAAATCCACTATATCAAAAAAAAGGTTCGTACAATCAAAGATAACCACAACCAAAAGGGCTATCAAACTCCACACCCAAATACAAGAATCGAACCACAATCACAAGAGATCTCTCAACTACAAACAACCCATTTCAATCACCAACCAATAAGATTCAAAATCGAATCCAAACAAATAGTAATAAATCAATGATACCAAAAAGGAACATCTGAAGATGACGAGACCGTTGATCGGAACCGAGTTGAAGAAATTTTCTCTTGCTTGTCAATTCTCTCGTATGTGTGGATAACGATTGTGTCTCTCAAAACCTCTTCATTCAAAATTGCAATTTTGATAAACTCCAAAGTAACCATCCCATCAGGCGCAGAATTAGGCAAATAGACTCTGAAACCTTCCCATGAATCTGGAAGAGTATTAAGTAGCCACAGACCAAGTACCTTATCATCAAACTTCACTCCCATGCCTGACAGCTGATCGAAACATCCTTGAAACTCATTTATGAGATCGGAAATGAACTTGCTCTCATGATAACTCAATCGCATAGCCTGTTTGAGTATAAACAACTTATTGTTGCCAGTCTTCGAAGCATATAAGCTTTTCAGCTTGTCCCACAATGTTTTGACATTGGTCTCATTCATAATGTGATTCAAAACATTGTCCTCTACCCATTGCCTTATGAAACCATATACTTGTCGATGCTCAAATTCCCAATCTGCATCACTAGTTTCATCATCAGGCTTTGCCGCATAAAACACTGGCCGTGTAACTTCTTCATATATAATATATCAGTTATCTTCTCTTTCCAAACATGATAGTTTGTTTCATCTAAGCAAATCATTCTTCCAAAGTTCACATCCATCTTTCAATAGTACATAACACTCACAAACAACCTTGCTCTGATACCACTTTATGTTGGGAGAATACCGGAAGAAGACCAAAATGCAAACCAAAATCACATTTTATGTACTCCTTAATCCTGGTTACACCTAAGTAGTGTGTTCAAATTGTTCCACCAAAACCTTTGTCTTCAATCAATTATTTTTTTACCAAAAGACGATGAATGATAACCACCAATAAACAACGAAAATAATAATATGAGACACCAAAACTTTTAACGTTGAAAACTTCTTCAAGTGAAGGATAAAAACCACGAGGTCTATCACCCGACCCAAGGCAAAATCCACTATCTCAAAAGGTTCGTACAATCAAAGATAATCACAACCAAAAGACTATCAAACTCCACACTCAATTATAAGAATCGAGCCCCAATAACAAGAGATCTCTTAACTACTAACAACTCATTCCAATCTCCAACCAATAAGATTCAAAATCGAATCCAAACAAATAGTGAAAAATCAATTATACCAAAAAAAAGAACATCCGAAGATGACGAGATCGTTGATTGGAACCGACTTGAAAAAATTCTCTTTTGTTTGCCGATTCGCGTGCGTGGATAACAATTGTGTCTCTCAAACCCTACACTCAATTGACTCTTCTCTCAACTATGACGGCTAGGGCAACAATTGACAAGAGTTGACTCTTAATTATTTTTGGACTAACTTGAATTGTTAGGCCTCCTACACACAGAAGGAACCCAAACCCAATAATGAGAATGATCCTTATATTTTTTCTTATGTACCAAATAGTATTACAAGTGAAAAACCTAATAAAAACCGGTTCATTATACCGGTAAATTTATTTTTACAAAATAGTCATAGTAATTGTTTAAACAAAACTATACACAAACATCGAAAACCTCTATTTTTAAACCATGCGTGACAGGTAATTTAACACGTCGGGATTTTACAATCACAAATCCAATCCTTACACTACCAAACTATTCTTAAACTTAACGTGTATTATTATTATTATTATAATTATTATGTTATACGGTTTTAGGGAATCCAAAAAATAATAATAATAATTAAGAAACATATATTAATTATTTGGTACGAAAAAAAAAAAAAAAAAGAAAAAAGAATGAAGAATTACAACGAAGCGTTCCCTAATTAAATGACTTATTAATTTTGAGAAAAGTCGAACAAAAATATTTATTTTAAAATTTTGAGAAAAGTCGAACAAAAATATTTATTTTAAAATTAATTTATATGATACGAGGAATGGATGCATTTAATTGCTAATGGGCTGAGATTGCTAAAGATCAACGACTCAGATTGTCTGTATTTTCAGCCGACAAGTCAAAAACCATGAAATAAACTCTTAGCTTTGCCACTATTATTCTCTGTTACGGGTATAGTTCCTATTTTACCCTTTTGATTATCATTATAATGAAGGGGAAAAAGTATTCTTATAAAATATTCAAAATTGTAAAAACAATCAAAAGTGTATAAACAATCAAACTTTTTTTTTTCTTTTTTAAAAGCAAAATTGTCTAAAATTAACATGTGATTTCACAAAATTAACTCAAGTCCCTAAAATTTTATAAACTCTGTACTTAATGGTATTTGATTTGCAAACATTCAAACTGTAGATTTTTAATCTTTTAAATTATAAATATACTTATTATTTTTATATTTAATCTTAAGGAATAATAAATATATTAAAAATAAAAAGCCATATTTTTTTCTAATTAATTTTTTTTAATTTAAATATAAGAGAAATAAATATATTTAAAAATTTAAAAATAAAAATTTTGAAATTCATTCGCAATAAAAACTATAAAGAAAGTAAGACTCAAAATTTATGAAATTACGAAAAAATTTGATATAATTTTAAAAATGTATTCATAAAATTACATATAAATTTTGTACATTTTATTATTTTTTAAAAATGGGTAAACCCCGTGAACCTTGTTTTCAAGTCCAATAAATAAGTTATATTAGACTAAACCACGTGTAGCAAGTCACATGAGTATAAGATTCCGGTTTCTCTTTTATCATTTTTAAGCTCTATATCATTGAAATAAATGGGGTTGGTGACTGGGTGGATGCGTGATTCTTGGGGCGGATCCACACCGTTCATTGGAGGCAACGAACGCCGTGGATAATTTCGGTGTTGAGGTCCCGGGAGCTTCCGAAAGTCATTTAAAGGTGGATGCGATGTGAGAATACGATGGCTCAACTAAATGAGCTGGCATGTCCAACTGCCACGTGGCGCCTTTTCCTGCTTTACTGAATTGCCCCCGTTGTGTACTTTTAGGTCATTTCACATTAATATTTAAAAATAAAAAACATTATTGAAAATAACGGGCAAGATTTGGAAGAGATTCACAGACCAAAACGACTTCGTCCCATAATGCCTCCTGCTGTAATGACTATAATATCACTGCAAATATGAGAGCGAAATAGGGAACAGAGCTCAACGTCATCAGTTCTTATCCCTGCCACCGGAATGTCGCCGGTGATTCCGCCGGCGTCGATATCTGCAACTTAAGATTCGGCCTATGGATCGAGCTATTCGTTAGTCATTGTGATAATGTCGGGCTTAGGTTCCAGCAAACAGGCGAAGAAGGCGCGTGACCTAAAGCATCGTGTCCTCGTTTGCCTCTACAAGCTCTCCGATAGAGATACTCACTCTGCGGCTGCATCGGAGCTCGAATCGATCGCCAGGACCATTAATGGAGATTCTATTCCGTTTTTCATCTCGTCTATCGTAGCCACCGACTCTTCCGACAAATCGCCGGTTCGTCGGCAGTGCCTCCGCCTGATATGCGTTCTCTCGGAGCAACATGGGAACTCTCTCTCCCCGTACCTGTCGAAGCTCCTGTCCGCCGTCGTCCGCCGCCTCCGTGACGCCAACTCTTCTGTCCGCGCCGCCTGCGTGACTGCGTCGTTGGCGCTTTCTTCTCATATAACCTCTTCTTCATTCACCACCATAAGCAAACCGTTTCTAGAATCTCTCTTTGTTGAGCAGGACTCCAACACCCAATCCGGAGCGGCCTTGTGCCTGGCGGCGATAATTGAAGGATCGAAAAGTCCTGATGCGGCGAGCTTGAGAAGACTGCTGCCAAAGCTCGAGAAATTGGCAAAATCCGAGAGTTTCAAAGCGAAGGCAGCGTTATTGACGCTGATAAGAACTATTGTGGAAGTGAAAGGAGTGTTAATCGACGGTGCGAAGAATGTAGTTAGGAATCTGATCGTATTGTTGGTCGGCTTCTTAATAAGCGAAGATTGGGCGGCGAGGAAAGCTGCGGCGGAGGCGCTGATGAAGATCGCTGCCATGGAGAGACACTCTCTGTCGGAGTACAAGATCCCATGCTTGAAGAAGTTTGAGGCAAAGAGATTTGACAAAGTAAGTTCAACTGATTAACCCCTACCATTTCTTCAGTAATTTTGTTCTTGATGCGCGTGTGGACTGATTTATTGATTGATTAATTTGCTCAGGTGAAGGCAACGAGAGAAATGATGAATCAGATGATAGAGGCATGGAAGGAGATTCCAGATCTGCCTGATGATAAGGCTTCATCACCACTACCTGAATTAGAGGCCTCACATGAAGGTACCATAGCTTGAAACGCGTTCTTCGTCCGCTTGATCATTACTTGTCGTTGTTCTACTTTGCCATATCCGTTCCTTCAGATCCTCATGTATTGATCTGTAATTAGTTGTTGAACATGTGTCTTCTACATTTTGATTCATTCACCACACCACGCCTTCTGCTTTATTCACTTGTTTTTTACCTCATTGCCTTTGCTCTTTCCCCTTCAATGGATTTTGAATTCCTTCCATGTGTTTGAATCACAAATGCTGCTGTTGAGTTCTTTCATTTGTTCCATAAGAACCTTGATCATATTTCAAAATTCATCGTCTATGAAAGCTTTTTGTTGATACATTTACTTTAAACAACATCCATACTGCTCTACAAAATTTAATTCAAGCTCTGCTTATTTTGCATACAGAAAATTGCAGTGAAAGCCATAACCAACCTGATTCTAAAGCTTTCTCTTCTGTCGGGTCCGCTACACTTCGTGCAAAGATGAGAAGCCTCGTAGACAACACCGCTGCTAGGAAACTGTTTGCTAATGGCTCTCCGGCTTCCATTTCTAGAAGCAGAAGTTCACGGTACCATGAAAACAACAAGAAAGCCAGGGCAATGTTCCAGAAGTTGGATAACAAGAAGCCTGTAGACTTGAAAGTTGAAGTAGTAACTCCAAGCAGTTCTTGTGGTGTTCTTGTCTGTGATGATAACCCCTCAAATAAAGATGACGACAATGTCGAACAAACCAGAAAACCAGAGATCAAATGTGATAACAATGGGAATCTGAATCTGGGCTTGTTTAGAGGAAGTAGCTCTCGACTCCCTCTCTGTAGCGACGCTAGTGTTATTGATTGTGAAGAGCTGTCTCAGATCCGGGAGCAACTTCTTCAAATTGAAAACCAACAATCGAATCTATTTGACCTCCTTCAGGTTTCATTTCCAATCCCAGAAAAATTCATCACCAACTCTTATATATAATATATATATACATACATGCTAACAATTAACTGTTTTAATTTTGAATTTAGAGGTTTATAGGGAGTTCACAGAATAGCATGCATTCCCTTGAGGCACGTGTTCATGGTCTCGAACTCGCACTGGATGATATATCATTCGATTTAGGTGTTTCAACCGGAAGGCTATCGCCAAATGTGGCATCAGGATCTCTGTGTTGCAGGCTACTCGATACAGAGTTCTTGAGCTCAAAGCTATGGAGGAAGTCAGAATCTCTTTCAACTCCCCGACCATCTGCAGCTGCCATCAGCGGTCTCCATTACAAAAATGGTGCTGGCCATGAAAATCATCGGAGGCATGGGCTCCAAGGCAGTCGTGGCAGTATACTGAATCCACTGGCTAAGGTCTCCGGTCACCCCTTTGGATCACCGGAAGTTTCCTCTAGCGCCATTGCGACTACTATTACTATTTGATCATTTATTCGAGGTAAATCACATAAATTCTTATAAATTCTGTTTGAAAACTCACTATAGAATCGCCTATATATATATATATATATTGCAGAATGTCTGGAACATGAACAGCAGCAAAGCTTCAATGTAGTTTGAGCTTTATTTCGGGTACATACTTGTTCACTCAAACCAAAAATCAAGGTCAGTGAACGACTTTAATATGATATTCTGTTTGTATTGTCTTAATCCTCGCACAAAAATCAGTAAAGATTAGCGACGTAGGAAAAGATATATATATATATCTTAGCATGAGTATGGAATGCATATGGTTCAAGAAACTATAGATATGTTCCAATTCAAAGGCATTCTGTTTTTCTGTATTAACATTTCTGTCGACTCTCGGATTATTTGATGCCGTTGAAGTTATGTGTGTGAGACTAAATACAAGAGAGAGGACCACACATGAAATTTCGATTTCTTTGTCTGTCCAAAAAATGAAATGTTGGTATTATGAGAAAAACTAGTTGTCCATTTTTACATTTCTCAGAATCTCCTGTAGTGTTTGTTATGGAACAGCTGAACTTGCTTTTCAATTCTCTCATATATAGAAGTTTCTAAAATTTTAGGAAACTTTATAAATAGTATAAATTGAGTATTTAATATAATATTTGTTTGGAAAAAGAAAATATTATAATAAATAATATAAAAACTTAAATGTGTATGTAAACAGCATTTTAAGTTTGCTATTTGTAGTGCAACACAAACATGTTTGATGCTATGTTTTGTAACAAACCAAACCTTATGTACTCTTTTTATTATTTTAGTTTTATTTTTTTATTTAGATAATAATTAAATGGCATATATTTCAAACATAATAATAAAATAATTATATATATATAAAAAAAAAAAGATTATAACGCTTACGTCTAAAAAAGTATTTTATAAAAATATTATACTTTTATATGAAGTAATATTATATTTTAATAATATTATATATTTATATTTATCAAATAAACTATAAAATATTATTCTATTTTATAATATTATATGTCTATTTATGGAATAAAATTATGTATTTGTAGCCATATAAATGACAAAATATATATGGTATATTTGTGTTGTTGTTTTTTTTTTTTTTTTTTTTCAAATAAAAACTTATACTGATCATCTATCAATTCTCAATAGAAAATTATGTGTTTAAAAATAGTATTTATATGTATAAATTCACAATTTTAAATTAAATCCAAACAAATTATATTTTACTGTGTGGACCAAAAAGAGTATAAAAAATATGGACGACTTCATCCAACTAAAGATTGTAGCAATATTGTTAATGGGATACTATATGTACATATTCATAAAGTATGTAAAATATATTTATTTTATTAATTTACCAATACGAAATATTACTTCTTCCGAAAATTTACAAAATACATATTTATTCTTTTAGATTACAAAATACATATTTATTTTTTTCAGAGAATTTAATAAATAGTAGTATATTTTAATAATAATTGGTGAAAATTTTGTTATGTATAACTATTTTACTCCTATAATCCTGTGGTTTTTTTTTTTTAAAAAAAAGTAAAAACAAAAACAATTTCTTTTTAAAAAACTTAATATAATATAATATCGGTATACAAAGAAAATATATTTTTTAATTTATATTAAAATATAAAAACACTTCAAACTAAAATCATTAACCAAACACATCTCCTTGACGTAGCTGATATTTTATATAGAAAATAAAATATTTCAATACTAACATTTTAATTTTCTAGAAACACAACCTCTTTGAAGTAACTAGATATTTTATATAGAAAATAAAAAATTTCAATACAACATTTTAATTTTCAAAAAACAACTCTTAATAAATAAAGAAGCAAAACAAATTTGGAAACATGAGTAAACAATTTTTTTTGGTTTCTAAAAAAATCTTCGAAATAGGTTAAAATCATTCAAGAAAAACATTTTAAACTAAACTATAACAATTTATTCTAAAAGTAAATAAATAATGAAACATAGAGACAAATATGCAGAACACAACCTAAAAGTGAATAGTTAAATAAAAATCATAATGATATAAAAAATACTAAAGAAGTGCACATAATTACTATAACGAATCATTAATTGTCTTAATAAAGAAAGTGACTGAAGAAGAAGAGCACATAAACATATGCTACATCATGATAATAATACTAATAATAATTTAAAAGGTACTTATGGTCTCCCTGTTTATCCAACTCATTAAAAACCTTCACAAGTCTTTCTCTACGTTGGTCTATCATCCACAACTCCCTTTCTCTCTCTTCCTATCTCTCTAGATGATACCTTCTTTTAAGCCTCACCTAACCAGAAGCAGCACATTAAAACAATTCCTCCCGTCAGCCACTGCACATTTAATGCCACCACTTCTTCTCCGATAAAGATATGAGCTGCAACCGCAAGATTATCCAATATAAGTGTTAAAACAACAATAGATTTTATGATGGGAAGAGCACAAAAGAGAATAATCATGATTCACACGTCCAAAAATATAAGCAAAAGGACGACTGCTGTCTTTTGTTTTCAAAACAACACTAAACTAGAGTGAAAGTACTTAATTATTCTTAACAAATAATTGTTCAAACTACAACATGATAGTTGAACTGTTGAAGGCTAGAGCACCATCGAGTGAATCAGATATATGGATAAATTGAAATGAAAATTTACACGTATTGAAGGTTTCTGTATAAAAACCAACAGATAAGGGGTAGAACCTTTGTGTAAGCTGATTAAAAATAAATTAATAAAAAGCATGATAATCAGGTTTTGGGTATGAAATGAAATCAAAATAAGATACCCACCATGTCATATCATATAGTCACAAAATTGCACAAAAAAAAAAAAAAAAAAATGTACCCTATATAGAATAATAATTACGGAACTGTTAATATCATTTAAAGCAGAGTCAGATTGCTGGTTTATGTAAGTCTTCATGGTGCAGCCAACGACTAAAATGATTTTATTTTCAGACTCAGTACTGATATTCTGTCGAAATTGATGCTAAGCAAATAGATAGAGCATAAACCTACAGTATTTGCCTAGGCATTAAACAAGATATACTCAACTCCTGGGCTCTTATTTTGGACTATTTTATCCCTTTCATCATTTATTGATAGTCATTGACATGGACTCAATGCCTTTTGCATAAAATACTTCCTATATAGTCAAGAAAAATTGAAAAAGACCATAAATTAAGACTGATTATAGAAGATTTTATTAGACTACCTGTCGAGCAACCTGTGCCAATCGCCTACTTTCTCTTGAAGACTCAATTGACAAGTTAGGTTTGACTTGCTCCATCTTCTGATCAATAATTTTCTCATTCACTGTCTTGTTCTCAATCTCAGCCGGATTCACTTCAGCACCATTTAATTCTTGTCTCTTCCGCTTGCGTTGAAATGTGTATTTGATTACTCTTTCCTTCGAAGGTTGTCCAGAAATCCCATTTTTCAATTCAGATTGATTTGATTCTAAGCCCGCTGACGGCAAATCAACTTTGTCAGCATCCAGTTTACGTAAGCAATCTGGAACTCCAGTTTCCTCTCCCAAAGATACCATTCTTCCATCTACTCCATCCTTGCAAGCTGTCTTGTCACAGAAAATTTCCACGAGACTGCTTTCTTTCTCAGAAGATTTTAGAAAACCTACTAGTTCATTTTGTGAGTCAGCTATCTGTGGGAATGGTCCAAGACCTACACTGTCAAAACGCCCATAAGTATGCCCATAATCATCACTTGATGGAAATACAGTCTTTCTTCTATTAGCTCTCTTCCTTTTATGAAGAAAAGATTGAGAGCTGCCAAGGTTGGCAAGTTCACAAAGAATTTCAGCCCCTGAAACAGGTGAGTCCTTGCCTGCTTCTTGATCTCTATCATTGTTGTTGTCCTTTATTTCATCAGTTTCCTCTGAGAGACAAAGATCTCTATCCAAAAGATTCCTCTCGCATGCAAGGATTCTATGGGTACATCCGTTTCTGTATTGTCCAGGATCCTTACCTCTCAATATTATAGAGGGCAAATCTTGACACCCAACAGATGCACTACAATAGCAAGCTAACTCGCTATGGCACTTCCTGCATTCATTTCTCTGGCTCAGACATGGCATTGTCACATAAGCAGGGACAGAGGATTCTTTGCAAAGAAGGAAGTCACTGGATTGTCTTTCTCTTGAGCAATCATAACCAGGTTCATTCGCATGCTGCAGTTTCTCCTTTTTCAACCTTCCTAGTTCAGTCTGCGCATTTTCCAAGTCCTCTCGGAGATCTTTTACAATATCTTCAGCTTCATGAAGCTGAGCTTCGAGTTCTTCAATCTTCTTCTGTTGATTCAATGATGCCACCTCCGCTTCACTAGCCTGTGAGGTTGACCAAATAGTTAGGTGAAATAAATAATACCGGCACGTGTTATTAATCTAAATATTTTCAAAGGAAAACATAGTATTGATAATTACCTGGCGATCAAAACCAAAAACACAGCAGAAAAGTCAAGTAAGTTTGTTCAAATTTAACAGTAAATAAGACATAGTTAAGGTGGGAGAAAAGCAAAATGCAAAATATCTGAGTTTGTTCCATGCCGTTGACTAAGAAATGCATGCTTTCATTTCAGACACAAAATAGTTAATACATAAGCGATTTGCGATTCCACAAACACCACCATTTTGAGATCTTTTCATATCAACAACAACATGGCTATTGTAATTCAGGCATCATAAACTTGTAGTAGTAAGAACTACAAAGACAAATGATACCATCAAGTCATCATGTATGGAGATTAATAAAAGAACATGTGCCACAAAAAATTTCAACTAACGAAATCTACGATCTATTCAATGTAGGAAGACAACTATATCCTTGGAAGCTAAAACTTATTTCTGGTATAATTCCTCAAAGTTTAAAGAAACAAAAAAGTCTCAAACAAGATATTTTATGAATCTCAAAGATTCCAAAAGATCAATACATGCCGTTAGAAGAATAAACACGTTGACATGTTACAAAAGCACACGCCAAAGCAAAGTTGAAACCAACATGTTTTTCTTACGGATATGGCAATAAACCCCTGTCACACGCATTGATCAGCTACAAAAGGAATATTAGTACAAGGGAATAAAAGCCAAGTCCAGGTATATATTACTGCAACATAGAACCCACAAAAAACATCAGAGATACCTTCATACATATAACATACACATCATTGTCCATCAACAAATTCAGCTAATAAATTGCCAACACCGAAGAGAAAAAAGGGTTCATTTGGCTAATGCCACCAGTTTAAGAAATCCATGGAAATGAGGGGAAAATAATCCATGAGTAATCCATGGAAGTGAGGGGAAATAATCAATGGCAGTGAGGGAAACACAAATCAGACATAAACTTCAAATCTTAAGATCCACCTGATAATCCATCATTTGCTTGAGGCGCAGCAGTATCCGCACGCCCTCCTCCTTTGCCACCTTCAGCTCATGTTGGTATCTTGCTGACTTCCTCTCTGACGCCATTACCCTTGCCGCTGCCTCCTTTGATATACTCAATATTATATCAGCGTATGCCTTCTTCAAAGAAGTCAGTTTCTGCGCTCCAGAAAAGAACATTTTATAAGAAAAATCACCACACCCAAACATATGTTCATTCCTGTTTGTATAAATTGAATCAAGAACAAATTACATAAGTTTCACCTACAGATTCCAACAACGTTCCATCAGAATTAACCCCTATCTTTACGAAAGAATAAATAAAACACCAAACTTTCGACGGGAAGACGCACAAAACTTCAGAAAACGGCATAAACTTTCACAATCATCCTATAAAAGCAAAAGGAAAATCGAAGACACCACCATTTCACACATAACCAAACAAAACCAAGTCAAATCAATTTCAACAACACCACACTCTAAATACAACTCCCCCAAAACCACAAAAATCGCGTCAAATAAGAACAATCGAAGATCATCAGAATCCAAACACGCACAGCACGAATGCAGAGAAGAAACAGCAGGCGAACGGTTAAGGGGGGTTTAGGGGAATCAGTTAGGTAGTTGGCGGTACAGTTGAAGATATATAAAAACAAAAAATCGGCACCGGCGCCACAACACAGCGGCCGCTTCAATCAGAAAGTTGGAAAGAAAGCAGAAAACCTACCTCATCGGCGTCCATTGCCAGAATTCCTTCGCAGAGTCGATTTTTTCGCCCGAGGTTTCTCCGGGCCGAAGGTTTGCTGGTTTTTAATTTTGGTTTGCTCAGCAGCGCTTTGTCTGTTATGAACTGAAACTTCTATGGAATGAAAGTACAAATTTGCCCCTGCCGGATTAACCCGTTGACGAAAATGCCCTGCATGCTCACAATTCTGCTACCGTGTGGTCCCACATTGGGCGACGTGGCGAATTATTATTGGACCACGTGGGTAGGACACGTGCCTCTGTGCATGGAGATGGTCTTTTGGAGGGAAAAAGGTGTTCCCATTTCCACTTATTCTCATCGATTTTTCCTTTTTTTTTTCCTTTATTGTTCTATTCCATAAAAATTAATCTATAATTAAAATTAAAAATAATATATATTTTAATTGAATATATATACACTATAATAAAAATAAATATTAGCATTTTAAATTTTGTTCAAATAAAAATAATAATACATGTAATACTATAAAAAGAAAATAATTAAATTGTTAAATATGTACAATAAAATTATTAAGCATATATCATAGAATATATACGCTCAATGTACTAAATTCATGTTTGTTTTTAAACATTATAGTACTAATTTTTTTTTATATAAAATAATTTATCTATTCAAAATATCTTTTTAATATCACATTTGCTTATGTATATGTTATATCTATTCATATATTTTATTTAATGTTCTTCAAAATATTCCCTCACAATTAACGAAAACTGTTTGGTTGATTTAATTATGTTAAATATAAAAACAGAATAGATAAGAAATAAAATAAGTACAATATAAATATTTTATTAAAAAATTGATAATAATATTATATGATAAATAAAAATAATAATAAATTAATTATTATTTATTAAAATAAATATATAAATTGTAAATAAATTTAACGAATAATAAGAAAATAAAATCGAAAATAATTGTATCAAAATAATACAATTATATTTGTTAAAATTGATGTGATTTAAATAAACATACATTTTGTAGACGGAATAATAATTATGCATCATCAATTTACAAGAAATTATTTACAGAAAAATATTGACATATTGTCGAAATATTACAATTTTAAAAAGATATTATGAGAATCGGAGGAAAGTGAGTTTGTTTTGTATTTTGATTTGAAGAATTTTTATTTTTATTTAATTTAAAATAAAAAGAAATTGTATGAAAAATATAAAAATAATAAATATATTTATTATATTAATTTTTTTCTTTAAAAATGTGTTTTTTTTAAAAAAAAAGAAAAATCTAGAGTATTTGTCCAAAATATTAAATGGAAAATATTATCATTAGCAAAAAAAACGAGGACAAATTATACATAAGTGGATTCCAATCAAATTCCAACTATACCCTTTGACCTAAAAATAGATTCTTTTTTTTTTGAAAAAAAAAATAAAAAATCAATGAACAGAAAAGAACCAGGTGAAGTGGAGTCGAGCTTGATGTCTGCCAGGTTTCCTCGTAATTCACTCTTTCTTAATTCTTCAACACTCTTCGCCTCCCTGTGCCGCCGCCAACCGCCGCGTTTTCGCTTCCACCGCCGGACCGCGTGCACGACTGCCACTTCCATCGTGCCTTCCGGAATTGGGGAGGAATAGTTTCGTTTCCAGGTTATTTTGCGTTTGCTCATTATTAAAAACCCACTCAATCAGATTAGTAGGATTTGGATGCAATGCCGTGAAGTTCTCTCTTCTTGTGATTTTCTACTTGTCTAGCAGCGCGATAGCTTGATTGTTTGTTTATTCTATTGTTCAAGTTCATGTGATCTTCATTTTTGTGATTTGTTGTTCTTGCGGTTGGGGGAAAATTGCTTGTTGCTTTTCTTGTGGTGTTTTCGTTTTTCAATTTTATGTATGATTCGAGTGTTAGCGCTGCCTGAAGTTGGTATTGTTTTGTTTGGGGTTCAATGTTTTATTTAATGCTTGGAGAATTTCCCTTGACTCAAGAGTTTTGCTCTACATTTAATGTGTAAAGATGTGCCCTTTTCTTAAGATTTTCATTTGTGTATTTAATGTTTGGAGAATTTCCGTGATCACCACCTGAGATAACTATGATAAATCACTATCACTTAGATCAGCACCACCTATGATAAGTAAAGTGAAAAACACAACCACTAGTGTTAACGTATTGTAGTGTCATTTTTGTTTGCACTTTTCTGCTTGACTAGCAGTTAAGAATTTATGATCATGAAATATAACTATAAAGGATAATAGCTTTCAAATAATGTAATTAGCTACTTTTGGTTAAATGGTTTTCCCAGAAAAGATACCCTTTTTGTAAAGTTGATTCACTTAGCATTGGATCTCCCTGAAAAGATCTCTTTTTTTCCGGAGATTTAATGCACGTGGAGCGTTGTTTTAAAGAGATTGTCGGATTGTAGTTAATAGTCCGTACATCCGTTTTGTCTTGTTTTATATAGTTGTATTATTGTATAAATTTCTAACGAAATTACCTATTAGATTTTAGAAATACTACTTGTTTCCTAATCCTTCTTCTTTCTGTTGATATGTGATGGTCAGGACATTTCTGTGGTGTTGCTGCGCTGTGAATTGCAACATTGAAGTTAATATGCATCTATAGGTCGAATTGCAATAGCAAGTAAAACATCGTATCTCTGATTGTGGGGGTTGTATTGTGAAGAGTCCTCTCAGCACAAGATCTACCCCCAGTAAGAAGTATTCCATCCATTTTTGGTGTGAACCTGCTGTGTTAACTGACTTGCTACAAGCTAATTTTTGAGATCAGTACAATACATGACCATATATAATTAGCTTTTGGGTCTGAGGTTTGGGAGGGATGCGAATTTCCAGCACACAAGCACAGCATAGATGTCACTTTTTGTGCAACGTCTCAAATGGATGATCAATGGGTTTAACCGATCAGCATCAGTGAGCCCCAAGAGTTTGGATTGTCCTGATGTGAAACCTTTAACTGGCCCGAATGAACTTGATGTTCTCAAGCCTAGCTATAGTAATCCATTTAAACAGCGAATGATGGAGGTCTCAAATGAAATTTCGATATACATCCATCGATTTCACAACCTTGACTTGTTTCAGCAAGGGTGAGTTGTTCAATGTATTTAACTTATATTTTGGGTGAACCATGTGTTTTTTGGTTTCTTATTTTAATGTCATCTTAGATGGTATCAACTTAAGATTATGCTAAGGTGGGAGGATGGTGACTCTGGTCTGGGGATTCCGGCAAGAGTTGTTCAATATGAAGGTATCTGTCCTGGTATCCTTATAAAGGGTTTATTTTGTTATACTAATACTTATTATTTCTACCTATATTTGTTTTTCATGCATCTAGATGACTATTTTAATGTGTCGCTGGTCTGCTTAAATTTTACTAAAGCTGAAGCATTCTGAGGACTCTTGCTTTCTTTAGTTAATGTTTATTTACCCTTTACATTTACACATGCCTGCTTACTTATTGTTTTATGATCTTCTCTTTGACCATTTAAATAGCCACATTGATTGATGTGCTTTTTTTATCTGTCCAGCTCCTGATTTGGGTTCTAATGATATCATTGGAGTATGGAGGATTGACGACACAGATCATAGTTTTTCTACACCACCTTTTCGAATTAGATATGCGAGACAGGATATACTTTTGGCTATGATGGTCTCTTTCAGCATACCGCTGTATAAACTTGAGGTAATGCTCTCATTTTTTATATTTTTTTTCTTTCCTTTTGTTTGTGTTATGAGCATGCAATATGCACTTTATTATAAATAGACATTTTATACACGTATGCTACTTTATGTGGTGAGAATCATGAAAAAGATAGCGAAGCAATGAACTGATAGATAAAGCTATAATTTATACTACTATAGTTGATACATACATCGAAGGTGATATAAAATCGGCAGTTTTAGGGGGAGGACAAATGGTTCTATGTTACTAGAGCTAAAATAAGTATATTTTGATGACATATCTATGGAAGTAAGCAAGCTCTAAAATTGAGTACATCCTTATCCTTTTAATATGCTTGAACATTGAATGTTATACTGTTTGGGTTATTTTTGGATTCTTACATGGTATTTGAAATACCAGGGAATATCCAAGTCGGCTGTTATTCTGAAGTTTGAGCTGTTGTACACGCCTGTGTTGGAGAACAGGTTAGCAGCATGTACTTTAACTTCTTGTAAAATGTGGATGTTATGTCGTTATTTTTTAGAGTCAATCAATGATGCCCTGAATTATGTTGACCTGTGCTTAACTATGTTTCGTGCACTTTTCTAGGTCCATTGTTCAAACTTGTTTAGACACGAGCCCTGCTGCAGTTCACGAATTCCGCCTTCCCCCAAAAGCGCTGTTGGGATTGCATGTGTATTGTCCGGTTTATTTTGATGCTTTTCATTCTGTATTAGTAGATACATGTGTGCATGCCAGCCTTCTGAAACGTAGGGTCTACACCACCTCGCAGAAGGTATCAAGGTTTGTTGAAAGCTTTATCCTTTGCTCAAGGATGATTACGGTGTACTTTTTCAGTCTTCCATCACCCTTTTGTTTGGTTTAAAACTTGGTTGAAGTAATTTCATGAATTTCTTTCCTTCAGCGATACTAAAGATAATGGAACTGGTGCTTCTACATGGCATGATAGAGCAACACAGGTACATGGTGACAACACATGTTTCTGCTTGTTGCTGTGATTGTAATAGTATATTGTTATCTGGAAGTACTACTTTGTTTATTACACTGAATTTGTGTTTTCCTTTGGAGAATAAATTTCATTCTTTATTCGATTTTTAATGTCTTGCTGATGTAATAATTCTCTGATCAGATTATTGCAGTGAAAGCATTATCAAGTGCTTGTTTATTATTACACTGCCTTTGCGTTTCCCTTTGGAGAATAAATTTCATTCTTTATTCTCTCTTTAATGTCTTGCTGATGTAATATCTATCTGATCAGATTATTGCAGTGAAAGCATTATCAAGTGCTCGTGACATACTTGTGGAGGAGCTACAAAAGCTCAGCAAGGCTATTGATAAGCCAATTGATATCAAGGATTTTACTTTGAAAGAATTGACCAGTTTGACTCAAGCAGATCTGGATCTGGCTGATGCTGAAGTTCCAAAGCAGGTATCTAGCAATTCTCAACCAAGTTGTGGATTCTCTTAGCATGAGAATAATTGGCATGATGTAATAATCTGACGCAAATATAGTATAATAGATCCAGGTTTTGGTTTGTCAGGATGATTTGAGAATTGGGACAAAACCAATTGTAACAAATTTGTCAGATTTAGGTCAAGTCTAATTGATCATATAACTCATTTGATTCAATTAATACAACAAGAGTAATAATTGTCACATAGAAGTTTAGATTAGCTTTTTAAATAAGGAAGAACAACATTGTTGTATGCAACCATCTTATTGTGTTTGTCCTTGTGTTTTCCCTTCATCATTCTTGCTTTATTTTGCTTATAATTGAAACCCTGAGATTCTAGTATTGTATTCCTTAAGCAGAAACCAAATGGGGAAGTTGACTATTCGAGTGATAGCATTCTTCATTCTTTGCCAGAAGATAAACTGCTCAAAGCATTTGATTTGATTGGCAATCAAATGTTCTATTTATGGAGTATGTTTCTAAACTTTCACAGGTTTGTCGTTTCTCATTAAATTTTCTGCAGCTTTTATATATCACATTCCGAATTCTAATGCTATTTATTATTACACAACTATCTTTTATACATATTGCTCATTCATAACTTCTCGGTGCTGAATAAATTATTTTATTTAAAATTGAATTCTCTTGTATCTTTTTATTGGACTAACTGGGCCATCTTTTTTACTGTAAACTGCAAATGATATCCCACAACTGAGGGCTTTTTCCTTCCAGGGTAAATGTAAAGAAGATTCTCGAATTTCTGTGTGAAGAGTGGGCTGTTGATCGTCAAACTGAATGGTCAATCTGGATGGTCCATACTAAAGTTGAGATGCCTCATCAGCATGTAAGTAGCATGAGCGAAGACAGCTCTAGTAATGGTTCTCGTGGTAAAACATTGTCTCTGCGCAAGTTAACTAGAGATGTAATGTACCATCACACTCTAATTCATTCTTTGTTCAATAACTTTTGCCACAAACACTATATGGCTTGTGTTTCTATGTCTGCAGCCTGCACAAATGGCAGCTATGAGGGCTGAGCTCCATAGGCGAAGTATTGCGCAAATGAGGGTGCGTTCGATTAAATGTTCTCCTTTTAAATGAAATCAGTAGTAACTTGGAAAAGGTATCACTTTGCTGCAGATCAACAGCCGGTCTGTACAAGACATGTACATATTTGGAGACCCATCCCGCATCCCCATTGTGATTGTCGAACGTGTTGTCCATGCTCCCATTAGCTCGACTAGTGGAAATTCTTACTTCAGCCAAGTGGAGGAGAAAGATAAAAACAGCCTGAATGCCGTGGCTGATCCTAAACCCTCAAACACACTATCTGTTGCAGGAACTCATCAAAAGGGCCGCATCCTGAAGATTGTAGTTTTTGTACATGGATTCCAGGCATGTCACGTCCTCTGTTGATTTAAATTTTACTTTTTTTGCATTTGATGATAGCTCTGAAAATAATAATTAATAATCTACTCTAGTTTAGGGATGTTAAGAGGCTGAAACTACCACAAACTCATAACCCTCTCCCGACCCAAAATCTGACTATTGCTTTGAATGTAGATGTGGACCCATGCCGCCCTTATTTAGGTTATAAATAGATATTTTAAAATGCTTAGGCATGATCTACTTGCAGGGTCATCATCTCGACCTCCGGCTTGTTCGAAACCAGTGGCTTTTATTAGACCCGAAGACAGAATTTTTAATGTCAGAGGTTAATGAAGAGAAGACATCCGGAGATTTTAGAGAAATGGGGCAAAGGCTAGCTCAAGAGGTTGTATCTTTTGTGAAAAAGAAAATGGACAAGGCATCGAGATCTGGGGTCTTGAGAACAATCCGGCTAAGCTTCGTTGGACATTCCATCGGGAATATCATCTTACGAACAGCACTAACAGGTTTTTCGTCTATAGAGATTTTAATCACTTAGCTACCCTCCAAAACTATGCTCATTATTGATTTGTACGACATCTCTTGCAGATACTGCTATGATTCCGTATCTGAGATATCTTTATACTTATCTCTCGGTCTCTGGCCCACACCTCGGTTATCTTTACAGCTCAAACTCTTTGTTCAATGGTGGATTGTGGGTCTTGAAGAAGTTCCGAGGCACTCAGTGTATCCATCAGCTGACTTTCACCGATGACTCTGATTTGCAAAACACTTTCTTATACAAACTGTCTAAGGTATCGATTGAGCTCAGCCAATGCTGGCTGAAAGTGTACTTTTATATCCCTATCGGCTCTCTGATTGTCTTTTTGACCTATCTATTTTCAGGAAAGAACATTGGAGCATTTCCAAAATATTATACTGCTATCTTCACCCCAGGTGATATATTCGCACTTTTTATGTTTGTTTGTCTTTAAAATTTTCGAGAGATGTTTTTTCAGTTATATGCTGGATGCCTAACAGGGTTCTTTCATAGTCTGTTGTATATATATATATATATATATAGATGTTTGATGCAATGGCGTGAGTGAAAAATTATTTCTTTATGTAATACTTCTTCCGTCGGCCTCTAAGGATTACATTTACTTTTTATGTCACTGTACTTAATATTAAAAATATCATTATATTTGTATAATTTTTTGTACAAATTATAAGACACTAATATAAGTATTATGTCATTTTCCCTTGATTTGTATACGTTTTAATATAATAATTAATATTTAGAGATTAACCCACGAAAAAGTAGATGTGACCTTAGAGTCGGACATGACAGAGTGAGTATATAAATGAAAAATAAGTGTTTGATTTGATGATTTGTGGATAAATATTTTTTATAAATAGTTCGAGATCAAAACCAGAGAAAGACCCCTTTGACTTGTGGTTAGAAGTCACTCTATAGTTTATAATGTGGTCCATTATTTGTTAATTTTGTTCGAGTGTAGACATATTTATCGATTTAGCGCTCTCGTAATCACTTTCCTTTTAGTTCGGCCCGAGTAATGTTTTAGTAATCAATTACATATGTTTTCAGGACGGGTACGTGCCTTACCATTCTGCAAGAATCGAGTCATGCGCCGCGTCTGTAGGAGACAATTCGAGAAAGGGCAGAGCCTTTCTGGAGATGCTCGACAACCTCTTGGACCAAATACAGTCCCCATCCTCGGAGCATCGAATGTTCATGCGCTGCGACGTCAACTTCGACATCTCCACGCAAGGCACGAGCCTGAACACCATCATCGGCCGGGCTGCCCACATCGAGTTCCTGGAGACAGACATCTTCGCCAAGTTCATAATGTGGTCCTTCCCCGATCTATTCCGCTGATCTTTCTCATTTCCCGAATGTCCCATCCATCCTACCTCGACCTTTTCGCTCGGGGGGATAACTACCGTTGAATCCTGGGGATGGCGGACCGGGAAAGCTGTGAAAACTATCTGGAAATCACCCTGGGCGCCGGTGCATACAATGCTCGATTATTGCTGTGTAAAATTCGACGGGATTCGAGTGTATTTAATGAAGCGAAACAGGTGCTAAGTTTATTATTCGAGCAAGAGCTAAGCTGTATTATAAATTTAACATAGAGGGAAGACGATGAACGCCAGATGTTATGAACAGGTGCTAAGCTTATAATTCGAGCATTTTGTTTATATATATTGCTAAATTTATTTTTGAAATGTTTATGGAAAAATATTGTTCTACAATATTAGATTCGAACTTATTTTTATTTAAAATATACTAAAATTCTATTTTGTATTTAAATATTAGTGTAAATAAGATAGAAAATATAGTATAAAGATTTTAAGAATGACGCTGGCTCCTGTGTAAGTACGTAGTATTGCATTAAATGTTTTACACAAATTTGTAATACCTTCTATATTACGTAGATTGCAATTTCAAAATAAAATTAAAAATTAAAAATCAATATGGATATATTCTGAAAATATAAAATAATCATAATGTAGATATAAATGTTACATTATTATATATATATATATTTTTTTAAATTTAACACACCAAACATTCACACTTATGTGCTAAGTTATGCAATTAGTGGGTTTTGAGAATTTTTTTTGTTTGTTTGAAAGTAATCTACATACACTATTTTGTTAAATAAAAAATTGTATTTTCAAAGTGTATCACGTAATAAAAGACTCAAACTAAATTTCGAAAGTACACAAGAAATTCTATCACATAGGGAATATTTCATTTGTTTACTCCATTAGAGTAATATTTTCTATGATTTTTAATTTTTATTAATAACAAATTATGAACTTTATTTATTTTTTTCCAATACATTAACTACATCGAATCAAGAGTTTTTAGCCTTTGTTTACACTTTACAGTCTGTTAAGATGGAAAATTACTCACCTTATGTTTGTACTACACTACAAATACTAAACCTAATGCTCAGATTATATATACATTTTTGAAAATTTTTGCACTATTTATTTTATTTTTAAATATTACATCAAATACCATGTCCTCTCCTCAAATATCATATAAAAACTTCAAAAACTGTATCAATAAATTGCAAATTCGAACCAGTTCGGATCATATGCTGATATAATAAAATTCAACAGTTTGCTGAATGCTTAGAAGTTAATCATTTTTAATTTATGATATTAAATAATATAAATATATATAATTAATTTTAGGCATTCAGCATATGATCCAAGCTGAATTTGAAGAGAGGCAAAATCCAGAATGCATCGTGACCTTTTCCTTATATGAGACAATAGTTCAGCTATTCTATAACAAACATTACAGGAGAATTCTTGGATATGTAAAAATGGACAACTAGTTTTTCTCATAATTCCCACATATATTTCATTTTTTGGACAAACAAACAAACAAGGAAATCGAAATTTCTCTCTATATATCTTCTCACACACATAACTTCAAAGTAGGTGTTGGGTCTCAAATCCGTGTATATGTCGAAGGAACAATTCAACCAAACACCAAAGGTTTCTTCTTGTTCAGATAGGTTGTTCGTGAGTTATTTGGATGATAAAACTGCGCAGAAACAACAATTCAAATCCAACATTAAATTTGTTTCCTCAATTCGGCCTCCAACTTAACCAATGTCTAGGGGTTTCAAGCCAAGCTAATCCACTAAGATATGAGCACTGTAGAAGCAAGTTATATCTTCGTAGCCATCACTCGAGACAACAACAAGAAAGTACAAAACAGCTCATTAATACAACGATTATCAAAAGTTGTGGTGATCGTCCTAAGAATAGTTTCACAATGCCTCAACCTCTAGTTCTTGAGAGACAAAAAGTACCCCCACTCTTTTAACAGTTGTTATCTTGGCTACTTTACCTACCTTTTGGCATCTTGTGTCGATTTATATATAAACCTCTGTGAACATCCAAATGCACCAAGATATCCCAACCAGATTTCTCAAGCTACAGCATGTGGATGAACTCCAGATGCAAAAGACATCCCAAACAAAATCTTACAAAAATCCGTACTTCCTTTCTTTAACCTCACACACTTGCTGCTTTGTTCAATCACCAAACAATTCATGTAAAATAATGATTTTTAAATGGATACCAAAAATAAATATCATCGATAATCTTGCGCTTCAAATTAGGGGTGGGTAGCGGGAGGCCCGCGCAAGCGAGTTCTGCAAAGTAAGCAGCGTCAACGCCCGGCCAGCCTATTACCCCTCCATAAATTCTTGCGCCTCCTACGACCGGAGTCAGGACGCTGCGGCCGGTTCTCACCGTCCACTTTGTTTTCCTTACTCATTAGTTTAAGGCAAGTTTCTACCCTATCCCTCCTTCCCGTTTTATAGACTCACCTCTGCCCGAATAAATTCTCCCATCCGATGTGGGAGAGAGACTTGCTGACTCTTTTATTTTTTTTTATTTTTTTTCGATGTGGGAGACTTTGCTGTTAGTGAGTAACGATCCTTCGGCCCCGGCCCAGGCCCAGGCCCAGTCGCCAAACAGAGCCGGTTGCGGTTCAGTCGGTTCAAACCCGTACCAGTGACGGCGGCTCGGTGAAGGTGAACCGGGGAAATTGGAGAAGAAAGAAGATGGATTTGTGGCCGCGGCTGTAAGTTTCAGTAGTAGGTAAACAATTTTAACTTTTTTTTAATAAATTATATTTATATATGTTTAAATAAATAAAAATTAATTTTAGAATCAAACTAGGGGCAAATTAATTTTTTTAAAATATAATGTTATAAATAAATACTGACAAAAATAATTATTAATACAAACTGATGAGCCTTTTATCATTCACTGTGATTGTGTCTAGAAGGATGTGTATGTCAGTGTGTCTGTGAAAAATAAAATTAAAAAACATGCACACCCAGCCTTTGTTGTTTGAAGAAACACTCCATTTTAATTGATATTTATTCAAAGAAATTGAACAGAGTTATACACATCATACATACGTGTATAAATTGTGGATGCAAATACTCTTATTACGTTTATAATTTATAACCTATTATTGTGGATTCATATTTTTTAATTCAAACCATTAATTTTATTATTTTATTTTCGTCCGACCGATTTTAAAGATATTCATTAATTTTTATCAAAATTATAAATATATTATTATATATATATAATTATTTTATAAAAAAAACACTTAAAATACAAAAATATCAATTTTTCTTTTTAATCTACTCAAAACTTAAAAGCTCTTTTGACCAGGAATAGAGGGAGTAGACAATAATATGTATTGAATTAGTAGGTATATATTATACTATTTTTATAATAATTATAAAAAATTGTGTCAGCCTATTTTTTAAATTTCATCGTTCCCATTAAGGTGCGTTTGTTTGGAGTTTGAATTTTGAGTTAAGAATTTAAATAGTAAAAATTTTGAATTTGAATAATTGTATAATGTAATATAAATGGATATTGATGTAATATTTTGAATGTAAAATTAATTTTTATTATAATATAAAAGAATAAAACATAAATATTTGATTTTATATTTTTCTTCAAAAAACAAAAAATAAATAGTGTATTTAAAATTCAGTTTTCCCAAATAAACACCCCTGTTGTTTACCAACATTAAATGAGAATACTCTAGAAAACCGTGTCTGCTTATCCCATCACATGTGGATAATTTAAGTGGCCAAGAAATAAAATTCCACAATGGTCCAATTCTCCAGTGAATATCTATCCAAAACCCCACTATTCCATCCACATAATAATGGATTCAGAAAAAAAAATGACAACAAAAAAAATTAAAAAAAAAAAAAAAATCTTTGAAAACACCAGAGCAGCAAGACCACAATCATAAAGAACACTACCCCACAAGATTTTTCTATAGCAAAAGATGGATGGATATTCAGCATGGGCACTACAAAGACAACAAAAAAAAACATAAAAGAAAAAAGAGTATTCATAAATGCTCTACCTGTTTTATTTTCGGCCACAAAGATATGATACTAAGATACATGACATAAAAAAGACAAGCACAAAAACATAGATATATTTTTTTTTCCCTGCAAGAAAACAGATAGATATATAGCCATATTCTATGTTTTATCTAATTTCATAATTAAGTGGTTGTAGTTAAGATAAACTGACCTATTTATTGTTTTTTGCTTCATTTTCCTTTAAGCAACTTTGATGGTATTGTTGAATCTCTTCTGATCCTGTCCCAAAGAAGACAATGACAACGTCAAAGACACCGGTGGCATTGGATTATCGACGTTTTCATGCTGCATTGATGGTTGGACATGGCTGGCCGGCGTTGAAACAGGCGCAGCCGAAAAGTCGTTGGCATTGGAAGGTATTGGTGGAGATACGATAGGCTGTGGCGGGACTGGCCGGGGTGGATTGCCTTGCGACTCTCCTACTTCTTCTGTCATAACAATCTAATGTCGAGAAATTAAAACGCATTAGTATATACGCCATATTAAACAGACAGTGAGAACAGTAAAAGTAAAAGCAGAGGCAAAATTATCCATAACTATCTTGTGATTTGAAAATTGTGTACTATAATCTACACAAAATTTATTTTTTAGGAAATTCTATACAATACTTTTTAATATACTTCGGTAATCCTCATGTAATTTCTAGAGATTTTGTGCAATGTTCTTGTAAAATAAGAATGTGTCTCATGTAATTTCTAAATTATAAAAAAGTAATACAAAGATTCTCAAATACTATATATTTGGTCTTTTACAATTTCAATTCAAATCAATATTAATATTATTCTAACATTCACGGTTTTACGTAAAAATATACTATTTTTTTTAATAAGAAAATCATATCGAAATATTATTTAAACAAAAACTCAAATTAATTTCGAACCACTGCCAAAATATTAGATAAATTACTTGGAAACTATCACAACCAAATAATATATACAATGTAAATTCATTGTTACTTCAAATTGATTGCAAGAACACCACAGGGTGCAGTCATTTATTTCATATAAATTGTAAAAACAGAAATGATGATTAACAATTACCGAGTCAGGGGTCATGTCGAATACGCTGGTGCGCCGTCGCCTACGCTTAAGATTATTGTGGCGGATGAAGTATTTTTGGGCGTGGCTAGCAACTTGTGTTGGCGTTCGAGTTTTGACATAGTTTTTGGAAATTCCTCTCCAATCTCTTTTTCCAACCTTGTGCAAACCAATTAGGAATAGCTTGTGCTCTTCCTCTGTCCATGGAATTCCTAAAATAAAAAACATATCCAAACAAATGGAACTGAAATTGAAATGGTAAAGAACAAAAATTCCATTCAATAAATTCTTATATAGATTACTAATTTCGAAAACAATAAAAGCAATCTAACATTTTTTAAATCTGATTGTCTAACCCTAATCTACAGTAAAAGCTATACACCAAAAAAAAATCAGTATAAAATAAATGTTCTAAATTCGGACAAATCTGACCTCTCTTACTTCCTGTGGCCGGATACAGAACGCCGTCGTCGGCGGACACATAACCAGCGGCTCCACCACCAGGTGCCGGCGCCTTCGGCAAATCATCACCACTTTTCTCGCATAGATTGTTACTCTCGGTACTGCCGCTACTGGATTCGTAATCCGTCAAATTATTCATACTGACGCACTTCCGCATGGGATCTACTTTCACTCTCACACCAAACAATACAATTTCATCGCAGACAGACAAGGCTCCATAGCCGGCGATTTTCGCAGCAGAGTAGCGATCACCGGAGATGAACATTTTATGATCTCTATAATTTGGCAAAAATATTTGGAAGATATATTGCAAAAGAAAGGAATATAATCAGGCGTAGGAACACCAATCTTTATATTTTATTTTAGTATTTAGTTTATTTAAAATATACATTTATGGGTGTGTTTGTTTGGGGGTTTGGATTTTGAGTTGGGATTTGAATAGTAAAAATTTTGAATTTGAATAGTTGTATGATGTGATATAAATAGGTGTTGATGTGATGTTTTGAATGTAAACTTGATTTTTAGTATAATATAAAAAATGAAAAATAAGTGTTTGATTTGACGTTTTTTTGGGAAAAAATGAGATGAATAGTAGAAATCTTTACAAATCCTTCAAACAAACACACTGATAGTGTAATTTTTTATATATTATAATTAATTATTATTTTATTAATATTGATGGTATGAATAAATTTAATAATCTTTAAATATTTTAATTATTAATATTTATTAAGTTTGTCATAGTTATATTAATATTTTAAGTATAATAATTTAAATATTTATTTTAAAAAATTAGTTAGTTTGTAATAATTTAAATACAATTAAATAATTATATTAAAAAGTAAAACTCAATATTAGAAATATTAATATAAAATTCAATGTTAAAAATATTAAATATTAAATATAAAATAAAAATAAATGATGTCTTCACTTGGACTTGGTGTTGGTGGATAAATGTGTTTTTATGTTATATACATAAAATTGTGATTAATATAAATTATTATATTTTTTAAAAATATAATTTATTTATTAATTTATGAAAAAATATATATTTTATATATGTATTGATGTATGTATTTATTATATATATTTTTTTAATAATATTTATGAAAATTATGATATTCAACACACAAAATAAAAAAATTTACGTGAAATATTTAGACACTCAGCATTTTTAATGACTTAATTTTTTGTATGGGGTGAAATTATTTTGTAATATAAATAATATTATAATTTACGTTGAATAGTTGATTTTTATAAGTGAATAATGTATATGTATATTGGTATTTTTTTTAATAATATTTATGAAGAATTATTTATTGAAAAATGGTGAGCCAAGAAACTTATATGTGTTTATTTGTGAAATTTTAGTTTTGGATAGTAAAATTTTTAATTAATATAATTATTCGATATGATATAAATATGTATTAATATGATATTATAAATATAAACTTCAATTTTAATATAATATAATAAATAAAAATTAAATATTTATTTGATAATTTTTATTTTTTTTAAAAAAAATTGAAATAGTAAAACTATTCCAAAATTTCTCAAGTGTTTTATAACGTGAATAAGTTTAAAAACATGACATAATTTTGGCAAATAAAAACTCCATAATTTTTGTGAAATGGATATTTTTTTAAAACAATATTTTGAATTATTTTTGTTAATTAGTTAATCTTTTTACTAAATATTTTAAAATTCATGTTTAGTTTTCAAAATATTTGTTCGATTTGGTTTCGATTCTTTATATTTTTTTCCGAATCGAAAATATTTGCAAATAATTCGAACTGAATCAATTTTTTTTAAAAAAAAAATACATTAAAATTTCAATTAATTAAAATATTTGCAAATATTTTGAATTGTCAAACCGAAACCGAACGAACCAAATAAATATCAAATATACAATATTTGTATTCGAATCAAATTTGATGAGTTAATTCGATTCAACAATTCGGCAGTTCAATTTGATTTTTTTTGCCGAGCCCTACCTGTATAAGATGGCATGATTATGTGAGTTGAACTCGTAACCGTATATTGCATATAAAAAGTAAATATTATACTCCCTCCATGCAGCTAGAAAATATACATGTTTCTATTTTGGGACGTCCAATTACAAAATAAATATTTTATTAAATATCCCATTTTTTTCTACAAATATCTTTACTTTACATCACATCATTACTTTTACACCAGAAAGCAAGGGCAAAAATATCATTACACTACTTTTAACTACATACTATAGTTAAAATACTATTATTTCTTAAACACTGCAAAAAAAAAAAATATACTTTGTGTGTGGACGGAGGGAGTATCATTTTTATATAATTTAATAAATAATATATCTTTGACAAAGAGAATACACCTCAATTCTTTCTCTTTTTTTAATGGGACGGGGAGATTTTACTAAAGGCTCAATTCTTTCTCTTTTTTTAATGGGACGGGGAGATTTTACTAAAGGCTGCAAAAATAAATACGACTCGAAAATTCGGTCCGAAACAGTACGAAAAAATTGTATTTGGCCCTCTAAAAATAGGCTGGAAAATTTTCAAGCCGTGCCTAACCCGACACACTAATGAATCGGGTTGTGTTCGGGTTCATGAAGGTCGAATCTTGCTTGGCCTGACCTGATTTTTAAAATTAATATTTAAATTTTATAAATTTATATATATTTTTAAATTAAAAATAAAAATTATAACATTGATGGTAAAAGTTTTAGTTTATATATATTTGATTATAGATTCAATTTCCCACTTTTATTACTAAAATATATTTCATTCTAAATTAATTAAAAGTTTAAGAAAAAAAAAACTAGGGGTGTCAAAAGTAAAACCGACCTGAAAAATCGAACCCGTTCGACCTGAAATTTTTTAGGTTCGGGTTTGGGTATTTCGGGTTTGAAAAAAATTGGGTCGACCCGAACCTGAAACAAAAAAAAATTCGTGTCGTGTTCGGGTCGTGTTTCGGGTTGACCTGATAACCTGAAATATCAAAATCAGATTAGGTTTAGTTTCGGGTTGACCTGATAACCTGAAATATCAAAATCAGATTAGGTTTTGAGTTTCGTGTTTCGGATTGACCTGAAATTTTTATTATTATTATTTTAATTTATAATATTTATATTATTTTAAATATAAAATAATTTAAAAATTAAAATAAAATGATATCTTTTGGGTCAATTTAATTTTTTTAAAAATTTTCGGGTCTGTTTCGTATCCGGTTCGTATCGGATTTGTTCGGGTTTCGGGTCAATTTAATTTTTTTAAAAATTTTCGGGTCTGTTTCGTATCCGGTTTGTATCGGATTTGTTCGGGTTTCAGGTGACCTGAAACTAATTCAGGTCAACCTGAACCCGACCTGAAAGAATTCGTGTCGTGTTCAGGTCTAGGATTTCAGGTCAGATTTCGGGTTCGGATTGATAGTTATTTTGTTATCTTTATGGCTCAACCCAACACGAACACGACCCAAAAATACAAATTGACACCCCTTAAAAAAACCTATACTGGGCCAGCTCAGTTTGAAATCGAATCATATCAGGTTGACCTGACACAAAAAAATCGGGCCAGCCTGAATGGCCACCTCTAGATATTATATTTTATCAGCTCAGTTTGAAGTCGAGAATCATATCAGGTCGAATCATATCAGGTTGACCTGATACAGAAAAATCGGGCCGGCCCGAATGGCCACCTTGGATATTATATTTTGTCAAGCCTTAAATGAATATAAATGTAATAGTGTTAGTAATAATTTTTATATTCGACCTTTTTCTATTTTCAAATCTTATTAAAACTCCAAACAATGTACCTTGAACATGTCCTTAAGATAGGGAGGGAAGTTCAAATACAGAACAGGAAGGCAGAGGAAGCTCTACACCAATGGCCATGGCAACTAAAATCCGGCCAAATTCGAGACTCCGGCGACGGAGCGCGCCTGAGAAGAGGAGATCAATCATTCAGACGAAGAAATATAAGAAATTAACTCAAAAGATAAGGAAGAAAAGGTTGGGAGCAAACCTACCCTTCCTGGATTGCTCAACTCCATAGATAAACATATCGAGCTTTCTTACCGCAAGAAATTCACCCACGAGTCGAAGAACATCCTTTGATCAATCCAGAAAACCTCAAACCTGCAAAGTCACGGCGCGCTTTAGAGTAATCAAAGAGCAAAAAGAACATCAAATCCATCGAAGAAGAACATAAAAGACAAGAGACACATACCGGTTTCGCCATCTAGACATGTTCCCATAATATCCAACTCAATGTTCCTACTAGCACAATATATTTTATTTTTTGAATGCAATGCGCTTAACTTCGGAGTTCTGATGAAATCCGGTGTGTTAAGCTGCTATGAATTCTGCGAATAAATCAAGAAAACTATCTAACAACGTACCAAGAAACCGGATCATCATCATCATCTAAACAAAACCTTCCATTTCAAGTATCAGTTAACAAGTTATTGTACAATAAATCGACCAGTCGAGTAACAACTCATTTCAAGATAAGTTCCCATATATCATTCGAGCTCTTTCGCTATCAAGCCAACACTGCATAAAGTCGCCTACGCCTACATAATTTTCTCAGCATAAAGCTGCTGCTCACTGGAAAACATCGATAAAACTAAATCAACAATGACGAACGAAGCTTAAATTTCGAGGAAGAGGAGGCAATTTGATCCTTACTTTTTTTTTTAGAGTTCAGGGACCGTCGTCAAATCCAGAACCGGGAGCAAGTTCATTTAGATCAAGAAAACCTCGTTTTTGTACGTTTTCTTCCTCTTCTTCTCGATCTACGTTATTGGCTTGTTCCGGTGGATCAGTTTGCTCTCCATCTACTGCGTCGGGAAGCTGCTCTTCAGTAGGTGCATTGGTAAGCATATCCGGTTCGTTGTTTTTTTCCTCGGAATCTTCGCTACCTGTCGAGAAATCTGCGTTACCGCTTGCATAAGAGTGCTCCTCGCTAGATTCGTTCGATTTCTCGGGCTTCATCGATTCGGTATCTGATTCAAACACGTCGTACTGCTTGAAATTGATGTGATTTCGAGTTGCTCTTTTGCTGCGCCTGAGACCGGATTGGAGCTCGTTGACGAATCTCGACCTTGTTTCCCGCCTCGTGCGGCCTGCAACTGTTTTAGATCGCCGCGGCTCGCCGCTATCCTCGCTTGTACTCATTGTATCGTCGTCGTCGTCGTCTTCTTCCTCTTCCTCTTCCTCTTCTTCGGGATTTTCTTCTTTCCAGTTGTACTCTTCATCGCCTTCTGAGCTGCTACTCGTCCTCCTCTTTTTCTGTCTTCTGAGGTAGTCTTCATGATAAACAACTTCACCGACTATATCGTCGTCGCTGTCGAAATCTGCATCGTTGTCGGAGACAGCTTCAACAAACTCTGCAACGGAATACCGCTGTGGCCTCTGCCTACGACGATTGCTACATGATACGTATAGTTGAATTAGAACGGTTTATTTGGAAAATCGACACTGTAGAGGAATTACATTGGGTTACCTGCGATCCAAATCCTCGGTTTTCTGATAGTCGTATAAATCATCATCCTCGGACGAGTTTGGAGACGGCGCACTAAACGAGAGGTGCTGAGAATGCTCTGAAGGGCCAGCCCACTTACCATTTGCAGAAGTCGAAGGTTTTACAAGAGGATCGCTTCCATTAAAGACATCAGGAGAGGACTGTTTCTTCCTGGAGTACACAGAAATAAAATGACGAATGTCTTAAATACACGCATAAACAATCATTTTCAGATGTACGACAGCATGGGTAGAGAGAGATTCTTACTTGGTAACCTTGATAGCCTCATTTATTGATCTGTCGTAATCGTCTGGACAAACATTCAGAACAAAAATATATCAAGGTATGATAATTGGCTGGGGTACTGAAAAATGCACCTTGTTCATCAGACAAGGAAACATTCCGAAATCTAATGACATAGTAAGTCATAACACCCCCTTTTGACACATCGACTAAGAAAAACATTCCTAAAACCTACCAAATAAGGTTCAATTGCTGTTCTTCTGCTACAGCTTAAGACGCAAATAAATAATTATTTGACGGGGGAAACACACGTGCTTCCAGTTAAACCTCATGCAATAAAAATTGGAAATAGTAGTAAGAATGCCCTTCAATTTTCCAACCAGTTAGAAATATTTTGAAGCTCAAATACAAGCACAACCTTGGCGCATATTCGAAAACTAAAAGCTCGTGAATAGATTTACAATGTGAAAGATATGGTACACGTACCAAAAGTATAAGTGACTGGTTTTCTATCGCGGAGAGACCGTCCTGTAGCCAGACCGTCAACATTCATCATGTTATCAAGCATAAGCGCTTGTCGATGTTGCTTCTTTAAAAGTTTCTCCTTTTTCTGAAGATAACTACATATTAGCTCCAACCTCACCGAATAGAGGAAAAGGTAAATCTAAAGAATGAGACCATATCTTAGACGAAAAGAGACTATACAAACTGAACCTAGAATTACTGCCGAATGAATTTAACAAAAGTGGCGTTGCTCTAATCATCTTTCAATGAAGATGCAGAAGATTACCTTATGGACCTTCTCGATTTCAGGAAGAAAGTCATTTTTTAATTTCTTCCCAACAGAAACCTCAGTTCGATTCTTACTTGAAAAGAGCTTTTCCTGCAGAAAAGCATAAAATTAGATAGAAAATGGCACCAATTGGGGAAAGGGAAAAACCACAAGCCAGAAAATCGTAGAGTTAAATTGTAGACAGAAAATAAAGTACCCGCAAGCATATTCACCACAATTGCAGCTGAATCAAGTAGACATATATATATATATACACATATATTCACAACTATTGTACCATACAAATATCAACCATCATCTGTAAATCAGATAACAACGTGGTTTAGAGCAAATTAGGTGTTAAGGAATAGCCTTGTTCCCCTGTTAGTATTTATATCTATCCTGCTGTGGTTTCATCTCCAAGTCAGTTTTCTATTTCTAATTCTGATATTAACCCACTCAAAGAACAATCTTTGACGGCAGAATTCTTGAAAATTTTTACAACTCTAAAGTTTGCTTTTTCATTCCTTGGATCTCAGCATAATGGAAATCGCTGAATCGATCTTGTGCTTCCATTTGACCGATTGGAATACGAACATTTTCCCATAATCAAGCATAATGCGAAGAAGCCAACAACAAGAACTTACAGAAACGGTCAGGAATTCATCAAAGTTAGTGGCAATTGTTTCCCATTGATACGAGGAATGAGGAATTGGGGGAATATTTCTTCCCTTGCCTTTCTTCACCTCAACTTTCCTAATCTCCCGATATAGACGATGACCAACGATGGGATCATCTTCGAACCTGCATAAGAATGATCATATAAAAATATTGAAAACTTAATAAACGATTCCATACGTGTGAGACGCCACTAGAATCACCACCAAGTTCATGAAGGCTATAAATGCTAATATATCACCTAAAAGGAACGTAAGTTACCAATATGAAACGCCGTGGGAATCACCACCAAGTCGTTCTTTCCGAAATGTTGATAGCTGAATACCATGCTTTATTGAACCGTCTATATAGCTCCGTATGTCTTCTTGCTGCAGAAAAGGATAAGTACAACCATAGTGAAATCGGCAAATACAGCTATATGTTTTGAACATGTAAACTAGCATATCAAAAGAGACTTTAAGTATACTTCATGCCTTCCTACAGATGCTTAGTTTGTAAAATCTTGCAACTTATAAACAATTCAATCAGAAAAGTCCTCGTCAATTTTCCTACACAATGTTGCATTTTTCTATTATATCTTCTGATCATGACTATGAATTCAAATCCTATTGATGTCTTCTCGGTCAAGTCTGTCACACAAAAAAAAAAGTGACTCATGATTTCTTTCTTGTATTTTCTTTTTGGTATAAGCAATTCCTCAATCATCTAGGATCAAAGGATTCATATCCCTCGTCTGATGTTTCAAAAAATTCTACACAAAAGCCCCTACATACAATCAAGGATCAGTAGAAATCAAAGCAGTACTTGTTCTTCACTAGCCCAGATTGAAAGTGAAACTAAAGTGAGAAAAGTTTCATCAATTTTTATCGGAATGGCTGGCAAAAACCATTGAGATTGGAAATCAAGTCACGCAAACAGATACATAGGAAATCGGTTACAAGATTAGATAAATCACTGCACATCCCCAATTAAATATATCTCCAACAATTAATTTCAACATATGAGAGAAGAAAAACATTTAGAAAAGGTATACCTCAACGCGAATATCACATAAAGCCTTGAGAATCACCACTCTCACCCCAGGATCAAGTGCATGGTAAGCTTCAACTTCAGTCCTAAACCAACACAACCCCAAAATATTGTAATTAAAGACACACTACTATTGTCTCTTGCACTTAACATAAGTGGATTTCATCGAGAAACAAACCCATGTGATGCAATTATAGGTAGATCACCTTCTGCAACCTGCAAAGACAGCATAGATGTGTAAATTCAACAGCATTTCAGAGAGAGAAATGAAACTCCTTTTCAACAATCGATAATAAAATTACCCAATGCCACCAATTTTTCAATTTCCGGCATAATACAGTAATCCAAGTAGGATGCCCAAGTGCCATTCTCGCAACAGGAGGAATTGCCTAAGAAAAAAAATTAAAAAAGGCACAAGAACAACCTTCAATAAAGAACTTACAAGCATGGAGCTCATTTAAAACCACATCCATACAAATAACTCATCAAAAAACGACGTATTACAGTTTCAGATACACTACAACTTCATATCATTAAACCAATCAAAATTAAAAATATCCATAGACAACACTACACAATGCAATAAAGAAAATGCAACAATAAGCTTCGCAACAAACCATACGATTTCATGAAAAAAGCATACACCAAATCCAAGCATATTCACTCTCACCTTTAGCAAGGGAATGTGAATATCAGCCAAAGTAGTATTTGGCGAAATCAAAGCCGTCTCGAACTCATCCACGGAAAACTCGACTTTAATATTCAACAAGCCTCTAAACACCTACACAGCTCATCCAACAGAAGAAAAAACACAGAATCAACCAAGATTAGCTCCAAAGCACACAACACACCACATTAAGAATCACACAACATACATTCAAAAAATTGAGAATTGAAGCCAACTGCCACATGGACCGAATACCCCAGCGCGGCAGCTGCGACGGCTCAGGCTCTCCGAGCAGCGGCGTAACCACTCTACTGTACTGCAACCTGGATATTGCTAAAGAAGACTCACCCCCCTCCCCATTCTCCTCCACACCACCATTTGTATCCACCTCAAACCCATCTTCATCTTCCTCTTCTTTCTCCTCCTCCTCCATGGATACTTCCTTCAAGAACCTGGCAGCTAGCCTCTCCTTCCTCCGTGCATTCTTTCTCCTCCTAGCAGCCTCCGCCGCCGCAGCCTCCGCCTCGGCCGCGGCCTGCATCCTCGCCGCCGCACGCTGCGTGCACGCCCTAGCTGGCCTCTCCCTCCTAAAAGCTACACTGTTACTGCTCCCATTAACAGTATCAGACTTGACATCGGTCTCTTTCTTCGCCTCGCTCTTGATTATATTTTCGGCGCGGGTTTCCCCGTTTTCGGGGATTGGAGAGGAGCCATGATTTGGGGAGGAATGGTCGGACATGGCGAATGGATCGGGCGCGCGAGGATCTAGGGCTGGATTGCACTGGAGATCAAGGGCTTGCATTGAAGCAGATGGGGGAAGGTAATTCAACGCAAGGGTTTTTCGTCGATAATCATTCAATGCACAAAACACAAAGCGAAACAGGAGAATTAAGCTCAAGATTGGGGGGAATAAAAGAGGGTGTAATCAGATAATCGTTAGAATCAAAATTAGGCAGGTAAACATGGAGATTGAGTTATAGGAGAGTTGAGAGAGGGGTAGAAAGGAAGGAAGGATGGCAAAGTCAGGATTTTTCTGAATGGGGTTAGAGTTAGGACCCAAGATTTATCGAATAAAGAAAGCAGATTAGAGAATGGAATAGATTCAGCGGAGATACAGTTTGTTTGTGTGAATTTATGGTGGGGGAAGATAATAGTGATGATCTCTCTCTCTCTATCTGGTTTCGGCGACTCGACCTTTACTGCAATCAGTGTGTAATGGAAATCGGGTTGAACTTGAGATACTAGTGCTGCTGTCTGAATCCCATTCTCTTTCGAATCATCCGATATCATAACCAGTATTGCATTTACTGTACTAAATTATGGATTTTTATCATTCATTACCGTGCTCCGACTGCATTTAATGGTGAATTATAAATTTTATAATTCATCGCCTCATATTGCTAATTGGGACAAATAACACATATGAACAACTCAATCTTTCCCCAACATCAGATGATAGATAGTCCCAGATGACTTGATGGTTTGGAGGATAAATTAGCGACCACGAGGTTATGGATTCAAATCGACGCCTACATGTCACATGTGCGATGCATAGTTCGTCTAATTTGACTTGTTTGCCGATTGAAGATGCTCAATTTGATACCGTAATTGGGGTTTTATTGATGTTTTTTGTATAATTATGATTGGTAACACTCTTTCAAAAAAAGTAACATAAAATTTCAGCCCATAGTTATTTGTAGTAACACTAGAAATTCAAGCAAACCAAATCATAGATTAGCAACACTATTGTTCAATAGTAAAATATAGAAATAAATGGATGTGGTGGAAGTGACCATTTTGAGTGGAGGTTTTCAAAACCAACCTTTTGATTTTTGATGGAAAGAGGCAATTACGACAGTAAAACTTTGGTAACTTTTTTAATAGGTAATTTTCACAAGCATCAAATGCATGTATATCAAATTATCAATCAAATCAAAATTGAGTTGTGTCTAACATGCTTTAAATGCCATTGCAAAAGATGATTTATGTAAAGACATTGAGAAAATTTGGTTCTAAAAACATGGAATTTATCAACATGACTTTTTTTGGGGGTGAGGATTTAAATGAGATTTAAAATACAACTCAAACTTCACCAGACTAACATTGGATTCCTTTCTGGAGTTAGTCCCCATTAAAACAACTCCAGGTTGTTCAGAACAGCACCAGCAGGAGAATACTGATTCTACAAGAAAAAACAGCGCCGGAGTGAATCGAAGCGATTTGCGCATGACTTTGTCTACTTTCTAATGGAACCATGCTGTTTCCTTTCAGCTGTCGAGCGCACCGAGAGCTTTCATGTCCTCTAAAAATGCCGTATACGAGTCATCAATGCTTTGGGGCTTGAGTGCAGAGGATGATGAACTGGTGGATTCTTGCTTTGCAACAGGTCGGGGTGGGGCAGGCGGGTTGGTAGGCAAACCAGATGATGTCTTGGGCTTTGGTTTTGGGAGGGCAGACTCTCTCTTGACTCGGACAGATGCAGGAACCTGGAAAAAACAGAGAGAATGACTTCAGGAGAGTGGATTCTAAAATCAAAACCTCCACAGGCATGGAGATGCTTTGCCTGCGCTACACGGGTTTTATGCAACATAATTGCATGGAAAATGAACTTTAACATAAACAGAGGGGATGTGTTCAATTCTCTAAGTTTATCCCAACAAACGAAAGAATACGGTTTATTGAGCAATTTGAATGGGAGCACACAATGTCGAATTTCTCTACTGCATAAGCAACATAGCATAAGGTGTTTCCTATGTTTTGAAGAGCATTGCAACTAAAATCAAGATCAGTTTTTGCTATGCAATTCTATAAATTCAGAAGTAAGAAGATAGATACCATTTAACAAAATAGTTGCCAACAAAGGGAGGGAAAACATGGGAAAGCCAAAAAGAAGGAATGAGTTGGAGAATAAATAAACTAGGCATTAACTAACGCTATACCGTATAAAAGTAGAAAAAAAAAAAAGAGGTCAACAGTTTACAAAAGATCATAAAGAAAATGATAACAATCCATCAAAACAATGGTTTGAGAATCAGGTCAATATAACTATTTGTTAAGAACAGTGTACAGATCATCAAAAATAGATATCCTGTAATCCAATTAGCCTTCACCATAGAACCACAACCACAACCAAGAAATCAAAGAAATGCAAACCTACAACCACAAAATGAGGTTAGACAGCACATAAATTATCCTAACAGAAATGTGTAGAAAATAATAATAATAATAAATCCATTTCGGAGGCTGAACTATAATCCGATATTCAAATAGCTACTCATTGGATATAGTACAAATAAGTCAATTATGCATATATATATAAGACAATAATTTCAACAATGAGTTCAGATTTAATTCAATATCGATTATAGCCAAAAGTATCTCAACGTACCATAGCTGTTAGCTCAGGAGTATGCTGTGCCAGAGGCCTCTTTACAACAGTTGATGCAGCAGATTTAACATAAGATGGCTTCTGAGGAACGGTAGGTCTAGCAGTAAAGTCGTCTTGTAACATAGGTGGAGGACCAGGAGGGAGTGGTGGTCTCATCATTGAAGGATGCCCAGGTGGAGGTCCAAAAGGTGGTCTTGGTAATAGTGGTACCATCACTCCAGCAGGAAGAGGCTGCCCAGGAATTCCAGTTGGAGGCAATGGAGGGCGCATTTCCATTGGAGGAGGTGGTGGAGGAAAGTGAGAAATACCTGGAGGCAATACATCAGGTCTTACATTTGCACCGACCACAACTCCAGGCATGGGTGGCTGTTGCCTTACTGGAAGTGGTGGAGGAGGTGGTGCCAGTTTTAATAAATCTTGGGCATCAATTGGCAATTTTGTGTCAGAGTTAGAAGACAATCCCTCAGGCTGATTGCTGCTCAACTCTGGAGGCATAGATGTCGGAGGTGGTGGCGGGGGAAGATTATTTGGCAATGGCATCTATAAGAGAAAATCAGCACATAATGTCAGTTAGTTAAAAGTTGCAAGAAACCATATAGTGGGATAAAAAATTTCATCAATTATATACATGATCCCTTGCTAAAAGACACCCAGCACCAAACACTACCATGTCCTGCAATTTATCATACAAAAAGCTCATGTCTAACATTTTGAATGGTTCAAATGCATACCTGAACTGAATCTCTTGAGGCTGAGTCATCTTCTGATTTTGCAGGCTTCTCACTTCCATCAGTACCCAGGGAGGTTGGTTGAGTAGATTGGGTAATTGATGAAGGTGGAGGAAGTGGAGGATGAACAGAAAGTATTTCTTTCGGAGGCGGACCAGGTGGAGGTGGTGGTGGTGGTGGTAATGATACAGTAGCGTCAGTGACTGCTGGCTTTGGAGGCATAGGTGGTGGAGGAGGCAATGGCAATGACACAGGCAAACCAGAGCTACTTCCAGGATCTAAGGCTGCACCAGGCAAAGGGGGTGGTGGAGGCGGTGGCAAAGGAGGCATGGGTAAATTTTCATCATCTTCTTCAGTCTTAGAATCTGATGCAGTATTACTTGTTGATGCTTCTGATAAAGGTATCCTTGGTCCTGTATGTGATGCAAATAGGAGAACCTTAGATACAAAAGATAATCTTGGATTCTCAGGACAAAATGCAAAGAATGATCCAGAGAATCAAATAAGTAACATTCACTGAAATATGAAAAAACATCATAAGATACCTATGGATGACTTGAACATTGGAGGCTTTCCAGGAGGAGGAGCTCCCGAAGGATTCAAGGTTGGATGATAGTAGACTGAATCCTGCACCAGTGCATTGCCATATATTGGTTGATGGATACACAGGTAAACCAATATCGTAAACCATGGAAACAAAGAAACTTACTTCGGGTCTAGGATGTTTGACTCTTTCTTCCTCTTCCGCGCTAGCACGCCTTCGAACAGGTCCCAAATGGCTGCAGATAGAATAATATCCTCAAACTTTGAACAAGCAATTTCATAAAGAGATGATATATATTTAACGTAGAACACAATAACTTACCTGAACATAACTGGTGCTTCACCTTTTTCCTTCATTTTGTCTTCATATTCCTATACAGCAGATAGAAGGAACATTGTTAACATCAAATACAAAAAATCTTTGGGACAACCAAGCACAGAAAAAACTGATTGGTGGTGCATCTCCAAGAGGAAGACAAATTGAGAAATGAACTATGTTAAAGTTAGATGATTGGTCCTATCGTAAGAAATAAGGGAGGGGGTGTACAAAAAATTTCAGAGGAGAATCATTCAGCTTGTATTGTTAAATTATTTGGTTTAGAGAGTTTGAGAAGAATTTGTTGAATTTGAGTTGGCAGTATCAATTGACAATTGCAAGTTGATATAGGTCTGGAGAGAGCTGTTGTACCAGAAATGTTGTGTTCTGTTAAATAGATTATGTTTCATTCCTGGTTGGACTTTGAACCCTGCTTCAATTGATTGCAAATTGATAAGTAATAATTGTCCCATGAACTTCCGCGAACATAGGTAAATCTGATTGTACAAAATATATTACACTGTACTAATAAAATGTCCAATTCAGTCTCTTAAATAGAATTAGTATTTGTTTAAGCTTGGTACCGTGATTAAAACTGAGCACATACATGAAGGGGATACAGCTATAATGATAAATTTGGGAAGAGGACGTCAAGTGATATAGAATTCCAACTCACATGCAGCATGCTGTATTTCATTCCTTCACTAAATACTAACAAGCAATAGCCAACTAGCAAGATCTTTTCCCAAAACATATATCTCCATAACTCTCGGATATTCATCTTTTTTAGGTATTGTTGTCTATTCTTGAAAAATCACATGAATAGCTTGTGGCTATTCACAAAAGATTAGCATCCTCTATTCACAACCTTTCAAAAGAACTTTCACATGAACATGGATAATAGTACAAACAATCTTACTGTACAGAAGCTGTCAAATAAATCAAAATCCTAGCATAAGCCAAAACAAAAATGTAATCTTGACCAGCCCTTCTAGAAGGTGCTTGTGTTTTCAGAATGCCTAAGTTTCACTAGTTTCACTGATAAAATCAGATATGAGTCTCAGCAGCATGTAAAATTTAAGATAAAGAAGAAACTTCCTCTCCACTATTACAATAATACAGAATAAATTTGCTGAATAGAGAGGAATTACCTTTCGTTTCTTGATCACAAGGTTCAGTGTATCCTCAAGTTGCCTCTTTTTGTGCTTTCTTGCTTTATCTAAAGGACCCTCAGCTTCTGCAGATAACATCAAGCAAAAATATATAAAATATGTGAAGGACTCTATTTTACATACATATGTGACAAACACAATGAAACTAACTTTAAACTTGTATCTGACCGAACATGAGGTGTTTCAAATTTCAAAGTGAACCAAATTTTATGTGTAGCTAAAGAAGCATGCAAAACTATATGAGGTAAGAGACTAAACAGGATTTGAGGAAACAAGAAATCTACTGAACAATAGACCCAATCATGTGCTTGTCCATCATTTAGCTTCTCAATTAATTTGGAACTATCGTGAGAATTAAGATTTTCCACTATGATTCTCAAATAAGAAAATCAGTAGAAACTGAAGTTGACTACAAATGAATGCTAATGCAGTCAACAACACCAACAGAGTTTCACATCCAAACTCAACAAGGTAGCTATTTAGTCATGTTCACAAATCAAAATAGAAAGGCATAAGAATGGGGGGATTAAATTTGTTGCCTCCTCACTCATAAGCATGCAAAACTATATCTATAAAGTTCCGTCAATTATATACCTATGCAATTAAAGGAAAAAATACACCTCATGACTAAAAAAAAAACAATTCTCCATCTACTAACAATTATTAAAAAATAACAGTGTAGATACATACACGATTATAAATTTCCACTTACTCAAAGTTAATGTGTGTATTCATTCAAGGTGCATAATAGAAGAGCAGGTATCTACCCAAACTCATGCATCCAAAAGACAGACTTAACTTAAATAGCTAGTAAGAGTACACAATGATTTCGAAATTTACTGTGGAATTCTCAACTTACTCATTGCTTCCAGCTTCTGAATCTGCTGTCTCAATGAATCAGGGTCCTTTTTCAAGAGTCCCACTTCCCTCACCTTCTTCCGCTCCTTTTTGTTCTGTAAAATGACATTGCCACCAAATTATAAGATATAACATATCCAGAATTCGCAAACGACAAATGCTTTATCGTAAATAGCATTCAGAAATCCACACTTTCGCACAGCAAAATTTTTGTCCGGAGATAAGTTTAGAGACGGAATAAGCTTAAACTTTGTCAGTTCCCAAAATTTAAATAGATAACTTTGTTAAACATGAGTTTCTAATCATATAAAGTTAAACCCTAACGAAAAACCATTAGAATGCTCCGTTCACAATCTCGTACATAGAATTTTTTGGGGGAAAATAACATAAAATATGATAGTAACATAAAAAAGCGTTTGGATACCAAAATCGAAAAACAAAAAAATGGATAAACAATTACCCGCTTCAATTCCTTTTTGCGAAGCTCCTTGCGGTAAGCATCGGTAGGGTTCATGGTTTTACCTCCCTTCGTCGTCTTCACCATTGCGCCGACTGTCAGTAATCCGCTAATCGATTTCTTTAGCGAAGACCACGAGACGGCGCCGATTCCGGCAATACCTGGCGTCGATTAGTTGGGGTTTCGCAGGGCCTCACGGAGGACAGGGCGACGAAGAAAGCACGCGGGCTTTTAGTACCCGAGATCCGATCGAAATATTATTACCCAACAAATACTTGTATTTGAATTAATCGATTCTATTCGGATCTACTTGATTACCGGCCCAAAATATAGTACTATAATAAGAAAATATAAAGGAAATTATAGATGTAAACAAAAATATTTATTTATTTAAAAATATAAATATAATTTTTTTTAATATATAATATGGATATTATTGTGTAAATAATAAAATTTTATATAATACAATTAAATAAGAAAAATGATGTATGTAGGGTTAATCATAAATTAATTATCTTAAAATATAAAAAATTTTAAATATAAATAATTATTTATTGAAGATAATGAAAAAAATAAAAGGATTTTGAATAATCCAAACGTGTAAGAAATTAAAAATTGTTGGGGGTATTTTTATTAATTTTTATTATTCATCAATTTTTTTTAAAAAATATATATAAATAAATTTTTTATTTTTATATTATAAAATATTAATTTTATAAGCATTATATCTGCATCTATTTATATTATATTATACAATTATTCGCATTAAAAAAAAAAAAAATTATCATTTAAATTCCAACTTACAATTCAAAGGTCCAAACAAACACACTTTAAGTTTGATTGATGAAAGATATAAATAAAAATGATAGTCGGTTGCAAGAGCATTGCAGAAGAGCTCGGTCACACAAGCAAAAGATGCTAAAAACTAGAAAAGTGAGTGGAGACTGAGGGTGTGTTTGTTTGGAGGATTAGATTTTGAGTTGGAATTTGAATAGTTGTATGACCTGATATAAATAGGTAATGATGTGATGTTTTGAATGTAAAATTAATTTAGTAGTATAATATAAAAAATAAAAAATATATGTTTAAGTTGATATTTTTGAAAAAAAAAAATTAAATAAATAGTGGAAAAAAAATTCAATCCCTCCAACATACACACCCTAAAAATTGCGCCATGAAAACTGCTAGAGTACAAAATTTTTGCAGGAAAGAAACAATCGAAATAAATGATGGTATTAAGAAAAGGTCAATCATGCAACGGGAAAGGCCCGAGACTACAAGGATTACACCTAAAAAGAAAATCAAGAAAGAAGAAGATAAGGCACTGAGTGTTTATTTAGGTTTTGGATTTTGAATTGGGATTTAAATACTAAAAATTTTGAATTTAAATAATTGTATGATGTGGAAATTAAAATCCCTGACAGGAACAAAGAGAAAACGAAGGAGAAGGCGGAAGGAATCCACATGCGTGTTGGAATTTTGTGACTTTTTGTTTTTTATTTTTTATTTTTTATGTGCATCATTAATGAAAATTGTACTACACATACAAACCACTGAATGCTACATGCTTATTTAGACGGTGACATTGTGAGAGCTGTTTTGGTGAAATAAATTGTTATTAATAATTAGCCGTGTTTAAATGTTAGCTGATTCAATTATCTTATAGTTGTTAGCTGATTCAATTAGTTGATTTGATTAGCTAATTCGATTAGTTGTTTGTAGTAAAATAATATTTGGTAAAACAATTGTATAATATTAGTTGTTTATACGTAAAATGACAATTGAATATATTTTTATTTTATTTTTGTTTTTAATATATTCAATTATGTTTTTTTAGTTTAGAATGTTTAAAATTTTTTGTTATTAGTTATTGAAAATTATAAAAGTGTTATAAAAGTATTTATTTTTATTATAGTTAAATTTTAAAAAATAATATATTTTTATTAAAATATATAAATACTTTTTTTTCTTGAAAATGATGTAAAATATAAAATAATAAATTTTAAATTTAATTTATTTAACTTATTTTTAGTATAAAATTTATATAATATAATTTTAATATAAAAATAAATTATTAATATTTATATTTTATATTTTATGTTGATTTTAATAAATTTATAAATTTTACAATTAAAATAATTTTTATATAAAAATTAATTATTTTAAATTTATAAAAGTAAAACTATATTATAATAAAATATTCTAATATAATTAATAAATAATCAAAATATATTTATTTGTGTAAAATGCGTAGTAATAAATTTTTAAAGACATATAAAGAATAAAAAAAATTACTGAAAATATTATTTCAAAACGTTGGGTAAGTTAGCTTTTCAGATATTAGCTTTTTGGGTCCAAAAAGCTATTTCAAAAAACTAATTTACCAAACACCTAAATTAGTTTTTTTGACTGGTCAAACAGCTAAAAAAAAGTGTTCAATAAGCTAAAAGCTCTAAAAAGCTATTTGTCAAATGCCCCTCGGTAACAGCCAGTTACTTGTTCAAGATTGGCAAGGTAAGCAAAATGAGAGGCTAAGGATTGAACGAGTGTTTGTGGTTGATGAATATTTCTCACTCCGTCTCACTTATCATGTTCATGTTTTCGTTTTTGTTCGTCTCACGTTCTCATGTCACTTTCGTTGTTTTGAAAAATGATTACCCATCTTAATCTTATTTTAAATTTTCTAATTTAATTTTTTTTAATTTTAATTAAACTAATTAGTTATCTTAATCTATAATCATTTATATTACATGTTAATTATTTTCACTAATATATTTTTAATTATTTACTAATTATATTTATTCTAAATTCTCGTGTTTATGGTGACCAATACACCCCATGTGGGACGGAGGGAGTAGTTCATAGTAAAATCTTATTCGGATTGATATTCCCAAATGTAAGTGGATTATAACTTAATTGAAATTAGCAAATTCTTGTGTCATTTATTATTTTAGTACATTTACATTTATTTGGTTAACATAAAGTTACGATTACGTGAATATACATTGTTGTAATCGTCTTATTTTTTTCAAGTGTGAATTATTACACTATTACACATTTATTCAAGGAGTTAGTCTTCTTCAATAGTTCGATTGTTCAAACCTATTTTCTAACAAAATCAAATATTCAATTTTAAATCAAAACCAAATAAAGTTATCTTTTAGTCCTATTATGTATTCATTGACATGCTAAATGAGATTTTAAGTGTTAATTTGTTTTTGAAAACTAAGTAGTAATTAGATATGTGGTTTCATATATGCTCAATTATATATATATATATATATATAAAATTATATAAAACTAATTAAACGCTCACACATTAAACAATGACAAAAAAATATTGACTTTGATTAAAAAAATAAAAAACCACACTATATTAAACTACTTCTTGTAAACTAATTGAAATATGTTTTTTTTGTCGGTCTTCTCTACTATATTTTTTTTTTCTTCTTTATGAAGATAAATGTCCCCTCAAAATTTTATTAGATTATTTTATATTATATATTATCACAATAAAATATTATTTCATTTCATTTGTTTATAATAAATTAATAATTTAATACAAAATACTCGGAAAAAACAAAAACTACATTATTAAAATAAAATAGAAAAAAAAAAAAAACAGAAAGAGAATAAATTGACGGGTACTTACCTAAATACAAGACAAAATAATGACAAGTAAATTACAAACTAACCTCAGAAATTGAGGGTATAATTGTCACTTCAACTTTCGAAAGACGTCTCCTTAATAAGGGGAGCAATCGATACATACAAATTTCTGTATCTATCTGTAATCATTCTCAGTCTCAACCGACTGAAGAAAGCCAGCTAGCTTTGCTATGGAGGCCAGCAAATGGATCGCCGCGGCGGCGAGCATATGGATACAGAGCAGCTGCGGTGCGTCGTACGCCTTCGGAATCTACTCGCCGGTCCTCAAATCGAGCCAGGGATATGATCAGTCGACGCTCGACATCGTCTCCGTCTTCAAGGACATCGGCGCCAACGCCGGTATTCTATCCGGATTGCTGTACTCCGCCGTCTCCCGGAGGAGCAGCCGCAGAGACGCGCCGGCGTCTTTTCTGCGGGGACCGTGGGTGGTCCACGCCGCGGGAGCGGTTCAGTGCTTCGTCGGTTACTTATTCATGTGGCTAGCGGTCACCGGCGCGATTCCGCGGCCGCACGTGGTGGTTATGTGCTTGTTCATGTTCCTCGCCGCCCACGCGCAGACGTTTTTCAACACGGCGAATGTTGTCGCCGGCGTCGAGAACTTTCCTGAATACAGCGGGACGATTGTTGGTATACTGAAGGTAAATTTCTCCGCCTTCCTTTGTGATCTTCGCAGTGCGGTGTGAGAAAGGTTTTTGAAACTGAACTGCAATTACCTTTTAGAATTCAAGATGCTGTTCGTTCGATAAGTGATTCAATCGTTTGTTTAACAATCAACAATTAGATCGAGCAATTTGGAGGATTGACGTTGTGCTATAAAAAAAATTTCATATACCGATTCATAAAGCTAATTAACCCTTCCGTTTCTTTTCCTTTCCAATTCAAGTTTTCCTTCGCCCAACCACTATCCTGGAGTAAAGTATTCTTCATTTTATTCTGATTCTGCACGCCACGCAGATTGATTGCGTCGCACGATCATCCAATTATGTCAACTTTAGACAGTTGGCAGGTATGTGGACCTCAGGTCATGTTAAAATCCACACCATTGATTTTTGTGGATGCATACAGCTATACACATAGTTGATTCATTCCTTCGTTGGCCTTGTTTATGCTTAGCAATTAGCATGTGGCCTTTGGGGCATATAGTTGGCACTGCCAGATATATCATCATCTCAATGGCTCTATATTACTTCAGAGTTTGATTTGAATCCATTACTCTGTTTTCAATCGCACAGTATCGTATTTATGAAAATCTACAACAGTTTATTTGGTAAAATCTTTGATGTTTCTTTACGGTTAAGTGGCTTGGATTGGAAGAATAATCCAGCCTATTGCTTATATGGCAAAGAGTTTGTTAATTGATAGGATTTGCCCGTTGAATAGTATAAAGAAGTTGTTGAACTACATGAACGATATTAAAATTCGGTACTGGACTGTTGAAACAGTGATGTAAATTTGTTGAACTAGAGTATGATATGTCGAACTCTGATGGACGTTTATATATTGAATGACAAAAAGTTGTTTAACCGCGATGTTAATTAGTGAAATGTTCGATCATGGTGTTAGAAACAGAAATAAACTGTTAAATGTGTACAAATATGCTGTTGCATTATTCAGCATCCTAAAATATTGCACTTTAGCACCGGACCTGAAACATACTTTATATCAAATCATCAACCTTTGAAGCTATTTCATGTGTGGGAGCTTGTCGATATTTTCTATAAGTCTTAACTTCTAAGAGTTCAATTAATTACAACTGCAAACATTCATGACAAAGAGTGAACTAGTTTTCTTATGATATGTGTTTTTTCTTGGCAGGGCTTCCTTGGACTGAGTGGAGCAATACTCATACAAGTGTATCAAACATTATTCGCAGGGAAGCCGAGTACTTTCCTGCTAATGCTCGCATTACTGCCAACATTTATAACTCTCGTCCTGATGTTTTTTGTGAGAGTGCATAGGGTGCAATCGACACACGATGAGAAGAAATACTTAAATGGATTCTCATTGATTTCGATTATGGTTGCAACGTTTCTCATGGTTCTGATAATATTGGGCAACATCTTTGAAGTGCCCCAGTGGGCGCGTGCCATTACATTAGCTCTCCTCCTTGTTCTGCTCTCTTCGCCTATTTGCATTGCTATCAAAGCACAAAAGGGCTGTCCCGAGAGGTTAACAGACGGAAATTCCTCATTACAGAGTCCTCTAATGAAGGATAAAGAACCGGAATCACAAGAAAGCTCTTCTGTATCAGAGAATCCAACTGATTATCACGATGGAGTACGCCAGCGAAAGCACAGCACACCTAATGGACACGAGCTCAATCTCATACAAGCAATGCAGACACTCAACTTCTGGCTGCTGTTTGTGGCTATGATATGCGGGATGGGATCAGGGCTAGCCACGATCAATAACATCAGCCAGATCGGAGAATCCCTTGGCTACACAGCAGTGCAGCGAAGCACATTGGTTTCCTTATGGAGCATATGGAACTTTCTTGGCAGGTTCGGGGGTGGATACGTCTCTGATATATTCTTGCATCGACAAGGATGGGCAAGGCCATTGTTCATGACACTCACTCTAGCAGCCATGACTGCAGGTCACATTGTCATCGGTTCTGGCTTTCCAGGTAACTTATACATTGGTTCAGTTTTAGTCGGCGTTTGTTATGGCTCGCAATGGTCGTTGATGCCCACTATTACTTCTGAAATATTCGGTGTTACGCACATGGGGACAATATTTAACACCATCGCCATAGCTAGCCCTCTTGGATCATACATGTTTTCTGTTAGATTGATCGGTTATATATATGATAGGGAAGGGAGAGGGCTGGGGAATTCTTGCCTGGGCATCCATTGTTTTATGCTTTCTTTTTTCATATTAGCATCTGTTACTCTTTTCGGGTGTTTCGTCGCCTTAGTTTTGCTAATGAAGACTAGGGAAATATATGCTGGGATTGTGCATAGAAGAATGTGGTCCTGATACTTTCGGCTTTGATATATTATTGCTTCTTGTAATCGTATCTTAAGCTGGGATATCACGATTTTTTCAATACAGTTGATGTATACGAGTTTGATGCTTATAAGATTTTATTCGAACGATTGATTTTCATTCGATATGATTCATACAAACATGCATTCTATAACACATTCTATGAATTTCATAGCAAAATCTTTCTCAAAATTGCCTCAACATGTATGCATGCTCATCGGCTAATTTTACCTTCCTCTATTACTCGGTCGAGCAGCGTGGCTTTTAGCTGTATGCTATTGCCTTAATTGCATTTTCTTCTGTGCGCTGAAGTTGATTGTTTCTGTGGCTATGATTCTTTTAACTTGAACTTGATCTTGATCTAGATCTAAACCATCTTCACGACCCAAAAACACGAAGCACCTTAGGTTGAAATCGAACCATAGATTCCCTTGAGCACATAGAAGATTAGAGCAAGTAGTATAAAGATTGACAGGCCAATTTTATGCAATGTAATTGCGTAAGAAAACAAAAATTGGACGATTGCGTCCCACAACATTTTTTCACAGTTTACACCTGTTAGGCCTCAACACTTCTCATCAGTTTACACTTGTTAGGCTAAAACATGCTGCAGCACTCTTGAGTTCATTTTCATCCATTTGCTCCACGAGCTGTCTTGGATCTTTCAATGGTGACTCTAAGCTGCATACATACATACACACACACACATATATATATAATAGATAGATTGATAGATAGATAGATTGATAGATAGATAGATAGATAGATAGATAGATGAAACAAAACCACAGTACCTGGATTCATAAGCTTCCTTAGAACCAATGTAAGACTGTGTATCATCAATATTATCAGAAAACGTCTGTATTTCATTGTAATCATGACCTGTTGTTTCCTGATGAACTGGTAGAATCATCTGCGGCGGCAATCGCATCTCCGTCGAATTCGTATTATCATCATTGCTATTGCTGTAAGTCTGTCGGCACAACGAATCGACATCGTTGTTATCCTTGAAATCCAGATAATTTATACCAATCGCCAGTGAATTAACCACATTGTTCTCCTTGAAATCCAGGCAATTCATCCCGTAATCCGCCAGAGCAGCATTCGTCATCATCGCGCCATTATACTGCGGCGGATTGTTGCTATGATCTTCCTGTATAACCGACAGATTCGTTCCATTTCCAGGAGGCGCCATGCCGAGCTGCAATTCCGACAGGTAATCATCGGTTCCGGCAGCAGTCTGCGACTGCTGCCGGAAATAAGCGATCTGATGCAGAACAGCCTGGAGCTCCTCCTCAACCATCTGAATCTGGTAAGTGAGGTGTCGAATTTCGACGAGACATCCTAAGACAGGATACTTATCGCGCATATTGGCGTGGAACTTGATGGACTTGATAGCCATAGCCATGGCTTTGTGGTCGGGGCTGAGGTCCTTGAGTAAGTTCTGAATGTTTTTAACGCCGAATAGCCTGTGGACGTTTCTGAACATTTTAGGTTGGTCGGCAGGGAAGAAGGGGGCGAGGAGGCATTTGGGGGTGCACCTTCTGCGCTGGTACTTGCAGGCAGCGCAGGCCTGGCCGGTGCCGCTCTTGAGGGTCATCATTAGCAGCAGGGGAGCTTGTTCGTAGGATCACGTGGTTTTTGTGAGGACGAAATAATGCAGACGGACAGAGGGAGATGGCGGTGCAGTAGGATTGTGAGAAAAGACTCAGTAAAAGAGAATTACAACAAGAAACGTTAAGGGGTAAATGACACATGGTGGAGATGGCTTGGTTGATTGACGCGTGGCGGCTCTCCTATTTTGCAGGTACGTCGTTCATCTATAGTTTTCTCTCAAGTTTGTTAGTTTTGTGTTTCACTCCACCTCTGCTTGCCTGCTATACTTGGTTTTTGTTTTTTTTTTTTTTTTTTTTTGGTATAATTATATTAATTGTATACTAATCTAATAAAATAAATTAACATAATTAATTTTAACTGTATAGAAATTTGATAGGTTTTGTCACACTTATTGTACTCCGCCGTCCCGATAGGCTTCAGCACTTGGCTGAATAGCAGTGTAATATAAATAGCATCCGGTGTTACCATAAACAAGTATATTGTTACGTCTTCGGAAACTGACATGCTCGGCGCTTAGACCACGTCCGCACTGAGGCCTAGACCATCCGTCCCTTGTGCGTAACACGTCCTGGGATATACCATATAGTATAAAAGAATCATACGAAACACGTACTTGCACCAATATATGAGTCATTAGTCGGCTGTCAAGACAGAGGCTCGCACACATGGGACAAACTATGAGTCATTAGTCGGCCGTATAAGATAGAGGCTCCCACACATGGGACAAACTATGGAATGTTAGCCCGTGATGATACACTATATTTCAATATAATACAAATATAAGCGTATAGTTTAACTTTAAAATATATATAATTCATTGAGAATATAAAAATAATGAATATATATAGGGTGTGTTTGTTTGGGGGTTTGGATTTTGGATTGGGATTTGAATAGTAAAAAATTTGAATTTGAATAGTTGTATGATGTGATATAAATAGGGTTTGATGTGATGTTTTGAATGTAAAATTGATTTTAAGTATAATATAAAAAATGAAAAATAGGTGTTTGATGTGATGTTTTTGGGGGGAAAAAATTGGATGAATAGTAGAAATCCTCCAAAATCCTTCAAACAAACACACCCATAGTGTATTAATTTTTTTTGAAAAATTGAGTATAGAAAATCATACCAAAACCCTTCTTCTTACTTAGAATCAATTGTTATTTTCTTCTTGAATTCTCATTTTGTAGTATCATCATTTATCTTTACAAAAGCACCCTAATAGCAACCCGCCTTAACAATTCTCAAATCTCAATCACAAATCCTCCATCGATTCCAATCATTTCTCTGAGATCGTCGCCAGCGACGCTTTCCCCACCTATATATCGACTTCGCAAATCGCCGCCGCCCGCCCTCCACACATAGCAGTCGCGTTCGCGCGCACACTGTGTACGCATTTCTTTCTTTCTCTCATTTTTTTTTGTTACTTCGTGTGTCGATTGGGTATTGATTTTTAGTATGTTTCATTTTTTGTTCTCTGTAATTTCTACTATGTGATTTCCAAAGTTTTTGAGACATTTTGGATTTTTTTTTCTTTTTCAGTTCTTTAATTAATATTTCTTGTATTTGATATAGAATGGGAGCATGGTGTCTGATTGCGTTTCGAGTAATTCTGTTGCAGCCCTGTGCATAAAAACTCAGATTTTATTTTAACAAATTTCGCCTCTGAGTTGTTTCAGTCTTCCTCCTATCTGATGTTCTGAATTTTGTTCGCCGTTGGAGTTGTGGACGCGTAGTTCTAGGTATCATACAAATTGCTGCCGTAGATTCTCTCTACGACTTTCATTTTCAACTTTAGTGCTGTATTTTCAGCTTTAATGGCGGATTATCATTTCGTTTACAAAGATATAGAAGGAGCTTCGACGCAATGGGACGACATTCAGAGAAAACTAGGAAATCTACCCGCTAAAGCGCCGGCGTTCAAGCCCTCTCCTTTCACGCCAGCTGAAGACAAGGATTCCAAGCCGAAAGACAAGAGTTGGATCGACGAGAAAACTGAGGAAGAGCTTGAAGATCTTGAAGATGATCTTGACGACGATCGATTCCTCGATGAGTACAGGTAGTGATTCACTTTTTTAATATTTAATTTGATTTTACTTTATACTTTTGAGATGCTTTACTGATGCATCGGATCAACTGTTGGAAATTAGCATTGAAAGGTTTGAGCTTTTGCCGAATAATTAAGAAATTAATCCGAAAATTGAGATGATTCAGAAATTGCTGTCTTAATGGATTTACAGAAAAAGGTTTGTTTGGATGTTTTTGAATTGAAAGATATATATATATATATTATATTTAATGTGTGTTTGTTCGGACTTTTGAATTTTGAGTTGGGATTTGAATAGTAAAAATTTTGAATTGGAATAGTTTTACGATGTGATATAAATAGGTTGATGTGATATTTTAAATGTAAAATTGATTTTAGTATAATATAGAAAATAAAAAATAGTTGTTTGATTTGATATTTTTGGGTGGAAAAATTCGTTGAATAGTGAAATTTGGAGAGAATCCTCCAAACAAACACTTGTTTTACTTGGAAAATGAGATTGAGTATATGCCAGAAATACTTGGTGTGTTTGTGTGGGTGTTTGGATTTTTTGTTGTGATTTAAATAGTAATTTTTTTGAATAAGAATAGTTGAACGATGTGATATAAATAAATGTTTTTGTGATATTTTGAATGTAAAATTGATTTTAGTATAATAAAATAAATGAGAAGTGAATGCTTGATTTGATGTTTTTTAGGGAGAAAAATCGGGTGAATAGTAGAAATCCGGGAAAATTTGATAAAAGAATATGGATATGCCAACCAACAGTATTTAGAATGTTGCAATCATTTATGATGGATGTTCTTTCATTTGAGTGTGATAGGAAAAAGAGGTTGGCCGAGCTGCGGGAAGCCGTCAAAGTTGCAAAGTTTGGTTCGGTAATTCCAATTTCAGGATCCGATTTCGTGCGCGAAGTTTCACAAGCTCCTCAAGATGTTTGGGTTGTAGTGCTACTATATAAAGATGGGTAAATAAATACAATTAGCATTCAAGCAATAGCCATTTCCTGTGTTTTTGTGTATCATTCCATTTTTACATATATATATATATATATTTTTTTTTTGTATATATTTGGTTCATTTGACAGATTCCCGGAGTGTAGATTGCTTCTCCAATGTCTTGAAGATTTGGCTAAAAAGTACCCTGCAACAAAGTTTGTCAAAATTATATCGACAGAGTGTATTCCAAACTATCCCGACCTCAATCTTCCCACGATTCTGGTTTACAATAACAGCGCTGTTAAGGCAACTCATGTGGGAATCCGTAGTTTTGGACGAAGGTGCACTCCTGAAAGTACGTCTCTCTTCACCAAGCTATCTTTTTGCTTACCTTAATTGAAGGAGGATTAACATCTTTCTATTGTGCCTTCTTTAGAAATCTCTCTTCTCAAAATTTAAATGTTCGATTTTACCTTATTCTGCTAATCCTATGAGTAACCCAAACCCCGCCTGTATTCTGTATGGCAATGCAAAAAAACGTAAATGGAATGGTTAAATTTTGCAATGTGTTAGTCATTTTTAATCATTTTCGAAATCTTGAAGTGTTACTTATCCATTTGCCTCGGAATTTACTATAGCCGTTTTGTGTTTTGTGTTTTGTGTTTTTTTTTTTTTTTTTTTTCTTTTTTGTGAAGGGATATAAAATGAGGTTGTGGTTTGAAATTTAGGTGTTGCCGTAGTTCTGTGTCAGTCGGACCCTGTGCTTGACAACGGGCACAGTGGGGAGCAATCGAGAGACGATGTTCTTGATGGAGTGAGGAAGAAGTTCTTGGAGAGGGTAGTGAGAGAACATGAAGACAACGACGACGGATCTTCGAGCGATTGATCTCTACCTGTTTTCGAAACTTTTCCGGCCATCGGAAACCCTGTAGCACCTTGGAGTATTGATTTGTGTCATTCAGGCCTTGCAGGTACACTGTTTCTGTTTTATATACAGTTTTATTGTTTTTGTCTCCAACTTCCAGGTCAAAATTTTTTCTGTATTCTCAGATATGTTGTGAAACATTAGAGGCCTTTTTCATTTGCCTAACAGATTTAATGAATATGTCAATTTAGAATTATTCAAAAAATCTGCAACTAATTGAACCTTCATATTCACTTAAGAGACAGGGGTGGGCACTATTCACACTATTTGTAAATATGCAGGTATTTAATATTCAATCGAATCGAACAAATATCTAAAATCGCAAATCATATTCGAACCGAAAATTTTGGTTAATCGAAAATATTTGCAATATTTACAAATAATTCGAACCTAATTAAAACTAAGAAAAAATACATTATAAAATAATTAAAATTTTAATTAAAGAAAAATATTTTAAAATATTTTAAATATTTGAATTCAATATAATTATCAATATAAATATTAAAAAATATAATAATATAAAGATATAAATATATTCGATTATGTTTAACGGAATAAAAAAAATATATATAAAAAATCGAAATCGAACTAAACAAATATCAAATATGCAGTATTTGTATTCGAATCCAATTTGTTCGAATAACCGAAAATTGAATTCAGTTCAACAGCTTGACAGGTTGATTTTTTTGTCCACCTCGATTATAACAAAAACTCACATAAGCTTTATCAGAGTGAATGCTTCACTCCAATGAATTTATACTATAAACTGTGCAATTTCTCATCTGAATAAATGAATTTTCCAGATCCATTAGCCAATATATAGATATATATGTATATTCTCGTGGAAGAAAACACACACATACTGGAAAACACTATATGTGGCTATCCTAAGGCAGAAAACTAACCATTTGTAGTAACTTTCAAACTACAACACTTGTACCAGTAAGTCCATCCTGGAGCTGTAGGGAGCCATCTTTCATCAGATTAAGGCTCAAGCTCTTGAACCGTTCTCTCGAATATTGTCGCGACGCCTTTCTCCAGTCCGTCCCTGTTTTCATCATAGCCACAAATTCGTCGTAGCTGATTCTCCCATCCTGATGCACCCAACGAGCGATTGATTTAACCGAAGAGAAAAGTTAGTTAGTTAGAAAAGATACGATAGTGTGTAGGGGACATTGCTCGAAACCTTATCCGTGTCGACTTCCTGCATGATGTTGTTGAGCACATCGAGATCAGGTTCGCCCGATTCTTCGGCTAGAGCTACTGTTAGCTCATCCAGTTCGATGTACCCATTCCCATCTTTGTCGAAGAACATGAACGCCTTGCGGAAATGCTCGTCGTTCTCCATCTTCTGTAGGTGGATTGTTACTGCGACAAACTCCCCGTATTCCAAAACCCCGTTTCCATCTACATCAGCCTGTTAGAGATTCACATCATCTTAAAGAACTAAGAAAGTAAACACAGTATCAAAAATGTCAGACTAATCTACCCTAAAGATTCGATATTTACCACGTCCATAAGCAATTTTATCTCTGGCTCTGCGAGCTGAGAGCCAACTTTCCGCAGCCCAGCTTTTAGTTCCTCGTATGTTACCTTCCCGTCATTGTCGGTATCCATCAATGCGAACATCTCTCTTATTATTTCTATCTCCTCGACAGATAAGTGCTCCGCGATTACCTACACAGTTGTTTGATTTAAATCAGCAAACATAAGATACGGTTCTTGTTTTTTTACGACTCTTGGTAAACTTTTTTAAGCTTCCTTTAACTAATTATCCCTAATAGTTTCTCCTATGGGACAATGGGTCTGTATACATTAACGACTACCACAAAGACAATCGAATCTGAAAGATTAGTTTGCTAACCCGTAGTGCTTTCTTCTTGAATCGGTTCATGATGGAAAATTGCTTGAGTCTTGCCCTCACAATATCTCCCAATGGAACATTGGGAGCTTTTTTGGCATTTTGTATCCATGGGTGATCTAAACAAACAACAATGGAGACAAAAAAAGTGTTACAGCTGTCTGCATCCATCCAAAATGATAAGAGAATAAGAGATCGACATTCTTTATCTTGTTTGCAAGATTAGCATATATTTGGATGTTCTTATATTGTAGACATTGAATAATCCAAATTCTGTTAGGACCAATTGTGCACCCCTAGTGGACATATATAACAGTTTCTCCATAATTTCATAGACGAGAGGCTACTTCAATACATCATGAATTAATAGAAGCAGATTGTAATGAAATCCTAAATATGAAACCTATAATCCAAATTTGCTGATCTATATCAAATTGTATGCTTTGAACAACAGATTGTTAGTAATTCTTGAACTGTGGGTATGAGGAAATTAGGAAAAGTAATTTGAATCAGTTGAAAAATCATACACCAACACCTATATCCATTGAACTCAAGCTAAATTCTTGGCTAAGTGGATGAATCTTCAACACAAATGCAGCTAGGATGATAACTCACTTAATCGAACATATGCCTGGAAAATTTGAAAACTGTTTAAGCAAACTTACCGAGCACTTGTTCGGCTGTCAAACGCTTTCTGGGATCGGGGTCGAGCATCTGTCTGATGAGGCTTTTAGCACTTTCAGAAACCTGTGGCCATGGCTCCCTCCGGAAATCGAGCACTCCTCTTAAAATAGCTAATGCAACACCCTGTTCACTCTCTGCACCATAAATTGTTTTGGAATAAACTCAATCCATCCTGATAACAATAAGCTTGGGGAGAAATACAGAATGAAAATGTGTAAAAATTACCGGCCCAAAAAGGAGGAACTCCACACAACAGAATATAGAGAATCACACCAGCACTCCATATATCAACTTCTGGACCGTAATTTCGCTTCAGAACTTCTGGAGCCATGTAGTATGGACTTCCTACAATCTCTGAGAACCTTTCACCTGATCAGGATCAAAGGGAATGATCTCTTTTTGCTTAAATCGGCAGAAATTGACAGAAATTGACAGAAATTGTTCTAACTATGCAGATGCAGTCTGAATCGATAATATGGAAACGAAACCAATCTCCGAAGGAAAACAATCTAAAATGATATGAATTAATGGAAGTTTAAAGTTACCAGGCTTGAAGAAGACTGATAATCCAAAATCTATAGCCTTAAGCGGTGAATTCTCCTTCTTATTAGCGAAGAGGAAGTTCTCAGGCTTCAAATCCCTATGCATAACTCCGTGTTGATGGCACATCCTCACAACCTCCGCAATCGTTTTAGCAACACCAGCCGCAGCTCGCTCGCTGTAATGTCCACGCGCCACTATTCTATCGAAGAGTTCCCCGCCTTCACATAACTCCATCACCAAATGCACCGCCTCGTTGTCCTCGTAGGTGGCGCGTAGCTTCACGATGTTCGGATGCTCCGGCAAGCTCGACATAATCGCAACTTCACGGCGGACGTCCTCGATGTCCACCGCCGTACGAAGCTTCTTCTTCGAGATCGACTTGCACGCAAGCGCCTCGCGAGTCTCGCGGTCGGTGCAGAGATAGGTTATACCGAACTCGCCGCGGCCGAGCTCCCGGCCGAGCACGTACTTGTCGGAGATCCTCGTCCGCGGGAAAAAGTCCTTGAGCACGCGAATCGGCGCCGGCGACCGAGCGTAGGGGTTCGCATAGCGCTCGCGAGCCTTATTCCGACCTATCGGCGTTTGCGGCGTCGTCGGAGTTTGTGGATCCTTTTCTGAAGACCCTAGGCACGCGTTGCAGTTCCCCATCGCCGACTTCAGAAACTTACCAAAACAGGAAGAACAAACCGTCTCCGCTCGCTAAACCTCCGTCTGCGGCGGCGCTCGGTGTGGCGGAGAAAAAAAACTGACCGGAGAAAGAAAACGCGGGCCGCGACTGTGTCAGTAACCGTTAGTAGGAAATTTTGATGCATTTATTTTTTTATTTAATATTAATTAAATTTTTTAGGGGCAGATTTGTCTTTTTAGATATATCTAAAACTGAGTTGGTGGGCATTAATGGTATTTTGACTTAGCCAACTCATCCACTCTAGAGTTAGCGTAGGGCAGCAGGTGTTTGGCAGGATTTAATTTTGTAGTTGGTTACGTGCAATCTTCGAAGCCAATTGCCAAACGCGGCCTTTTATATATATATATATATATATATATATATATATATTTATTTATTTTTACTCTCTCTTTCGCTCATTTAATTTGTTCATCTCCCATATAATTTATTTTGTTAAAAATATATATATATATATAATTATACATTTTATAGCATTTTAAATTCAAATTATTTTTATTAATATATTTTTTTTATTTAATTATTATATAATATATATATAATTCCGTGTCTTAGCTAAATGAGACAAAATAGTTAAACTAAGGAAATAATAATTTCTATATTTTTGAATTTTACATTTTATTTCGTATATTAATAATTTTTTCTTATATTTACATAATGTTATTAATCTTCTATACTTAAAAAGAAATGATGGCCGAAATTGAATGCGTTTGGCTGAATATTTTCAAAATTATTTCGGTGACGTGTTAAATTTTGACATTTAATTATGTGCTATTTAAAGCAATGCATTTAATATATTAATAGGGTTATCCAGTAGGCAATGGATCAGTTGATTATAGATTTATTTCATTACTGCTATATTACTATTTATTAGGCAAAATCTGCGCTTTAATAATGATTTGTTCAAGGGGGGCTAAAATGGAGTTTTTGTTGGATTGATTGTATTAACATACTAAAAGTTATATTTACTTTTTTAGGTAACTGTATTTAATATTAAACTTATTTTTATATTTATATATTCTATAAATATTATTATATTTGTATTATAATATAATAATAATTTTTTTTTTTTTATTATTCATACTATATTTTAATATATTAATTAATATTTAAAAATTAATAAAAAAAATGGTAACGATTGTTATCTCACTGAGAATATATTAGCTATCAATTCATTTATTTATTTGCTCAAACTGTTATTATTACTCCATTATTTGATTTATATATTTATTTTTATTATAACGTGACAATATGTAGTTACTATCTTTCAAATGGGTTTTAGGTAAATTTAATAGGATGCAAATTAAGTTCTATAAAATAAATTATATTTACTCCATCTTAGAACTATAGTCTGGTCATGTTTGGCACTGGATTTAAGTGTGTAAAAAGTACGAAAAAAGATTTTTTTGCCCTTGCGAGTGTATTAGTATAAAAAGTAGTGGTAATTGTGTAATAATAATAAAAAATAAATGTAGTTTTATAGTGATATGATTATTTATAGAAATGAGACTATTGTTTTGAAACGGACAAAAATGGTAAACAGAACTATTGTATTGAGACTGAGGAAGTACTATAAATAATAATTATTTATCACTATAATTAATCACTACCACTCGTAATTAATGCATTTTATGAATTTACTAGTGCATAATCTTGGCGGACTTGAGAAAATAATTTTATCAACTTCTCTTCATTTTTTTAGAAAAAAAAAAAAGAAAAGAAAAAAAGACAAGTTTGTGTTTTAATTGTTTTAAAATATTTTATCTAAAAAGTTTCAAATATATATATATATATATATAGATATTGGATTATTAATTTCAAGGAAAATAAATTACACCATAAATAACAAATACAAGCAAGCATACCCTAACTTAAGTGACATGTATAACACATATACTTACATAAATTCAATGTTATTATTATTATTATATTTGAAATTAATTTGGCATAATTGTATTGAAATAATTGAATAGGTCTTTTAAGTTTGAACCAAAAGCAGAAATAAATAACGTTTTTTATTGGAAAGACGGCATTTAATGAATTTCGACCTAATCAATTAGAAGCGCAATTAGGTTCAAAACACGACTTCGCCTAATCTTGCTGCCTACTCTCACACATGCCATTAAGGGTCTGTTTGTTTGGGTGATTGGATTTTGAGTTGGGATTTAAATAATAAAAATTTTGAATTTGAATATTAATTTTTAGTATAATATAAAAAATAAAAAATAGGTGTTTAATTTGACGCGGGGGGAATGAGATGAATAGTGTATTTAAAATTCAATCTCCCAAACAAATATACTTATACTTGTTAATTGCGTGGCTCACTCAACGCGTGGTAACAAAATGGAAAAACAAAGTCTCGTAAAGAATAATCTGGTGTTGTGATGATGATCTTGTATGGCTAAGGGTTCAAGCTATCGAGCTTAATTTGCAATTTTTTTTTTTTTTTAGAAAATCATACCACATAAATAGTCTAGAAAGTTATTCAAAATGATAATAATAATAATAAAAACAAACAAACAAACAAACTTTTCTTCCAAAAATACTTAGTGTGTTTAATTATTTATCATTTAAAAAAATGTTTCAAAACTCCAAAATTTATGCTTTGTTCTTTTAGTATTTCAAATCAAAATCAATACTATTTATTTTGCATAGTTTTCAATAAAAATTCACTGTTTTATCTTATAAAATATCATATTAAAATATTATTTAAACAAAAATTTAAATAACAATCTATTTCAAATCACACCAAACAATAGTGCAAAATCTACGACTATGAATTTTCACATCATAAAAGTATAAGTATATTTATTTAAAATATATTTTATACTCAAAATATCATATCAAATAACAATTTCAATTTAAATTTTTACTATTTAATTAATACGACAATTCAAGATACAAGAAAAAAATATATATATATATATATTACTCCCTCCGTCCCAAACAAGGTGCAACATTTACTTTTACACTGGTTTTTAGGTGAGTAGTATTAAGTAGGATACTTTAGAAATTAGGTGATGTGATAGAAAGAAAAATATATATTTTATTTTTTTATTTGGATGATGTGAGGGGACAAAGTGTGTGGTAGAGATTAAGTATAATTAATTATTTCCTATTTTGGAAATATTGCATGGTGTTTGGGACATATCAAAAAAGAAATTTTGCAAGGTGTTTAGGACGGAGAGAGTATTTTGTATTTAAAACATTATATTACATTTTGAATACTTACTTTTTCTCCAACTTTTATAGAAGGTACATGATGAATATTGTTAATTTCGATATGAAATTATACCTAGCCAAACACATTAATTTTCATATATATATATATATGTTGAGAAATTAAGTAGTAAACTTTATATAGAGAAAAATAAAAGTTAACAAATCTTTTATTATTCTCAATAAAAAAAATTTTAATTACAAATTTTAACAAACATATAGTATTATTTTATTTCATAAAATACCTATAAAAAAAATAACAAAAATGACTTCTCTCAAACAAATTCTAAGAGTAGAGAGATAGTTGTTTCTTATTTTTTTCATACAATAAGTCTCTAGTAAAATCTTTTAGGTTTGAAAATTATTTTATTATAAAATATGAAAATAGACAAGAAAAAATAAAATAAAATAATATGATCCATATTTTGTCAAAAGGTACAAAATAAAGTAAAATGAACCACAAAATTGAGTTAAACTTTCAACTTAAGATTGACCAAAGTGAATTAATCAATCATTAAAAAAATTATAATAATTAAATGTAGTTGAGCCACATTTGATTATATTGTCTCCAAAATATTAAATATAGGTTTGGCTCATTACACATTAAACTAAAATGTATCTTATTATTAAATTATACTCCCTCCGTCCCATATTTATATATCCATTTACTTTTTGGGATAAAGTAAAAATAAAGGTAAAATGATTAAATTAATCCTATTAGTATGGTATGATATAAAGGTAATGATATGTAATATATTGTAAATTGAAAGGATATTTGTAATGTTAGGTAGATAATACAATTACTAAAAAAGAAAATTGATACTTTATTATGGACAGACCAAAATGGAAAAATTGATAGATTGTTAAGGGACAGAAGGAGTATATATTATTTTTATATCATATATTTGTGTCGTATTAATATATATCTTGTGTACTGATCGTATCAATCATGACAAATATTATGTGGATTATTATTCTAAAACGTTAGTTCATATATTTAACATAATTTATTATTTTTTTCAAAAAATCCAAAAAAATAATTTTCAAGTGCTAATTATACATATGCTCGGTGATGTTTTTGTTTTTTCTATTTATTTAATATGTAATTTTCAAGATTTTATATATAATATATTATTTTATTTTATAAAATATTATATTTACATTAAAAATCAAAATGTCTAAAAAAATCACCGGGTAAACAAACCCTTAAAGTATATGTTCTATTTTGATGTATTATTTAATATTTATATTATAATAATATCTAAATAAAGAAGTATACACCAAAAATTGGATATTTGTTGAATTTGATTTAAATGAATAAAAAGCAGGTGAGGTGTATGTGTTAAGATGGTGTAGGTGATCAACTATTTATATAAATAATTATAAATAAATAAATAAATAAGTTAGGAGAATCAAATTGAAAGTAGAAAGAGTAGTTGACATGATATTAATCACACCAACTAATACGTTATATATACATATGTATATATATGTATATGTTGTGTCCATTTTTAAGTCAACAAATAATAATTATTATGACTTATTTTATTTTATTGTGACAAAAGATTATTGTGGTCCTAATTTGTTCATATCATGTCCTAACCCATAACATATGTCAGCCCAGTTTGTTTGTTTTTTTTTTTTAGTTTAAATGTTAGGGTACAAACTCAAGTCTCATATAAAAAATTGTGAAAGAAAATTGCACACCTTGTAAGTCCTAAATTAACTCCACTAGTATGGAGTATTTTGGAGAATATCCAAAAATAAATCCGTGCTGGCTAAGCTCAATGCGGACAATATCATACTAGTGTTGAGTTGCCAGTCCCACCGTTAAAAAATATTTAGAAAAATTTATACATTAAGTTTAAAATAAGAAAACAAACAATCAAAATATAT